TCCTGTGTGGGGGCATTAGCTTTTGCCGACGCGGTGATGCATGGCAGACCGAAGCCATTTGTTCTCCTTTTGCTGCAATGCTGAAGAAGTCACCAAGCAGGGGTGAGTTGGCATAGAACCTTTTTGGACCTGCCAGACAGTCAGAGCTGGCATCTCTGGCAGCTTCTGAGGTATTCGGGCTTGGGTGAGCATACTAGTGATACAGACTGCAAACTCAGCATCAGCGCCTCTATTCACTCGGCTGCATGGTGTAGTTGGTCATCACGTATCCTTAACACTCGCTCGGTGATTCGGATAAGGTCCTCAGTTCAAACCTGGGTGCGGTCATTACCCTTTTGCCCCGGGGCACGCACGCAGGCCTGGTCCAGCTTTTTGCGGATGCCAGGAGGATGAGCTGACAACCGCCCAACTGTCAGGCACGGGATACAAATGTAAGATCTGCTTGCGTGACACGCATCGGAGCTATCGTCTAGTGGTTTAGGACGCAAGGTTTTGATCCGCTTCAGACCTCCTTGCAACCTGGGTTCGAACCCCAGTAGCTCCTCGCTTTTTGCGCGTCTCCTTCCCTTCCTCCACCTCCGCGCCCCTTCTACCGTCCTGCCTACTCTTTTGCTTCTCATCGCTGCGCGCCCTCTTCGCTTAAGCAAGACCCGGCGTCTCGCCGCGTTCTCAAACTCTTCCCCGGCTTCTCCCTCGCTTTCTCTTCCACACCCCTCTCTCCTGTCGATATGCTCCGCTCAGCGCTTGCTCCGGGCACTGGAGTCGCTCGATCATCCATCGCCCGGCAACACCGCTGCCTCGCGACATTTGCGGGCAACACCGTCCGACTCGCATCCGAGAAGCAGGCCGCCGCCGACTCGTCGAAGCCGCCGCTCGTGGTCCTGCACGGTCTCTTCGGCAGCAAGCAGAACTGGCGGAGCCTTGCAAAGGGGCTGGCCCAGCGGCTGGGGCGCGACATCTTCACTCTCGTGCGTTCATCTCTCGGCATGCCCAAGTGGGGGCGAACTCGAGACAGCGTAGCAGTACTGACGCAGCAGGTGTACGTTGCAGGACCTGCGAAATCACGGCCACTCGCCGCACAAGCGCGAGTGCGCATACGACGACCTGGCTTCGGATGTCAAGGCCTTCATCGAGCTGGAGGAGAAGCTGGACGATTGTGTCGTTGTGGGACACTCGATGTACGCCCGCTCATGCCTTCGGTGAAGCTCTCATGCTGATCTCGGCCATGCAGGGGCGGCAAGGTCGCCATGGCGCTGGCGCTGGGCGGCTGCGATGCCCTCTCCCGCCTTGTCGGTACGTAGCGTCCGTCTCCGTCCCTTTATGGAGCTTGCGCTGACTACACGAACTTTCAGTGATTGACATCGCACCTGCGGTCGGCAAGATCTCGCCCGAATTCCAGGCGTACCTCGACGCGATGAAGGAAATCGACGAGGCGCAAGTCATGTCGCGGAAGGAGGCGGACGCGATCTTGCAGAAGACCGAGTCGGTGCGTAGGCTATCAGCAAGCGAGGGGGACGACTGCACTAACATCCCTCGACCGGCTCACGCAGGACCTCGGCGTTCGCCAATTCTTGCTCACCAACCTGGACCGCAGCTCGCCGTCTGACCCGTACCGCTTCCGCCTCCCGCTACACTACCTCGCCAACGCGATTGGCGAGATTGGCAACTTCCCCTACCAGCCAGGCGAGCGAGTGTACGAGCAGCCGTCGCTCTTCCTCAAAGGCGAGTCCTCCCATCCTCTGGCCTGCTGGTTCAGTCCTCCACCGTACGAAAGATTGCTAACAGCTTCACGCCCTGGACAGGGAGCCGAAGCAAGTACATCAACTCGCGCAACATCCCTCTCATCAAGCAGTTCTTCCCCAACTCGCAACTTGAGACGCTAGAGACGGGTCATTGGGGTGCGCAGATCTCCCTTGACGTGTCGTCACCTGCAGACGCAGCGCTGACGCCCGTCTTGATGCAGTACACGCCGAGAAGCCGAAGGAGTTCATTGAGTCGCTAGACAGGTTTCTCAACCAGTAGATGTTGCACCGCTGCGGATGCGCAACAACGACTGTCGTATGCTCTACACGAAGTCTACTGCCCGTCGAGCCGCCGCTGGCGCGCAGAAGCTTGCAGCGCACGAACTGCCTTGAGAGTTCCTTCTTCGTGCTCCTCCTCGACCCTCGCTTCATGAAGGAAGACTATGCGACATTTTCAGAGTAGGGAGGGCTACAAAAGGCGAGAGTAACAAGTTCAAGCGATCTCCAAGCTAAGCGAGCATCCCCTCCTTCCGCCACCTCTCACTCAAACCGACTCGCGGAAGTTGTCGCCCCTGGCATCCGGAGCAGCCGCACCCGAGCCGACGTCGCCGTTAAGCTGCCTCCTCCCAGCGCCCGCAGGCTCGTCTCCACCCGATCCCGCCGCTGCGCCCGTGTTGCCCGCGCCGGTCGAGGCGGGTGGTCCGCCGCCGCCGTTCGTGCTCCTCATCGTGGCGGGCTGGTTGCCGCCGACGTTCGTGCCAGTCGCGTTGCCGCGGTCGTCGGCGCCGTCCGTCGCCTTGCCCGAGTGCTGGCGTGAGGAAGCAAAGTTAGCTTCGGTAAGCGTGAAGTGCGAGGAGGTACTCACGAAGCCAAAGCGTTCATAGGCGAGCCCCTCGATGGCGAAGAGGAAAGCGAACAACCACACGACACGAGTGAGGAAGTCGAGGACGCCGTACTGCGCGCCGGAAGCGTCAGTAAGGGGGTGCGGGAGTGGGCGCAAAAATCTCGGCACGCACCCAAAACATCTCGCTCGAGACCGTGAGGACGTTGCCATACTGCGCCAGTGCATCAGACTGGTCAGCAAAGCGGACGAAGGGGCAGTAAGAGAACGTTGACGAGACGCACCTCGCACAAGCCCCAGACGATCGGCTGTGGGTGCACGAGATATCAGCAGGTATGCTCGCCTTCTTCCAGCGCAACGCTTCGCGAGGCAACGCACGTAGATGAGAAAAAGAAGCCCGAGACTCGTTGCGGCCGACCTGACGGCGCGACAGCGATCGGCGCCGAGGCGACGAGCAGAGCGAGGTGCCGGGTGGAAGAGGTGCCAGACGACGTCTGCGGGGGAGAGGAGGCGGGATCAGGAGAGACGAGGGGGGTTGAGAAGGCCAGCCGGAGAAGGGAACGGTTTTGCGACGTACAGAAGAGGGCTGAGACGGCGAAGACCTGGACAGACAGCGTCAGTGATGCTGCTTGGCTGGAAGAAGGGCGTGCAGACGCACGTAGTACATCCACCTGTAGCGCGTCCTGATGAGCGTGCCAATCAAGGCTGAGATGCTGTATGCGGCGAACCGGTCAGCGTGGCACGTGTGGAGGGAAGAGCGAGACGTAGCGCACATGGTGAAGAGGGTGAAGAAGAGGACGATGAAGATGCGCGAAAGGTTGAAGCCGGTTGCGAGGAGGACAAGGAGGACGAGGAGCGGCCACGAGACGGCCCAGCCAATGTACTGGAGTAGGCGCAGGACGGAAAAGCGTCAAAGAAACGCGGAGAGGGGGTCGGACAGGACGGGGAACGCACGCGGGCATAGAAGATGGAGCGAGTCGGAGGGAACGGCGCTCCTCCGGCGAGCTGGTTGGCGCCGCGACTTCCCGACCTGACAAACTCGACGGGGACGCTCGTGTAGCCGAGGTTGGACGCTTGCGTGGCGTAGTGGAGGGCGGTCGCGGCGAGGATGGCGAGGCCGATGTAGTGGAAGGCGCGGTGGCGCTTCGGGCGCGAGTGGGCGACGACGCCGAGCGTGAGCATCGAGAGGGCGAAGATGCCGAACAGCGCCCAGCACCAGTTGCTACCGGGGCGAGAAAGGCCGATGTTCGACGTGACCTGCGCAGAGGGTCGAAGGCAGGTCAGCTTCCCGTTCAGTTTGCGGAGTTCGCCCATCCCTGCGCCGTCTCAGTCCTGCTTCGACACGCAGCACGGCCGTAAGAAGACTCGCACAGCGCTCCGTGCCGTCCACGCCCTCCTGCCCTCGAGCGTCTCCTCCCGCGTCGAAACGAGTCGAGGGGGACCCGGGGCACGCACCGGATTGGTCGAGATGGACGATGCGTAGCGCTTGACGACCTCCGGATGCATCGCTGCTGAGCTGAAGTGAGGCGAGGCGAGGGAGAGGGAGCGGGAGAGAGGCGAAGGAGGGCGAGAGAGGGCGCGTGCACTCGAGGTGCAGCTGGATGACGCAGGCGAGCGCCGGAGCAGGCAGAGACCAAGCTGAGAGGTCGAGCAGTGGTGGAAAGCGCGAGAACAGCGACACGACGAGCGACGAGACGAGAGAGCAACCCCTCGCCAGACCCGCCCTCGTCGACCTTCGCAACCCAACCTCGAGCACCCTCCTCGTCGCTATACGGTCAGCAGGACATGCGATGTAAAACGAGAAATGGTCTACAAGCAACAAGAGAGCGTGTGTGTGTGTGTGCAAATCCGGACAGCTCTCGTCCTCCAAGATCACCGCTTCGCCTTCTTGCCGCCCGCCTTGGTCGCTGCACCCCCCGACGACGCGGCGCTCCGCTTCTTCTTCGCCTTCGGGGACATCGGAGCCCCCGACTGGACCCCAACAGCGGACTCCTGCGCGACTTCCGTACCGTCCTCCTCGCTTTCGCCCGCGAACCGCTTGAACGCCTCGAGCTCGTCATCAGCGCCCTTCTGGAAGCTCGCCAGCAAATCGCGCCCGCCTCCGGTCGTGAGCGAAGCTGGCGCGAGCTTCGGGTTGACGAGGACGACGTCGCTGATCCTCGACGCGCGGGTCTCAACGACTCCAGGCGCGCCATCGACCGGAGGCTTGGGCGGCAGCGGGGCGAGCGCGCCGACGGAGGCGGCGAGAGAGGTCGGAGGGAGGCGTGGCGCGGCTGAAGGAGCGACAGTCGGCGGCTTGAACGGAGCGGCGGAACCGGCCGGTCGAGGAGCGGTGAACCCGCCGCTTTTGCTCGACAGCGATGACGAGGCCGGAGCAAAGCCTGCCGTTGTCAGATTGACGCCTGCTCCTGCGCCGCCAGCAACACTCTTGAACGTCGAGAGGGCCGAGCGGAAGCCGCCTTGGCCGGGAGGCACCGCCTGAGACTGCGGCACTACAGGCGTGCTCCATCGACCCTGGCTTTGCCCCTGGCTCGAGCCAAACGTCCCGCCGTAGCGACCCTGCGACCCGAAGCCGCCGTACCGCCCGCTCGACGAACCGAAGCTGCCGTAGTCGCGCGAGCCGGTAGGTTGCGAGGCGACGTCCCAGACAGGCGGGTCGACCGGCATCGTTGCGAGGCTGCGGGGAGCGCAAGTCGTCAGCAAGCTTGTCGAGAGCTTTCAGACGGCTCAAGGAGGGCGACGCACTACTCGTCGATCATTCTCTTCGCGACCTCCTCGCTCGGCGCTGTCCTGCCAAGCACCTTGGCGACTTCGCCACGCAGCTTCGGCGTCACCTTCTGCAGTTTCTTAACGAAGAGCGACGGGTAGGTCTGCGAGGCGGTGGCGATGAAAGGCGAAGGCTTCTTCTGCTTCATCTCGGCTGCGGTTCGTGGAAGAAGTATGAGTCAGCTAGGTAGATGAGCGGCGAAGGGATAGACACGGACCTCCGGCCATCCGCTGCGCAGCGTAAGAGAGGAAGCAGAAGCTCTGCGCGCGGGTGATGGCGACGTAGAGCAAGCGCCTGCAGGACCTCAAGAGTCAGCACAGCTCGTCGCTGCCGTCGACATCGAATAGTATAGGCACCTCTCCTCGTCAACCTCGTTCGCATCGGTCGAGCGGAAGAAGGGGTAAGTGCCATCCTCGCACGCCGGGATGAAGACGACAGGCCATTCGAGTCCCTTCGCGGCGTGGCAAGTCGAGATCGTGACCTTCTGCTCCGAGAGATAGCGAGTCAGTAAGGCGCTCGAAAGCTCGAAGACGGCCGAACGCACCTCGAGCTTCGCATCGCCCTTCGCGGCCTGCGTCTCCGTGTCGGTGGCGAGCATCGAAGTGGCGAGGAAGATCTCCAGAGGGGTCGCCGCTCCTTCCACGGCTGCTTGTGAGCTTAGTCTGCGAAGTGAGACGAGTCAATCTCAGCTGCACCTTTCGTACTCGGTAACTTGACGCACGGGACCTCGAGCTTTTCTGTCTCCTCGCTGCCTTTCCTCCCCCTCGACTTGGGCTTCGGAGAGTCGACAATCTCGATGTCCGAATCATCGTCCTCGATGCTGAGCGAGCCGTTCTTCGGGAGAATCGCGACCTCCTCAAACTGCGAGTCGCCCTCTTCTGGGTCCGCTGCGGTGGCGAGATCGGCCGTCGAGGGGTTCTCCTGCGCGACGACGGTGGCGTACGCCTGCGGAGCAGAGGTCAGCACGGATCACTCCTACAAGACGCCGGAACGGACGCACCTTGAGCTCCTCCACGTTCTCCCATCGCTCAGCCGCGTCGTGCGAGTGCTGCTTCTCGAGGTGCGCCCTGTAACCGACGCGGTCGACTATCAGGTCGATCAAGCTCGCAACATCGACGCCCTGCGAACCGTTAACCGTCAGTCCACGACTCGGTAGGATCGGACGACGCACGGAAGCGCACCTCGTCCGCCTTCGTTCGCCCATCTCGCACGAGCTCGACCAGAGTCCTAATGCCCTTCCTCTGCGCAGTCGTCATACCCTGCACGATACTCTGCCCCTTTGCAATCTTGACGCACACCTCAAACGGCGAGATCTTCTTCTTCTCGGCGGTAGCGACGATTTCGCGGATGGTCTTGTCGCCGATGGCGCGGCGAGGGACGTTGATGACGCGCATGAGGGCGGGCGAGTAGGACGGGTTCGAGAGAAGCTGAAGGTAGCACAGCATGTCCTTGATCCTGCGCAAGCGGAATCGGATCAGCGCTACTGATGCCTCAACCCGAGGATCTCAAGCTCAACGCACTCGATGCGCTCGAAGAATTTGTGGCCGCCGACCATGCGACTTGGGATACCCGCCTTTTGCAGCGCGACTTCGATGTTGCGGGACAAAGCGCCGTAGCGAAGCAGGACGGCAAAGTCGTTGTACCCGACCAGCCCTCCGAGATGAGCAACGAGGTGCTTAATGGTTGAGGCGACAAAGGCGGCTTCGTCCTGGGCACTCGGAGCGGGATGCAAGACGACAGAGGAGCCGGCAGGATGCGAGGTCGTGAGAGACTTGTTGATGCGCTTGGTATCTGCATTCATCAACGTCAGCGTTCGTACCGAGACAGAAAGAGGGGAGCGTATGCACCTTGCCGTACGACGGCGAGAGCAGCACCGAGGATCGCGCCTGTGGAGCGGTAGTTTTCCTTGAGGAAGATCTGCCGGACAGGGTGGAAGTCTGTGAGATCCAAGGTCAGCTGAGCTGGTGGCTCTCGGACAGCGGCGCGTTTGGCTGGTCTCCACAGCGCGCCACTTCGCTTCGTCGTCCGCGAGGAAACGCTGAACGTACCCTTGAGCATTTTCTCGAGGTTCTCGATCTCGGCATTGCGCCATCCGTAGACTGCGAACAATTACGGCCGTCAGTACGCCTCGCTCTCGCGACCAGTCCAGACAGAAGCGCACTCGACTGGTCCGGATCGCCAACAACGGTCAAAGAGCCAGAGGGCGCCGCAATCAGCTTCACGATGTCGTACTGCACCGAATTGGTGTCCTGGAACTGCGATAGGAGCATGGTTAGCTGAAGTGCGCAGAGTCGACGGTTCACTGCGCTCACCTCGTCGATGAGCACCGACTTGATCTTGGCGATGACGCGTGGGTGGTTGCGGAAGAGTTGGTAGCTGGCGAGCGGTACATGTGAGCTGCAGGATCGTCGAATGAGTAACGGGACGGACGCACCCTCGCACAAGCAAGTCGTCGAAGTCAAGCGCATTGCCGCTGGCGAGCGCATCCTCGTAGGCCCTGTTGAACGTGGTGCGGAAAAAACAACTGGTTGGCTGAAGTACGAACAGAGGCAGTGAGGAAGACCGCTCGAACGCACTCGTACATCCTCGCTACCCATTCGATCTTCTCCTGATCGACCGCTGCGCTCCTGTCCGCCCTGTACTGATCGGGCGACATCATCCTGCTCTTGCACTTCGAGATGCTCTCGAGCCACGTCTGAGGCTTCATCTCGCGCTTGAGGTTGGCGGGAACGGGCAGGGCTTGGAGGAGTCGCTTGATGATGCCAAGGCTGCGGATGCGGAGCGTCAGTCAACCGCGGAAGCCTACTCGGGTACAAATGAAGCGGACGTACCAGTCGTCCCGGTCCGTGATCAGGAAGTTGGAAGCAAGATTGACGAGCTTGGCGTACTTTCGCAGGTCTGCGGAGGCATTTCGTCAATCCGCGGCTCAAATGGCGGCAAGGATCGAGCTTACATCGCACGCAAACGCTACGCGCAAGCGAGCATGGCGAGGCGTGAGCGCACACTTGCAACGGGGAGAAGCGGGAAACGCACGAATGGAACGTCCCCATCACAAGTTTGTCGACCGTCTCGGCGCCGACGATCTTGCTCAATCGGACCTTCATCTCGTTCGCGGCCTTGTTAGTGAACGTGACGACGCTGTCAGGTACAGAACGGAGTGAGGAAAACATAAGTCAGCTTCGGGGCGCAAAGAGCGTTCCGCAGGAGGCGTGCACTGCTGCGAAAGCTCAGAATGGCCTCCTTAGCACTGATGGCAGACTCACACAAGCTCCTCTGGCTTGATGCCGCCCTTCTGCACCAGGTAAGCGACCCTCGTCGTCAATACCGCCGTCTTCCCGCTTCCGGGACCCGCATGAATCGCCAGACCGCCTTCTGCGCTTGCCGTGACAGCCTCCCTCTGCGCCGGATTTAGTTTGGCGAGGTATTCGGACGGCGAAGGGCGGCCGAAGGAGAGGGTCGACTGCTTGAGGCCGTCTGTCGCGCGTTCGGCGGGTCGTGCGGGTTGTTGGGCGACTTCATTCGTATTTGACGGTTCATTGTCCGTTACTGGCAGGTACTCGGAGTCGCTCAAGTCGTCGGACGGCTCCATCGCTCGAGGTTGAGCGATGAAGATGGGTTGCGCGATGCGGGCGCGTTGACGGGTTGCTGGGCGGTCAAGCGGGTGTAACGGCAGTCCAAGAACAAAGTCAAGCAGGTCTGTAGCGCGTCTGAGCGTTTGATAGCGAGTGGTGGCTGTCAACCCGCGTCTCTCCTCTCTCCCTCCGACGCTTCACCTTGCTTTGGCTCAAGCGCTCGAGATGGCTGCTACTGCTGCTGAGGCCAACGGGAAGGTTCGTAGCAGGCCGAAACTCGTCAAGCAGATCGTCGACCATGCCTTCCACCTCTCTACCGAACTGCACCTCGAGTTCGATATCACGGCGTCCTTCAAGGAACGGACCTTGGCGATCCCGCATATGCCATTACGAGGCGACTGGGAGTGCTGTATCAGCAGAAGTAAGCGGCAAGATGAGCCTTTCGTCGAGCTCTATATCCATCATGGCGAGCTGCCAGTCGGCTGCATAGGCTCGCACGTAGCGGTGTCGTGGGAGTTCTTCGCCGTCGACGCGGTCAAGTCGTGGCAGATTGCAGAGGACGACTGGGACCCTGAACCGGTGCCGGCTGGCACGAGGACGGGACCGTATACGGGGTTCAACGCCGCGGTCTCGCAAGGGGAGATCGACGATGCAAGGAATCGGTCTGGAGGAGCATTCGATCCTGTGACGCATCGTCATTATTGTCTGCGGTTCGAGATGCGACAGGCTGCGACGCGACCGTCCGACGAGGCGAAGGAGCTCGCCGAGCGCATCGCTGGTATGCCAAAGTTTCTTCGCCAGCTCAGCACGTATTCACGACCCATTCACAGACCTCAATCTCTCGCCAATGCCCTACGACGTCCGCCTCTTTTCCCCGAACGTCTGCCACGATGGCGCCGAGCTCTGGGTGGAGGGCGACTTTCTCGCGCAATGCTCGGATTACTTCGAGACCCTGCTCTCTTCCGACTTCACGGAGAACGTCCGAGTATCGCACAAACGACCGAGAACACGCGCGAGCGGCGTGGCGACTACGGCCGACGCAGACCACAAGGACTTTGCCGATTCCGACGACGAGACGGACGAGCTTTTTCTCACGCAGAACCCGCCTTCTCTACACGTCCACGAGGGCGAGTGCGGCCTCGAGTACAAGCAGATCGTCATCACCAAGACCGCCTTCACGACCTATCGCGCGGTCCTCGCCTTCCTCCGCACCGGCTACATCGCGTTCGCCCCACTCACCTCCGCCTGCCAGCCGCTCAACCCCTCGTCGAACCTCACTCGTGCTGCACGTCTGAGCGAGCTTGCCCAGAAGGAGCCGATTTTCCCGGTCTCACCCAAGTCGGCCTTCCGTCTTGCGCACTTGCTCGACCTCGACCGCCTGCAGGAGCTCTGTCTCGCCAACCTTCGACAGAGTCTCACGACTGATACGGTGGCGCACGAGCTATTCCATGAAGCATCAGTGTGCTTCGATGCATGGCGCGATGCTATCGTCGGATTCGTCGTGGAGAACTGGGATGCGGTGATGGCGACTAAATGCTGGAAGGACGCATATGCGCGACTGGAGCGAGACGAGATTCCCGGAGCGACGCCTATTCTTCTTAAGCTCATGGAGAAGAAGCCGGCCGGAGCGAAGGGTGAGTACTCGACGCTTCTCGGCTCGTCACGCCGGCTAACTCCCGATCTACTGTGTCCAGCCTGACGACGAATCGGTAGCAGCATCGACGTCGTCGGTTCCCTGCAACAAGCAAGCATTCAGACTTGCGTATGCGTTATTCTTGATCCTCGCGACTGCACGTCCTCCGCTTCCGCCGACACACGCTTGGGGCCAGTGTCGTGCCTGGGTAAAGCTCTTGCCTTCGCCTTCTGCTTTTGAGGCTGGACGACCGACTGTACCTCCTGACGAGCGGAGGAAGAGGTCGAGTTGCGGAAAAGGTTCGTCCTCAATTTCCACCTCCTCCCGCTCGCAGGCTGAAGCGTCGGCTCGTGGCTACAGCCTTTTTCGAGGCGAATGGTGCAATGCGCCACGAACCCCGTTCGAAGTCACACTGTTCCCTACCCGCATCCCCCAAAGACTCGTGGACGCGATCTCCGCTCCTCGAAGTCAAGCTCGCCCGAGCGCCAGTATAGCAATCTTTGCTCAAGCCACAGTCAACTTTCCGCTTCACCCGCTCCGTTGTTCTTGGCCGTCGGGACCGGCTTCCCACGCTTTGCGGGCCTCCGGATCCTTGCGATGGCGACATTTCTCTGCTGCATCCGCCAACCGCTCGCGATGGCTCTCTTCCTCCTCTCTGACACCCACAGACTCGCTACGGACCTCCAGCATGATGACCGCCGATACGAATGGCGAAGCGACGCCGACGGCGACGAGGAGGACGTTCTACCGCACAACGCTCTTTCAGATGCTCGTGGTCGGGCTGATCAGCTTTCTCGCGCCGGGACTCTGGTGCGTCGCATTCGGTTGGTGAGGCTGTAGACGAGCGTGGGCTGATTCGGTTTGGTCCACAGGAACGGAGGTATGCGGCATCTCACACTTCATACCATCGTTTCAATCGTAGGCGGCAGCACAGTGAGCTGACTCACATTATCTCACAGCTCAGGGACTCGGTGCTGGCGGCGCGCTTGAGCCGTACCTCGTGAGTCTCGAAATATCGTATTTAGTCTTCCGCTGAGAGCGCTGCTCATGTCGCTTCTGCCACGCAGGTTTCGCTTTCGAATTCGCTCGTGTTTGTCCTGATGGGCTTTGGTGCGTTGCCCGTTCCTCGTCTTGGAGCGCGTCGACGCTGACCGCTTTTCTCCTTACAGGCTGCGTCTTCGCGCCCGTCATCGTGAACAAGCTCGGCGTCAAGAACACGCTCATCATCGGCACGCTCGGATGGTCTGTCTACACTGCTGCACTATGTGAGTGCGCCATGGACCCATCGCTCGCGCTGCGAGCTGACGGTTTCTCCTGCTCCACCAGACCAGAACAACCGCTACGGCACCGAATGGTTCGTGATCTTCGGCGCTGTCATCTGTGCGTACACTGGCGTGTGTTAGCGGTCGCGCTCGTGCTCACGGATCTCGCAAACAGGCGGCCTGTCGGCCGGGACGTACTGGGCTTCCGAAGGCGGTGAGTTGGCATCGTCTGCTAGCCCGTCTTGCGGGCAGAACTGACTCTGATCCGCCCTCCAGCCATCGTCCTTGCGTACCCCGAGCCGCACAAGCGCGGAAAGTACCTCGCGCTGTGGCTGTTCTTCAAGAACTCCGGCCAGATCGTCTCGGGCGCGATCAACCTCGCCACGAACGCTCACAACTCGAAAGGCGGAAAGGGTGAGCAGCTACTCAGCCAAAGGACAGTTCTAGCAGTCACTGACCGTCACTCGCGCAGTCAACTACAAGACGCTCATCTCGTTCATCGCCCTGCAAGTCGCTGCGATCCCGCTTGCCTTCTTCATCTCGAACCCGGACAAGGTTCAGCGACAGGATCGCAGCGAGATACCGCTCAGCGACCAGACGAGTACGAAGGAGCAAATCCGGCTTCTCTGGAAGACTTGCTCGTCTCGCAAGGTCGGCATGCTGCTGCCCGTCTTCTTCGTACGTCCATCATGGGGGTCAAATAAAGCTGTAGTCACTGACGATTCTGTCCCTCTTGCAGTCGTCCTGGTTTGTGCGTCTTGGACGGGACCTTCGCAAGTCTGCCTCAACCAGCTAACCTCGTCGCCACCCGCAGTACTGGGGCTACGCCTCGCTTCATCTCACACTCTACTACTCTGTCCGCGCTCGCGCCCTCGCATCTTTCCTCTCGGCGATCTGCGGAGTCATCGCGACCTCTCTCCTCGGCACCTTCCTCGACTCGCGCCGCTTCTCGCTCGCCTTCCGCGCTCGAGCAGGAGCAGTACTCGTCTTCACGCTCTTCAGCGGCATACTCGTCTGGGCGATCGTCGTTCAACACCAGTTCACACAGCACAACCCGGGCAAGCTCGACTGGACAGACAAGTCGGGCAGGTTCAGCAAGGGCTTCGGCATGTTGATCATGCTGAATGCGAGCGGTAACGCCGTGCAGAACTACCTGGTGCGTCCACGTCGTCAAGCTCGTCTCGCTCCCACAACGCCAATTTCCCTTCTGTCGCATAGTACTGGCTCATCTCGCACCTCGCCGTCGACCTGGGAGAGACGACTCGCTACGCCGGTCTGCTGCGCGGCGTCGAGTCGTGGGGACAGTGCGTACTCCCCGCTGTCTGCCCTCTCGAGGCATGAGTTGACGATCCTCCTCCTGTCGCTACCAGATGCTGCTCGTTCGGCATGAACTCGACTCACTTCAACCCGACGTACACGGTCGTCATCAACATCGTCTTTTGGGCGGTTTCGCTGCCGTCTTCGTTCTTGACCATCATGAAACTCGGCAGGGAGGAAGGGTACGGCGCAGAGCGGGCGGGTCAGGTCGAGGACATTGAGCGGGAGCGCAGCATTGACGAGAAGACTGTCGAAGGCGAAGCAGCGTCGTCGAAGGAGCGAGAGGAGGAAGTAGTTTAGCCACGATCTTGGGTAATTTCGTTTCGTTCACCTCGCTGTGCACGGCTTCAAGCGCGTCGCCATCGGAGAGAGCAGTGATAGCGAGGAGACAATCTACAAGCCCGTCTGCCCTTTCTCCCCGCCGTTCTCGCCCCGAACCCAAACCCAGCCCTTCTCCCTCTTCTTCGCACCTGCCTCGCTTTCCTCCGCCAACCGGGTGTCTCCTCGTCCTTTCCCGTCGATAGTTGTGAGCAGGTGGCGAGGGAACCAGGCGGGGAGCGTGAAAGGTTGGGCGGTGGTCGAGGTGGTTTGGCGAAGCGAGTGGTGGATGAGCGAGGCGAGGAGGTGGCCGCTGCGAACGCCAAAGCTATCAGTACGGTCTGAAATCGTCATCAAGCACTGGAACGTACCAGAGAGGGGCGCGAGGCATCCCGTGCCCAGAATCTGCGACAGAATGGAGATCAGCTCGTCGTCCCCGGTTTCCGCAGACGTGAAAGGGAAGGAGACAAACAGCCCGCTCTGCACGGCGAATCAGCATCAGACTGAGTCAAAGCGGGATGAGCAAGAGGAGGAGATCACGCACGAGATCCATTGGCCCTCCTGTCGTTGTCCGTCGATATAGACCGGCCCAACCTGCGCGGTGTCGCGCGCATCAGCTGGGAGTCCTCGCGCGACAACACTCGGAACGCACCATCGGGTTGCCCTCCGACCTGTACCCCATGATTCCCGTCCATTCCATTACCGCTTCTGTCCCATCCATCGCCTTCCCGAACTTGCTGGGGAACAACTTCCCCATCGCCTCCTTCAGCTTCCCACTGACAACTTGATTGACGCTCGCATCATCCGCGACTCCCCACTCCCATCCTTCCGCCTTCTCCCTCTCGCCTCCAAGAAGGATCTCGCCCCTCTCCCTTCCGGCAGCCGAGTACGATCGCTGGAAGAAATACGCGTTAACGCCTTTCGGGTGGTTCGAAGAGTGCGGCGGGTCGGGAGGAGAGGAGGGCGAGAAGGCGGGAGTCCAGTTGGGTGAAGAGGAGGACGAAGTCGGGTGAAGCGCGAGCATTTGGGCGCGAGTTGGGAGGATGCGAGAGTGTGGACTGTTGGGTGCGTTGAGTGAAGGAAGGACGTGTGACGCGTAGCCGTTCGTAGCGTGGACGACGTGCGTTCTGCGGAGGCAAAGGAGGATAAGTCTCGGTTTTGCAGCGTGCGAAAGAAGGGAAGAAGCTTCACGCACGCCTTGATATCACCCCGCGCCGTCTTGACCACCCAGCGCCCTCGGCCTCCTTCTCCAGCAGCACCCTCAACAACCTTGTCAACGAGACAATGCGTGAAAAGGTCCACCTCGACCGGCTTCTCGCTACCCTCCCGCTGTGCCTTCACAACCGCCTCCTCCGCCTTCTTCTGCGCCCTCCTAAACAAGCCCGTCACAAACTTGAGCGGATACAACGTGTTGCCCGGAACGAAGAGGCCCCTCTTCGTTTCGGCGCCGTACTGCTCGCGCGCTTCGGCGGAGGAGACCCATCGGACTGTGGAGGTGTCTTGACCTGCTTTGGCGGCGAGAGCGAGGGAGGATTCGATGGCGGCTATTTCGGCGGGGCTGTCGAACATGGCGAGCTGGGAGAGGTGACCGCAGAAAGGGCACAGATACGGAAGTTCGACAAAGGAGAAAGTGGAAAGGGGGCGAAAAAGCGGAGCCCAGTCAGTCACTGCCCACGCAAAGAACCGCCCAAATGCACAAAGCGACATACCGTCCCCGCATCCTTCCTCAAATCCACCCACTCGCTCCACCCCTCGCTCTCGCAAGTCTCGACAACCCACTTGATCGCCCCTTCCTCGAGCCTGATCGCGCGACGGGCTTCGTCGATGCCGTGAGCGGAAGAGATGTCGGCGAAGTGGGCGATCGGGTAGGCGGTTAGGTGGCCGCCGTTGCGACCTGTTGCGTGTGAGTGAGGGAGAGATGGTGAGAGGGGAGGATTACAGTCCCACAGGGTGAACGTGGAGGGCGACGGAAAGACCGGAAACAGCGGAAGGGACAGTGCAAGAGTGAGGAAGGCGAAGGAGACAAGGACAAGGCAAGCACGAAGGTCGGAGTTGACGATGCGGTTGGTCGGGAAGGGCGGGGTTGCAAGTGGATCGAGGATATGAGGCAGTGCGGGACAGTCCGTCAGCTCTCCGAGTGTAGCATCTGATGACCGGGCTTGCGAAGAGCCGAATCCTCCTGGACCACGAGGACGACGAAAACTGAATACGCACCGGTCGCTCCCGAGCAGAACGTCCTCGCCTCCAGCACAACCACCTTCACCGTCCTGCCCTCGAACCGCCCGCCCTCGTCTCCCGTAAGCAGCCTCACAAGCTCGTCGACGAAACACGTCCCGGTCAATCCGCTCCCGATGACGACCACGTCCGCCTCCTGCGGCAGCTCGGCGTCCATCCCTGCATGTGTCAAGACGGACGACCAGTTCTGGAGCCAGTACGAGGGGAGCGGGTCGGGGTGGGGAGGTGGAGAGGGAGGGAAGTGATTCGAGTCGGAGGGCCAGCCGTGCGTTTGAAGAGGCGAGATGGGCGAGTCCATCGTGACCGGCTGTTGCAGCAGCTCTTTGACCGTAGCAAGCAGAGAGAGAGAGAGAGCGGCCGCAAGATAAGCGAGCGATGAGTAAGACGAGTCGTCCCGCGTGGGCCAGCGGCGTCCGGCCGACAATAGGAGGTCGTGCGAGCCCTCGCGTCTCGTAGCTGTGGAAGCAGTGCAACAGCTGTGCCTCTGCGTCCAGAGTCGACTGGCTGGGCGGGGAGCTCAGCGAGAGTAGCGGGGTGAGCGAAGTCGAGGTGCGGGTTCGCAGTCGCCTCGTCGCGCAAGCGGTTCGCTCTTCCGCTCAAGTGCGCACGAGCAGTTGCGAGAATCCAGTGAGCACGCCAGCCTGGCCCCAGAGCGAGCGAGAGGTGGTGAGCGAGAGTCGACCGTCGCCTGCGAGCTCGAGGCTGGGTTTCGCTTCGTCTTCGCGCCCTCTCGTAAGCTCGCGTCTGGTCTGGCTGCTCGATTGCACGTACACGCACTACACCACTCGCCCAGTCGACCCACACCACCCACGCATCCGGCGAGTCGACGAGCGAGGCGGACGGACGAGGGCAAACTCTGCCCGTCGAGGCAGCAGGCGGAATGGCACAGGCGAGGGCAGGGCGTGGTTGTGAAGGGCAGCATCGTTGGACTGGAGTGGATTGAGCGCGGACTGGACCCGCTGGACGAGCACAGGTGACCCGCCGCCAGCTCGAGGACTTGCGCGCTGACCACTTTGCCCTTTTCCCGCCCCGCCCGTCTCGTGCGCACACAGTCAAGGTGCGTTTCCAGTGATCCTCTAGGGGAAATGCTGTCGGAATGCTGACTTTCTGCGTCGTTGTCCCGCCCCGATTCGCCTTGTTGCCGTCCCGCCTCGCCTCACCTTCACCTCCTCACACCGCCTCCCGCATCCATCTCTCGCCCTCGCCCGTACGAACGCGCCATCCGACTGCAGATGTCGGCAACCCAGTCTGTCCAGACCTTCGGCAAGAAGAAGACCGCCACTGCTGTCGCTTTGGCCAAGGTGAGATGTCGGTCCTCGCGCGGCGGTTCCGGCGGACGGGAAATGGCGGAAGATGCGGGAGCGAATCGCGGTCGAGCAAGGGTCAGCGTAGCTGACGAGGTTTGGCGGCATGCAGGAGGGCAAGGGTCTCATCAAGATCAACGGTGTCCCCCTCTCGCTCTACGGCACCCCCGTCCTCCGCGGCAAGGTCTACGAGCCCGTCCTCATCCTCCAGAGCTTCGTCTCGTCGACGACGTCGCTCCCCTCGCCCCTCTCGCGCATGGACATCCGCCTCCGCGTCTCGGGTGGTGGACACACCTCGCAGCTGTACGCCCTCCGCCAGGCTATCGCCAAGGCGGTCGTCGCGTACGTCGCCAAGTACGAGGACGCTGCCTCGGCGCTCGAGATCCGCAAGGCTCTCGTCGCCTACGACCGTTCCCTCTTGGTCGCCGACCCCCGTCGCTGCGAGCCCAAGAAGTTCGGTGGACGGTACGTTCACTCCTCTTTCTCTGCCCATCAGAACAGTTTCGCTGACTTGTCCTCATGTGTCCGCTCGCAGTGGTGCCCGCGCACGCTTCCAGAAGTCGTGCGTACTCGGTCCTCTCTCTGTTCAGCTACTTTCCATTCGCTCCGTTTCTCACGCGCACTTCCGCCACGCAGCTACCGTTAATCTCGCTCACACGCGCCATCACCTCCATCCTCTCGACTACCACCCAACGCCCTTTTTGTACACGGTTGCGCGCGGGTCTTCGGGCGGAGACGAGGAGATTGGTTGGGTTGGGTCGACGGACGTAGGATTGGAGGCTGGAGGCGTGAAACGAGTGGATTGGCTGGGAAATCTCTGCGCGAACTGGGGAAGGAGAGGCTGTCGGGTTGCTGCGTTTGGGCAGGACGCGGAGCGAAGGGCGATGGGATTGAGCGGTTCGCGACGGTGCTGGTCTTCAGAGCCCTCCGACGGTGGAGTATCGCGATCGGCCCACAGGTCTGGAGACGACGCCGGCCACGCAGGAGACGGCAGGAGCGGATGGGATGGGATGAGGATGGCAGATGGATAGAGACGACTCGCTGCTCCTGCTTCTCGCTCTCGCGCTGTACGCTTCTCAGCTACGCCCCCTGACGGTCCCGCTTAACGACCTCGACTGCGTCGTCACGACTCGACTCATCCTCAAGCAGTCTCGGCAACGCTTTGAAGGCTTCCTCTCTTCTCTCCGGCGGCGCTCTTGCGGTTTGGCTTTCGCTGCGCCTTCCAGGTCGTCTTGGGTGGCAGGACTGACGATGCACGCAGATCTTCGTCGCTTCAAGACCAAGAGGGGCGTCCATCAAACATCGGTTTTCGGCTCAACGCGAGCAGGACAAGGACAACTTTGACGCGCTACAGGGAAAGGGCCGTACCGGAGGGGACACACGCGCGCGACGACCTCTTGAGAGGAGTGAAATCTGGATTGGCTCGAAGGATAGGATGAGTGAGCGAACTCACCTCTTCGCAGCTTGTTCTTGTCCCGTCTCGCTCCTCCCTCCTTGGCTCCATCCCGCGGCTTGCGACTTACTGCCTGTCCTGCAACGCTGTGCGAAGACCTCCAGCGCTCACGACCTCGCCGCAACATCCGCCGACAGGAGTCTCACCCCTCCGCGCACGACCTCCTCTTCCTCGTCTCCCTCTTCCACGCCTCGCATCCGCTACAAACCGCTTCAGAGCTGTCGCGAAGGGCTAGCTAGCCTCCTTGAGATCGCTCACAGCCCGCCGCGACCCGCTCCGACGGCGCGCACCGCCTGTGGCGTCCTCCCTGGACCTCCTCGCACATCCCGCCTGCGATGAGCTCGACATCCGAGTGGACGCCGTCGCCGTCACCGCCTCGTGAGTCGTTCCCTCACCGAGAGGAGCGCAGCACGCAACTGACTGGACCTCACCGCTTCGCCAGCCCAACCCGCCGAAACGTCCGCTCGCCCTTCCAGCTCGCCCGAATCGTCTCCACCCGCTCCGACGTCCAAGTCGAAGCCGAAGGAGTACAGGCGGGGCAAGTGGACGGACGAAGAGTCGGCCGAAGTCCTCTTCATCGGCGACCGCTACCTCAAATCGACTTCGAAGACTTCGGCGGGAAAAGTCGAGGATTGGGAGGGACTGAGGGACAAGTTCAAGACGCATGCGAAGAACAGGAGCGTCGCTGCGCTGAGGGGCAAGTACCTGGCGTTGGTCAAGAAGCGCGCGAAGGACAAGGAAAAGGCGGCGGAAGGGAAATCGCCTGAGCACGACGAAGGTGCGTTCGCGAGCTCCTCCCATCCTGCCTCGTACTGATCGCGTTCAAGTTTCACAGACATCGTCATCGTGGAGCCGAAGCGTGCGCCCGCGCCACCTCAAGCTCCGTCGCAACGTTAGACGCCTTCCTCGTCAGCTTGCGAAGGTCAACCCGTTCGCTGACTTGCTGCCTTCCAGCCGCCCCTTTCAGCCCGCGGTCCCAGTCCATCATCGACCATGGCACTGCTGCCGCCGTCGCCTATGTCACCGGCAACCATGCCGACCCGTTCCAGCTCGTTCCTTCTCCCTGGACCGTCGCCGAAGATGCAGCACTCCTTGCCACACTTGCGACAATGCCTCTCGGACCGGTGCGCTGGCCGGCGGTCCACACGATGGTGCAGAAGACCTATGAGCAGGCCGAACAGCGGCAGTTCTTGCGGACGCAGCAGGAGGTGCAGGTCCGTTGGGACTCGAGGTGGAGCAAGCAGGCGTTCTGGGCGAACGGTGCGTCCTTTCGCCGCCGCAACGAAGACTGCGCACGCTGACCTGGTCGTCCTGCAAGTGCCTCGCTCTCTCGCCGCGCCCATTAATCTCATCACCCAGCAACTCGGGCAGGGGATCCTCCAGTTCCTTACCACCTCAGACGCTGCCTTCGCTCGCAACATCGTCGAGAGCATCGGAGGCGCCGCCCTCACGCCCGTCAAGCCCGCTGTCGTCCCGCCGCAACACAGCCATACTCCTGCGCAGGCGGGACCTTCGCACTTCACGCAGCAGCCTGCCTCGACGTCCTTCCGCCGTCCATCCGTCTCACTCCCGTCCGCTCCAAACGTCATGGCTCACATGCAAGGATCCGCCGCTTCGCCCACGCCCGTGGGCCCAGCCCGTACTCCCTCCTCACCCCTCGACGACGCCTCGACGCAGGTGCAGCGTCCTGTTAGCACCGGCACGATTCCTCAGCAACTCTCCTCTCCGCCAGCGAGCGCAAGCCACCTGACGCCAGGTCGTGCCGCGCCTCCTTTCCCGTACCGTCCTTCGCCAACTCTCGCTACATCCAGCATCTCTCAGCCTCGTAGCGCACCGGTCTCCTCGTCCAACGAACAAGGACTGTCGTTCATGCAGGCTGAAGACGGTGAAGGTCTCGGCTATGCTTCGCCAGGCTCCACGGTCGCCTTGGGACAAGCTGCAGCGGGCGCGACTCAGGCGTACGAGGGAGGTGCAGGCGATGTGCGTCGCCCAGAGGAGGAAGCAGGAGACGAGCCAGCACGGAAGAGGACGAGAACGGCGTGAGCGGTAGGCGGATGAGCTGGAGCTGGTGCATTTGCTTGTCGGAGTCTCGCTTGTTGGCATAGTCTAGGCTCTTGCAAATCTTGTTCCCATACCCTCTATACCCAAGTCTACGAGATACACTACCGCAGCTTGACCACCTTGACCTTGACTGCCTTTCTCGCAAACTCCCTCCAGCGTCCTGCAGCCACAGCGCGCGAGTCGAAGCCGTCGAAAGCTGTCGCCTGGTACAGCACCTCAACGTCTCCTCCCTTGACCTCATCCTGCGACTCCGTCGCGTCCACGAGGGCATAGTCGAAGCGGCCGCCCGAGACGAGGCGGTCGAGAGTCGAGTACGCTAGGTCCTCGCTCCGGTCGAATTGGACTGGCGGAGGCGTCCAGGATGATCGAGAGAGGTACCATGCCTTGTCATCCTTGACTCGCGTTGCGTGCGCCGAGTCGAGGAGGACGAAGTTGCTGGCGCCCGACATCTTCGCTTCGATGCCAACATGCACCTGCTTTGGCCGTCCGGAAACGTCGGTCGGCGAGGCGTTCTCGGCGAGGTAGTTGTTGAGGAAGGTGACCGCCGAGTAGCCGGGGTAGTTGGCGGATGAGGCGAGGAGACCGAGGCCGGTGAGGAGGAGATTAACCGCGACGATGGTGAGCAAGAGGCCGCGGCGGAGTCGTGGGGAAGCGGTACTGCGAGAGGAACGTCAGGTATAGTACAAGCAGGCGCGCTAGCTAACGCACAGAGATCCGATGGCGACGATTCCTGCAGCAGCACCGACCGTGAAAGCCGGAACAACGTAGACGACGAAGCGCCATTCCTTGTGCTTGAGCACGCTGAGGATCGCGACATAGGCGAAACAAGGGAAGAGGAGCCGGCGAGTTCTGCGGTCGGCGAGGAGGGAGAAGACGGCGGGCAGGAGCGAGAGGTGGAGGAGTTTCGGGAGGGCCGAGGTGAAGTAGTAGAGAGGCGGCGAGATCTGCAGAACCGGAGGAGATCAGTCGGGGTGCTGGTCGACGTGAGGTCAGGTCTGCTTACACCCCATTCCGCAGAACGGCCCTGCAGTACGTTGAAGAGGAAGGCCTGCCCTTCGGGCCAGAGCCACGTCTCGCTCCGCCAGAAGTAGCTGTCCACCAGCACGCTCAGGGCTGTGCAGGAAGAACTGGTCAGCAAGCGCGAATACTCGAGTGCCTCGCCAGTACGCACCCAAACTTCCGGCCGCAGCCACCAAACCCGTCGCGATCAGCTGTCCCGGTCCAACGAGACGCCGCGCCAGGTGCTCAAGGGCGAAAGGCGCAATGAGAGCTACAAGCTCGAGTCGCATGATGACTGCGGCGAAGGTGAGGATGGAGAATGCGCCGAGAATGTGCGTGCGGGTGGAGAAGCGAGGTTTGCTGACGGACGAGAGAACGGGCGGGGTGATGAGGAGGGCGAGGGCAATTTGGACTGCTCGGTATGTCTGTCAGTCAAGTATCCTGCGGCTTTCAGCGAAGAGCAATCCGTCGCACCAAGGGGAAAGGCGAGCATGTTGGGCAGTGTCCGGCCAGCCCAAAAGGGGACGTGGAACTGCGTCGCCGCCAACAGGAGGAAGTACTTCGCCACCTTTGCACCATACGCTGCCCGTACTCGGCGCGAAAAGAAGGCGAGTGCGAGTGCGTTCACCAGGGCAAGTGTGAGGCGTACTGCGACGAGGCAGAGGTCAGCGACACAAGCTCAGCCCGAGCTGGAACGCGCACGTACCGATAAGCTGAGCATCATCGCCTGTCCTGACGAGCTCCAACTGGCTTGCGAGGCGGAGGGGAAGTGCCGAAAGTCCAGCGAGAGCGAGTGGGCCGATTGTTGAACGAGGAACGGCGCCGGTGAACTCGAGATGGTCGTACTGTGCGCAGAAAGAGTCAGCAGGGCCAGGGTAGCAGACTGGAGTTCCGACGCACCCGCTCGAGGCCACTCGCCTCTACACCGTTCACGAGAACATCCCGGACGAAGTGCAGCGTGAAGGACTCCTCGACCTTCGTTGGCGGGACGAGCAGGACGTGGGCAGCAAAGACGAGTACCAGGAGCACCTCGTGCCCTCGCGGAGCTATCCGCATCGAGTGTACGTGTGAGGAGAAGGGCAAAGAAGCGGACTCGAGGCGCGAGCGAGGCCAACACAAACCAAAGCGCTTCCTGTCCTGCTTGCAGCTCTCTGACGAGTCGAACAGAAGCTTGCATTGACTCACGAGGAGACGCGAAGAAGAGGCAAAGCCAAGCGGGCGTTTCAATCCTCGATGTCGTCGTCTGGATCGTACAGAAGCGGCTCCCGCTCGCCCTGCATAACCTCATGCGTATCCTCCGCATCCTCCTCGTCAAGTTCTTCCAGAACCCTCGAGCGTGCATTCTTCCCGCTGGCGCCGCCCGACGTCCGCGACGGCGGCGCGCTCGTGTCGACCAGAACTTCTCCGTCGACCTCCTCTAGCGCTCCCTCCTTCTCCCCCAGCGCACCGCCGGTTACGATCGGTTGTGCGGCTTCGGTGAGAGGCGGGAATGTGGCGAGATCGAGAAGGAAAGGGTTCGCGTCTGGATTGGCGGAAGCAGTAAGTCAGCAAACCACGCGCAGACCCCGCCTGTTTGAGCGTTAATACGCACCTTTTGGCTTGATGACGCCCATCCACGGCACGCGCTCCGCCACGACCGACCGCTTCTCCTCCCTCCACAAACCCTCTTTGCCTCCGATCTCGTCCAAGCCTTCCTCGTTCTGCCTTCGCAGCTTGAGCGTCTCCCACAGTTCCGACTTGCGCAGAACTTGCTTGCGGCGAGGGACGGGAGACGGCAGGTTGAGCAGCGTCGAGCGGACGGAGACTTGGAAGGCATAGAGTGACGTGAGCGGAAGCCGGCGGTACGCCTGCAGAAGACAGCATCAGCACGCCTGGAGATCAATTGAGCGACTGGCCGGACTCGTACCTCCTCGCCTTCGCCCTGCAGGGTCATTAACGCGTCCGACTCGCTCAGAGCGTCCATGATCCCGCTGCACTCCTCGATCTCGTTCGTGAAAGGCGGATAGTTGTGGTGCAGATACGAGAGAAAGACGTCGGTGTCAAGCGGAGCTTCGGCGAACAGTACCTGCGAAAGAGCCAGTCAGCATGAGTCTAGCAGCGGGAAGGATGGGCGACGCACGTCGGGATCAACCTTGCTCGGTTCCCTCGTCCACTGCTTCCGCAAGTGCTTTGGCAGCTTGTCGGACTGTCTTTCCTGTAAGATGCCGGTCCGCCCAAGATCCTTCTTGTCGTCTTCGGCGGATTGACCCCATCCTGCGCGAAGGCAGAGTGAGCGAAGTCGTCGATGTCGTGCGATGGATCTGGCTTACGCTTGTTGTATAGGACTTTACCGAGAGCGTGGAAGATGAAGAGGGAAGACTCGCGCGCGGTGACGAACTGCAGTCTGTAGGGACAGTGTAGGTGAGCCCGATACGTGGACCTTGAGTCAGTGGCGCGAATACGCACAGCTGCTTGACCTTCTCCTTCCCACCGTACGACGTCGAGCTATCCGCATCCTCGCCGCCGCTGACGTCGCCACGCTTCCGCTTCTTCCCCTTCTTCACACCCTTCTTCGCCTTGCCGCCCTTCGCACCAGCGCCAAAGCTCGTCGCGTCTCCCGTTCCCTCCGTCGTCAAGAACTGCAAGCTCATGACCGCCGATCGAATATCGCCGGACGAGTGTGCGATGAGGAGGTCGAGAGTGGCTTGTGAGGGTCGAGCGGCTGTGAGAGGTGGATTTGGCGAGGAGTATGCGCGGTCGAGCATGCGGACGAGCGCTTTGCGCATGATGGTCGGCGCGATGGGGTTGAAGCTGTGAGTCGGAAGCGTAGGACACGGTTAGTCTTGTGCGCACAGTTGACACCAGTCCCGAAGAGGGCTAGAGAGCGTGACGCACGAGATCTCGCGGCAGGCCGGGTGGTTGAGGATCTCGATACCAAGGACGCTCCTTGCATCGAGACTCTCCCTTCGACGGCCGTTCCCGTTGAGCCAACCTGCTCCGCCGCCATCATCGTCGCCCGGTCGAGCCATCGCTTCACTGATAATGACGACGAGAGGCGAAGTGACACGCGGCGATGTCAGATATTGGTTGATGGCTGAGCGGAGGGCGAGCTTGGTCGGGTAGTGCGAGACGTTGGGCAGATCTTCGAGGAGGATGAGGCGCCGAGACGGTGAGCTGCCATCTTCGACTTTGGCCGAGGGGGTTGCGCTCGACGTTGAAGATGACGGGTCGGAGGGATCAGGCCCAAAGTCGAGAGCCGACGCCATGCCTGCTCGAGCGAGGAAGGAGGAGAAGCGGTGGACGAGCGATTCCCGAGCTACGCTTTAAGAACGTCAGCCGGTCCACACTGACTGATGACGAGGGAATAGAACGCACCGTCATCGTTGGCGTAGTCTACGTTCGTTCCCTCCTTCCATTCGACAATCTCGGCGCCCATCTCGTTCGCAAGCGCCTTGACGGTCGCAGTCTTGCCAGCCCCGGCAGGCCCCGAGAGGACGAGCACGCGACGGTACTTGGCGAGTTTCGGGTTCGGATCGGACGATGTGAGGGTGAAGGATTCGGTGAGCCACTTTTCGACGTCGGTAATCTTGCGTGCATGAATTGACAAGTCGTCCTGGGGACGCAATGTGTCAGCGGATGGAAGAGAGAGCCTTGGAAGGCACGTACGCGATCCCGTGGTGCATACTTGTCCACCCACAGGTCAAGGACGCCCTCCTCGTCTGTCGCCTCCTCCATCTCGACCGCTTTCCCCTTCCCCTTCCCGTTCGCCGCGGGCGCCCTGCCTTTCTTCGATACCCGAGGGGATGAAGCAGGGCTTGACGATGTGCCAACCTCGATTTCCTCGTCGTCTGCAGCTGCAAAGAGGGACGAGAGAGAACCCCCACATGAGGAGGTCAGCTTGGGTCAGGCAAAGCACAACGGAGCTGCAACGCACTCAGATCCAGTACAGCCGACTTCTTAGCCGCCCGCTTGCCTTCCCCGTCCGCTTTCCGCTTCTTCTTCGGCAGCGCCGGCTGCTTGAACTCCTCCTCGCTCAGGACGTCGTCCGCCCCATTCTCGCCCTTCGACTTGCCCGGCTTGCGCTGTGTAGGCGGCTTCGATGACTTTGAAGACGATGCCGCAGAGGAACCGAGCTGCGAGGGCAGGAAGGACGAGATGGAGAACTGCTTGAGCTGCTCGAGTTGAGGGAGAGCAAGTCAGCTTCGACGCTGCGGTGAGATGAGCAGCGCGACGCACCGGTTTCTGAGAACCCTGTGAGCTACCAGAAGCAGCCGGCATCAAGCGGGAAGCAAAGCGGTCAAGCAGGATGAGGTCAAGAAGGGAGAGGGAGTCGCGAGGAGAAGTCAATCTGGCAAGGCTCGCCTTTCTTGCCTGGAACGCGTCCTGGGGTATCCAACGATTGCAGAATGCGAGGGTACGGCATCCGATCACAGCATCTTTCCCTGAGCCGACGCGAAGCCCAATCCAGCCTTCGGTCCCGATCCTCCCTCCTTCAGCCGACGACTGCCGGAGTAGACGAAGCTGTCGACGAGGCCTGCGACGGTGAGGATACCGCCGATAATGGCGAGCGTCGACGTGATGAAGTGGGCGAAGGACTGGCGGTCTTCGCGGTGGATGACCTGGAGCGGGCTGATCTCGTAGTTGAAGAAGAGCCTGCGAGCAGCGGCGGAGTCAGCCTTCGCAAATTATACCCAAGCGTAGAGCCTCCTGCGACTCGAGCACGCCTCAGCTGCAGAAGAGGGAGCGTACCCAGGAACGCCCGCGTAGCCGTGCATCGTCTGATGTCCGCCCTGCTTCTCGTTCGCCTTGTTGTTGGTCACTGTCGAGGCAGAACTGTCAGCAAGATGCGTCACCGTAATTTGTGAGAGAAACGGAGACGCACAGTCCCGCTCGTACTGCGTCACCGAATACTGATGCGTGTTCAGCTCGCGGCCGTCGAGGAACTGGAACTTGGTCGAGACGACCTGTAGAGCGAAGCGAAGAAGGAGCGTCAGCAAGCGACCCGAGCATAACGGTAGGGGAATGAGCAGACGTACCTTGAGGAAGTACTGGAACATGCTGCGAGCGACCCCAGCGAGTCAGTCACGAGACAGCAGGGAGTGAGCCATGTCCGTCGGATCGCCAACGCCGCTCAGACGCGATAGCGACACCTGTCGAACGAGCCGACTCACTAGTTCGACTCCTCCGTATGCGCCTTGATCCCATCGAGCGGGTTAACGATCCCTAGCGCCTTCTTGACGTCCTTGGCCTTCTTCCCTCCCATCCCGACAAACTCGTCCTCGGTCTCGCTGCCGAAAGAGAACGAGTGGATCTCGTGCCCAAAGTCGTGCTTCTTGCCGCCCTGGAGGTACGGGACAAGATCGTGGATATGCTGCTGGTTCGTCTGAAAGCTCCGTCCGGGCGAGAGGTGGCTGCGAGGGATGTGTTTCAGCTTACGTACGGCCAGCAACGACGTGAAGCTGGACGCACAAGTTTCCGATAACCTTGTTGACGCGGACCTTGCCGGCGATGTTGCAGCCCTCATCCGCCTGGTCCTTGATCTTCTGCGTCCAGCCCTCAGATACACACTGCAAGTGGGCAAGGGCACACCCCAGGTCAGCAAGCCGCCAGACGCGCAGGCCTGAATGCCCGAGCTTGACGCCGACTCACCTGCTCGACCGAGTCGGGGTTGACGAAGCTCCATCCTCGCCGTACGTACGACTCGCGAACCTCGTCGCAAGTGTTGCAGCAGCCGGGATTGGGGCCGTCGGTAGGTGGTGTGCCGCCATAGCAGGTACCGCCTGTACGCGCCATCTCGAGTTCAGCGCACTTCCTTCTGCCCACGTTCGAAGGAGACGCAGATCAGCACGGAGCGTACAGTATCCCTCTGCCTTTTGCCGCGCAACCCGCTCAGCGTCGCCCGTCAGCTCCTTCCCCTTGATCGCCTCCTCGACGAACGTTCCAGTCGGCGCAATGCGCGTCTTGAAGAGGTCGTGGTGGATGTCTGTGCGGGACTGCATCAGCACTGGAAGCGGAAGGCGCATGGGAGGATGGAGACGGACCATTCTGGTGCTCGCCCGAGATGTCCATGATGTCGACGCTCAAGACTGTTCCGCGAAGCGCATCGTTAGCTCGTGCTTCGATAGAAGTAGAGGAAGTAGGGCGCACGGTAGCACGGCACGCGAGGAAAGCTGATGTTCATATTGACGACGAGCTTCTCCCCTCGTGACCGGTCGACAACGATAGAGGGGTCCTGCGAGCTCAATCGTCAGTCCTGTCGACTAGATCGACGCCTCACTAAGCCTCAATTTGCTGTAGTGTGCGACGCAGAGGAACCGAGAACTGACCATGTGCACTCGTCGATAATCGACAAACTCGTACAGCGTCAAGACGAGAATCAACGACAGGGATACCAGCGTCACTGTGCGCGTCAAAATGGTCAGCGCGGGCTTCAGAGAGTCACGGAGAGCGCAAGGACCGAGACGCACATGCTCCGCCGAAACCCGTCTTGATCTTGACGTCCTCCATCGTCTGTGGAACGCGTACGAGGGTATCAGCTCCCCTGTTCCAGACCCTCCCAGCCGCGACCACTCCTCCTGCGTCCTGCCCGCGGCATGATCAGGAGCGGAGGGCGAACACCCCACAAACGCACCTTTCCAAACGCATCCACCCCCCTGACCGTGAATCTCCGGCCCATCTTGCTACTGCTGGAGCCTGTCGTGCGCTACGGGAGGTCGTCGCGCCCGCCGGAGTTGAGGCGGGTGGGGTTGGACTGATGAGGAGACGCGAGGGTTGAGGAGGAGGGGAGGGCGGATCTGGGGCGAAGAGGCGCTGCTGATCCGGGTAGAGCGACGATGCAGGAGCCTAGCAAGCAGAGCAGGGAGTCCAAGCACGAGAAGTCAAAGTGCGGTCGCCGGACAACCTCCTCCTCGCGAAGTGCCGCGACAGGCGGTCCAGTCTGCTCTTCCTCTCTAGCAACCGTGACGAGCCCTACACGAGACGACGAGAAACAGAGTTTCCTTCGCCCACCTTCGACCGAAGTGATACAAATCTCGAAACGAGGGATAAAGAGGTGAAGGAGGACGACGGACGAGGAGGAGAGGACTGCCAGAAATAACGACCAAGAACCACAAACGAAAACATCGAGAGAGGGGGTTTCATAAACAAGGAGTGGGAGAGGGGCGAGGGAACAACCTGTGCATGATAAAGAGGCGAGAAGAGAGGAGAGTTTGACAGTTGAGGGTGGGGCTGTTGAGGCGCCTCGGGGGGATTTTTGGGGTTTGGGGGTATACGGTAAGCACACGAGAAACTGTGCTTCAACAGAGCGTCAGAGCTAGAGCGGGAACAGCCAGAGAAAGGGGACGCACACTTTTTGCTCCGCTCCGCTCCGCCTACTTGACCTCCTTGAGATCATCATCTCCCGTCAACGCCTTGGGCGTGATCCCCTCCTCCGCCAACACGTTCCTCGGTCCGCGATAAATCTTCCTCCCAATACCGAGGTAGCACAGCGTCGCGATAAATACGACGCCGAGGGTGACGACGGACGCGTAGTTCATGTTTGTCGGGATGACGGGGCGGATGGTAGGGAGTGCGAGGATGACGACGACTGTGCTGACCCATGCGACGCTAACGATACGGATGGCCCAACCGAGGAAGCCGTCGCCCATCGTGAACGGACCTGCGGGACGCAAGCCGGTTCAGCCTCGATTCTCTGCGCCTTGGAGCGAGACTCGGACGTACCAGGCTTGAACATGACCTCCGGGTGGTTCTGGTAGATCATGCGCGCGACGATGGGGATAATGTATGACGTGTCTGTGCGCAGCGAGTGTGAGTTCGTTTGACGCAGGGAAAAGACTGGCGAACGCACCCATAGCCATCGCAGCGAGCGCAAAGATAGCGTTAACCGCAACGTAAGACGCAAACACCAGAAGACCCATCAACGCTATCCCCCCAACACCGCAAAGTCAGCTTCCCATCCCATCTCTGCTGCGGAGAAATGTGGACCCGAACGCACCGGAGATGAACAAGACGAGCCAGACTGCATTGATCGGAATCTGGTTGCGCGCGAGTTTGTGGAAGAAGCCGCGGTCGGGCATGCCTTTGTCGCGGGAGAAAGCGTAGAAGGAGCGGGCGTTGGCATGCGTGGCGGTTGCGACGACCTGCACCAACACTTCGTCAGCAAGCTTCAACCGAGGAAAGGAAGGAGGAGGGGGACGCACCTGGAAGGCGATGAGGCAGATGAAAGCCCAAAGGACGTAGAACAACTTCTCGGGCACATTCCTCCACAGAATCTCGGCCGGCGCGTACCCTGACACACCCAACTCTCCCAAATCCGACAAGTTCCCCGAGCAAAGCACGAAGACGATGTTATAGATCCACCCCGCGACGCCCGTTCCAAGTACGGCGATCCAGATGGCTGCGGGTGCGGCGACGGACGCGCGCTTGACTTCCTCCGAGATGTGGCACGTCGCGTCGTAGTCGGTCATGGTCCATTGGACGGAGAGCAGGCCGAGGAGGAAGGTGAGGCCTTGAGAACTCCAGCCTGAACCGTTGATATTGTGCGTAAAGGTGTACGAGGCCTGCGGGCCGAGGAGAGTAAGCTGCGAGGGAGGTAGACGAGCTGGTGGAGACGCACTGAGTTCTTCTCCTTGGTGCAGACGAGAAGCGAGATGACGACCGCAATGACGGTTCCAATATTGAAGAAGACGAAAGTGCGGGTCATACTCGCGAGCATCCTCGTGCCGAAGGACTGTTCACCCCAATTGAATCAGCACAAGCTTGTAAGGGGAGGGCGGAGACGCACGTTGAGGATCCCGTGGATGATGAGCAAGCCGAGGAAGAGGAGGTAAGTCTGCCATTCGTTGGCGACAAAGTTTCCTCCAGTCGAGAGCGAGACCTGCGCGCTTCCATCGCGTCAGCCTTCGAGAGAAAGGAGAAGCAGAGGAGGGAGCGACGCACAGCAGCGAAGATCATCTGCGCCAATCCAAACTCCGTGGATGCAACACCGGCAACCTGGCCGAGCAAGTTGAGCCTGTCGCATCCTCGCGTCAGCTTCCGTGGACGGCATTGAAAGGGGGGAGAGAGACGCACCATCCGACGGACCAGCCCATAAAGGCGCGTTGCCGCTTCGGGACGAGGTAGACGGAGGCCGAGTAGAGACCGCCGTTCGTAGGGTAGGCCTGCGTGCGTGAGCGGTCAGAGTGGGGGTTAGGAGGAAAGGGGTGACGATGCTAGGCGCACCGAGACGAGTTCTGCGCGCGAGGAAGGCGTTAGCGAGAGCGGAGGGGGTAGGAAGGAAGAGCGGACGCACCAGCGATCGAGGTTCCCAGGCAGAAGTTGAAGCAAGCGCCCTGCGTGCGTTCCCTCATCAGCTGCTGGAACACAGAAGAAGCTGCGGTAGGCGAAGCAACGCACGATGAACCAGCACCAGACGACACTCGCGGGCCCGCCGAGGGTGAAGGGGGTGTTGAAGGTGGTGACTACCGAGGAGGCGACACTGTGCGAGTGAGCGCATGTCAATCGGACGTCCAGCTCTCGAGAATGCCGCCCACTGAAGAGGATCGCCGGAACGGAGCTTCTTCCTCGACACCGGACATCGAGAGGTGGAAGCGAGAACTCACCCCATGATACTCATTGCGAACGAGATGGTCTGCGAGCCGCTACGAGTCCACAGTCAGCTCGCATCCCTTGCACGCGGAAGACTGCCCGGCAGCGATGGTGCGGACGACCCGAAGCAGCAACCTCCTCGTCCTGCTCCACGAAAGCCCCCGGACGCACACTGAGGTTTGTAAACTCTCGCCTGAACTCCTGCTTGTACCCTAGCCGTGCCAAGATGGCCTCATCTGAGCCGGCGGTGCTGCTCGAGTCGCCATCGCCCGGGTGGACGCCGTTTGTCGCGGGCGGCGACGAGGTGGTGAAGGTTGGGTGGGGCGAGTCTTTGAGCTCGCTGTCCGAGATGGAGGACGGCATGGGTGGTTCGCTCAGTGCGAGTGAGTGGGTGAGAGCGAGTGAGGGTGTGTGCTTGGCGCTGCTCGTCGTTCGAGTTGGCCGGGGTGTTGAGCGGGGTGTTGGAGCGGGTGTGCTGTCGGTGCTCGCTGGGTGAGTTGGCGCGTTGGCGAGGGTGAGCGTGTCCAGTTGCGCCGTACGAACGAAAGCGGGGTTGCGTACGAGCGAGTGCGGAGCGAGCGAGCGAGAAAAACAGCAACCCTCGTCCGTCGGGCACATCGCCGCAACGATTTCACATCGACCTCGTTCTATCTGCCAGCGAGCTCTGCGTGCCACATTCGAGGAGCCAGTCAGAGAGAACGGATCTGCACAGTCGGGACGACTCTCGACACCGGACAGAGCTCGATCCAGTCCGACAGACGATCGAAGCGAAGGGTGCAATGCAGTCGTGCCAGTACGCTGTTGCATGCGGCACGACGAGATTGGTACATACAACATGGCGGGAAGGGCTGCGAGGCGGTAAGGAGGGTGAGAGCCAGTCGAGGCAAAGGAAAGGGGACTCTGGTTCGGAAGCAACTCACCTTCGACCCGCTCTTCTCGCGTCTACTCCGCCCTCCTCCTCCTTCTGTCTCCCTCTTCCTCCAAGCAGACCCCGTCAAACCGCTAAACCATCCTCGATCCAGCCTCCTTCTCCCCCTCCTTCTCCTTCCCCCCAAACCTCACCGGATGCTCCTTGAAGTACTCGAACGGCGTATGCGTATCCGGCTTCACGCCGTGCACCTCTCCTTCTGCCGCAGGAGTTGGAGCGGGGGCAGGACCAGCGATTGGGACGCCGGTGGAGGAGTACGAGACGTAGCGTCTTTCGGAGGGGGTGAGGGTGAAGAATGAGGCGGTGTGTTGGTCTACCCATCTTCGGACCTGCACCGCGTCGAGTCTCGAATTGGTCAGCGAGTACTGTGAGGCATCGAGGCGAGGGAAGGAGGGGGCGAACAGGCATGAAGCAGTGCTCCTGCTCTCCATAGTCATAAAACAGCACGCCATACGCCGCGATTCCTGCACCCACTCAGCCCCGATCAGCTCCCCTTCCCACACACACACTAGAGCCGAGACGCACCGGCTGAAAGCGCGAAAGTAGCGATCTGGCCTGCGCGGGAGAGCGGAGTCGGGGCAAAGTGTTGGGGGAGTTGGGAGGGCGGGACGGGCGGTGGGACGATTTTGGGCGGTGGGGCGTTGCCGCGCGGTGGCATGGCGGGCGGAGTGAGTTGGAGGTTGAGGGAGAGGAGGGAGGAGAGCGAGGTTGGAGGAGACCAGCGACTCGCTCCCGCTCTGGGCTGAGTCTGAGCTTGCCAAGCTACCTTTGTACAGTAGGAGAACCGCTCTACCCATGCACGAGCCGTCTCGCGCGGTCGTCTCGCCTCTCCGCCTCCCCCTCGGTTCTCATCGCTTTTCGGGGCCAACTCCTCAGAGGCGGTACTCTGAGTCGCAGACTTGGCTCAGCAGAAACATGGAGAATGTACAAGCTGAAGGCATGGAGCGGGATCAGGCATCTCGAGCTGGAATGGCGGGAAACGGGCATCATCGTGCGTTCGAGGCTGCCCGCGCCGTCGTCCAGTGACGAAGGTGGACATTCGACTCGCCAGGAAAGGCGATGAGACGATTTCGGGTTGCGTCAGAGACGGAGGAGCCTTTCCAGCCACGAGGCAGAATGGGCAGCGAACTCGCATCTCCCCTCCAGAAGCCCTCTCCCTTCGCCCTCGTCGGTCCTTTGTTCTTACGCTTCTAATCGCCGGTCACACGTTCTAGACGACAGTACGACCGCCTCAATCTGCCGCCGAACAACGCGGACCGCCCGGAGATTCCGCTTAACTCTCCCTTTCGTCCCTCGTCCTGGCGCCTTGCGGCTCTTCTGTCTGGACTCTTGAGGCTCCGCCTTCCCCTTCCTTCGTCCAGACTCCTCGCTTCTTTCGAACGTCTCGCCTGTTGCACGGGGCGGCACCGAGCCAAGGCGGCCTTGACTTGCGACGACCACAGCCGGTGCGCTCGCCGTCTTCTCTTCGCATCTCACGCCCACGCATGTTGGCTGACACTCGCATACTGTGCAGCCTTGCTCCGTCGCGCCGTCTCTTCCCTCGCCTCGTCGCCATCCATCCCGCCGACGCGCGTCTTGCTGCGCAAATCCCGCCATGCGTCCTCACCATCTCGCCATCTCAAAGCCGGGTCCTCTCGTCCATCTCAACCGCCTTCGCCCTTCTCTTTCACTTCCTGCGCTGCCCTCCTCGCCTGCTCACCAAGGCTTTCGTCCGCCGCACCGAGCGCAGGCGCCGCGTCTTTTGTTCGGCCGAGAACCCCGCTCGTCTTGCTGCGAAGTTCTCCTTCTGCGGCGGCATCTCTTGAGGACTCAGCAGCACAACCAGGGACGCGACTTGACGACTGCTTCTCGACGCCGTGCTCGCTCACGAAGCCTTCATCTTGCTCCGACTGTCTCTCATCTTCGTCTCGCCGCTCGAGCAGCTGCGCGCGGCGGCGACTTCTACCAGATTAGACGACGCCAAGACTTTGCCGCGCAGCCTCCGCCCGGGAAGGAGCGCGGGCCGGCACAGCAGCTTTCGCAACGCGCTGTTCTCCTGCCTTCACTCGCTTCCCTCCTCCAACCGTCGCTCTTTCCTGCTTTTGCTGCTTAGCTCACTTCCTTCGCTCGCTTCAACATATCGCCAGCGCCCAACTCGCTTCAAACGCCTCAGCCGCGACAGACGCGACCTCCCTGGACTTTCCTTCGCCGCGCCTTCTCCTCCTCCCCTCACCTCCCGCCCGCGCAGCGCAAGATGGCGGAACGCAGCGGGACGAAGCGCGTTAGCCTGGTGCTGCATGCAGCCGGACTCATCTCCATCTACTCGTGCGTCCTGCTTTCTCCTCCTACCTATCTCGCCAAGACAGCGCACTGATCCCTTTCACCGAGGGGGCCGATACAGGCTCTACGGCGTTTTGCAGGAGAAGATCATGAAGAATTCGACGTACGGTACGCTCAGCCAGCCAAACTCAAGCTTCTTTGCATCGCTAACGCTCCTCCCGCTGCGCAGGCCCGAACAACGAGCATTTCACCTCTTCCTCCCTCCTCATCGTCTTCAACCGCCTCTTCTCCATCGCTGTTGGGCTGGGGATCTTGCTGTGGAAGACGAGGCAGCAGCCGGAACATGGCGGCTTCTCGCAGCGACTGCGACCTGCGAGTCCTTACTACGCGTGCGTCGTCGCTTCTCCTGACTTCCTTGAGTGGATGGGATGCTGATGTGAACTTGACGCAGATACGCGAGTGTCGCGCTGGCGAACTTTGCAAGCACGACTTGCCAGTACCAAGCTCTTCGCGTGCGTCCGGCTCTGTTCCGACCACCGTTCCTCCGCTGACCTCGATGGATCGACACAGTACGTCAGCTACACGACGCAAAGTCTCGCCAAGACGTCCAAGATGATCCCGGTTCTCGTTGTTGGCGCGTGTATCTACCGCAAGAGCTATTTGACGAGGGAATGGGTGGCTGGAGGCGTCATTCTCGCAGGGTGGGTCGCCCCGGACCATGTCCGAGTCGTTCAGCAGGTACTGACGCGAGGCGACAGCTGCGCGACGTACCTCTTCTCCTCCCCTCCTACGCCTCACGGCCACGCCGCTCCGTCCGCGACAAGCGCAGACACCTGGGACGGCCTCATCGGCGCCGCCTACCTTCTCGGATACCTCTTCTTCGACGGACTCGTCTCCTCCACGCAAGAAGCCGTCTTCGGCAAGAACCCGTCCTCGTCCGACCCCTTCGGTCCTGAATCGCCCGTCCTCGACCAGATGATCTACACGAACGTCTTTGCCGCCCTCATCGCCATCGCCGCATCTGTCGCTTCGACCGCTACCGGCTCGTTTTGGCCCAACCTCGAACTCCTCCTCACGTCGGCGAGGCTGCTCTGGGACGTCTGCGTATTCTCGGCCGCCAGCGCAGTCGGCTTGATCGTACTCCTCAACACGATCGCCTCGTTTGGCGCCCTCACCTCGTCGCTCATCATGACGATCCGGCAGTTTCTCTCGATCCTGATCAACGCCGCCGCCTTCAATAACTTTTCGAGTGTCTCGCTGGTCGGCTGGGTCGGCGTCTTCTGGTACGCTGGCTGCGTTTCTCCTCCTGCACATAGATCGTTCGCTGACAGGCTGTCTCACGCAGGGTCGCTTCGGGCATCTGGATCAAGATCAACAAGAGCTACGATCCTCCGAAGCAGCCCAAGGTCGTCTTCGACGTCGGCGACGACACCGAAGAGTCGCGCGGCATGCTTGAGAAGGAGATTGCCTCGCCAAGTGTGTCGCCCGACCCGCACGTTGCTGACGTCCGCCCGAATCGAGCGAAGCAGAGTGAGCCTCTTATTTCCCTTCTCGCGACGTAGTTCGCAACAAAACGCTGACGACGGCGTTGAGCAGTCGTCATGCAGTACATCGTGCCCCTCGCCATTCCCGTCTTCGTCGCCATCCTGCTCGCCCCGTTCTTCTCGTCTTCGAGCATCGCCTTCGACAAGCCTTTCGATCCTGCGACTTTAAGGACTGTCGGCACGGATTTGCCGGTCTCCATGGGCTCGGTCGCTGCACCCGTGACCGAGGGCCAGCTTGGCGACGACCAGCCTCTCGCGGACGACGACGGTATGGCTGGATCCGAGCTGGACGCACTCACTTCGCCGACGAACGACCTGCCCGATATAATTACCTCAGCTGACGCCGGCGATTCTGCTAACGAGCTCACCTCGCCGGAAAAGGCGGAGGAGGACGCCTTGAACTCGGCCGAAGCTTCCGAAGCAGCCGAGCTCGCCGTCGCCGTCGAAGGCGGAAGCTGGGACAGTCAGCTACACGATGCAATGAGCGCTGCATGCAAGAACGAGCTGGTCACCATCCCGTACCAGACGACGATCCGCACCGCCTTCGCTTCTTTCCCTCGCTCCGGCAACTCATACCTTCGGTCGCTCATTGAGCGCGCGACAGGGTACCAGACGAGCTCCGTCTGTATGTTTGACCTCTCCGCTCGGCTGTTGTCGTGCTGACATCGACCTTTTGCCGCAGACTGCGACCGCGGCCTCGAGCGTACCTTCCACGGCGAGTGCAATCACCGCCTAAACTTCTTCGTCAAGACGCACTTCCCCGCGCTCCCGCCTGTCATCTCGCCGCAAAACACGGCGCTCGTCAACTACTACAAGCAGTTCGACTCCGCTGTTCACGTCGTCCGCAACCCGCTCGATGCGGTCGCAAGCTGGTGGCACTTACGCCACGCTCCTCCGACAGCGGAGGGCTACCAGAACCACGAAGCGAAGGTCGAGCTACCGGGCGGCAAGTTCGGTGAGGCTCAGCGAGACGACATCATCGACCTTGCGAAGCGCTGGCGCCGACACACGACTTACTGGCAGCAGGCGCCGCTCCTCACCCATACCCTTCGCTACGAGGACTTGAAGGCGCAGCCTATCCCGAATGTGCGCACCCGTCCACTCACATCCGTTCACGCAGCGAAGCTGACAGCTTTCGTTCGCAGATGATGAGCTTGCTCTCGTTCCTCCTCCCCGATGACGACCTGCCGCCTCTCGGAGACATTGCGTGCGTCATCTACCTGATATGCGTGAGCGGAAGATGCTGACCTTCGCTCACCCAGGTGTATCGCCGAAAACCACGAGAATCTCCAGGCTTACCACTCGCGGCGTTCGTCCGACTTCGCGCAGTGGGACAGCTACGAGTCCTCACTGCGCCAAGAAATCCTCGACATCGTTCGACGACCTTTCTGCGCGTTCGGATATCGCCGCATTCTCCTTGACGCGAAGGGCGACTTGCCTGACGTCCAGGAGGCTATGGATGGGTGCGGTTTCCTTGACCTCTCAACGTCTCTCTCGCTGACCTTTACGTGGCCCAGCTACTGCGACTTGGGCATGGCGGACCCGGACTACGACGAGACGAGAGAATCTTGGGGCAAGGGTGACTAAGTCGCCGGCACACTTGCAGCGCTCGAGCCACGCGCACGTCGCTATACCCATTATCCTGTGCTGCAGCTCGCATAGCGTCGTTCTCGTTCTACCCTGCGCAGTCCTCGTAGAGGCGTAGAGGCCGCCTCACACGGCCTTCTCAATTTGCGTCGACCTCGTCCGTTGAGCTAGTTCGTGTTGCACGGAAGCTGTCTGTTCTTCGGTCGCCTCCCAACGCAGCGTGTGCCGCTCGTCAGCGACCTTAGGCTGCGCCCAGCTCCGTCAACCGCGAGAAACTTTCGCCTTTCGCTCGCTTTCGCTCCACCTTACGCGCCAACTCTTCTTTTGCTAAGCTACTGTCATCTGCTCTAGCGCTGAAGGACCTCATCGCCTATCCTCCCTGGATCCAGGGAGAATTCCGTCATCTCCCCGCTTGCTCACTCTGGCTTGACCGCGACCTCACGGCACAGCTCTCCCTTGATGCTCGTGCTAGGCGTTTCGGTTGCTGCTCTCAGGCTCACAACGCCTACAAGACCCGCCCTTCACCCTGCCCTCGCTCTCGCTCCTCATCTCCTCCTCGCTCTCTCGATCATCTCCTCGATCGCCTGGATCGCGTGGGTGCACGTTCGGGCGGCGCGAAGACGAGACGCGGCGCATGCGACGGTCAGCAATGGCACGGCGGGCTCGCTTGCGGAGCGGCAGCCTCTGCTGAACGGCGAGGACGACTCGGTGCGAAGTGGGGTGAAGTTGGGAGGAGAGGACAGCGAGGGCCCGACAGGCTGGGAGCTCTTGCTGGGCATCGCAAAGGTCTTGGTCGCAGTGGCGCTGGTCGGCGTGACCGTCGGAAAGTTGCTGGGCGTGGAGGACGGCTCGAAAACGCGGTGGACGAGGGTTTTCGAAGGTGGAATGATCGCTGTGCCCGTGGGTGCTCTCCCAGACGACCTTACTCTCAGAAGAGGCTCATGCTCAACGTATCCGCAGGCCTACGTCGTCGTGATGAGCGCCGCGATCATCGCCGACAATCGACTCACGCAACTTGTTCGCATCCAGCAGGCTGCAGTGAGCAGCGGACTCGTGCTGTTCTCGGCAGCCGTCTTCGTTCGTCCCCTGTATCCACGCAAGCTTGATCCAGTGGACCAGCTGACGCATGACATCTGCAGGTTTGGCCTTTCCTCTTCTTCGACCACCCTACCCTTACAGCAGCATGGCGACTGGGCTTTGTCCAAGCAGCACTGGCGACAACCCTCTGCCTCATCATGCTTGCGACGCCTACACGATACCAACCTCGACTCACCGGCGCACCGCCAAATCCTGCTCAGGCTGCTTCACCCCTCTCGCGCCTCTTCTTCTCCTTCCTCGAGTCGCGCATGGTCCGATACTACGCCGCGACCTCTAGTCGACTCGATCGCTTCCTACGACTTGACTACACCGCCAAAGACTTTGCGTCCTACGTCCCTCCGCTTTCGGACATATTGCACTCCGACTACGTTCTGCGCCGCTTCCGCTGGACGGGCGACCCGGTCAGCAGTCGCGACGACGACGAAGATGGCGAGCAAGAGGAGCCTGCACCCCGCACGGGCGAGATCCTCCAGTTCGCCATGGAGAACAAGAAGGACTTGCTCATCATCGTCGCCTTTGCGTCCTCCTGGATCGGCTGGATCTTCGTTACGCCCCTCTCGATGAACCTCCTTCTCCGATACGTCCAGCAATCCGAGTCGCCACCGTTCGGCCTCTCGCCTTACCTCTTCGTCGTGCTGATCCTCGTTGCGCCAATCGCCTCGTCGGTCAGCTACCAGTCCGCCCTATACCGACTCGCGCTACTCGGTCTACGACTACGGGCGGTGCTCGGTCACGCCATCTACGCCAAGCTCCTGCGTATCAAGGCGGGTGGTGGAAGCGAGAAGCACGCGGAGAAGGGGAAGCCGTCAAAACAGACGAGCGGTGCGGGTGGCAGTGAAGCGGTCGGACGCGTCAACAGTGAGCCGACCACGCAAGTGCTGTATGATCTGCCTCTCACCTCGATCTTCCCTCGCAGATCTCGTCGGCACCGACATTGACGGGATCACTTCTTCCCTCGTGCGTTCTCACCATCACCCTTCCCGCGGTGTGACATTGACGCAGTATGAGACAGGCATCCGCCCTCCAACTTCTCGGCGTCCTTCCAAAGTTGGTCGTCTCCCTCGTCTTCCTGTACTTCCTCCTCGGCTGGTCCGCCTTCGTCGCTCTCGGTTCCATCGTCCTCTTCGCACCCATCTCCAACGTTGTCAGTCGCCGCTATGGCGCTGTGCAGGAAGAGATCATGCAGGCCACGGACAAACGGATCACGCTCGTTCAGGAGCTGCTCAACTCGATCCGCACACTTAAGATGTTCGCGTGGGAGAAACCGAGCATGAAGCGCATTGGCGAAGCGAGGGACATGGAGCTTGGGCGCATCACGAAGCGTGCCAAGGTGTACGGCGGCATGATGTTCCTGTCGACGGGAGTTCCTGCCGTTGTCACCCTCAGCACGTTCGGCGCCTACATCTTCCTCCAGCACCAGTCGCTTACCGCCTCGACCGCCTTCACCGCCATGAGCCTGTTTGGACTCTTGCGCGAAGCCGTCAGTGCGTCCTGAACCTCAGTCCTGAATCTCGGAGAGCAGCTCGCTCACACACTCTCCGCAGTCTCCGCCACCTATCTCCTCTCGGCCTTCATGCGCGCGCGCGTCTCGCTCGGACGAATCACGCGTTTCATCCAGGACACCGAAGAGCTCGACGAACGTGCGCGTACCTTCGTCGACTCACCCTCCGCCGGCTCCTCTACAGCTATCAACGGCGACGCAACAGACGAGGCCGGTATCGCCATCGAAGCCGACTCTATTTTCCGCTTCTCTCGCTACGACGATGCCGCTTTCACGCTCACGCTGACCGGCGACGGCGGTTCGACCCTCCGCTTCCCTCGCGGGAAGACCACGATTATCGCTGGCGACGTCGGCAGCGGCAAGAGCGCCTTGCTTCTCGCCTTACTCGGCGAGCTCCACGTCGTCAGCGGAGGCGTCCAGCTCCGCTCGCCACACAGGGACAGCGTGCCCAAGCTGTCGTTCGCTGCGCAGAGTCCCTGGCTGCAGGACACGTCCGTTCGCCAGAATATCCTCTTTGGCGAGGAGTATGACGACGAGCGGTACCGCGAAACGATCTTCGCCTGCGCTCTTGAAGACGATCTGGAGGCTCTACCGGAGGGCGACGAGACTCGCGTCGGTGAGCGAGGACTCTCCATGTCCGGGTGCGTCCCTCATTCCGCTTGTACTTCGGCGAGAGCTGAGCGATTGCGTCTCCCAGCGGGCAAAAGCAGCGCATCGCCCTCGCTCGAGCCATCTACGCCCGCAGCGACATCGTCTTGCTTGATGATGTCCTTTCAGCCCTCGACAGGTATGTGCGCAACCCGCCGCCAGTGCGCAACCCACCGTCAGTTCTAACAGACTGCTGACGCACTCCGCGACCTTCGCAGCAATATGGTTCAGCGTCAGAACGCTCCTCTCGCTTTTCTCGACAACTTGTGCTGACATGGTCTCACCGTTTGCCAGACGTCGTCGAGCACTGCCTCGATGGACCGCTTCTCGAAAATCGCACCGTCGTGCTCGTCACGCATTTCACGAGTCTCTGCGTCCGCAAGCTGCAGAGGTGTGCACTCGTCGTCGAATTGCACGACGGCAAGGTGACGAAGGCCGCAGCACCGTCGACACAGCTCGAAGCGAAGTCGAACGGCATGACTCGGTCATCCTCGTCGACGTCTTTGCGGAGCGAGCGGTCCAATCCGTCGAAGGGCAGCAAGAACGGCTTCCACGCTGCGGAAGTCAAGCACGGACGCGGCGTCGACGAGAACCGGATCGACTCGTCCGGTGAAGGGACCGACATCTCGTGGACGGTCTACCGCAAGTACGCCGCAGCAATGGGCGGACTCAAGTTCTGGATTCCTTACGCCGTCGTCAACATCGTCGCACACGTCTTTATGCTGGGCCAGGGCTGGTTCGTCGGGCGGTGGGTCGGGGCGCCGGATCGCGACGTTCGCGCGGCTCGCTACTTCTCGCTCTACGCCGGCATACAGATTGTCGCCTCCGTCTCCCTTACCGCCATGTACCTCCTGCTCATCTGGGGTGGCATTCGAGCGTCCCGCCTGATGCACCGTCGTCTCACCGACCGGATCTTCGCAGCACCCTTCCGTTGGTGGGATCGGACGCCTGTCTCGCACGCCATCAACCGGTTCTCGAAGGACACCGAGGTCCTCGACACCGAGCAGGTGGAGAATTTGAGCCCAGTGCTCGACTATGGCTGCCAAGTCCTGTTCGTCGCCGGTAAGTCCGCCTTTCGTGCTGGAAGTCAGGCGGCGCTGACACGTGCCGTACAGTCGTGATCTGCGTCGCCCTTCCCGTCTTCTTGCTTCCGGCGGCAATCATCAGCGCCGTGTTCTTCTGCATCGGCCGCCTCTACGTCCGGTTCGTTCTCCTTCCTAATTCCCTACCGACGCAAGCTCACATGGCGAGCTGCTTCTCAGGAACGCGCTTGCCGCACGCAAGGAGGTCGCCGCGGCACGCGCGCCGTTGTTCTCGACGCTGGGCGACTCGACCTCCGGCGTCACGACCATCCGGGCTTTCGGTCGACAAGAACATTTCGCGCGCCAATACAAGGAGCAGACGGATACGTACAACCAGGTGCGTCCTCCACAGCAACGCAGACCGTTTCTCCGCTCATCCTCTCGCTGCCAGGTGCAACTATACGCCGAGGGACTTGATCGATGGCTTGAAGAGCGGTCCGACATGGTTGGCGCGACCGTCTCTTTCATCGTCGGCTTGCTCTGCCTCTCGTCAGGCTTGAGCTCTGGAGTGACCGGCTTCTTGATTTCCACCGGTGCGTCACTCCCTTTCGCTCGAGCGCTCACGTCTGACCGTAAAAGTTCTGCAGGCCTCGAGTTCACGTCGCGCATCCTCTACGTCGTACGAGCCGTCAACAAGAACGAGCTCAGCCTGAACTCGGTCCAGCGCATCATCCAGTACAGTACCGAGGTCGAAACAGAAGAACCGGCGTCCGACAAGAAGGATCCGCCTGCGCACTGGCCGGACTCGGGCGCCATCGAGTTCAAGAGTTTCTCGGCCAAATACTCCGAGGGGGGCAATGACGTTCTGCGTGAACTCTCGCTGTCTATCAAGAGCGGCGAGAAAATCGGAATAGTCGGGCCTTCGGGCTGCGGCAAGTCGACCCTCTCGCTCGCACTCCTCAGGTTCATTCTCACGTCGAAGGGCTCCATCGAGGTCGACGGGCGCCGTCTGTCAGATACCAACCTCCAGGCAATTCGGTCCCGCTTCACCCTCGTCCCGCAAGATCCGACCTTATTCTCTGGCACGCTGCGCTCGAATCTCGATCCGAATGGCGAGCATGACGATGCCACGTTGTGGAACGCCATCAAGCGTAGCGGGCTCGCAAGGGCGGGCAACGGCGATGGCTTGTCGCTCGACACGCCCGTAGCGAGTTCCGGCAGCAACTTCTCGCAGGGACAGAGGCAGCTGATTGGTTTGGCGCGGGCTTTGGTGCGGAATTCGAGGGTCATCGTGATGGACGAAGCCAGTGCGTCCGTTTTCACGCACCCGACTCGCCTACGCTGACTGACTTTGTGTCGCAGCCGCAAGTCTCGACAACGAGTCAGACGAGCTCGTACAGCGCGTTGTCCGCGAAGAGTTCAGAGGCTGCACGAACTTGACGGTGGCGCATCGCTTGGGTGAGCTCTGGAGCCAACACCGTAACGCGCTTTCACAGTATATGCTGACGCCATTCACCGCTGCAGAAACAATCATCGACTTTGATCGCGTGCTCGTGCTTCGCGGGGGAAAGGTTGTCGAGTTTGACGCGCCTGCAGCCCTCCTCGACAAGCGAGACGGCGCTTTCAGGGAGATGGTCGAAGCGACGGGCAACTTTAACGAGCTGAAGCGCAAGGCGCAGAAGGGGAAGGCGAAAGGAGGGAGCGGATCGAAAGGAGCTTGCTCATAGACGCTGGTCGGCAGAAGAAGGAGAACAGCAATAGGAGCTTCCGGTTTTCGTCCGAGCAGGCGCAGTGTCCGGTGGTAACTGGCTTTGCAGCTGACGAGCCGCCAAACTACGCCCGCGAGTTGAACAGTCCGAGCAGCTGCCCTACGTTTCCCCGACCTGCTCCTGCCGGCTGAGGCTGCACCGGTGCCTGAGGTATAAGCTGCTGCGGAACGACTTGCTGTGGGATGGCTGGCGGAGGCTGAGAGGCGAAGGCGAGAGGGATTGGCTGCTGTGCGGCATGAGGCGGAAGGTAGGATGGCTGCTGTAGAGGCAGGGTGGTGTACGCGGGGTGCTGTGGAGGGTAGGGAGCGTGGAGAGGGTGGCCGACAAACGCCGCGGGCCCCGAGACCTGCGGCAGATGAACGCCTGCGGGGTAAGGTTGACTGGCGGCGAAATGAGGAAGTGGAGGCGGCAGCATTGGCGGCGTCGCGTACGGCTGGGTAGGAAGGGAGTGAGTTGGGTAAGGCGGAGGCGCATGCGTAAATGCGGGGTGTTGCTGAGATGAGGGAGCAGGCTGGATGAGGGGAAGCGAAGGAGTAGGCTCGGGCTGCTTGCTGGGCGGCTTGTTGAGAATGGAGAGCAGGCTACCTTTGCTGGTTGGAGGTTGCGCATGCTTGGGCGGTTGGGGCGGCGGCGGAGGCTGAGATGAGGCGGGAGGCGTAGGCAGGGGCCAGCCGTTGTGGTCGAGCGCCTGTCGGGCGGCTGGCGCATCGCTCGACGGTCCGGTATTCGGACGGAATAAACGCTCGACGTCCTCCGGCGTACTCCTGTATCCGCTACTGCTCGCGCCGTTCGGAAAGCTCGAAGACTGCTCCAGCTCGAGATCCGCTTTTCGGGGTGGACTCTTCGCGGCGACGGTCAGCAGTGCGCGCAGGAGTGCGTCGTGCTTCTCCTTGCGCTGCGACTCCTCGAGTTCGGTGACGGTGATCGGCGCTCGAGGAGGGTGTGAGAGCGTCTCAGGTGGCGGCTGGGCGGAGAAGAGCAGAGACGCGTGGGCGGTGAGCGGGGAAGCGTGGTGGTGGTGTTGCGAACGAGCGTGATGAGGATTTTGCGGAGATTGTAAGTGGACGTGCTGCTGCGAAGGGTACGCCTGAGCCTGCTGATGCTGGAAGGCAGGGTGCGAAGTCGAAGCGAGCGGAGGCAGAGGCGATGGAGAGGCGAGCGCCATTCCTTCGAGCATCCCGACGAGATTGCCCTGAGAGTGAGAGTCTTGCGACGGTTGCGCGGGCGGAGGAGGCGTTGCGCCTTGGCCGCTGAAAAGCTCGAGTAGCCGAGCCTGCTGGTTGTTCGACGACTTCGGTTTGGGCTGGACGAAGGATTGCTGTCGTTCGTAAGCGACGTGAGGCGGGGTCGCCGTGATAGGAGAATTGACGGATCCAGACGAGGCGTAAGCAGGCTGGGTTGTCGGGACAGGGAGGGGGCGCAAGGGAGGGGTGTGGTCGTTCTCGAAGGCGAAGTGTGGCTGGGGCGGTTGCAGAGGCGGGAGAGGTGGCGGGTCGGTCTGCGGAGGCGAGCCAAAGAACAGCGCCTCGAGCGCCTGGGTTCCCTGCTGCGTCGTTTCCCACGCCTGCCGCCGTGTGCCCTCAGCGACGCCATCGTCCTCGTCCGTCGTCACTTCTTCCTCTTCGGTACTCGTCTCCAAGTCGCTGTCGACCCAGGGCTTGAGCACGCGGCCGCCGACGAGGATCGGAGATCGGGTAGGAGCGGGCAGGGACGGCGGAGAGAAGGGCGCAGGCGAGTCGGCGGGGCGGACAGGGATGATCTTCGGCTTGTTGCGGTCGATCCAGAGCTTCAGGTGTCTGCGCAAGAGCCGGAGTCAGCCCCCATCGCCGGTTGTGCAGAGTTCGGTTCGTGCTGACGCACGAGATGAACGGCGTCACCATGTAAAACTTCGCTTGCTTTCCGTTCGCCAGCTCGCCTTTCGTCCGCGCTGACGAGTCCTTCTTCTTGCCACCCGAGTTGGCATCCTTGCTCCAGGTTGGAAGGTCGGACAGGCGGAACCAGTCGATTTTCTGTGAAGGGTAGCGACGTCAGTCGGGTGAGTCCATCGATCTGCGGGTCGTCGAGGCAGCGAGCACTACCCATTAAGAGAGCGATACGCCGACGGGGTGATCGCAAACTCACCGAGATCTCCTTCCTCGTCCTCGTCTCGAACTGCGTCAACTCGCTGACCCCTGGCACAAAGTATAGCCGGATCTTCTGCTCCCTGATGACGAGCTCGACGTAGTACGGATGCCGCTCTTGTCCTTCCGGCTCTTCGTAGGAAGGGTCGAGTTGCTCGGGCGGGAAGTAGGGCGTCAAATCGAAGCCGGTCTCTTCGAGGACCTACAGCAGCGACCGAGGGCGTCAGAGTTGGTGAACATTCGCGAGCAAAGGGAAGCGCGACGCACTTCTCGGACCGCACACATCGCTTCCGGTTCCTGCTTGTTGATTTTCCCTCGCGGGAACGACCACGCCGAACCCTTCGTCCATCCCTTCACAAGTAGAACCTGTCGGTACAGCGCGAGCAGCGTCAGCCCAAATGGTGAGCGAGACGCGAGAAAGGGCGAAAGCTGGCGCACCTTGTCCCACCACTCATTGATCAGTACCGCTCCGCAAACCGGTACCCGCTCCTTATACTTCATGAAAGACTCCCAGATCGTCTGATGTTGCGGAACGAGGTCGTGAAGAAGGGGGCAAGACTCGAACATGAGGAGCGAGAATGCCTTGAGGGAGTAGGAGGGGAGAAGGGACGGGTTTGAGGCGGTTGGTCGGATGAAGTCTTCGTAATACCAATGTCTGTGTCGAAGGTGGAGAGGAGGAGGGCGCAGCGAATGTCAGTGTTCGTTCCGAATGCTGGGAGAGAGGCTGGGCCGCGCAGAATCGACATTGAAGACGCAGCTCGCTCTGTTCAGCGCCAGTACCGCTCTTTTGCGCCCTTGAGCACCTACGCACGCGCTGGGAACGACGTTGACCTCCTTGACATCACCCCACATGCTCCTCAAACCGCAGAGTCGAGCACCGCCGCAAGCGACGCCAAGGGTTCGCCCAGAGCAAGCTAGACTCCCGTACTCCTCGTTCAACCTGTTTGCACCCTCGCCGCGTACGACGCTCGTCCGACCGCGCCATCCGGCTGAACCCCTCGGCACGCCCAGCACATTCGTCCTCCTCCAAGTCCCGCAAGAAGATCAGACTCACGCTTGCTCGATCTGAAAGCACACCCTGTCCATACTCTCGAGCTCCTCCTGCGGCAGGTTGACGATGAACCGGGCGGCGAGGTCATCGAGGACCTGTTCGAGCTGGAGCGAGGCGAAGGAGGACTGGTGGATGCCGCTTGATGGCGGAGGATGCAGTGCGTGTGACATGGCGCCACGTCAGGCAGCAAGAGCGCGCAAAGTCGAGCGAGATGTGTCAGGTTGAGCGAAAGCGGTGGGCGAACAAGGGGACGCGACCCTCTCCCGCGACGACACGCTCGCCTGACGCTTTGTGGGTTGCTATGCCGCTTGAAGGACTGCCCAATGCAGCGGATCGCCGCGCTGCAGTTCTCGGAACCCTCCACCCTCTTCCTGCTCCCCTCTCGCTTCCTCATCAGTCGGAACGCATCGTCAACGAAGACTCGCATCCGAAGGGCTCTACAAAGCTTGCACTGACATTCAAAGGGTTCTAGAGGCACGCTATGATTGGCCGAAGACTCAGCTCCGCTTACTCGTGCATGAACCGCTCCTTCAGCCAAGCGACGGTCTTGTCAAACGCGTCGTCGGCCGCCTTGCGCTCCTGCGGGTTGTTCGGGTCGCACCTGTTCGCCGAGCCGTGACCGCCGTCGAAGTCTGTCGCGGACTGCTGGTCAGAGGAAGGCAGGCGGGACGATAGAGGACGTGGACCGCACCCGCATGAACATGCTTGGGGTTGTTCTTGGTGATCTCCTTCGCCAGCTCCTGCTTGTCCCTGGTGAAGACAAAGTCCTGGAGCATGTGCAGCCAGAGGAACTCGACAGTCGAAGCGTTGAGGGCGTGCAAGTCGTCCGGGACATCGAGGAGAGACGGGTGCGCAACGGCACCCGCGGAGAGGACTGGCGGCGACGAGATGCAGAGGTCGACGACGCATCGGGCGCCTGGGAAAGAGGAGAGGGTGCGGAGTGCAAACAGGATCAATCGTATTCCTCGCGCCGGGCGAAACGAGCGGGCAAGCGCACCGAAGCAGTACCCAATCGCCGCAAACTCCGTGACGCCCTTCTCCCTCAACCCCTTGATGACCTCGTCAACAGCAGGCGCCGTAACATCCTGTCCGTGCCGCGACAACCACTCGCCGAGTCGCTTCTTCTTCTCCTCTGCCGGGAGAGTCAGGTTCGTGCGAGGGACGGGGTCGTCAAAGAGGTAGTCGGGCATGTACACTGCGACGGGGACCTTCGAGGCGAACGCGTCGGCAATGAGCTGGCCGTTCGGAAGCTCGACGCCGAAGATGCTGTTCACAAGACTCGTCAATCGCTTACTCGCCCTGGCCCGTTTCGCCGGGACGTACTCGGTGAGGATTAGGAAAGCCTTCGTCTTGTCATAGTCACCTTGCGGACGGGAGACGTCTGCAGGTAGCGTACGAGTTTAGCGAAAGGACCCGGAGGAAAGGAATTGCTGCGCTCAAGTTTTGATACCGTTGACGTCCTCGAATGTCCCAACAGGCGTTCCTTCGTGCTACAAGCCAACGAGCGTCGTCAGCACGAGAAACGGGGCGCAGGGTAAACGACAGCGACGCACGACGTAGCCCGAGGAGCAGCACGCAGAGAGTCCGGTCATTGCGCAGGTCGAGGAGGGCAGACTTTAAGGAAGGCAAGAGAAAAAAGGTGTGAGGTTTGAGAGAGCAGCCAGGAAGCTGAACGACGAGAGTTGGCGCGGTCGGGGACGACGGCGGAGCGGCGGAGGAGAGAAGGATGCGGGGAGGAGGCCATCTTTGGGCGTTGTACGTAGGAGCTGCTGCTGGTGGAGGGATTCGTCGGGCCGACGTGCGCAGCAACGTGTAGAGTACGGTCGCGCAGCGGTGGGTGCTCTGAAGAGGAGAGGAGAGAGCGTGCGAAGCGAAGCGAGGAGGGGCGAGGGCGGCGGGCTGTCGTGAAGTCTTGCGAGCTGGCCAGTGAGCTGCTGAGCTTTGCCTCCCCACCACAAGCCAGCGACACCTCGAGATGCGTGAGCACCATATAACGCAGCAGAGTCGACGAGGTGCAGCCAACTCTCTTCACCGCGCTCTTCACGGCTCGTCAGGCTTGAACTTCTCTTTTTGCATCATATATGACGCCGTCACGCGTCTACGCTTCGGCAGGAGCGTCTGAAGGCGTCTAGAGGTGAGCCTTGATGAAGTTGACCGACTCCTCGAACGCCTTGTCGGCGTCGGCGCGCTGCTTGGGGTCGTCGGGCGAGCCGCGGATGGCGAAGCCGTGTCCGGCACCGGGGAAGTCTGTGAGCGAACGAAGGTGAGCGTCCCTCATCCCTGAGAGGAATGCGGATGGGAAGGGGAACGCACCGACATGCTTGTGCTTGTCATTGCCCGAGGTGATCTGCTTAGTCTCCTTCTGCCTCTCCTGGTTGTGCATCATCGAGTCCTCGCCCGCATTGAGCCAGAGGAAGTGGACGTTCGACTTGTTGAGCATCTCGATGTCGGCAGGGTACTGCAGGAGCGAGGGATGCGCGACGACGCCGACCTTGATGATCGAGTCCTTGACGAGGTCGGTGACGTACCGGGCGCCTGCAGGGGGCGAATGGGCGGGGCGGAGACAAGCGGACGAATGAGCGGAAGTGGGAAACGAGTTCAGCGGGCGACGCACCGAAGCAGTAGCCGATCGCAGCAAACTTCTGAACACCCTGCTCCTTGAGGTGGTTGATGACCTTGTCGAGAGGAGGACGGGTCACGTCCTGGCCGTGCTTTCCGAGCCACTCCATCAACTGGACCTTGCCCGAGCCGAGGTCCGCAGCGGAGATGGCGTCGCCGTTGAGGTAGTCGGGCATGTAAACTGCGATGCCGTTGTCGGCGAACGAGTCGGCGAGGAGCTGGCCATTGGGCAGGTTGGTGCCGAAGATGCTGCAAGGCGAAGAGCGGATCAGCGTTTGAGGAAATCGGCTGCCAGGCGAGCACTCGTACGTACTCGGTGAGGAAGAGCAATGCCTTGGTCTTATCGTAGTCGCCCTTGGGGAGGCTGATGTCTGCGAGTTGACCGAATCGGAGGGTGAGCGGGCGAGTTGACCGGCAACACGGCCACAAGAGAGCGCAGACGCACAAGTGGAGACACCGTTGATGTCCTGGGTCTTGCCAGAGGGAGTTCCCTCGTGCTGCACGCCGGCGACACACGCGTGTGAGCTCATTGCAGGGAGGCCACGGTGTGGGGACGAGGCTGGTCGAGGGGCGGAGAGAGGAGCTACGGGTGCGCACCTTGAAGCCAGAGACGCAGCAGGACCCGAGAGACATGGTATAGAGCGAGCTGGAGAGCGTTGGAGGCGTGTGCGGGCGAGGAAAGCGAAGGGAAGAGTCGGCGGCCGCGAAGTGGTTAAGTGGAGGCATGACCGAACATCCGAGATCCGAGATGTCGCCGCTCAACATCGTTGCAAAGGCGCAGGCGCACAGGTTGACAACATGCTCGTCGCCGTGGCGAGCGGAGCATGCCCCGCCTCGCCCGCTACTCTGCCGCACTTCGCTCGGCCTTCAAAGCCCGCCGACGCTGCTCGACCTTGTACACCTTCACCATCTTGCCTGTGACCTGCACTCCAACGCGTACGGCGAGCTCAAGAATGCGCGACATGCCCTAGAAGTTGATGCCAGGAGGAGGGGACGAATCGGATCGAAGGGAGAAGTCGCAGACGATCTCTTCGAGACCGGGCGGTCGCATGGTGTAATCGGCGAGGAGCATGAGGAAGTCGTCCGTTGCGACCGTCTCTGTGCGGCAGACGAGGCGTTCGAGACGGCGGAGGGAGGAGAGGTTGGGGAGGATCGACTTGAGCGGCAGGCGATCTCCGAGCGTCAAGGTGAACAGGTTGTGCAGCTGGTGATCCGCGGGAAGTGTAGGACGGGCACTCTGAGTCGAGTGCAGCGTGAGGTGCTGCAGGGCGAGCTGATTCGGTAGAGCTTGGATTGCCGCCGCGACACTTCCGCCGTATCGGTGCACGTGGAGAGACAACTCTGCCAACGAGGTGCAGGCTTGCAGAAGTCGCAGGTACATTGGTTGGTAAGGTTCTGGGCTGTCGATGTCCAAGTAGGCGATCCGATCCATTCTGAGCGGCTGCGTTTGCAGAGGCTTGACCATCGTGAAGTCAGGCCGCTGCCAGTAAAGGTCGATGACCTGCAGGCGCAGGAATCGCAGCTGAGGATAGTGGCGAAGCTGATGGATTGTCTCCGGAAGGCGAGCCATCTGTGCGCCAGAGAGGCAGTCGTGCAGTATGATGCGTTCAAGAGCTGGCAAGCCGCCGGCTTCTCCGCCTTCCAGCACCACAGGCCAAAGGCTCTTGGCCATGTAGCAAATCTGGAGTTGGCGCAAGTTGACGAGAGCGGCGAGGAGGTGGCGAAAAAGCTCGATGCCCGCCTCAAACCCGCCATGGCCGTACCCGCTAATCTCGACCGCCAAGACGACGCCGGCGAGTTCGGGACAGCATACAACGGCGCTGTGGAGTCGATGAAGGCGCTGGACGGACCGTATGCGCACTGCGCTGAATGCGCGTCGGCGAGCGAAAGGCAGGAAACGTTGCGAGACGAGGCCGAGATACGGTCCCTCCGTGCTCTTGCGGACGAGCTCGCAGATGGTAGAGAAGAGCTCGGTAGGGAGGTTGGTGAGATAGTCGCTGCCGGGCAACGAGTTCGAGGGAGTCGCGTCGAGCGAGGTCTGCGACCGCGACGATCAGCTTCCCGAAAGAGGCCTCGAGAAGCCGTCACAAGGGTCCGACTCACTTGTTCAGCCGTTGTGTACCCATCGCTCTCCATCTTGACAGTTCCCACGGGCGCGAGGAGCTGCTGCGGGAGGTCGAGGGTCAGCCAATTGATGAAGCCCGAGAGCGGCGCGCGGAGGGAACGCACCGTGCTGAAGCACACGGCGTGCAGAAGATACGAGTCCTAGCAGTGTCAGAGCAGCTTGAGCGCAGCAGTCTGAGCGAGAGCAGCGGAAGAGCGGTGAGCGGACGGAAGACAACCTACTCAGAGCAGGAGACGGTTCGACAGTGAGCTCTCGCACGGGGCAAGTCCTGCCATACTTTGACCGCCGCTCTTTCGATACGTTTCAAAGCGTTCGGCGCAGGCAGCTTGCTCCCGCGCGATGACTTCTCTCAGCTTGCGACCCGCCCTCCTCGACCTCGCGAGATGCCGGGGTGCAGACGAGACGGTGTCTTTCGTCGCGCGCTGTGCCCAGCAGACTGCGCAAACTAAGGAGGAACTCAAAGCCGAACAGCGAAGCGAGCAACGTTGATGACGGGTCAAGCATCGAGCCACGACGAGCGAGCGGTGAGCAGCGACTGCGTACGCTCGTCCCCACGACTGACACCGGTACGAGAACAGCAGCGCAAGGTCGAGTAGAACTGCTAGATTGCTTGGTAATCAGGTACAGGGCTCGGGGTGGTGGGCTGACGGCGCGTTTGACGGCGAGTCGGCGAGAAGGGGTATGTTCTGCGCTTCAGCGGGCTGAGGGAAAGCGGCAGCACGCGCGTTTAGTGCTGTGCCGATTTCTTGTACGCCTCGGCTTGTCCCGAGCTTTGTTCGAGAGGATAGTCAGCGAGAGTGGTCGAGGAGGAGGAGGAGAAGTCCGCCACGCACTGCTTCTCCTCCTGGAGCTTGTCCGAGACGGCATCAAGTCCGGCCGACGCGCGGTCAGTGAGCGAAGCGTCGGTGTGGCCCTTGGCAACCTCCTGCGGTAGCGAGGGAGAAAGCGCCGTCAGCTCGCGTCGACACTCGAGCCGAGGAAGCAGACGCACCTTGTTGGCCTCCTTCGACGAGCCGGCGGTCCACTCCTTGGCGGTCTCGGTCACGTAGTTGACGCTGCGAATGCGAAGACGGCTGTAGGGAGAAGAGGGACAGCGAAGGGCGAAGGAGATGGAGGAGCAGAAAGGCAGAAGCCAGCCGACCGTCCTGGCGGAAGCGCTAAAAGCCTTTGCTTGTCGTGCGCCGAGCCTACTCAGCCTGTGTATTGAACCTGCGAGCCTGTACGAGCGGAATGCCGAGCGAACGGGGTACGAAGCGTGGAGGAGAAGGAGAGCGAGAGAGGGAGAGAGCGCTGACCCAGCGCTGCCGCGCGCGAAGGGGGAGGAGCTTCCTGCAGCAAGTCTCCTTGCGACGTATTGCGATAGACTGCAGAGGCCCAGGGAAAGAGCATGAACAGCAAGCGTTCGTGGAAGCGGGACAGCGTAGACGACTCGCAAGAGCAGGCTGGGACGCACAACGGACAAGGAGAAAGTTGTAGGGTACTGCTCTGGTTATCATTCAAGAGTGATCAAGCGCTACGAGTGTGGGAGGAGGAGAGGGAAGAAGCGTGGCGGCGGGGAGGAGGAAGCTGGCGGAGTCGCACTGAGCGAGCGACTTAGTGCTTTGCCGACTCCTTATAACCGCTTGCCGCAGACGAGCTTTGCAAGCGCCCAGAACAGTCAGCGGCAAGTCGAGGGAAGGAGGAAGAGACCCAGGAACTTACTGCTTCTCCTCCTGCATCTTGTCGCCGACAGCCGAGAGACCAGCCGAGGCGCGGTCGGTGAGCGAGGCGTCGGTGTTGCCCTTGGCAACCTCCTGCGAACGAGACGGAGACGTGTGTCAGCTCGAGTAACGAGAACAGCCGGGCGACGGCGACGACGCACCTTGTTGCCCTCCTTCGAGGCGCCCGAGGTCCACTCCTTCGCGGTCTCCGAGACGTAGTTGGCACTATAAAGAGTAGCATGTCAGCGCCAGCTCGTGAGAAGCCATTCGACCGTCGCAAGCGGCGACCTCGTCCTCGTCCCGCAAATCCGCCCGCATCGTTTGCAAGACTCACGCGTCCGAAACGGTGTTCGAGATAGACTCGGTAGTGCTGGTGGAACGCGCAGACGCCCTGTTATATGGAGATGAGTAGGGAGTGGTCGAGCGAAGAGGGAGGAGGAGCACAGCGAACGGTCAGTCGGCGGTCCTGAGCAGACGGACCTTCACCCACTCACATTGTAAAGGTGTTCTTGGTCGTTGTGTGTGAAGTGTGAAAGCGGTGGTAGAGGAGAAGGAAGGAGAGAGAGAGGCGACGAGCTGGAGCGAGGTCGCTTGCCCCACTTCGTTCGAGAATGACGATGCGAAGGATCGTTCACCCTTCCCCCTGCTGCCTCGAAAAACACTTGCGCGTGTCGCTCGGCAAGCACAGCCCCGTCGTGAATGCTGCCGGGCCAAGCCAGCGCGGAGCCGCCCGGACGCCGTCGAGGATTTGGCTTCGAGGAGGCGAACGCTCTTCCAGCGTCGGTACACCTTGCGCTCCTCGCCTCAAACCTGGTCAGCTGGTTCTCACAGACACTGTAGAGCCCGTCAGCAAGTCTTTCTGAGCGGTGCCCGTCGAGAGCGAGCGACAGACAGACCGTCGCTTTGACCGCCTGCCGCTCGGCTTGACCTTCTCAACCTGGCTTGCTTCCCTACGAATTCCTCGCCCAAGACAAGCTACGCCAGTCCAGGGCTCGCATCACGCCGACAGTGCACGACTGAGCGCAGCGGCAGCCTCAGAGGGTCAAAGGAGGGGAGGAAACGGCATCTCGCGCGACGCCTTGGTCCCGGTGCCCAGATCAACTCTTCCATACTCATCCCGCAGCGGGAGCGTGGCCAGCCCGACCTCTGCTGCCGTATACTCATGGCAAAAGGCGGCACGCAACATCGCCAGCGGGTCTGTCGTCGTCGCAGAAAAGTCTCCCTTGGTCGAAAGGTCAACAAAGCATCGTCACGTCGAAATTGCCCCCAAGTTCGGCTCGATGACGTCGCCGGGTTTACAACGTTTGTCCTGCTGATTCGTTCGCTGCGGCACGATCGCCCCACTTCGGTGCGGGAGGCTGGCTGGTTCCCTTCGCTCTCTCCTCGCTCTTCTCTCTTTCTCCTTCACCTCACTCGCTCTCACTCGCACACACTTCCACACCCACCCACCCACAAACCCTATACACACAATGTGAGTGGCCCTTGGCGCACGACCCTTTGAGCGCCCCGTCCAGGATGGTTGGCTGATCCTCGCCTCCCCCCCCCTCTTCTCTTCCCTCGTTCCTGTTACTCTCTCCTTCCATAGGGCCTCGACTACCGCAGGATCCACCGGCGAGAGCATCACCAACACCATCTCGGACGCGTGAGTTTGACGGTTCGAGCGAGTTGGCGCGGCCGGCGAGAGATGGCGCCATCTCGCCTCCCCAGCTCGAGTACCTGTGGCTGACCGTCTTCGCCTTCGCAGCGTCAACTACGTCACCGAGACTGCCAAGGAGTGGACCGCCGGCTCGTCGAAGGAGGCCAACAAGGTGCGTCTGCTTTGTCGGCTTGAGTGTCGACGCGAGCTGACGACGCTCTCCCCCTCGCTACTGCAGGAGGTCGCCAAGGGCCACACCGACGCTTCGCTCACTGACCGCGCCTCGGCCGGACTCGATGCCGTCTCGGACAAGATCCAGGAGGAGAAGCAGTGAGTTGGCGACCTTCATTCTTTTCCGCGTGGCTTAGGCTGACCTGTCTATCGCTTAAACAGCAGTGGGCAAGCTGAGGCATACAAAAAGTCGGCACAGCACTAAACGCCAGTGCTGCCGCTTTCCCTCAGCCCTTCTGAACCGCCGAACATACCCCTTCTCGCCGACTCGCCGTTAAACGCGCTGTCAGCCCACCACCCCGAGCCGTGTACTTGATTACCAAGCAATCTAGCAGTTCTACTCGACCTTGCGCTGCTGTTCTCGTACCGGTGTCAGTCGTGGGGACGAGCGTACGCAGTCGCTGCTCACCGCTCGCTCGTCGTGGCTCGATGCTTGACCCGTCATCAACGTTGCTCGCTTCGCTGTTCGGCTTTGAGTTCCTCCTTAGTTTGCGCAGTCTGCTGGGCACAGCGCGCGACGAAAGACACCGTCTCGTCTGCACCCCGGCATCTCGCGAGGTCGAGGAGGGCGGGTCGCAAGCTGAGAGAAGTCATCGCGCGGGAGCAAGCTGCCTGCGCCGAACGCTTTGAAACGTATCGAAAGAGCGGCGGTCAAAGTATGGCAGGACTTGCCCCGTGCGAGAGCTCACAGCCAAGCCGCCTCGTCCTCGAGGAGGTTGTCCTCCGACCGCTCACCGCTCTTCCGCTGCTCTCGCTCAGACTGCCTCGCTCAAGCTGCCCAGACGCTGCTGGGACTCGTTTCTTCTGCTCGCCGCGTGCTTCAGCACTGTGCGTTCGCCTCTCGCGCCGCTTTTGGGCTTCATCAGTTAGCTGACCTCGACCTCCCGCAACAGCTCGTCGCGCCCGTGGGAACTGTCAGGATGGAGAGCGAGGGGCCTGAGAGGGTTCAGCAGGTGAGGCGGACGCCTGCGACCGCTGTTCAAGGCCGCTTTCGGGAGCTGAGCCTCGCTGCTGCAGACCTCGCCCGACTCGACTCCCCTCAGCGCGTCACCTGGCGCCGACTACCTCACCAGCCTCCCTACCGAGCTCTTTTTGACCATTTGCGAGTTCGTTCACGCTCAACGGGCGGGACCATACCTCGCCTTGATCTCGCGACGCTTCCTCCCCTTTGCGCGGCGGCTCGTCTTCGACACTGTCGAGTGCCGCTCGATCGCTCGCATCCGGTGCCTGCACATGGCACTTGAGACGTGCCCGGAGCTTCGAATCGTCGTCCGCAGGCTCGTCCTTGGGCGAAGCTACTCTCGGGTGGACGACTTCGGCGAGGACGTGCCGCCGATTCCGATTCTCCTCGCCTGTCTCGACAATGTGCGCGTGCTGAGGATATACTCCGGAGCCCGGGTGGCTGTCCCGTGCATCCTTCAGCAGCACACTACAAGCGTTCTTCCCCTCCTCCAGCGCGTCGACCTGCACGACTGTCTGGATGAGGAGCAGAGGATGCACCTCGTCGACACTCTCGGCGCTCTTCAGCAATACCCCCACCTTCACGAAGTGCGGCTATTTGGTTCGCTTAGGCCGTACAGAGTTCCTTGCGCCGACACCGCACCGTTACCGTTAAAATGGCTGGCATCGCTCAGCATTGACGGTCAAGTAGTCAACACGCCACCTCTTCTGCAACTTCTTAGCGCTTCCCTGTCACTGCGCAGTCTCTCCCTTCGCAATCTCGTCAATGGCGACTTTCTCGACAATGTCCATTCATCCCTCCCGCGACCGTCTAACCTACAACGCCTGGCACTCCACTCTATCGACAGCTTCCTCGACTACTCCGAAACACTCTCGCAGCTCTCAGGAGTCACACGGTTGACCATCAGCGGTCGCCTGCCGTTCAAGCCAATCCTTGGTTTCGCGCGGCGGTCCTACAAGCGCTTGACCTGCCAGACCAAAACGGTCACAGCTGACGAGCTCGTTACATTGCTCGGTTATGGGCGGTCTACCCTCGGCCGCCTCGTCCTCGACATCTCTCTCCTTCCGATCGCACCTCCTCCTTCGGTCGGCGTAACCTTTGAGGGCATGTCGCGCGTACTTGAGCATGCCGAAGTCGCCGGTGTGCAAGTCGAGGGGAAGGCTGTGCAGGAACACCGAGTCGAGCAACGGCGTCGAGCGATGCGGGAGGTCGGAACGGTGTAGCAGCTGCCATAGCGCGAGCTCCCGTCGCAAGTCATGCAGCACCTTCCCTGAGCGTCCGGCAGCGTTGAAAAGCGTGCTAACTCCTCCGACTTTGCTCAGGGAGAGTTGGCATTCCGCTGAACACCGCACCTTGCTTCGCTCAACTCGCTCACCGCCTTCGAGTCATTGTAAGCGACCCAAAGCGCTAACCTGCGCGCCTACGATCAACCACGCGGTGAGTCTTTCTGAATTCTGCCTTGTACCGCCGACCATGACCGCTTGCTGACCCTTTGTCCTCCTCCTCTTTCTTCTCTCGTCGATGTCCTGCTTTTCTCTGTACGAACGGGCTAGCGCACGTTTTACTAGAACTGTCGGGTGCATCAGTACAAGTATCCCGGACGCGCGAGTCTCGCGGACTCGTTGCGGGCGGACTTGCGGGACGAGGACGAGGCCGCCGCTTGCAACGGTCGAATAGCTTATTACGGGCGAACGCTGACATGCTACTCTTCAGAGTGCCAACTACGTCTCGGATACCGCGAAGGAGTGGACCTCGGGCGCCTCGAAGAGGGGAAACAAGGTGCATCGTCGCCCTCGCTCGGCTGTTCTCGTTTCTCGAGCTGAAGCACGTCTCCGTCTCGTTCGCAGGAGGTCGCCAAGGGCAACACTGACGCCTCGCTCACCGACCGCGCCTCGGCTGGTCTCTCGGCTGTCGGCGACAAGATGCAGGAGGAAAAGCAGTGAGCCCTTCGCCCCCTCTCCTCTTCCTCCGCCTCGTAACTGACATAACTCTTCACTTCAATAGTGGTGGATTGGCGAGTGGGTACAAGGAATTAGCAAAGAACTAAGTCGCTCTCTCAGTGCGACTCTGTGCGACTCCGCCAGCTTCCTCACCTTCCCACCGTCACGCTTCTCCCCGCCCGTCTCTCACTCTCCCATACTCGTAGCGCTTGATCACTCTTGAGTGATAACCAAAGCAGTACGAGAAGCGGCTTAGAGCTGGCAACTGACCTTAACGAGAACGGCACGGCAATCTGCCTCGAACGCCTCGCGCTCATCCTTCATCCTTGCGATTCTTTCCCGCTGCCAGATCGCTGTCGACTGATAGCATATCATCTAAACTCATACATCGCTCTACATCTTTTTCCATAACGTCCGACTGATGTTGAACCTTGCCGCGCCCACCAAGACCGCCGCCAGCACGCTGAGCCCTCCAGAGTAGAAGATTGCGGGCTGATACGCCTTCGGTCCTCGGTCCGGTCCGCCGTACGCCTGCAGAAGGAATCCTGCGATGGGCGCGCCGAGGAAGTAGCCAAGTGACCAGGAGGTGACGACTGAAGGAGCAGTATTAGCTGAGTTGGCGAGCGAGAACGACGAGGGAGAGCAGACGCACTCATCGAGAAGATGACGGTCAGTCGGCGCGTACCAAAGACGCTGCTAAGCGTGCCGGGGATGAGCGAGAACATGCCGCCGCTGGGTGCGCAGGAGGGTCAGGCTACGAAGGCTGGAGCGAGAGGCAGAGGAATCAACGCACGCGCAGAAGCCGTTGATGACCGAGAATACGATCCTGTTAGCGTTTCGACGAGTCAGCATCTGCTCCGAGCGTATGCGAGGGAGAGGAGACGGACAAAGGGGCGAGGGCATCTGCGAAAGGCCAAATCAGCAGCGTGCTGACGCTGACCGTGACGAGGCAGAGGACGAGTGCGTTAAGCGATCCGAGCAACCGGTCTGCGCCGAGACCGAAGCAGATGCGACCGAGCGCGGAGGAGAGGTTGAAGCCTGTCGCGACGAGACGAGGCAAAGTCAATCGCGGACGCTATGCCAGTCGTTCCCTCGCACTTACCGGCAAGGATCAGCGCGGCCGTTGTGGTGCTGAGACCGATTGAAGTCGAATAGAGCGGGAGGAAAAACGGCGGGACGAAGAGAGGGAAGAGGGCGACGGCAGTGCCGGTGAGGATGAGGCAGAATCGAGGGTCCTTAAAGAGGGTTCTGCAGGCGGTCACAACTCAGTAATACTCTCATTCAGGACAAATAGGCGGACTGACCGATCGAAATACTTCGAACCGGTTGAGCGCTCCTCAGCGTCGACCTTCTTGCCCTTCCCGCCTTGGAACGGCACTTTCTCGCCACGACTCTTGAGCACGAGGGCGGCTGGGACGTTGATCGCCGTCATGATCAGCCCGACTGTGCGGAACGTCCATGGCAGGCTGTGGAGGCGCTTGAGCAGCTGCGCCGTTACTAGCGAGAAGACGGCTCCGCCTAGTCCGGCACCCGAGTAGACCATGCCCGTCCTGCAGGCGAGACGCCGTGGGCAAGCGTCAGCAAATGTGCTTCGAGACTAGCGACGAAGCGGTGCTGGTGCAGGAGCGAGAGGGAGACTCACGCAACATTGCGACTTCGCAGGAAGTACATGGTCGGCAGGGTCGCGGCGCTGAAGAAGCACAAGGCTTGTCCAATGCCGAACATGAAGCCTTCCGTGATGATGAGGCCCGCGACGCTACCGGTGCACCAGCCAGCGAGAATCGACCCGAGACCGACGAAAGCGGAGCCGACGAGAGCGACGCGGCGCTGCGGGCAGAAGAGCGGCATCAGCGTGTGGAGCGCATCGTCGCGTACGTCGAAGACGCACTGGACCGTACGCGCTGACTATCCGCGCAATGGGAATCGCCAAGATGGCCTCCATCGTCGCCTGCACGGATCCGACGAAGGCGAGTGTGGAGGATGGCGCAAGTCCTGCCGTAACGAGCGCATCTTGGAAGACTCCCCCTGAACCGCAGACGAGGAGGTCAGCACGTAAGCTGGAGGAGGAGGAAGTCGGCCGCAAATGTTGGGCAAAGTCGGGTTGACAGTGCGATGAAGGACGGACACACAGGAGTACACGCCTCCCAGTGTCGTGAAGAACAACGCAAAGCAGGCGAGGACCTGCTTCCACCCGCCTTTCCACTCTGGATACGAGTCGAACGCTGATTGTCGGCGAGCAATCACGAGTCAGCTCGAGCAGTCGAGCAGCGGGACACGTTCACGCACCTTCTTTGTTGTCTGGCGGCCCGTCTGCGTTCCTCGACAACGATGCCGACCTTCGCCTGTGCGTGCCGGGGTTGAGCGAGACGATGGATTCTGGGCGCGAGGTCGCAGGGGTGTCCGCCGGTGTGGGTGCGCCGAGCGACTCCAGCTCGATAGCAGAGCTCGACATGGTCCCAGCAGGTGTAGCAGGAGAGAGAGAGCGGAGCGAGACGGCGAGTCAAGTTGATGAGATTGCCAATGCCGAGCGCGGCTCCCTTGAGCCGTCCTATAAGGCGCAAGGGAGTCTGCCTTTCGGTAGAAGCTCAGCAGAGTCAGTCAAGAGAGGCGTCGAGGTGGGCGGAGCGAGCGGAACGCGGCAAAGGAAGGTAAGAGGCGAGCGCGAGCGACGACGGCGGGCAATACGTGCGAACGATTGAATTGCGGCGCAATCTAACGTTGCGGGGTACTGGATGTACAAGGGCAAGCGAAGGAAATGCCTGCCGAAGGTTCAGCGAGAGGGTAAAGCATCGACTCCTTGCGCGGCCGTCTTCAAAGCGCCGCCTGAAGCTCCGTGTCGGGCGCTGGATCCGTCAAGCCGTGATCCTTCGTCTTCTTAAACTTCTTCTGCGCGACCTTGGCGCCATGCTTGAGCCAGCGGAACGTACCGCCCTTCCTCATCCGCGTTCCATCCTTCTTCTCCTCGATCGCCTCGGCGCCGAAGTCGTCATCACTCTCGCTCGACCATTCCGCGGACGTATCGACGGTGCGCGCGTCCTCGTCCTCCATCGCATCGCCCCCAGCCCGCTCGCGCTCGCCCCGCTTCTCCCGCCTCGACTGCGCCTCCGTGTCCCGCTTGTAAAGGTAGAGCTGGTAAGCCGACCTGGCGGCGGACGAGGCGGAGAGGACGACTGTAGAGTGGGTGCTCGACATGCCAGGCCGCCAGCGAAGGTGGAGGGTGAGGACGAGGTCATCCTGGCTCGTCGGTTGTCCGGGGTGTGCCGTTTCCGAAGCGGATGAAGGTCGCGGTGAGGAGGTGGTCTCGTTGGTGTTGGCTTCGGCAGGCGACTCCGTTACAGGGATGTCGAGAAGCTGAGGGAGAGGGTGAGGGCAGGGTAGGACGGGATCTTTCGCTCTGCATGCCGAGATGTCAGATCGCAGGCGGGAGGCAGGACTCATGCGACACGAACCTCGAGAGCGTGATCCGAACTTCGTCTGGTTCGCCCCTCATCACCTCATTGACAACGAAGACCCCCCTCGCAAACGCCTTCTTGGACGACTTGGCACCCGTCATCGCAGCGCCGTACAAGCTGACGCGAACAGGCGCGATGCGAGAAAGGACGGGGAGGACGATGGGACCGGAGGAGAAGTCGAAGGTTAAGGCGTCCGTTTCTGCGGAAGCGAAAGTCAGTGAGGCGTGAGATAGGCGCTAGGCGGGCGAGGTTGACGGACCCGATGCATCCTGCCTATCCACCGCCGGGACAATCGCAGAAGTACCCTCCTCGGTTTCGAACCTCAAACCGCCGGCAAAGTTGCGCTCGTGCAGACCCGACAGCGAGGCAGAAGCGATCTGCACGGTTCCGACGGACCATTCGCGCAGGGCTGCAATGTCCGCGTCAGCTTGGTGCGCGAGAGAAGCGAAGCGAAGCGAACGCACAGGGATGAATGTCGATGGCGAGCGGCTTGAAGAGCAGCGAGATGCGAACGCGTCCGCTGCCACTTCCGCCGAGCAGGGGGTACCACCTAGCGACAAACTGCGTTAGTCCTGGTCGAAGAGGAAAACGCGCCTGCGAGACGCACTTGGAGTGCTGACTCGTCTCGCTGAGCACCTCGCCGAGATTGATCGAAACGTAGCCGGCGAGGACGTCGTGATCTGCACAGTAGAGCCGTTAGTCTCGCCCGAGTAGACGCTCGGCACGGACGCACCGCGGTTCCTGTAGTCCATCACTGCAAACGACATGTTCGCGTTCGTCCAGTCGCGAAGGAACGCTTCGCTGCCGCCATTGAAGTAAGGAGCTGCAGGGAGCGTTCAGTTTCGCGCCATGGAGACGATCACGCTCGCGGCGCACCTGAGGAGAACTGCGTTACACAACCGTCAGTGAGTGTTTGTGATTGCGGAACCCCGAGGAGGGCAACGCACCGGCTTGAGCCTCGTCCGGAAGATCATCTCGTCGTTGACGAATGCCTGGACGTAGCTGCTCGGCAACTCTGCCTTCCGCACCGCCTTCGTCGGACCCATCTTGAGGTTCTGCATGCCCGCCTTGATCGGTCCCGAGTGCTTCTCGAGCTGGAGGTCGGCGATCGAGTGGACTTGGAAGGAGAGGATGCCGGACGGATGAGAGCGAGGAGCAGGTTGACGGCCGGCGAGCTGTTGGAGGCGGCATCAGCGTGATATGTTCAGAGATCAAGCGCGCGACGCACGAGTTCTTGCAGCGCCTCAAGCCTGCCGCGCTTCTTCTTCTCGTGCTCTTCCTCCTCCTCGAACTTGCGGGCGCCGAAGTCGGTCGAGGCTAGCGGATCGTGCTTGTCCTCCTTGACCTCCGCTTTCTCTCCGTCCTTCTTCGGAAGCTTTTCAACGAGCGGGAAGAACGCTGTCCGAGCGAAGCGAATCAGTCGCTTTCCAAGTCCCAACTTCTCGAGCGGGCGCACCTGCACTGTACTCGACAACGGTCGCTTCCTCCTCGCCTTCCTCGCCACCCGCAGCCACCTTCGGGTTGACCTTGCCCTTGTCGCCCTTCTCGATTGTAACGAGCTTGTCCTGCCGCTTGCTCCACTCGCCGGGCTTCGAGTGAAGTGAGCGGATGGGCATGTCGACGTAGCCGATAGTGCTGTGCGAGGGAACCGTCAGAAAAGGGGAGGAACGCTTGTAGCAAGCGGAGCGCACTCGTCCTCGCGGAAGCGGTCGTGGTCGATCAGCTTGAGGCGAATCCTGCAAGCCGTCACACTCGTCAGCTCGCCGAGAAACCCGAAGGCACAAGTAGGCGCAACTCACTTCGCGTCGTCCTGCACCGGCTCACTCGGCACCCTGACGAAGCACATCTCCTCCCACCTCGCCTCCCCGCCCTCCTTCACAGCCCGCACAACCTTCGTCCTATACAGCGACTTGCCCATCCCCGCCCACGAGACTTGGAGGTAGGGATCGATGCCCGGCCTGCGTGTCGGGAGGAGCGCGGCGGTCTTTGTAGGCGCTGGGAGGTGAGAGGCGGAGTGGACGACGAGGACGACGATGCCGATCGTGCGGGTCTCTGTTCGAACGTCGCGCCGTGCAAGTCAGTTCCGCGAAGCTAGACGGCGGACGGACGCTCAAGCGCGCACGCACTGATCGCGACGTCTCCGCCGAGCAGGACCTTCCTGATGTCGAGCCCGTAGTTCCTGGGCAAGACGAAGTTGGCGATGACCGACTCGACGGCCTTGTAGACGTAGGTGTTGAGGAGCGGAAGCGAGAGGACGTCGAGCGAACCGCGGAGAGGCTGCGAGGTAGAGCGTCAGAAGCGAGCGCGAGTACAGGGAGGCAGTCACGCACATGAGCGCTCATCTCGACTTGGGGCATCCCCTCGAAGCCGAACGTGATTGTCTTGATGAAGGGCGGCTCGGGAGTGAACTGGAGCCGGAAGCGCATCGTGCCGCGAAGGGAAGTGATGGCGATGAGGACGGGAACGGGAAGCGTCGCAATCTTGTGCTGCACGAGGCGCAACACATCAGCAAGCTTGTCACGTAGGCAGAAGGACGTGTGATAGCATACTGCGCCAATGCCGACGTAGCTGTGAGCCGAGCAACCGGGCGAAGTCAGCTATATTCGCGAGTACGGCGTATATAACGAACTCGCGACGCCCGCGACTCACGCGACAAAATGCATGTTCTCGCTCGGATCATCCGGCTCGATCTTGCCCTCTCCCAGTTCCGCATCGGCCGTCCCCCTTCCCATCTTCACCCCCTCCTCATCCGTCTCTCCCTTCCCCTTCCTAACAACGCCCACCTTCCTCCTATACGCCACCTCAACCTCCATCTCGACGCTCTCGGCCTCCTTCCCTTCTCCCTGTTCCTCCGCATCCGCCGCCCACGGCGCCGGCTGCGGATCCGACGGATCACTCCAAGCGCTGTGCGTCGACCCGCTTATCTCGCCTTCTGCGTCTCCTTGGCCTGCGAGGCGGGCGGAGGTACCGAGAGGGGGTTTGGTAGAGGGTGGAGAGGAGGAGGGGGGTTTGGAGGAGGAGATGGGTGAGGCCGAGGAGGAGGAGGCGAAGGATGAGGAGGTGGGCGAGGAGGGGAGGATGCGGAAGCCTAGGACGCGGACGGGGTGGGTGCCTTGCTCGAAGGAGGTGACGCGGACGGAGCGCTGCGAGGGACGTCAACAAGACGAGGTCAGTTGTGCGTCTGGCCACCACATTCACGAAAACAGCGATAGCAGTGAGAGCCGCTGATCGCTATCAGGGGGCGGCGAGTACTCACCACCACGGGCGGCGTCAAGGCCTTCATCGCATCCTCCATCAAATCAATGCCCGCAACAAACAATCCGCGATCCACAATCGGCCAAAGCTTGTCCAGCACCGCATTGATCCATTCCGCTGATTCGTATTCTTTCTTGTTGGCGGCTGAAGAGGGGTCGGCGGGGTGAGAGAAGCGCGAGGAGGAGAGTGAGGAGAGGTAGGAGGGGTAGTCGAGCGAGGCGGAGTGCAGGCGGGTCGTGAGGGTGTAGGTGACGAGGCCTGTAGAGTGCGACGTTAAGACACTCTTGTAGTCTGTCATGGAGGAGAAGGCGGACGCACCTGCGACGACGAGACTCAGAGCGACCCTCACTTCCCACGAAAGGACCAGGACATTGACCGCAACAAGCACTCCCGCCAGTCCCACAATCATCACATAAGCCTGTTCACGCACCAAGCAAGCCGTCAGCGCTCCCAGCCTACCCACGCAAAGCCCTCGAGCGGAGAAACGTACCTTGCCCTCAACGTCCCTCACGAACGCCTTCCAGACCCTCTGCTCGTCCTCGCCCACCGTACAATTCACAACCCTCAACATCTCCTCCCCTCGCCCGTCCTTCCCTTGCTCCTCCGTCCCGCTCGTACTCATCCCGCTCGATCGCTTGTTCCGGCGCTTGAAGAGTCCCATCCAAATGCAGTCAGTCAGGCGGGTCAGTCCCTTAGCTCGGGCGTAGCATTCTCAGGCTTGTGAAGGGGTCCAAAGGAGAGCAAGAATGAGAACTGCGAGGACAAGCGTGCCGATGCCGAGTTGTTTGGCTGCGGGATGTGGAGCGGAGTGACGAAAGGCGACTGGAGGCGAAAGGAGTGCAGGCGGGAATGAATGGGACGAAGGTAAATGAAGCTCTTGGGTTGCAGTGGAGTAGCGCGAGTACAACGCGAAGGTGCGCGACCGACGGAGTGGACGGAGGAAGAGCAGGAGGGAACTCTCGTGCGGAAGCGGACCGCGAGGTGTTCTTTCGCTTCTTCTGAAGGTTCCTCTTGTTCCTCGCCACAGAATAGGCCGCAAAGGCGTTCGAATGGCCGTGGCAAGTCGAGCGAGCGACGAGGAAGGCCAGCCCATCGCGAAAACCCAGGTCCCGCCGCCGCTCTTACTCCTCCTCCATCCGCTTCTCCCCCTCCCCTTGCCCGTCCTCCCGCTTCTCCACCATGTCCTTCTTCTCCCGCTCCTTCCCCTCCGCCTCCTCCTCCCTGGACGCGTGCTCCTGCGGCAACAACACCGCAAAAGTCAAGAAACTCGTATGGCCCCTCGCGTACGCTCCAGTCTTCATCGTAAACTCGCGTTCGGAGCGCGGACGTCTTCCCTGAGGCGCTGGAGTCGAGGCGGACGAGTCGGCGGCGGTGGGTTTGGAGCGCTTCGAGTCGGGTTCCGCGTCCTCCTCTTCCGCCTGTGTCTCGTCCGGTCGTTCTTCCGGCGCGACGGCAGGGTCGCCACCAGCTCCCCCTCCGGTTCCCCTACGCTTCTCCTCCCTCCTCCTCTTAGCCTCCCTAATCTGCCCCTCCCTCCTCCGTTCCTTCTTCCCCTCAACCTCCCTAATCCTCCTCACCGCCTCCTCAACCCCCTTCGCCCCTCCTCCTCCAATGAGTGGGGTGGGATCAATCGTCCGAGAGAGGGTCTCGAACATTGTGATGTTGGAGAAGCCGAGAGAGGAGAGGGTGGAGCAGGTGCGGATCACTTGTTCGATGCAGGGGGAGAAACAGCAGATGCGCGATTGGGAGGATTTCTGCGGGGGCGAGCGTTAGCGAGCTCATGGGTGAGTAGACCGTGTAAGTGAGCGGAGAGGCGAGGCGAGGGAGGAAATGGAGAGGATGAAAGGAGGGGAAAGGAAAGCGAGGGCCCGAAAGCGAGACGCACCCGCATCGCCTTCTTGGCATGCTCGAGCGCCTCCCACGGTGCCGGCAAGTCGAGGAAGACTGTGGCGTGACAAGACTTCGTCAGCTCAACGGACAAGATGCCATTCCGTCTCTCGACGCGAGCGAAGGAACCGCCGCGAACGCACCAGCATCCACCTCATCCTCAAGCCCATCAAACCCATCCTTGTACACGTTCCGATGCTTGACAGTAACGACCTCCTTCAACCCATGTTGCTTGAACTCTTCCCTGTTCACTCGGCCCTCCATCAGTTCAGCCCGCCCGCGCGAGAAGAGGGAGGGAAGGGACGCACTGGGCTTTGAGGAAACGCTCTTCGTGGTATTCAAACGAGTGGACGTGGCCCTTCGAGCCGACTGTCCGTGCCAACGCATGCGTGAACGATCCCGACCCAGTTCCTGCGCCCGCACACTTGCGTCAGCCTGCGGAGACGAAGGAGCTGGGGACACGCGAGCGAACCGGCCTCGATGACGCGGCTGCCGGGCTTGATGTCGAGATACGAGGTGATGAAGGCGATGTCGGGGAGGTAGAGGATTTGGGTGCGGTGAGGGAGCGCTTGGGTCCTGTGTGCGACAACTCGTTCCTCAGCAAGACCGTCCACACCGCTGAGAAGGTACTTGCATGAGTCGCGCGCACGCACCAGAGTTCGGGCGTGGGCTTCAAGAGGAAGACGAACCCCCTCCCGTTGGTCGATGCGAGTTTGGTCCCCCAAGGTTTCCCGAGCATGTCGTTGTGCCTGAAGCAGCCGTAGCGTGACTGGATCTCTTTGCCTGGCTGGACATGCTCGGACGAGATCGAGGTGCGCGACTGTTCCCCAAGAGAGAGTGAGTGCCAGAGAGAGAGGAAGGGTGGGAGGGAATGGCGCACGGAGTAGACGATGATCCAGTCCCCTGCGCGGATGGTGTCGCTGTCCCGTGCAAAGGTCATCCCATTGAGTGTGTTCAGGAGAGAGGGAGAGAGAAGGACAGAGCTGATGGTGGGTCACGTGACAGGGGGACAGACTCGTCGACGCGCGAAGTCGTGCAGCGCACCCTCCGACGAACCAACGAACTCCCTCGCTTACGACTCACTGGAGACTGCCACACTGCGATCAGACTCCCCTGGACCCAGCTGGACTGTACTGGAACGCGCAACGATGCACCGCCGAACTCCCTCGTCCCGCTCAGTCTCGTCCTCGTCGCAGCCCCTCCTCCCGCTCCCCTCATCGCACGACTCAGCACACCACGCCCATCGCGCACCTGCACCCCGCTCGAACCCCCGCCGAACCCGCCAACTCGCACTCGTCGTTGTCATCGCACTCGCGACCCTCGTCCTCCTCGCCCGCCGATCCGCTCCCCGCGACGGGACATCCTCTTCCCGGGAGTCCGATACGCCCACCACGACTTCCAACCGCCTCTCCTTGACCCGCCTCCCGTCCCGCATAAAAGACACCGCCTCGCTCCTCCTCTCCCTCCGACCCTTCTCCTCCTCTTCCCCCTCCCTCCCTCCTCCCACCGCACCCATCCTCCTCGCGCCCCTCGCGCGCCCAACAGAAATCTCCTACGCCGAACCATGGGTCTACGAAGCGGATCCTGCGACTCTACCCCCGTGTGAGAGGATTTTGTTGTTCACGTTCATGCCTTGGTGGGGGTTCGCGAGCGAGTATATCCTCTATGTGCGTGAGGTGATCTCTCGTTCATACGGTACTGGCTAACGAAGGTCTGGGAGCAGGCTAGGGCGGCAGCGGCGGCGAAGAAACTCAACTACACGTTCCTCGAGGACGACCGGAACTGGTTCGTCCCCCCTCTCTCTCCTCCTCCCTCCCCACCTCCCCTCTCCCTACTGAACCCACGCATCGCGGTGCAGGAACTACGGCCGCTTGTCGAACTACTTCCTCCCCCGCACGCTCTCCTGCGTCCCCCCCTCCGACTGGTCCAACCCCGCCCTCGCCATCCCCCTCTCACCCTCCTCCGCCTCCTCCTCACCCCCTCACGCGCGCCTCAAATACTCCCGCCTAAACTTGGGAGACATAGACGACTGGACGCGCGAGACGTACCTCTCTTCTCCCGGTACTCAAGCGGACCTCCTCGCACTCCAGGAATCCGATCGCGCGCATCGAGTGCAGGGAGATAGGTGGATCCTCGGGGAGGGGGAGACGCTGCCTGAGGCGTTTGCGGAGGTGTTCGGGGATCAAAGTGAGTGGGTGAGGGAGAATTGGAGAGTTGCGGGGGCGGTACGGGAGGGGGTGGAAAGCGTTCGTCGAGCAGTCGGGCTCGATGCACCGAGGTGGCTTGCCGACGAGGAAGGGGAGGGAGAGGGGAGGGGGCCTGTGGTGGCTGTCCACGTAAGGTTGGGGGACAAGGCGAGCGAATACGAACACGACGCGGAGGAGATGGGTATTACCAACAGCTTGTACGTTCCTCGTCTTTCCTCTCCTGCGCATAAAGGGCTGACGAATTCGACGAATACAGTGGGAACCTGACGGTCTACATCGAAGCGGCTCACGATGCCTACCGCCGGCTCATCCCCTCCCCTTACCCTGCCTTCACAAGCTCTTCGTCCTCCGATCCTGACACGGACGCAAGCGCCCGCTTCTCCCCCTACGCCCCTCCCACCCTCCTCCTCATCACAGCCGAACCGTCGATCCCTTCTCGACTGAGGGAAGAAGTGCGACTTGCGGATCCGTGGAGGGTCGTGCAGACGCCGGGTGTCGAAAGTCAGGATGAAGGAGGAGGGGCCGCTGAGGAGAGGTTGCGGAAGGAGGGAGGGGGGGCAGGGGGACGGCCAAAGGCTTATGCCGCCGCCGCCGCCGCCGCCGGTACGGACAAGATGGTCAAAATCGTCTCCCCTCCCTCCCGGCGCTCGTTAGACTCGGGCTACACCCAACAATCCTTCAACGCCCTCCCCCTCCTCTCACGTATCGCGCACACACAGGCTTTCGTACGTGATTTGACGCTGTTGGCACGAAGCGGGGAGGAGGAGGGGGTGGACGCGGCGGTCGTGAGCGGGGCGAGTAATGTTGGACGGTTGGCGATGCTGTGCGTTCCACCCGCTTCCCTCCTCCTCCCTTCTCGAGAGTATGATGAACGCTGATACCGAATGTGCGCGCAGTATCGCGGGTAGAGAAGCGGTGATGGGGCCGAGGGATGAGCAGACGGGTAGACCGCTCGGCGGGAGGATGTGCGTACCCTTCCCTCTCTGCCCCTTCCCTCCCGATTCTTCCCCTCTCGATTCCGAGGTTCACTGACTCTGTTTCGCTTCCTGCTTGCTCCCAACCCAACACCCTTCGGCCCTTTCGGCTCCCACTTGGCAGCCGCTCCGTCGACGCGCACTTTTACCCGACGGCGTACTCCTCTGCGGTCTACACCAAGGTCGAGGACGTCGAGGACTTGGAGAACAAGGCGTTCGTGCCGGAGGAACAGCATCAGAAGGAAGTTGAGGCGCAGGCCAAGGCGCAGGGGCGGAGACGACGAGGAAGGGGCCGGGGGAGGAGGGGAAAGTGAGATCAGGAGAGGATGTCGTTTGTATGACTTGTGCAGTGCTGTTCACCGCTTGTGAAGCAAGGCTTTGCTCGCCCGCACGTTCAGGAGTGGTTCCCTCGTTGCGAGGCGCGGCGTCGATGCGAGGGTGACCTTCTCAACCGCGCCGTCGTGCTCTATCGGCTGCTCCGTGCTCGCTCTCGCTCGAAATAGCCGCTGTAGACGCTGCACTCGCTGTGTATCTGTGTACGATTCAGCCAGTACAGCGTTCGAGGGTTGCCAACTCGCTCGTTCGTCCTCCCCACCTCGTCGACCCTCGGCAAGCGGGGAAGCACACTGACGAACCCTCGTTCTCTTCCTTCTCTTACAACTCTTCCAAACTCTTCTAACTGTTAACAGCTACAACAGCATCGCAGCCATGCCCACCGCACTCACAGACACACAACCCCCACCCGTCATCCTCGACCTCCGCAACAAACCCCTCCACCCATCCCCTCCCCGCTCACCCTCGCCTTCCTCCGCCTCTTCAGACTCGTCAACAGACCCGCTCATCGCTCAAGTCATCGCCGGGTTGCGCGGGACGAGCGAGCATGTCGTACCGGGACAGACCAGCGAGGACCGCAAGTTCGCTTACAAACGCTCGATCCCGACCATGACGCTCTACAGCCAGCGCGGTCTCGAGATCTACGAGGACATCACCAACACCAAGGTGCGTTCCAGCCCCTCCTTGCGCCGAATGTGGGCTGACAAAGGGAGGGACGGACAGGCGTATTACCCGTTTGCGGCGGAGAAGGAGATCCTCGAGCGCTTTGGGGACGAGATTGCGTGTAGGATGTTTGGGCTCCCGTCGAGTGTCCTGCTGGGCGACGAAGGACCGAGCGACGGAAAGGACGACGAGGGGGAGAAGGTGTATGAGCGAACGGGGGCGGGTAACAAGCCTGCCGACAAGGAAAAGTGGTTCGTCCCCGTCCCTCTCCCCGCCTCCCATCCACTCGCTGATACCCGCCGCGACGCAGGGGCGACCCCTCGGTCGGCCTGCACAACTACGGCGTCAACGGTTCCTCGAACCTCCCCGCCGCACTCATCCCCTCGCAAGGACTGGCAGTCGAACTTGGGTCGGGATCGCTCGACAAGACTAGGCATTTGTTGAGGAGTATGGCCAAGCTTTTGCAGCCCCGTAAAGGAGCGAACGAGGGAGAGGGGGTGTTGAAGGCGATTGATTACAAGGCGGTGCGTCTCGCGCCATTCTTCTGTGTTAAAGTCGTGTCGGACGCGACACTGACGTTCAAAGTGGGTGGACTTTCGCAGCTCGACCTCGAAGCCGCCTCGCTCCACTCGACCCTCTCGTCCCTCGCCTCAGTCGAAGGCGAATCCGTCACGACCTCTCTCGACTCTTCCCCGCCCACTCTCGACTCCACGCCGAACGGGCACAATGGAAAGCGCCGCGTGAGCGTCTCGGGCCTGCACGCGACGTACGACGAAGGACTGGCGTTCCTCAAAGCCCAGCAGCAGCAGCAACACCAGTCTAACGGCGCGAACGGGTTCAGTCCCTCTTCTGGCACCTCCGCGCTCTCCGACTCGCCCCTCTCAAGCCCGGAATCCTCGCCCACCCGCCTCCCAGCCCTCTCCGAGTTATCCGCCCTCGAAGACCCAGGCCGCCGCGCAACTTCAATCCTCTGGCTCGGTTCCTCGTGCGGCAACTACACCCGTTCCGAGGCGGTCGAGTTCCTCAGGAACATCGAGTTGAGGGAGGGGGATACGATGGTTATTGGGATTGATGCGTGCGCGGATGGACCCAAGATCGTGCAGGCTTACAACGATCCCGAGGTGCGTCGCGGTTTCTCTCTCTCAGCTCACCCCCGCTCTGCGATTGAACCGTCTGGATGGTCGCACACGCAGGGCGTCACCCGCGCGTTCATCCTAGAAGGAGTAGACGTCGCAGGCCGGACGCTCGGGCCCGAGACAGCCAAGGTATTAAACCAGGACAACTTTGAGTACGTCAATAGGTGGAACGTGCAGCTTGGGAGGCACGAGGTGCGTTTTGCGCGACTTTTCCTTCTTGCTTGCGGTGGGAGGGCGCTGATGAAGGAGTTTGGGGCGACGCAGGCCTATGTTCGCGCGAAGAGCGACTTGTCGATCCCGATGCCTGACGGCGAGGACGTCGAGCTCTCGTCCGGCGAGTACGTCCCCCTGCCCCTGCCTTTCCCTCCCTCCCTTCTCCGCTGACGAGCTGCGCCCCGGCCAGGTTGCTCAACATCGAGTTCTCCTACAAATACACCTACAGCGAAGCTCTCTCGCTCTTCCACCTCTCCGGCTTCCGACTAATCCAACACTGGACCGACTCGTCGCACTCGCACTACCTCTACTTGGTCGAGAAACCGAGGATGTGGTTTCCCGCGACGCCAACGAGCGCGAGTAGGATGCTGGGCGTGAAGGAGGAGGAGGGGAGCAACGAGTATGGAGTGCCGAGGTTGGAGAAGTGGGAGGAGATGTGGAAGGCTTGGGATGCGTTGATGGTGCGTTCGCGAACTGGCTTCTTCGCTTGTCTCGAGGCTGACGAGTTGCGTGAATGGTCCCGCGTAACAGCTCGACATCATCCCGCCCTCTCTGCGGTTCACCAAGCCGATCCCACTCCGCCACATCCCTCTCTTCTACGTCGGCCACATCCCCGCCTTCCGCGACATCCACCTCTCGCGCTACTTCTCCGAACCGCTCACCTCTCCCTCACACTTCGCCGACCTCTTCGAGCGCGGAATCGATCCCTGCACGGACGAGCCAGACAAGATCAATCACTGGCATTCGGAGGTGCCGGCTGAGGAGGAGGGGTGGCCGGCGATGGAGGAGATCGTGCAGTATGAGAGGAGGGTGAGGGATAGGGTCAGGGAGGTGTATGCGAAGTTTGAGGGGAGGTGGGAGCGCAGGCTGGCGAGGGTCTTGATGATGGTCTTTGAGCACGAGATGTGCGTTCGCGGTCCTTCCTTCCTCTCGTGCGTGAGTGTGACTGACGACTCATGGGACGAACAGGATGCACTGGGAGACGGCGATCTACATCTGTCTCCAGGCCTGCACCTCGCTCAACATCCCGCCGGGCATGGCCATCCCAGACTTTGCCTCCCTCTCGCGCCTTGCCGACCGCGAAATCGCGCACGAGCGCGCCGTCCTCGGCCCGAACGCACGCCAACAACGCCTCACCTTCGACGCGCGGACGATCGAAGTCGGACATGACGACGACGACCGCGTCGACGAGCAAGTCGCCTTTGACCCGTCGCACGAGTTTGGGTGGGACGTCGAGCATCCCCAGCGTCGTATCGAGGTCGGCGCATTCGAGATTGATGCGTTGCCGGTCACGAACGGCGAATACCTGGACTGGCTCGTCAAGAATGGCGGGCTGGAAGAGTCGAAACTGGTCCCGGCTAGCTGGGCCGTCAGCGAGGGTGCGAAGGTCGCGGTCAAGACGCTTTATGGAGAGGTGCCAATTGAGTACGCGCGCGAGTGGCCTGTCGCAGCGTGCGCGGACCAGCTCGAGCGGTTTGCGAAGGTCAGTCCGCTGTTCGCTTCGTCTTCGCTTGCGGGTCTGTAGACGCAGCAGGCCATGCAGGCGATGAACGAGTTGACAGAACTGACTGACTGGCTTCGATTTCGCAGGACAAGGGTGGTCGCCTCCCGACCTTCGGCGAGCTCTCCGTCTTCCTCCAGCAAAACCCCGTCTCGACGCCTCTCAGCAACATCGGCTTCGAGCACCTCCTGTTCCGCCTACTCTTCCCGGCAAAGGGCGCGACGGCTCCATCCTTCCCGGCACGGACGGCGGGTTGTGGCAGTGGACTTCGTCGCCGCTCGAGGCGTGGGAGGGGTACCACGACTCGGTGCTGTACCCTGGTGCGTCGAGCTTCTCTCCCGATACGCCGAGGCGATACGTCGAGGCTAAGGGAGATCGAGCTGACGGATCTTCCGCCTGCCAGGTTACTCGTCCGACTTTATGGACGGCAAGCACCGCATCGTCCTCGGCGGCAGCTACGCCTCGCCGCGCAGGATCGTCAGGCCGACGATGGTGAATTGGTATTATGGCGACTATTTGTTCGTCTTGGCCGGCGCCAGGATCGCCTACGACGTCTGAACTTCTCCCCCCAAAAAGAACTTTCGCGTCCGCGTATATCTCAAGAAACCCTGTAGCCGCTCTGTAGATACCCTTCTCAAAAGAAAGAGACACTCTTCATCCGTACCACTCACGAACGACCGGCAAGAAAGCGAGTTGCAAGCGCTGCCTAGAAGTCCTCGTCGAACTCAAAGCCTTCGTCGGACGCTTCCTCGGCCGGCTCGTCTGCTCCGCCATGCTCGTCTGCTACCCCCTCGTCCTCGTCCTCCTCATCCTTGACCGCAAGCTTGCCCTTCGCCTTCTGCGCGCTCGCCCTCGTCGACCTTCTCCTCCCTCCCTCATCGCTCGGCTCCTCCTCCACCACCTCCTTCTTCGGTAAGCGCACTCGCAAAGTGCGATCGGAGGTCGACGTCCCGCTGAGCGCGCCCGCATCGACGCTGGTACTGGCCGAGGAAGCGAGTCGTTTCCGAGGAGGCGGCGCGGATTCGTCGGATGGAGAGAGCGAGGTGGGCGAAGGGGAAGAGCGAGAGTGGCGCTTCTGGCTGCCGTTGGCGGTGGCGGGGGAAGAAGCGGCGGAGCCGTTCAGGCGGATTTTGAGCGAAGGAGCAGGAGTCGCGGCCGCATCGGCGGGCTCCCGCGCAGGCGTCGCCGGCTCCGCTTTCGCCTTATCAATGATCCTGTCAGCGAGGGTGCTGCTGAGCGAGCGCGCGCGCGTAAACGCACCTTCCCCTTGCCCTTCTGATCCTTCTTGCCGTTCAACTCCCTCGCAAGAACCTCGTCCGTGACCTCCTCGGGGTCCTTGAACTGATCGAGCAAACGCTGCCTGATTCGCAGACCCTGGATGAGCTTCTTCCATCGCTTGAGGACGCGGTCTTGCTGCTTCGCGAGTTCACGCTCAAGCGTCGACTGCTCGAGCGTGATGATCGCCTGCGACAAAGACCCGTGAGCGACGGCTCGACGTCACGCAGAAAACGACAGCGTACCTCTTGCAGCGTCTCGGCGTTCTCGGCTGCGACGACGATGCCTGTCATGACCGGGATTGCGCGGCGCTGACGGAACTCGAAGCCGGTCTTCGTGTGCGCGGATTAGTGAGCTTCCGCTTCATGAGAGGACAGTGCACAGCGGAACGCACGATAGCTTCGGCAAAGTCGATTCCGAGTTCCTTGGCGCACTTCGCCGCAACCTTGCCTGCGAGAAGCGAACAGTCAGCGAGACTTGCGAGCACCACGTACCGCCATGAGCTTACTCGGGAGGTGGGCGGCCCCTTCGGGCAGCATGGACGGCGTGAAGAGGTCGATGTTGCCGAAGTTGTTCTTCGGCACTTTGCCCTGCGTTCAGAAGCGGGGCCCTCATTGTCAGCAGTCTCGCCATCGCAGGAGCTGGTGATATCCCACGGGAACGCACATCCTTTACCGGCGGCGGAACGTAGACGTCCGTCTGACTCTCCGCGTAGAGCGGCTGCTCGTCGACCGTTCCTCCATCCATCTTGGCCAACTCCTCCTCCCTCCGCCTGTTGATCGTCACCGCCCGCTGCTTGACAAACTTCATCGGGATCTCGGCGGACTTGATCACCCTGCCGACGCGATACCAGTTCTCTTGCGACTTGACGGTGACGACGTCTGAGCGGCGGAAGACGGGAGTGTCGCCCTTGAAGAGGCCGACAGATCGGGCGGAGGGGAGGAGCGCTTCGTCTCGGTGAAGGTGTTGCTCGAGAACGTAGCTGCGAAGGGAAGATTGTCAGCCGACGTCAGCGAAAGGAGACGAAAGGTACAAACTTGGGATGGTTCTTGAAGCCGCCGAGAGACGTCGGGAACGGCGCATTCGTCTGACGGTGCCACAGCTCCTCCTCTTCCTCTCGGTCGCGATTCTGCGACGCCGAGCAGCGTCAGATCGGCGCCGAAATCCACGAGCCGGACGCGACGAGGCCACAACGCCTTTGGTGTCCAGCGAGACGCGGCAGAACCAACGCACCAGCTCAAAGCCTCTTTTGAATGGCCTGATGATCCCCGCGAACCAATCGTCGCCGTCATTCTCCTTCCTCGCCTTCGAGCTTGTTGGTACCCGCAACTTGAGCGTAACGTTCGTAAAGGCGCGGGCGTAGCGAGGTGTGACGTCGCGGACGGACCCGTCTGTTGCACATTCCGTCAGCTCGGCAGATGGAGCGAAGAAAGGCGAAAGCGAGACGCACCTTCCTCGAGCGCGACGACATACGCCAACACGTTCCCCTCCCCTCCGCCCTTCGCGCTCCTCTGCACCGGCTCCATGATCTGCTTGCACCTCATGCGCTTGCGAACGGGGTCGACGGTGATCCACTCCTTGTTGTAGCGCGTGTAAGCTTCGGCCCATTGAGTCGGCGGATTGTTAAGTTCGGCTGCATCTGTTGATCGCATGCAAGTTCCACCATCAGCTTCTCTCTCGCTGTACGAATGAGACGCCGCTAGGAAACGCAGGAACCAACCTGGACTCGGTGCCCTCGTCAACTCAGCCTCTTTCTTCCACCCCGCCACTCTGTGTCCGTTCTTCCCCTTCGCACCTCCCGAACCCCGCAGCTTGATCTTCGGGACTTTGTAGTTCAATTTTCCGTGGCCGTCGACGAAACCGTCGGTGTCGGAGGCGGAAGAGGCTGTTGACGAGAGGACGAGGATTTCGGCAGAGGCGGCGCGGGAGGACGACGCTGAGGCGGAAACGGAGGCGGATGCTGAGCCGGGAGGTTTCTTGCGAGCCGTGGAGGTCGACGTCTTCGCCTTGGACTTTGTTGGCTGAGGTCGAGGGTTACGCTCAACGACGAGGTCCTCGGAATCCGAGTCGTCCTCGAAACCGAATTCGTCGTCCTCGACCTTCTTCTTGCCCTTTCCCATAACCTTACCCTTCGAGCCCTTCGCCTTCCCCTTCGTCGCCATCGCTGCACCCTTCTTCCCCTTCGCCTTCGCCCTTGACCCACCCCCGCTCTGCGCCTTACTCCTCCACTCGACAGCCTGCAAGCTGACGACCAGCCTCGCAGGGACGTCAATCGCCCTCAATAGCGCGACGAACAGCTGGGACGAGAGGTCCCGGCTTCCGCGCATGTTGTGCGCTGCCGAGTAGAGCGAGGCGAGCGGGCCTCTCGAGGTTGAGGAGCTGGAGGGAGCGGGAGGGCGAAGGACTTCCCAAGTCGATGAAGCGGGGGTGTAGGGCCGGATGAGGACGGGCGGACCGGTTCCCGGTGCAGGAGACGGGTGGAGTGGGAGCTTCGAAGTCGTGGCGGAGAGGTCAAGCGCTCGGTTCCGCTGGGGAGCTGTGAGAAGGGGTTGTTCGGCCCAAGGATAGAGAGGGATCTGTGAAGGGTCGAGAGGCGGGTCGCGAGCTTTTCCCTTGCCCTTCGAGTCGCCAGCCTGCTGTTGCTCCCACTTGTCTCGCTTCCGCTTCGCAACAGCCCTCAACCGCTCGCCCTCCTCTTTCCACCCCGCCAGTTCTTCCTCCACTTCTTCGACTTCACGTCGTCGCAACTCGTGTTCGTCATCGATCGTCCAGGAGGCGTACCACCAGGAAGTTAGGTCGGCGAGGGCGCGGTCGAAGAGGCGGGAGCGATCGCGCGGGTTCGGGTAACGGGAGGGAGTGATGAGTGAGAAGGCGTTGAGGAGGGGGAGGGGGACGACGGAGAGGATGCGGGCCTGCAGGAGAGCGAGATTAGAATTCGTGCGATGCTTCACAAAGACGACGACCCAAGCAGCGATTCCTGTCGTAAGTCGATCATTGCAGCAAGACGCACCTGCAGCTCCTTGTCGTTCAGCCAGCGGTTCCGAATCATGGCCATCGCGAGCAGGCTCAGGACGTGAGCCTTGTGTCGCTCCTGCCTGATCATGCGCTCCCTCGCCGTCTCGCCCTTCGCTTTCCTGTGGACAATGTAGGACGTTTGAAGTCAGCTCACAGCACCGCAAGCAGACGAGCGAACGAGAGAGTGCCGGACGCACCCTTTGCCCTTCCCCTTCGCGCCCGCCTGTCCACCGCGAGAAATGACAATCTCGATGCCCTTCGCTGCTCTTTCAGCTGCAGTCGCTGCATCCGCGCCTTCTGCCGCGCCCTGATCCTCTCCTGCTTCTCCTGCCTGACCCGTCTCGGCCCCAGCCTGCGGGATGTCAACCTCGTCCCAGGCCTCCTCGTCCTCGTCCAGGTCGTCGTCGTCCGCGCCTCCGTCGCCTGTGCCAGTCCCTGCTGCTGCGTCTGAGTCGTCTGCCGATGCTGAGAGCGAGAGTGGAGTCGATTGACCCGAGTGGGATGGGTCGTGCGTGAAGAAGCGCGAGGTTGATGCGAGCGGCGGGGTCGAGTGAGCAGACATCGCACAAGCCTGCATCAGCCCAGCCAGCCACTCTGCGTCGAGCCAGACCGCGAGCGAGTTCAAGTCGTCGCCAAAGAGAGATGACATCGGCGACGGAACTCGTTGACATTCGCTGTTGACATCGCTTGCACGGGTCTGCGCTGCTCGAGAGTGCTCTGTGACACTCTCTGGACGCTGCCAGACTCGCCCAACGAGCCCGCCATTCAGCCGACCCGCACACTCCCCGTCCTCATCTTGCCGAAGCTCACCTCGACCGACAACTCGACGACACGCTCAGGAGCGCTTTCCTGGCTCGTGGATCGCTCAGAAGGGGCTCAACAATGCAGCGATGAGCCCACCACACTCCCCGGGTTCCTCGACTACTCCCTCACCCCTCCCTTCCTCTCCATCGCTCAACCCCCCTCCTCGTACGCACCAACACCCCAACTCGCCTCCAGTCCGCTTTCTCTCCGTCGCAGAGGACCTTGCTACACGACCAGTCTCGCCGCAGCCTGGAAATGGCGGCTTCGGGATGAGAAGGAGCGCGTCGAGGGATTCGAACCAGGCGGCAGCGACCGCAGGACTGGGCGTGTCGGTTGTAACCCTGGGAGCATCGAATTCGGGAGAACGGAGCCTCATTGTAGGACCGGCGTTTGGGACAACGGCGGACCCTCTGTCCGTTCCATCTCGCTCGCAACCACCTGCTTCGCCTTTACATCCCCTCAGTCCAGCCCTTCAAGTCTCGCCATCGTTCATTCCGCCCTCAACAGACAGCACAAGCGATGCTCCAACGAATCGCAAGAGCCCTACCCCGAACCTCCTCCTCCCTCGTTCACATTCTCCTCGACCCCTTTCCTCCGCCTCTTTCGCCAGCTCTGGCAACACCGGTCCTACCATCACTCGGATCGCGAGTCCGTTGGAACCGTCGTCGGCGCGCACTGACGAACCCGTCTCACCCGCGCCTGTTATGCGACGCCAATCCGCCTCCGACCTCTTGTCGCTCTCTCCGCCGATGGAACCGTTGACCGAACTGGACGTGCTGAAGGACCTCGCGTCCGGTGGGACCATCGCTCGGTCCAGGAGCCGGAACTGGGGAAACGAGGTTCCGGGCGATAGCGGTTGGAGCGGGACGACCGAGATGGGCGAGCAGGCTTCGGTAGCTGCGAAGCCGTCGACCGAGCCGCTTCTCGTGCGGACGTCGAATGCGGGACCAGCGTCTTCCGCAACTCGACCTCTATCCGCGCAGGATTCTGCGGCATCCGGCTACCCTCCCCCTCTTCACTCTCGATATCGCCAATCCGCCGACTCCCCTTTCGCCTTCTACACCTCCTTCCTCATCGTCATCCTCCTTCCCGCGCTGTTCCTCGTCTTCAATGCGGACTGGCTGTGGCACACGAATGAGGGAGGGACGAGGTGGGGAAAGGCGCTGGTTGTGATTGTGGCTGTCGGAGCGGTCATCGTCTGGGTGCTCATGGTGCGCACTCACTCTCCCCTCTTTCCTTACCAGCAGCCAGCTGACGCTCCCCGACATACAGCTCATCACGGCCTTCTCGAACCCCGGCATCATCCCTCGCAACCTTGACCCCGACCCACCGCGCCACTGGATCCCACTCGACCCGTCCGGCTCGTCAACGGACGCGAAAGACGGCGAAGGAGAGGGGGAGTGGAGAGTCGAGATGCGGTATGTTGAGGTGTTGGGTGGGAAGGCCGTCGTGGGTTGCAAGTGTGCGTTCCGTTTCCGCTTCGATTTGGCTCTGAGGTGACGCGGCGAGGAGAGGGCTGATGCTTGTGGAAGTTGACTCCAACAGGGTGCGAAACGTGCAAGACGTACAGGCCGCCGAGGACGAGCCATTGCAGGTTGTGCGACAACTGTGTCGAGCGGACGGATCACCATGTGCGTTCGACGGCAACTCGTTCACTGATTTTACTTCTGTGATGGCGAGCATAGCTAATCGTCATAAATCGGCGGTGTTGTCGCAGTGCGCTTTCCTGAATACGGTGAGTGAGCCGGGCTGGCAGTCTTTGTGAAGGCAGGCAGTTTTCTTGCCTGCAGGTCGTTATTAGAGCCCCGTCCGGTACTTATTCGTCGTCTCGCGCAGTGCATCGGCCGGCGCAACTACCTCCCCTTCTTCCTCTTCCTCCTCTCGACTACCCTTCTCGCCTCACTCAGCATCGCCCTCTCAGCCGTCCACGTCGCTTTCGGCGGCCCACAATGGGACTGGCAGCGCATTGGCGCTTTAGTCGTGCTCGCCTTGACGGCGGTCGTGAGCGCTCCGGTCATGTGCCTAGCGATGTACCACGTCGGGTTGGCTTCCGCACAGAGGACGACGATCGAGATGGTGCGTTCTCGCGCTTTCGATTTTCTCACGTGCGTTTCCAGCGCCGCAAGCTGATCAATTGTCCCGCCACGGGAATGCACAGCTCCGCCCTCCCCTCATCCGCTTCGCCCTTCTCGACCCCTCAACTCACCTCCCGTTCTCCACCACACCCTCCACCGACGGCATCGCATCGACTACGAATCCGTGGGCGACCGGGAATCCGGTCAAGAACTGTGTCGAGGTGGTTTGCTCCCCGGGGAGAGAACGGGTGCGTGTCGAGGGTGAGAGTGAGGCAGGTTCGCGACCGCGCTTAGCGGTGCGAGAAGCGAATGGGAGGGTGTGAAAGATGTTTGTGCGTGTGTCTGCCCCTTATCTTCACGCCTTCGCCCGGCGCAACTGACCGAGATCGACTCGTTCGTCACAGGTTCCGTCCACTCGGGTGTACCGCATCGCACTGCATTCCTCAAGTGGACGACTGTAGGTTCCTATTCTACGTTGTCCTTGTCCCTGTATCGTCACGCTCAGTCGCCCCGTCACTCAACCTCCGCCGGACTCCTCGGATCAGTTATCATCGTTTCGTCTGCTTTCTTCTCTTCCTCCACCTCCTCTCGCTCAGCTACATGCCTCCATCCACGATCATCTGCACGCTCGTTACGCGCGGGCCAGCGGGTACGAGCGGCCAAGGCACCGAGCTGCTCTTCTTCGTCCCGCTTGCGCGACGCTCTCACGGCGAAGTCTACTCCGACTCGAGTGAGTTGGCTTTTGTACTGCAGGAGGCGGTAGCGGGAGGAGAGGAGGCGGCGCTGGAAGGCTCGAAGAAGAGTATCAAGGAGGGATTGCTGCTTGACGCTGACAAGGACATGCGGTGCGTCTTCCAGCGCCCCCCGTGTCCCGCTCAGCCTCTTACCTTTGGGTTCCTCCCGAAGGCTCATACGACGCTCACGACAGATCGCCTGGACGCCCGAGTCGACTCTCCAAGTCTTCCTCTGGCGCATGTCCGAATCATACGAGCGCGGTCTCGAGATTGCGTTCGCTGAGGCCGCAGGGCAGGAGTTCGAGAAGACGGAGCAGAGGGAGCGGGACCAAGCGATGTATCTCATCGCCGAGAGCAGGCTGGGTCGATGGACGCATGAGTGGCAGGCCATTGGCGAGGTCGAGAAGGATCCGACGACGCTCAAGGTGCGTGTTCCACCAGTCTTGACGAAGTCTCGAGCTAATTTCTTGCAGCGCAGCCAGAGCACGTGTCGACGGCCTTCAGCAGCGTCATCCTCCCTGACCTCCTCGACGAAGCGCTGTACCTCCTCTCCTCCCTTCCCGCTCTTTCGGCCCTCGACGCCTGCGACATCGCGCTGAACGCCTTCGTGCAACTCGTTGAAGCTCGAGTGGGTGCTGGAGCTTTCAGGGGGAGTTGGCCTGCACATGTCCCGCCGCCGACATTGGCGACGCTCGACCTGCCGGACAACGTGGTCAAGTACCGCTTGATGCTGTACTGGCGCGATGGTGCGTCGCCCTGCGCTCTTCAATGGCAATGCCCGCTGACAGAACTCCACCCGGCAGTCGTCGCCCACCAGTTCGGCATCGCCACTCCCGCTCACGCTGCTTCCCTCGCCGCTCTCTTCCTCCGCCTCCTTCTTCCCCTCAAAGCCCCATGTCTCTCGCCTCAGACGTCGCTCGACACTTTCGTCCGCGCCGCGAAAGAAGCCGCCGTATCTGAAGCAGCGCGAGTACGGCTCGCCGCGGCAAACATCGAGAAGCTGGGGGTCGCCAAGATCCTCGAGCGAGCTGCGAGGGAGAAGAGACCTGTCCTGCGCGTCGTCGTGGCTGGGAACAATCCGCTTCTCTTTGGCGTCTTGCGAGAGTTGGTGCACTACGTTTCGACAATCTCTGCCCATCCGTGCGTCTTTCTCCCGCTCTTCCCGCAGCATGAGCTGACCACGTCTGTGCAGATACGCTTCCGTCAACCCTCACATTCATGCCCTTACTCGCGCTCTCGAAGTCGAGTGAGTCCCGCAGTGCGCTGAATCCACGTTCCTGCTCACCTTTCCTTTCGCTCACACAGATGGGCGAGTCAACCGAATGTCCTGCACATCACCGTCGCTGAGAGTCGACCACTCTGCTCCGGTGCCGTCCTCGCCTCCCGTCTCTGGAACGTCGCGACGACCTCTCGCGAACGAGCGACCCAACTTCGCGCCCTCGCAACCAGCTACGAGAACCCGTACCTCCACCATCCTCTTTCTCCCGGTCCAACTGCGACGCAACTACCGAACGGGTTACTCGGTCGACTTGCGCACGAGATGGGCGTCGAGACGGAGGATGCGCTCGGCGAGACGGGCGAGACGTACGGTCGCCTCAATCGGCTACTCAAGCAGGCTGAACCTCGGGTCCTCGGTCAGCCGCCGCCGGCTGGGATCGGTGGAGCGAAGGTGAAGGTCGAAGTCGCGCCGGACAATGCGCTTGGAGCTGTATTGAAGGCGACAAAGGCGGAGAAGGGCGCGGGTCAAGCGGTTGTCTTGCTCGCGGCCGAGGCGATTCTGCCGGGGAAGGCGGGCGACGTGGTCGCTGAGATGGGCTCGTGGATGCTGGCGGATATGGCGACGAAGCAGGGCGCCAAGGTGAGTTGCGCTTGCCCTTCTCTCCAAGTCGCTCCCGCAGGACTGACCGCTTCCTTCCCAGGTCTTCGTCATCGCCACATCCGACACCATCCTCCCGCCCTCCAATCCCTCTCCACCCCTCGCAAATCACGACCCGACAGAGCTACTCGCAGGCTGGTCGGGCACCCTCGCAGCCGAGACGAACGACCTCGATGGCTTCGCTCGCGCTTTGGCGGACGAGGGACAGCCTGACTTATCGGTCGTCACGGCGGCAAGCGAGGTCGTGCCGGGTGGGTTGATAGACGGGTATATCAGTGAGTTTCAAGCCCGTCGTTCCTCCGCTTCTACGTCGCTGACTTTCCCTCTCGACTTTCCGCAGCCGACAAGGGCTTCCTCAGCGCCGCAGGATGTGCAGTGCTTGGCGCAGAGCGAGGAGACGCAGAAAAGCAGTTGTTGGACTTGTGACGAGCTTCTCTTCCCAACTTGCGAAGGTCGCAAATTGTCGCAAACGAACGAGAGATTGGTGCGCTCAGAAAGCCATTACAAGCGCTGTTCCGTCTATACACTCATTGAGATTCGTTTCTACTACTTTTCTCCGACCGCGAACAGAGCGAGCGAGGGGAGCAGGAAGATCAGGCCAAATCCGCGTCCTTCTCCCGCCTCGCATCCGTCGGACGTCCAGCAAGGTCTTCTCCCTCGACTGCGTTCTGGTCGTTGCTGAGCTTGATGTTGCTGACCATGAGAGCAAGGAAAGGCGGGACGACAGCTGCAACATCACCAAAGCCTCGTCAGCTTCAGCCTCGCCAAGAAAGCGAGCGCGCAAACGCACCGATAGCAGTCGCCGCAATGAGCAGAATCTTCATCGTCTCCGTATACGCCCCAACAATCCCATCGTACGCCGCGTCGTTCGTCCCGCGGTACGTGACGGCGGTAGTGATTGATCCAAAAACTGAGGCGATTTCGGTGGAGGAGAGGATGCCCGTGAGGTGTGAGGCGAGTTCGCGAGGCATCCAGTCGCGCCAGATGGCGGTTGCGATGGCCGTACCTGCGGGCGGGAAGCGTCAGCTAGATCCAGCCACTTCCTCCTGCGAAGAAGGAAGATGCGGCCGAGTGAGGAAGCGCGCAACTCACCAACCGCATTCCCAATCTCCGCAAACAACAACACAAACGCCGTCACAGTCGCCACATCCTGATGCGGCACGCTAGCCTGTGCGAGAAGCTGTGTCGAGGCCGAAGCAATTCCGCCGCCGAGTCCTTGGAGGACCTGTACGATGACGAGTTCGGCGGTGGAGCCGTGGGCGCCTTTGGAGTGAATCATGAGGCCGACGCCGAGGAGGCGGACGAGGAGGCCGAAGAGGAGAAGCCACTGCGGAGGCGGAAGACGGGGAGGGCGGGAAGGTCTTTGGGTCAGCGCTTACTCATTCGACGTCTCCACGGCGTTCGCCGACGTCATAGAGAGTCAACACACCTTGGTACGACGAAAGTAGAGCTGGTAGAAGCCAGCAAGGATTGCGCCGAGCGTGAGAGACTGCGGACGACGATCAGGAGGTCACAGAATCAGCCCAGGTCCGTTCCGCTCAACCAGAAAACGCCGTAGAACGTACAAGGGATTGTGTGTATGCGAAATAACCTTGATCTTTCACCGACCAGTCCTTGACGACGGCGATGAAGGAGTATTGGTAGGTGTACTGGAGGTCTGCGGGCAAACGTCCGTCAGTCGCCTCCCTCCATCTCCGTACACTCTGCGCCAAACTCACAGAACGACACAAAATCAAAGAACCCGATCAACGCGCACGCCAACACCGTCGGCGATCTAAAGAACCTGAACGGAAACAATGGTTTCTTCGCTCCGAACCGTTCGTAGGCGACGAAAGTGATGAGCGTGAGTCCGCCAACGACGAGGAGAACGATAATCTTGTAGGAGGTCCACCAGAGAGTGCCTTTGTTTGCGAGGGTGAGAGGGAGGAGGATGCAGGCCCAGCCGGCGCCGAAGAGGAGGAGACCTGCGTATGGGATCCCTCAGCTTCTTCCGTTCTTTTGACCCTTGAGAAGTGTATACGTACCGAGTGCGTCGATGTCGAGAGCCCACGAGAGCATCCGCTTCCCTAGAGGCCGAGTATCCTTTGCCTTCGCAATCGTTCCGCCGTGCTCTTCGACGAGGTCCGTTGCATCGAGTCCGAGGCGCTTGGCCTGTGAGAGATCTGTCAGTATACGAGTTGATGAAGGTGAGGAAACGACGCACCCGGATTTGCGCCCAGAGGAGCGTGCTGATAATCGGGGAGAGGGTGACGGGGATGAGGATAATGAACTGCGTCGTGGGTCGCGTCAGTACAGACAAAGCGTTGACGAGGGGAAGTAGCGCACCATGGCGTAGCTGGGAAAGGAGACGCGAGTGAGTACGGAAGAAAGCGACGAAGAGAAAGCCAGACTTACCCCCAGTGCCAGTTCGACGTCGCCAGCACGCCCTGCGCGATATTGCCCGACACGAACGCACTATAAATCGGTCGTCAGCTCACTCAAAAACGAGAACATCGAGAGGAAAACGAACTTGACGAAGAACCAGACCGAGGTGAGGGACGAGATCAGGCCGCGCCAGCGAAGGTTGGTGCAGTCTGCGCACATTTGCCGTGTCAGAGATGATGGCGGAGGGAGAGGGAGAGGGGTGGGGAGAGGCAGAGGGAGAGGGAGGAGGACGGACCGGCGATGACGATCTGGATGAGGATCTGGAGGGCGGCATAGCCGACCTGAGGAATGGAAGTGTGAGCAGGCGAGTCTGCGAGGCGGGAATGGACGATAGCGGTAACGTACGTAGTAGATGACTGCACCAGCGCTGCGAGGAGGACCAGAGGTCAGTCAGGAGCGACGAGGAGAGCTAGCGAGGAAGGACTCGAAAACGCACGCATAGGTGTGGACGTTCGAGCAGGCGGCAATGATGATGTACCCGAGGCAGTAGAAGAAAACAGCGAGGACGAAGGCCTCTGCGCGACCAAAGACGTCCGCAAACTTGGCCGCGAACGGCTTTGACACCGCAAGTACGATAGCTTGCGCAGTCGCGATGGCTCCAAGCAAGCTGTGCTGGCCGAAACTTGAGGTTGCGCCTGCGGCATAGAGGTACGTTGTTGTCCCGTCGAGAGAGTAGATGTAGCTTGCAAGGGCGATACCGACGAACAAGGCGATGCGGGAATCGCGTCTCCAAACGCGGTTGACGCTCTCGACTTTGAGGACGCCTGCTTGGGTCGCGACGGCGTACGAGGGGGGCGAGGCGTCGTGGGTTGTCTGCGAGGGGAAGAGGCAGAGTTTTAGCCCGGGGCAGATAATCTCGACGCAGCTGGCTCGCGATCGAGCGAGGAGGAGCCGGTGTGCGCGCGGGAGGCTGTTGGGGTCCTTCGTGTGTCGACTTGAGAGCACACGCTAGTCCTAGCGCGATCAAGCGAGAAGCCGAGCGAGCGAGCGCACCTGGACTGGGGGTACCTCGGCGCTCGCAGTCTGCGCGAAGCGAGCGTGGTCGTGCTCGCGCTGGACGTTGCCAGCATACTGCTGTGCGTCCTTGCCTTCGTCGTGCGAGCTTGTCGACATCGTTGCGCGTGTGCAAGAGGGAGAGAGAGAGGGAGGGAAAACACCGAGCCCAAGACTCGCGCGCGCGCTCGATCATCAGATAGCGGCAGTCGCGCAGCCAGCTCGCAAAATCTCGTCGCTGCCTCCTTCGTACGCCTGCTGGACTCCTGGACGTGTATAACACGAGCCCTGGCGGATAGGAAGCGGTCGAGCCAACTTGACCTTCCTCGTCCTCCTCGAACCGCCTCTCCTCAGCCCTTCTTCCCGCTCCGCGCCCTGCCAAGCCACTCCTTAGCCTTCACTCCTCAGACAGGCATTAGTCAAACTCCGTCGGGATCCTTCACGCGGCGCGAAGACCGGCGTCGGGGCTTGTTCCCGACTGCGACGAAGGGAAAGGTTTTCCTCGTACATAGCTCGTCCTCTGGTCGCCGGCGCGATTCTGCTCCTTGTAGGACTCGTTGTACAACATGCAGACGATGTCGAGAACAGAAGCGAGTGCAAGCGAGCGAGATAGCGGGAGGAGGACGAGAGGTTCGAAGCGCGACAAGACGAGGTCAGGAGGTCGCGGCGGCGTACGTAGATTGCAAACAAGCGTGCTCTTCACAAGCGGAAGTGGTAGCGACGACGACGAGCGAGAAAGCAAAGCGAGAGTGGCGTGAGCGAGAAGGAAGCAAGGAAGCGTTCCAGGCGAATCAAAGAGAATCTCCTCTTGCGTCCCTTCTTCCGATGGTCAGCGCCTCGGATCTCTACATTAGTTGACTCATTCCTGCTAAACTTCTGAGGGAGATACAAATACGATAGGACGAGTCGGACGAATTCGTGCTGCTGGAGGATGGAACGCAGATGCAAGGTACGAACGACAACGGCGAGTGGAGTCTCTGTTCCGAGCGAGGTTTCTAGTCTTGATGTGACGAGGTGTAGACGAGGCGTCTAGTGATCCGTCTCAAAGTTCCCTTCGGCGAGGAGGGACTGTACGACTTCCCCGCTCCTGACCGCTAGTACACTGCTCCATCCGCCTCACAACTCATCAGCGCCCACTCGAATCAGAGGAGGGGGAGACGCACCTCAACAACGAGTCACTAATCCCATGACTCTTCTCACAACTCCCCTGCAACCAAACCGTCGGCCTGAAACCCCTCCCATCGTTCGTCTGGCGCGGTAAGGAGAGGCGGTAGTTCTCGAGGACTTTGTAAGACGGCGTCGAGGAGGGGGAGCGCTTGGAGGTGGGCGAGGAGGGACAGGGAGGGCTGGTCGGGGCGGTAGAGGGTTTCGAGGAGGAGCGGCGCGAGTGGGAGTCGAAGCGCGAGGGAGAGACGGAGCTTGAAGAGCGGGACGACGTAGATGCAGAAGAGGACGAGGGGAGCGGACGGGAGAGGTCGGTGAAGGCGCTGTCGGGGAGCGAGAGGGCGGGGGGAGGGGTAGTGGGCGGACTCGACTCGGGTATCGAGGACGAGGAGGCGGGCGAGTCGTCGGCGTCCGTGTCGAACAACGCCGCGAGGGGAATCGTCTCCCCCTCGAGAGACTCGAGCGCCGATTCGGGAGGGAAGAGCAGCCGCCTCCAAGCCTGCCTGTCATAGCCCGTCCCGCACACAACCGCGTCATACGTCACGCTCCTCTCCTCCCTCGTAATCGGGTTGAACAAGACAAGCTCGATCGCGCCTGAAGGCGTAGGGCGCGCTTCGCGGATCTCGGTGTAGGGACGGATGTTGAGGTGTGGGTCGCGCGTGAGGGAAGAGGCGGGCGAGCCGGTGCGCACGGCGACGTCTTCCTCGACTTTCTGGTCGTACATCGTTTCGTACACCTGCGCGAGCGGGGCAAACTCGAGCCTCATCAGTTTCCGCGCACTCGAGGAAGGGAGGAGTCGCGACTCACCGCCTCCAGCGTCCTCGGATTCACAATCGAGTAATTCGTCCCCTTGGCCTCGCCCAACACTCGCTCCCTCTCCTTCTCCCCGAGCCGGTAAACAGCCTGACTCATACTCGGGTCGAACACCTCGTTCGAGAACTGTCCTTCGTCGGTGGGTCGGAGTGCGGAGGAGCGGATGAGCATGTCGATTTGCGGTCGGTGTGTGAGGAAGGAAGGGAGGAGAGGAGCGAGTTTCGTCCGGAGGTGGAGGAAACACTCGGCTGCTGATTGTCCTGCGCCGATCACCGCCAACCGGATCGGTCGCTCCTCGGCGTGCTCGACGACCTCCGGCAAGACGCGGTCAATGTGCTCGAGGAACGAAGCGGTGTGGAGGACCCGTCCGGTCTGGACGAGTTCGGGCGCGGCGAGCTGAGGAGGGACTTTGGGCGACCCGCCAGCCGAGACGACGAGGTTCCGTGTGTATCGGTGTACGAACTCGTTCGTCTCGAGTACGCGGGACGTGACTCGCAAGACGCGGACATCCGCTCCCTCATCGTGCTCGTCCGGCCTCAACGCATCGACGCCCACGACCTCTTCTCCAAAACTGACTTCGCCTCCCTGCGCGCGAATCTCGGCCGTGACTTTCTCCGCGCACCAAGTGAGGTAGTCTGCGAATTCGCGACGGGAGGGTGTGAAAGTCGAGAGGGAGATGAAGGAGACGAGGCGGGAAGGCTGGAACGAGGCGAGGTAGGAGAGGAACGTGTAAGGTGATTGCGGGTTGCGGAGAGTCGCCAAGTCTTTGAGGAAGCTGCGCAGGGAGGGTAAGAGCGAGGGGGGAAAAGATTATCAGCGACCCGAGAGATTTAGTGTGTCTCGGATGGAGATGGGATCAGTGATTGGCGGCGCAGTCCTCGTCGCGCTCCGGCTCGTCCCGCGCTCGCAAGTGAGCTCTGCGCGAGATGGCGCAGCGAGTGGATTGAGCGAGCGAATGCCCGAGGAAGAGGAGCGAGTATGCGGACGGCGACGGTAGCAAGCCGATGGGATCGAGGAGGAGGAGGAGGAGGGCGGGACTCACGAGATCTGCATCTTGCTCCCCTCGAGCATCATGCCGGGGTGCCACCTGAACCCGTTGTACCGCTCGACGAACGCCGCCTTGACTTTCCTCCCCTCTACTCCGCTGTTCTTGCGCTGCTCGCCCGCCACCTGTTGGGCATCGAAGCCGAGCGCGTGCTGTAGTCCGCCGAGGGAGGAGTAGACTGGCTGGGACTGAGGGCGCGGGTGGTGAGCGTTGAGTTCTGCGAGGGCGATGGCGAGAGCGACAGAAGCGGGTCCGAACCCGATGCTGAGGGTGTCGAAGATGTCGCCGGGAGAGGGTCGAGTGTGTGCCATCCTGAGTAGCCACTTAGGGAGTTGTAGCCCGAGTAGTGAAGGAGAGAGAGTGAGAGAGAGAAGGGCAAGAGAGCGAGATCGGAAGGCGCGCGCGCGAGGGATTTCCAACCCGGCGGGCGTCATCACTTCGCACTTTCAAGCAGAGGCGTAAACGGACGCGAGCTCGCCTTAATACCACTTCAACAGTCGCACGCTCACGCCCCCCGGCCATCGAACTCATCGCCCGTCCGCCTCTCCTCCTCCTCGCGCTCGTCAACGTCGCCACCTCGTCTGTATGTAGGGCTCCCTTTCGCTGGACAGGCTGCACACGTTCTGCCACCGCACGTCCGATCCAGCCGCAGCGAGCGAATCGAGCGCCGCCGAAAAGAGCCCTCCCGAATCGTATCGCCCTCGCTCTTCGCTCGCTCACGCAGCAGAACCAAAGCATCTCCTGCTCCGCTCTTCTTTCACCGCCCAAACGAGCCCCGATCGAACCAATCCCGTCGCTGCTATTTGCACGACCCTCGTGTGGAGGGGAACAGAGCCAGCCGACGAGGGAAGCGGCGGGTCTCGCTTGCTCGGAATCGACGCCTCTCTCTCTCTTGCCGCTGCTGCCGACATCGCTGCACTAGCCAATCAGAGTGGTGCTATTTGCGCACACAGTGAGCGGCAAGAGGGGAGGAAGAGGCCCTTGAGCGTCTGCCTCCGCTTTCTTTCCGCTCGGAGTTGGACAGCGGCGCTGTAAGGGCTTCTGCAGTAGAGTCGATGCATCGACGGTGTGGCTTGTAGCATGACCGAAGACGCAAGGCGAGGGTCGGCTGGCTCGGTGTGGCTTGTTTGGGAGCGCGACCGAGCGAACGAGCGAGCGAGCGAGCGACAGACGAGGGAGGACAAGGTGAGGCGCAAGTCAGCCTGCGCCAGTGGCATCCTCGGCATGTCAGGCGTGGTGTGGCGCCGACAGCCCCAAGCAGCCACCGAGGAGTGCGAGTAGAGGAGCGCACAGCGAAGCGAGCGAGTCGACCTTCCCAACCTACATCCGCGTCTGCGCTCAGCTGTGTAAGGCAGGCGGCTCCTTGCAGTGCAAGTACAGCGCCTACTCGATGAGGTAGGCGTCGTAGATGACTGCGCATTTCGAGGGAAGCACGAGCGGACGAAAGGCGTCAGTTTCCGCCGCATCCTTCCTCCTCTCATCGCAAGACTGAAGCGAAGAGAACCCCCGCACGACTCACCCTGCCTGCCGGACCTAACCCCACTCCCAACCCACATACTAGTATTCAACCACGCATACCTCTCATTCCTCGAATCCGTCTCCATCTCGACGCACAAACGGAACTTGTATTCCTCTGGTCCGGGTACCTCGCCCTCGTACCCCTCGCGCGCGGCGGAAGAGAGTGCTTGAAGGATGTGCGGAGGACCGGTACGCCAGCCGCGGGTTTGCACTTGGATGAAAATGCCGTCCGAGGTGCGAAGGAGGTAGCGGGTTGAGAGTTGCGCGGCGAGAGGGGAGGAGGGGTGAGAGGAGGGCATGATATGCTGTGCGTCTTGGCCGCCGGCGCTGCGCACATGCGGAGCGGTCAGGTCTTGCGGGAGCAGGGGAAGAGGGAGGGTGAAGAGGATGGAATGCGACGCACACGATCTCGCCGTGACCCCACGAGCCTTCAAAGTGTCCTCCAGTAAAGTTGATCCAATTGAACCTTGCGCGGTGCGACCTCTCAAACCCGTCAGCCTCCCTCTCTCGCTCACTCGCGCCAAGACCCCCTCCCGCTCCTCCCTCGCGCTGAAAGTGAATACAAGCGAAACTCACTGCCCGCCATCCCCATGCAGTCCCTCCCCGACACTCCTCACAGCCTCCAGATCACACACAAGCCTGAACGAGTGTGTCAAGCGCGGAATGGGGATGGGGATCTCGAGTGCGGCTTTGTACGACGCGGGAGTGTCGGTGGATGCGCTGGGGGTGTGGGTGTCGGGCATGGTGTCTGCGGGAGTGGAGCTATGAGCAGAAGAGGGGAGAGGAGAGGAGAGAGAGCGAGGGAGAATCGTTTCCCCTCCTCCCGGTGCCGATCACGTGACCCGTGGCCGCTCCCGGCTGATCTCATCGCTTTGCGGAGTTCGCTCGTCACGCAGACTTCACCATCATGCAGGCGCACACGACGGGCGATGTGGCCTCACTCGCGGACGAAAGCACCCCGCTGCTCGCCTCGCCCGCATCCTCTCCCCGTTCTCGACCTCCTCGTCCGCGTCCTTGCCCACGACCCGCTCCACCTCCTCAAGAGGCCCGCGACACCCTTACGCTCCCCTACTTGACCCGCTCACTCGCCGCCATCCGCGCCGGCTCACTCCCCTCCACCTTACAGCTCCTCACCCTCTTTCGCGCGCTACTCGACTCGTCCTTTCTGTCCGACTTCCACCAAGTCCCGTATCTCACCAACGCCGCGACGCTCTCCAAGGAAGGAGAGAAAGTACGTTCCGCGTTGCGGGAAGTGGTGCAGAATTTGGAGGAATTGGTGAGGGCAAGGAATCCGAGGGTTGAGTGGGATGAGGAGCGAGAGGTGTGGGTTGGACAAACGGGAGAGGAAGGGACGGGCGATGGGTGGCAGGAGTTTGTGTGGGCTTGTCGGAAGACGAGGGTGGACATTGGTGCGTTCTCGGACCTTTCTCTCTCGGATCCTTGGATTGGGTTGACCGCTCTGTTGCGCAGATCTCCCTTCTACGTCAATTCCCACCCCTTCCCCATCCGACCTCTCAGCAGCGCACTCTTCCCTCTTGACCCTCCTCCAACTCACCCTCACCGCCCCCGCATTCCTCTCCCTCCTCTCGGACTTGGTCGTCCTCCTGCGTGACTATTTCAGCGCGACGATTGAGAAAGCGGAGGGCGATGAATTGGTCAGTGCCGAAGCAGGCGAGACGGTGAAGGATGTTGTGGAGGTAGTGGTGGAGGGTGTTATTGGGCCAGAGGCGCAGAAGAAGGGGGAGGGAGGATTAAGGGCGGACGAGTCGGTGCAGGAGATAAAGGACGAGTTCGTGGAGCGCTTACAGCAGGTCCGTTCGTCGTGTCCCGTCAAATCTTCGCTTGTTGACCCTTTCCCACTGCAGGTCCTTGTCCAGCTCCAGTCGACTCAGGCGTATCAAGGCGCTACCCGCACACTCCTGTCCCTCGCACATTCATACATTCGTCAAGCCATCGACGAACTCACGCCCTCCATCGACATCGACTCTCGCGCCTCGCCTTCGACTCCTCGCCAACTAACCGACCCGTCACACATGCTCATCCCCCTTCTCGAGCCCTTCACAGGCGGACCAGCCTCCCTCGCTCCGCTCCGCACATCGTTCAAGACTCTCACTTCCCGTCTCTCACCCTCGAACCCATCGACAAATCCGCATGCTCTTTCGACACTATTCTCGCAACTCGACTCGCTCGTCGACCGGGCGTTGCTCGAGCCTGGCTGGGCGGGGTCGAGGAAGTGCTATGCCGCTATCGGGAGGCTACGGGAGACGGCGTCGCAAGTCGGACAGGACGATCCAGTCCTTCGCGCTGCCATCGGAGACGCCTTCTCGCTCCTCGTCGACGCCATCTCGAAAGTCGCCTCCGACCCACTTCTTCATCGAACCGCCACGGCTGTCGAACAACTCGGAGAAGCGGTAGTGGGATGGGTCGAGGTCGCAGGTGGGAAAGCGTTGCAGGTTGTGGAAGGACAGCCGTTGAACGCTATTTGGGCTGATTTGGTCGAGTGGGTTTGGCCGAGGGTTGTTGGCGTGCTTGCTGAGATGTCGCTACCAAGGTGTGCTGCGCAAGCCATGTCGTCTCTGCAGGCTGAGCTGACATCGAAAACTTGTGCGCAGAATCGAGTTCGCCTCGCCCGCCGTCTCGCTCGCCATCGAACCTCCCTCACTCCTCTCAAACTCGCTCGTCCCCTCCTCCATCTCCATTCGCCAAACAACAGCCCTGACCTACACTCCCTCGCACGGCTGCTCGACTCTCGCCCTCCCCCTCTCCGCTTCCGTACCCGCTCCTCCTCCTTCCTCCCTCTCCTTACGCACTTCCGCCTTCGCCTCTACCCGCCTCGAAGTCACCGGCCTCCGCCTCGAAGTCGAGAATGTCGGCTACTTCGCCTCTTACCATACCGGCATCCCTTGCTTCCCAACCCTCAGCGAAAGCGGCCTTCTCGACCTCCGTCTCGGTTCAAACCCCTCCAGCGGACTATCCTTCTCGCTCGTCACGTCCACGCTCTCCTCACCCGCCGCACGGACGCTCTTCGACCTCGACCCCGCCGAGACGCAAGTCACCCTCGAAGACTTCCGTATCACGCCTCACCATTCCTCGCATCCTTGGTTGATGTGGCTCCTCCGACCTATCTTGCAGACGGCTGTAAGGAAGGTGGTGGAGAAGGAAGTGAGGGAGAAGGTTGTTGAGGCCGGGGTGGAGTGGGTTGGGAGAGTCGGCTGGAGCGTGAAGGAAAGGGATAGGAAGTTGAGGAGCGAGGAGGAGGGTGAGAAGGTGGGAGTGCGGGGGGCAAGCAGAGGGGAGGACGGGGCGAAGCAGGCGGTGTGGAGATGGTTTAAGGCTGGATGGCAGGTCTTGCTCGGCACCGGCAACGATCAACCGTCCTCCCCTTCAACGCCCTCTTCGCCCGCCTCAGCCGCCACTGCCGCCCCGACTCTCGACGACGTCCAGCTCAACTCACGCGGTATCACGCTCGACCTCTCCTCCGAAGAAGCGACCGTCGGACTCGGCTCAGAAGGCGTCGTCCTCTCTCCAGGCGAAGCGTCGATCCCTCATCCGGACGGCCAGAAGAAGGGTTTACGGCGAGCGGTGAGGGACGAAGTGAGGAGCGAGGTGAGGGAAGGTCGGCGGGTCGGGAGGAAGGTGATGCGGCTTCCGGGCGAGGTGGAGGAAGCGAGGGAGGAGTGGGTGGAGTATGGGCGGCGGGAGCAGGGTGAAGTGTTGACTTGGAAGAGTGAGGCTTTCGATCTGTAGCAGCAGCGGCGTGCAAAGCTTGCGAAACCGCGCTTTCGCTGGTCGAACGAGAGGCCAAAGCTGCGACGCAACATTGCAGTACAGTGTCAAGGACGCGACACTTGTTCAATCAGCCTGCGGTCGGCCAGCCTCTCGCGGGCGAGCGAGACAGCGAGGCCCTCAAACTCAACACCCTCCTCATCCGCAATCTTGAGCAATTCGGCGAGTCCCGAGAGACTGAACTCGCTCGACCATCCTCCGTAACGCTCCAATTCGTAGCCAAAGTCGTCGATCCACTCCTCCTCCTTCCACCTATCCCACACATTGTGAAGCTCGACCTTCACGAGAGAGGCTAGCTTGTCCGGCCCGGTGATCAGGGTTGTAAGATCGCGGATGGTGATGCAAAGGTTGTCGTAGAAGCTGAGTTCTTCGAGCTCCTGCATTTTACTGATGACCGGAAGACAATCGCGGTGATAGGCGCCGCTGCGAAACTCGAGACCGTACGAGAGATTGAACTTGGTCAACGCCTGTGCCATATTCGCCTGACCTCCGAAGGACGCAAGCGACAGCCAGCGAAGACCGTCGGGCTCAGGAAGGCAGTCTAGGAGGCTGTCGAGAGACTCGGTCGCCGTCAAGGGTTCGGTTTCGTGCAGGTACAGCCCTTCGGGGTACTCGAACCAGGACAAGAGGTCGTGTACAGCCGGGTTGCCGAGTATAGGTCCGCGCAGAGACAGCCACCAGCCCCACGGACGCCAGTCGGGCAGCCGGCCTCGCTGCTGGTATCGACCAAGGCTGGCCCGACTTCGCCTGACCGTGAGCTCGAGAACATTGAAGTGGGGGTAGTGCTTCAAGTTGGCGTAGTGATCCGGCGCGAACGGGTTCGCCCAGCCGTGGAAAGGATCGAGGAGGCAAAGCGAGACGAGTTTCGGGAGGTATTGACCGGCGGTCTTGGGCGCGAGGACCATCTTGGCGATCCTGGCGGAGCCTTCAATCTCGAGGTGCGTGGTCGATGTGAGGGATCCGAACAGCGTTGCCAGCTCCTTCGCTCGCGGTTGTCCGATATCCTCGCCCTCAAGGTGGAGCCGGAGTTCCTTTACGAAGAAAGCCACGCCGGAGCTCTCGCTGACGAGTCGACAGAGCTGTTGGAGTCTTTGGAAAGATCGTACAGTCGTGGTCGCGAAGCAGAGGCGCCGGGAGGTCGACAGAAATGCCTTCGAGATGCCGCCGAGGTACTGCTTCGGCTTCGCGGTGACGACGAGCTGGCAGATGCAGTCGAAGAGTTCGGGCGGAAGGCTCGTCAGGTAGTCCTTCGGCATCGTGTGCTGCGGGAAACGAGCGAGACGAGGTCAGGACTGATGAGGATTGCGAGGGCGACAACGCGTGCGCACCTGCTTGGCGGATCCGGCGAGCAGAAGAAGGGCGATCCGAGACGTGATCTGAAGCAGCAGCAAGCAGTAGCGAAGCTCTCAGCGGGTGAGCGTGCGACACAGCGAGCGAGAGGAGGACAAGGGAGGGAAGCGTGCAAGTTGGCCCTCCCAACAGCGCCTTTCCGTTGCAGTGAGCTGGTACTGGTCGAGCGTTGCTTAGAAAAGCCGACGAAACCCGTGCGAAGGCGGGAAAGCGAGGCGCTCTCAAGTGTCGTCTCGCGACGGACGGAAGGAAAGGACGGCGGCGACGTTACAAACCCACCAGACAAGCATTGTTCACAGTCCAGCCTTCCTTCACCACTCTGCCGCCGATGCGGCCGCCGCCCTCGAGATCTCGCGCCGCTTCTCCTGCTCCTTCTCGCGCTCAGCTTCGAGACGGGCGTCGTGCGCCTTCTTCCGCTTGATCGCAAGTTCTGCCCACTCGCCCCTAAGCTTGACGTTCTCGCGCTCCGCGACCTCAATAACGGGGATGAGCTCGTCCGGTTCGGGCCACAACTCGTAGTCGCCCCAGTCAGGTTCGTGCACGCCGAGCAACTGGAGACTGCTGATCTTGGCTGGGCCTTCGAGAACTGCGAGGATGTCCTCGGTTGTAAAGGTACGGTTAGGCTGGAGATCAAGCTGGGCGAGACGAGGCAACGAGCGACTGAGGGACCGGAGGATTGCCGAGCAGTCGAAGCCGGCCTCAAGACTCAGTGCGATCACCCAAGGGCAAGTCTTGAGCGTCGCGCTGATGTCCTCCTTCATAGATATGGGCTGAGCAAGCACTAGTTGAATAACGCTCCTGGGCAGGTCACGAAGGCGGTCTGACATTGTCGTGATCGTTCCGATGGGACCGTGCAGCGACAGCGCCGTCGAGCCGAGGCTGGCGGCTAGGGCGCTCGCTGTCGGGTTGTCAATTCCTTGACCGGACAACATCAGGAGCCAGAAGGACCACGGCATCGCGATGCGCTCCACTGCCTTCGCCCGCTGCGAACGGCCTTCCGGCTTTGACTGGATGTCGAGGCTCAGCTTGGCAAGGCGAGAGTAGCGACCAAGGTTGCGGTAGAAGGAGGGTGCGAGGGGGTCTGCCCATCCTTCGAATCGGCCGCTGATGGTGAGATCCTCGAGAGACGGCAAGAGACCGGCCTTGCGAGGTGACAGGAGCGCCTTTGCGAAGCGTCCTGCGCCGGTGACTGAGAGTTTCTTCACGCGAGTGAGGTTCGAGATCGCTTGGTTGAGCACGCTCGCCTTGATCTTCTGCGTCGACAGGGCGTCCTCGGTCAAAGACAGCGTCAAGCTCGCGACGCATGCGGCAGCTTCGGGGCTTGCGGCAAGGACAATCACAGCCTTCTCGGCCTTGCGCTCATCTCGGATGTAGAGACGCGGAAAGACTCGCTGTCGAGCAAACGGGAGGAAGGCCTTGGAGATGGAGCCGAGGTATTGGTCGCTGGAAGAGCGAGTTTTCGGATCGTATGCGTGCACGAGCTGGCAGATGTAGTCGAACAGTTCGGCGGGAAGGCTCGTCAGGTAGTCCTTCGGCATCTTGGGCTGCGGGCAACGAGCGAGACGCGGTCAGGACCAGTGATGAGGATTGCGAGGGCGACAACGCGGGCGCACCTGCTTGGTGGGTCCGGCGAGCAGAAGAAGAGCAGTCCGAGACGTGTTCTGAAGCAGTAGCAAGTAGCAGCGAGGCTCTCAGCGGGTGAGCGTGCGACAGCAGTGAGCGGGAGGAGGACAAGGGAGGGAGAGCGTCCATGTCGGCCGGCCCACATCAGTCCAGCTTGCGGCAGACAACGTAGCATGAAGCAGGACCTTTCGAAAAGCCAAGCGAGAAAGCGGACGTGAGCGCGTGCGATAGAATAGCCTTGCAGGACCCCGTTCCATCCTTCCCGCTACTGGTCATCCTCCTCGTTCGCCTCGCTGATCGTGTCCAGTCCCTCCTCGTCCTCGTCGTAATCCTCGTCACCGAACTCACCGTCCTCGCCCTCCCAGTCCTCCTCTTCTTCCTCCTCGCCCGATCCTTCCTCTTCTTCCGCATCGGGTGCTGCCACATTCGCTGCAGGAGCGGGCTTCGTCGAGCCGAATCCAGCGAAGGAGAACGGTGCCTTGCCCGTCGGCGTTCCCGCTGGGGTTGTCGTCGCGAAAGCGAACGCTGGCTTGCTCGCTGGCGTGGTTGCGGAAGTCGTGCTTGCGAAAGAGAAGCTCGGAGCCGCGGACTTGGTCGGGGTCGAAGTCGACGCAGCTGTTGCGAATGAGAACGTCGGAGCCGCGGGCTTGCTTGGCGTAGCGGCTGGAGTCGTGGCGAACGAGAATCCGGAGGGCGCGGCGGGTTTGGCCGATGCCATCGACGTCGAAGGGCTGCTCGGGAAACCATTTGTCAGGCTCGACGGCAGTGGGCCCCAGTCGAACGTCGAGGCGGCAGGCGCCGGCTGACCAGTCGCAGGTTTGAGCTGCACAGCGCCGGTATGGTGGCGCGACGACGTTTGCCGCGAGGCCGAGCCTCGTGAGCTTGCCGCAGGCGATGTGTTCGAGGTCGAGGATGGCGAAGGAGCGGAGATCGGCGCCGCGAACGAGATTTGCGGAGCCGCTTTGAGCGTCAGAGACGGGAAGACCGGAGGAGGAGTCCCTGATGTACCGACGGCCGAACCGAGCGCAGGTGCGTCGACAGGCGGCGCTACAGTCGGCTTTGCGGACGGGAAAGAGGCCGGCGTAAACGCTGTTGGCGGGACGACCGCAGACGCAAGCGACACGGACGGCAGACCAAATGCAGGCTTTTTGGCGGCAGGCGCTGCTGACGGTGTGAACGATGGGACGCTTGTCGGAGTTACCGCGGACGCGCCGAAAGAAATCGGGGTTGAGGTTGCGAATGGCGAGAGAGGCGGGCGAGAGGATGCAGCCGGCGCCGACGGGGTCGCGAGGAGCGGCGTCGGCGTTGCAGTGATAGGCTCGATGCTGTTTGCAAACGTCGATGAAGTCGTAGGAGTCGACGGAATTGAGGGAGTTGAAGGCGGAGGGGGAACGAAGCGCCTCGGTCGCGGAAGCCGTTCGCCAGTGATCGGTCCTTGCGAAAAAGCGAGCTGGATGTCTGCGGGCGGCTTCGCCAAACGGGAGGTCTTGGAGCCACAGGCGCTGCGGTTGAGGAGCGGCTGGTCCTTCCGTGCGGCGAGGAGCGCCCGTTTGAGGATGGCACCCGACCGTTCAGCTTGAAGAGCCGCCTCGGCCGTCACCGCTGCGTTCGACGGATCTCCGGTCACGTTTGACGGTTGAAGAGCCGGAGAACGCTGCAAACGCTCGTCGAGGGCGAGGGAGGACGACCGCTGCAGGAGCTTCCGACGAGGTGTTGCGTTGCTTGCAGGCTGCAGGCGGACGGAGTCGAGGCGCAGCGTGAGGTCGTCCAACTCGAGCGTCTTCTCCGACACGGCGAGCGAGATGTTCCGCAGCGCCCGGCTGACGGAGTCGAGCGAAGGAGCTCTGCAAGGCGGCGAAATCTCGTCAGCCCTCGACTTGAATCGCTTGGGGGAGGCGTGACGCACTTGAAGGATTGGCGACCAAGTTTCTCGTCCGTCAGCCGCTTCTTGAGATTGAGCATGTGCTCCTCAAGTTGCTCAGCCGACGCGATGGCTGCTTGCATCTGAAGGCGTATCTTGCGCTGGTTCTCCGACTGCTCCGGGCCGAGCTGGCGTACCCGGACCATCTTGGCGAAGGCTGGGTCGGCGCGGGCGCGAATAAAGCGGCCGGCCTCTTCGCGTTTCGTCTCGGCTGCTCAGAGAAGGAGCGTCAGCGTGTTCAAGCGCAGGCGGAGGCGGCGACTCACCCTTAAGCAGCTGACTCTCCAACTCGGCGACGCGGCGCTTCTGGCTGATAGCGGCAGCGTGTAGCGACTCGACGCCCGGCTTCGCGTCCTTCGTTAGGCGCTTGAGCTGGTCGAGATCGCCGAACGACCAAAACTTGTCGTCATACTGGCCGCGGCCATTTTTCGACTGGACAGTCGACGGCTGGCACGGCTTCGCGAGATCGGCGACAAAGTCTTTGATGATGGCTGCATTCTCGCGGAGCTGCGGCAGGAAGTCAACTCAGCTCGCCCGGAGCGGGGCAGAGGGCAACACGCACAATTTCGAAGTCCTTCTGCACGCTCAAGTAAGCCTTGAGGAACTCGCCGGCCATTCCCTTCTCCTCGACGGCCGGTGCCGCTGCACCTTCCGCGGCAAGCAGCTGGGTGCCGAGCTTCGGCGCAGTGGTGCTCGCCAGCGGCGTCCTCTGTCGAGGGCCAGCGGCGTCGAACACGGGCGCAGGAGCTGCAGTGCTGACCGGCGGTGCCGATTGCGCTTCGAGAGATGGCTTGGAGCCGGCATCCGGAGCTGGTGCAGCGATTGGTTTCGCGGCGGTCGCTGTCGTCGGCACAGGCAAAGTGGGCGCTGAACCAGACAAGAAAGGAGAACTTGCGGTCGGAGCGGGCGCAGCCGGCTGTGCGGCTGCCGCTGACGACTTCCCCTCCACCTTGAGGGCTGAAGGCGCGAGCGACAGCGGCAAAGGAACCCTTGGCGCGGACGAGGAAAAGGCAGGTACGCCTAGGGGTGGGGCGGCGAGAGGCGAGCTGGTCTTGGGTGTAGAGGAGGCAAAGTTGAGGAAGGAAGGTGGCTTGGCGGGAGGCGTAGGTGTCGCGGCCGACGATGCTGAAGGCGGCGTGGCGAAGCTGAACGGCGACTTACCCGCTGGACCAGCGGGACTGGGCGACGCTGCTGTCGCTGGAGAGGGGAAGCTGAACGCAGGGGCCTTGACCGCTGGTGCGGATGCGGAAGTTGAGGGCTCGGCTGCTGGAGACGGCGGTGCAGGGCTGAGGCGGGAGAGCAAGGAGGACGGCGCTGCTGGGACGCTCGACACTGGCTCCTCCTCTTCTTTCTCAGACGGCTCCTCCTCGAATTCGCTCGCGTCTTCGTCAGACCCCTCCTCCGATCCCCCTTCTTCCTGCGGCTCTTCTTCCGCTTCTTCCGGCTCTTCGTCCTTCGCGCCCAGACGGCCGAGGAGGCTGCCCGCAGGTTGACTCCGCTTCTTCTCGTCTGGCGGGCTACTGGCGAAGCCGAAGAGGCTCTTCGTGGTCGACTTCTCCTTTGGCGATGGTACGGTAATGGGCTCGGAAGGCTTCGCCGTCGTCGTAGGTGCGGCGTGTGCTTGCGAGCCGGGCTTTGTGGGCGCGAAAGAGAAGCCAGCGGTAGCGGACGACGCGGGAGCGGCGGCGGGCGTGCCGCCGAACGAGAAGCCGGTCGTGGGAGTCTTCGGTGTCGAGGATGCTGACCCGAAGCCAAAGCCTGTCGTCGAGCTGGAGGTTGCGAAGGAGCCGAAGCCGCCGGGCGAGGCTGGCTTGGGGAAGCCGGCTGTCCCTGCGTTGCTGGCGGCTGGTGCGGCGAAAGAGAACGCCGGCTTGGGCTTCTCTTCGCTCTTGAGCATGGACGCCTTCTCTTCCGCCACCTCTTCCTCCTCTTCCGTCTCCTCCTCCTCCGCTTCCTGATCTTCCTCCTCTTCCTCTTCTTCCTCTTCGCCTGCGTCCTCCTCATCCTCTCGCTCCTCTTCCTTCTCGCCCTCTCCGCCCGCATCCTCCGCCTTCGCCGCTGGTGCGGGACGCTCGTTCGCGGGTGTCGACGGCGCGGGAGACGCGATGTCGCCGGCGCCAAACGCAGACGCAGACTTCGCGGGAGTCGTGGTCGGCTCTGCTCTCGTCTCCTCCTTTTCCCCCGTCTCCGCGACCGCCCGCTCACCCTTCTCCGCCTTTGGCGCCTCGTGATCCGCTGCGGTCTCGGTAGACTGCAACGGCTTGGGCGATGCGAAGGCACCGGAGCCTTGGGCCGACCCGGTCGAACTAGCAGCGGGAGCGAACGAGAAGCCGTTCGTCGAGGTAGTTGAGGATGATGTCGCCGGCTTGTCGGCAGGTGGCGTAGGCGTCGGTAGAGCTAGCGGCTCCTGCTTCGTCTCGAGCGCGTCCTTTTTCGCTGCGAACGCCCCGAAACCACCGGCTGTCGATGCAGACCCGCCGACCCCGAAGGCTGATTTCGAAGCCTCAGCGTTGCCGTCCTTCTGCGGCGCAAAAGCTCCGAAGCCACCCGTTGGCGCCGAGAACGCCCCGAAGCCAGATGCCGGCTTGTCCTCCTCCTTCTTTGCCACGGCCGGAGCCTCGTCTTTCTGCGCCTCGAGGGTTGCAGCGAGTTTCTGACCGAATCCGAATCCGCCACCACCGAAGATGGGCGCGGTCGTTGAGGAAGAACCAAAACCGCCGAATGCAGGCGTTTTGAGTGCAGTCGCAGCTGGAGGGGTTGCCGTTGCCGCAGTCGAACCGAAGATGCTGGTCGCAGGCTTGTCAGCCGCAGGTGTAGTTGTCGACCCTCCGAGCCCGAAGCCGCCAAAGCTGAGACCCTCGGGACCCTTCGATTCCTCCCTTGCAGCCGGTGTCGACGGCTTCATCTCGGCTTCGCGCACACTTTGCGCGAAATCGAGACCCGTACGAGTCGGCTCGAGGTCGGGCGGCTCGTCGACCCTTGATTCAGCAGCGACGCCTTCCTCGTCCGCCATCTCATCCTCGTTGTCCGAGTCAGCCGATTGACGAGCGGCGAGAGGGGACTTCGCGGCGGTGCTTGGCGTTGCTCCGAAAGCAAACTTGGGTGCCGTGCCGGCAGAACCGAAAGCGCTGGTCGAAGAAGTCGACGGCGTTGCTGCCGCGCCGCCGAAAACGGACGGCTTGCCTCCAAACGCGCCAAATCCGCTGGTTGCCGCTCCTGCGCCTGCCGCCGCACCAAAGGCAGCGAAGCCTGACGAACCTCCTCCCGTCGACGCCGGCGTCGAGGCTGAACCGAAGACCGGCGTGCCGGCGGACCCGCCTGATCCGAACGCGCTACCGCTGCCGAATGGCGAAGCCGTCTTCGTAGTCGAAGCAGCGGAACCGAATGCCGATCCGCTCGAACCGAAGGAGGCGAAGCCTCCCGAAGACGGAACAGAGGCGAACCCGCCGCCTGTCGAAGTTGCCGTTGCGAACGGTGAGGCGGTCGGCGTGGATGCAGCGGGCTTCGAGAAGGCGCCAAAGCCGGAGGTCGAGCCGAATGCCGGCGTCGCTGTCGTGCCGAACGCAGGAGCGGTTGAAGCCGGCGTCGAGCCAAATGCAGAGGCGCCGAACGCTGAAGTCGACGATGGACTGGAGAACGCGCTGAACGCCGATGGAGCGGCGGAGGCAGTCGACGTCGCTGCACTAGAAATACCAAAGCCGGCGAAGCCTGGCGGTGCGGCAGAAGCAGGCGCAGCAGCCGGAACGGCTGTCGAAGGCGCGTCGCCCTCCTGCGTCAAGACGTCTCGACTCGTCACCATGCCATCGTACCTCTCGCACTTCTCGTTCGTAATGCGCCAGTACGCGACGATGCCCTGGCTTGTGTAGACGAGAACAGCCGGTTTTCGCTGACCCCCTCCGTCCGGGATGGAGAGGTCGAGGTCGAGCGAGAGGGGGCATGCGTCCTCGCCAGCTTCGCCGAGCGGAAGGGTAGGTCGGGACGAATCGGGAAGCGCGAGAGTCGCCCAGCCGGAGGAAGAGCCGGGAGGGTAAGAGGCGGTGGCTGATTGACCGATGACGCCAATGTCGCCTGAGGGGGCGTTGGCCATGAAGAGCAGGTGCTTGAAGGGCTCCCTGCGGGCGCAAAGTGTGTAAGCACCAATGTAAGCGAGGCTCGAGCCAACGCACCAGTTCTTGAACCTGCCGACCCATCGCCGCCCTTGTCGTCCCATCATTCCGAAAGGCGGCGCAGGGTCCGTGAACCTCGCATACTCGACTGCTCCACCGGCTCCCTTCGTTAAGACAAACACTTCGTCCTCGTGCTGCGGCTCCTCACCAGCTGTGCGAGGCCGGCCGTACGTAACGAGGAAGACGTTGTTTTCGAGCCACTCAATCGACCGCACCTCCCATTCACCGCCCTGCGTCGCGAGATCCGAAGGAAGGGCAAGTGATGCCTTCTGCTCGCCTTCGGGCGTGAGCTGCGAGACGGTTCCACCGCGAGTCCCGACGGCAATCTGCTTGCCCTTGACGCTCCAGCATCCGGCAGTCGCGGTGAATGATGGCGAGAAGGTGGCGTGGATGGAGCTGGACTCGATGTTGAAGACGGTCATAGGAGCGGCAGGCGAGATGATCGCGAGAAGGGGCGAGTCGGGGGCGGGATTGGGACAGACATCGAGTAAGGGCGAGGGCGCGACGGCTGGGATCGTTCGCAGAGGCGCGGTCTGTTCACAGCCGAGATCAGTAGTCTGCGTTCAAGCGTAATGAGAGAAGACGTACGTTGCCCTCGACCAGACTCTTCAACCGCCAAATCGCCACGCTCCCGTCCCGCAAGCCCGCGACAACGATTTTCTCGCCCATCGCGAATCGTAAGAAGTCGACTGGTGCTGTCGTCGAGACTGAGAGTGTGGGCGGGACATTGGGTGTCGAGTGAGGGGAAGCACTGGCGAGGGTGGAACGGATGGTGGGGAGGGAGAAGAGGGCGAAGCCTGCAGGGAGACCGACAAACTCAGCGTTCGCTCGAGTGCCATCAAACTGCATTCGAACTGCTGTTTGGGCGGCCCTTCCTCCTCGCTCATCAGAGTCCCGAACGAAAGTCACACCGCAGCCATGGCAAGTCATGTAAAGCGCTACCCCTTCGAGAGCGACTCAAACCGATCTCAGAGAACAGGTTGACTCACCGCCTTCGCTTCTGGCAGCCACAATCCACCCGAACTCGTTGCTCACAGCAAACAAGTTGCCTGGTTCTGCCTTCCCTCCCGCCGCATTGTCAAAGTCGAACGGCTGAGAGAGTCGTAGAGTGACTCCCTGCACGGGCGCAGAGAGCGAGAGGAACTGCGGGGGCGTGAGTCGGGACGGGGTCAAGGTCGAGTGAAGGGGAGATGAGGGGATGCGAAGGGCGAATCAGCAGCTGTAGGGTCACGGTGAGCAGCGTGAGAGCTCCACGCACCTCTGCGTCCTCTTCTGGTGCCTCCATCGCGCTCGGAGAAGCGATGTGAGCGGTGTCGGCGAGTGTGCAGGAGCGAGAGGGAGGCGACAAGGAGAATTGGGCTCCCATCTCGAGTTCACTTGCTTCCAAAGGCGCGAGAGCTTCGTTGACACAGTTTAAGACCCCCATGAAAGATATCTGGCTAGCAAGAAGCCAAGGGAAGAGGTCTGCAGCAGTCCAAGCGACTCTCAACTCGCTGCCGGCGGCTACTCCTCGACGCAGCAGTTTGTGAGCATCCTCCGTGCGAGCAGCGCATAATGCTGAGTGACGACGCCGGCCGGCGCCCGAATCTATTGCAACTTGGCGACGCTCGTGTCGACAAAGTCCTCGAGGTTCCAGCCTGCCGTAGGCGCCTTGAGCACGCCGGCTGCTTCAAGAGTCCTGTTCAGAGCGGCAGTGAGCAGACTGAGCGAGGCGGAGAAGCGGAAGCCTCGCCGTCCTGCATACAGGAAGGTGCAGACTCACCTGAGCGTCTTCTCGACCATGCTCTTGTCGACCTCGCGCACCTCGCCCTTTGGGTAGCTGACCTGCTCCAGCCAGGCCTTGACGTCCTCGTCAGGATACCCAAAGTGCCCCTTGATGAACTCCTTCGAGCTGGACGCGCGAGCATCGGCGGCGTCGAAGGAGTGAATCGAGGATGTCAGGTTCGAGAGGAAGGACTCGAGGAGTGAACGGAGCGGGGACGATGAGGAGGTTGTGGAAGGAGTGGCGACGACGACCCAGCTGTGCCAAGGCGTCGGGACGTTGCCGATGAAGCGAACCTCATTCAGGTAGGGCTGTTCGGATGAGGAGCGTGAGCAAGTTGAGCGAGAAGCCGAAGCGAGCCGAGCTATTCAACACAGACAAAAACACACCTTAGTCGTAAAGTGCTCCCACATCTGCAAGCGACCAATTCGTCAGGAATCGCAACCACCGCAGGAATGTAAGGAGACTCACGAAAGCTGCTGCCCGTCCGTCGTTGACGCCGTCTCGGAGATTTTTGAACGTGTCGAGGACTGCAGAGCGAGCTTAGCTCTTGCGGTATCAGTTTCGAGGAGGAAGTTACACACCCTCAAATTGAATCGGCTCTACGTTTCCATCCTTGTCGGTCCAGCCTTCCCGCAGCGCCATGTAGCTCGCCATAACCTGACTTCCGCTGCGAGCGAGAGAACCGGGCGCGGGACGTCAGCCGTCAACGCAATTGTGACCACACTCGACGAATTCCAGCGGAACTCGTCCTCACCTTCCGATCCGCGAGATGCCAATCTTCTCGCCCCTCAAGTAGCCCAAGCTCTGATACTTGCTGTCCTTGCCCACAATGACCGCCCAGTTGAGCGGGGACGTGACATACGTCCCGACGAGCTTGAACTCGGCCGTCTTCTTCGCGATGCCGGCAATGAGCGACTCGGTGAGCGCGATGGCGACATCAACTTCGTTTGCTTTGATCGCCGCCATGATTTGGCCGGTACCGCCTGTGCACGACGGTCAGCTTCAGCTTCGCGAGGAGGAGGCATCGACGAAAGGCGACGCACTCGGACACGGGACCAGCTCGATTGACTCATCCTTCGCAGCTAGCTGCAAAAGTGGAGAAGCAAAGTGTTCGGGCACGAAGGCGATACGGAGCTTCTGCTGGGTCGACATCTGTGTTCGCGAGGAGGAAAAGGGTGGTCAGCTCGTCGTTCTGACAGCGGAACGTCCAGCGCGTGAGCAGCGCCGTGTGTGTCGCCTGTACTCAGACTCGTGTCGAGCAGTCACCCGGTCTACCGACGCTTCGTCAATTCCCACACCCTCCTTCCCCGCAACCTGCCTCCACGCTCGTCCACAAGCACACAACGCACCGCCGTGCGCGCGAGTCGTCCCAAGCCCTCGAGTCACATATCGAGAGCTGGCAGACGAGGTCATGGGCTCTGGAATGCAGCTCACCTTGTCCTTCGGAACTGTTCAGCGACGAGTAGCGATGAGGTCAAGAGCGGGTGAAGGGGCTGTTGGACGGGTAGCCGGCGCTGTGTGAGAAGTTGCAAGAGCTGAAAAGCCTGTAGCGAGAGCGTACAGCCAGAAAGAGCCGATGAGGGTGAGCGGAGGGAGGAGAAGAAGCGAAAGCGGCTTTCGTTGAGGGGAACACTCGCGTCCAGCCAGCTAGACTCTCTTGCAGTATATCTAGGCTGACGAGAAGCAAGCAATGCAAAATGCGCAACCTCCCTATCAACCCTCACATCCACCGTGCCTCGTGCCCTACTTCTGCGGCGCGCCCCTCACAGCGGCCTTCGCCGGTCCCCAGTTCTCTTGCGGGTTCATCTGGTACCGCACTAGCTTGACGTTGTCGAGGAGGACGGACGACACGTTCGAGTGCGGCGCGAGCGAGACGGTGTGCCTGCGAGACGGGTGAAGCGAGTCAGCTTTGCGTCCGCCGCGTCAAACACCTTCTCATCCGACTGTGCGGGCTGGAACAAGCATCGCACTTCGGACGGTGTACCAGACGCGAGCGCGGACTACGCACCTCTGCTCCTTCGCCAGCAACACCTTCGCTGGACTGCCATCCTTGACATTCTTCATCGCCACCGGATGCTCCTTGATCCACTCCCTCACGACATCGTGCACGAACGACCGCGGCGCGTTGGTCTTGATTGAGCCGGCCATGGCGTGCGAGCGGGAGACGGTGTAGCCTGCGTTCAGGAGGGCGGAGCTGCGACGGTTGCGAGGTGAGCGGGGTTGACGGGGAAAGGGCAAATGGACGTACGCGAAGGTCGTGATGGGAGGGCAGATGGCGTGGAAGTAGCTCGCGATCTTGGCCGGCGAGAAGTACAGCGGCGCCTCGACCTCCTGCCAACCCAAACTCTTCTTAATCAGTCTCTCATCCTTCAGCGCTAATGGAAGGAGCGCGACGCACCGCAAGCGCAACGCGCAACATGCCCTTGATCCGATCGCTCGTCTTGAAGTCGCTCGGGTTCGACTCAACGTGCTCGAGCATCTCCTTGACAAAGTCGCGATTGTGGATCGGAGCGGCCCACATCGGTCCCGCGATCTGTCGGACGTATCGCATAAACCTATCAGTCTCCCTTTTCGCTGCATTGCGCCAAGGGACCGAAAGAGCGAGGAACGTCAACGCACATGCATCTTCCCCCCACACTCGCCGCACCTCCCTCCCTTCTCGATCTCCTCCGGCGGACCACTCGGCACATGGTACGTCGCGTTGCTCTGCCCGTTCCTCGGGTTGACCTTCTCGGTAACGCGGCCGAGGTGTTGGAAGTGAGGAGTCTGGCAGGAGTGGCAATAGTAGACTAGGGCGGTTTTGCTGTGCGTCGCCCGCTCAATTCCTCAGCAAATCTCTCCACGCGCGAAGAACGGATCGGAGAATGCGAGGAAGGAGCAACGCACGAAGGAACAGCCTTTACCTCCTTCGGTCCCGTCCGAACCCTCACGAACAACCTTACGTAAAAGTCGATCGAGAGCGACAGTTGAGGCTCGATGTAGCGTCCGTAGCGCGAGGCGGTGGAAGAGAGGGCGTTAAGGACGAGGCGGAGGGCCTGCGCGCGGGACGCGTGTTAGGGAAAGAGCCGAAGGAGGGGAAGAGGGGAGACGCACGACTTCGTGAGAGTACTCGGCGTTGATGCAGACGCCACCGTAGTGGGTGTAGCTGTGCGACACATGCGTGAGCGAAGCGGGAGTGGTCATCGAACGAGCGGACGCACGACTTCTCGGGGTAGTTGTGGCCCGCGAGAACGCCCATGTCGGTACAGGTGATGCACATCAGGCCTGCGCGCAGAACGGTCGAGACTCAGCTAGATACTCGGAACCCTGAGCGGACCGGAAGCAAGCTGCGCGACCAGTCCGAAACGCACCTCCATCCGCCGTCGCATTGACCGCCGCATCCAAGAACGGCACCGCACTTCCATACGGATCCAAATCGACACAGTCAAACCTCTTGTCCTCATCGCGATGCTGGTACATATAGACACACGCGTCTCCCTCGTTCACGCGGACTTTGCCGTGGAGGGCTTCGTCGATGTCGGATTTGGAGAGGCCGTAGGGTGGGTCAGGCTTGAGGGAGGAGAGAGGGACGCAAGGCGGAACAGAGGGAAGGAGGGAGTGACCGGCGGGAGAGAGGCCGTTGAAGGCGATGTTGCGGCGGATGTCGGCGACGGCGGAGGCGGAGAGGTCGTTCGCGACGACGTATCTGCGGGTATCGCGGGCGTCAGCGTGCGCGCACGCCGTGTATGTGATTGCGCGCACGCACCGGAGGAGAGGCAGCTCTTTCGCATAGCGGATTGCGCGGAGGCCGGTTGCGGAGAGCGCTTCAAGCAGCGTGAACTTGTAGGTCGGCGGCGGCGGGAGTTTCTCGTCCTGCGGTTCTGCGGGCGCAGCCGACTCTGAAGTCTGCAGGGCGACATTGATCAGCGGGAGAGAACAGGCGTAGGAGAAGGACCGCTCCGCACCTTCTCAGCCTCGCCTTCTCTCGCATCCGCCTCCGCAACAGCCTCCTTCTCTCCGCTCTCTGCCTTCCGCTTCTTCGCCCCCTTGTCTCCCTCGCCTTTCGCATCCCTCGCCCTCTTCTTTGCCCACTTCTTCCGCAGTCCCTCTTCCCACCTGTCCCTCTTCTCCCTCTGCCTCACCTCTCCCCACGTGCGGATCGCGACGACGGAGAGGTCACGGTTGTATTCCTGGACGGGGTTGAGGAAGACCGGAGCGGGGCCGGAGGACGTGGTGGAAGGGGGAGCGGCGAAGAGGATCGAGGTTGAGGATTCGGTATGAACAATAAAGCCTTCGGGGATGACGCCTGGGGCGGTTGTCGTGTCTGTCAATCCGCCCGAAAATGAGCGCAGCCCGTCAATCCTCCGCATCGAGAGCTAGACGAGCGATCAAGTCCAGGGAAGCTCACCTTCGCCTGCCTGACCTTCTTGAGCCCCTGCATTTGCGTAACCTGGCGCAGTCTCCTCCACCTGCATCATCGAATCTTTCTGCGCCTCGCCCTGTGCCGCAGACGAGGTGGACATGGCGTTTCGAGCGAGTCGTCGAGCGGGAGCAGGGCGCTGGGTGAGCGAGTGTGCGACGAGTGTGCGGTGTGAAGCGTGGATGCAATATAGCGCTCTCCTGTGCATGCAATGCCCGAGCGTGTCGTCTAGCTGGCAGCAGTGCGAGATGAGCGCGGTCGAGGTTGGTCGAGGGCGACGAGGAAGAGGAGCGAGGAGGGTTGAGAGAGTGACACTCGCTGGACTCGAGCAGACTGGGCTAGACTCGAGCAAACAGTGCTCTGATGGACTCTGCAGACACGCTCAAGCAACGCCCTTCAACCGCCTCACTCTCTCGGTGCGCTCTCCTCCACCTTCACCCAACTTTGCCCCCTTCACACTCTCCCACACGCACTGACACGCCCAAGATGCCTCTCAACAGCCTCACAGACTCGACAAACACTCACCACGCCCCTTCCACCTCGTCATACACGTCTTCGTCGCCCTCGAAACCAACCCTCGCGCCCCACACACCGACCGTCTCTACCGCGCTATCGCAGTCTACGAGCACCGCGAGCGACTTGGCGGGCCAATTGGCGGATTTGTCTCTCGATGAGGCGGTAGTCACCGCGATTGGAGGTGAGGAGGGGGAACAGCGGCGTGAACAGGCGGATCGTGCGGATGGAGGTGGAGCGGACAAAGGTTCCTTGGGCGGCGAGGGAGATGTACTGGACGGGACGACGATGAACGGGACGAACCGGGGCTTTCTGAAGACCGCGCCGTCGAGCCGACTGTCGTGAGTTCCCTCGCTCAACCTCTTCTTCCCTGGTTCTCCTTTCTCGCTGATCACTGTCCTCTCTTTCCAACCTGTAGCAACCCGCCATCTCTTCTCTCCGTCTCGTCAAGCATCACCGAGCTTCTCATGGAGATTCAAGAAGTCAACACCCTCATCTTCGAGATCCAGGTGCGCTAATCCTCCCCTCCCTTCTCCTCCTTCTCCCCTATTGAAGCGCTACAAGTCGCAGGAACTGCGACATGCGACGTCAATGCGCGCGAGTACAAGCAAGACGGAAAACGCAGCAGGTGGAGCGGAGAGCGTTAGCGAGGTGGATGCGGCGCTGATGCGTCTCGAGGCGAAGCTTGAGGCTGTTCGAAGCGTGCGTTCATCCTTCGCTCCTCCTTTCTCATCTCAACTTCTCGACGCTGACGACTCGCGTGAACAGCAATACGTGGCGCTCGCCTCGCAAGTCGAGCCACTACTCGACCCCAGTCACTCGCTCACCGCAACCGATGAGCGCGGCGACCTCGATCTGCTGAAGCACAAATGGGCGGATGCTGTGGCGGACTGGGAGGCGGCGCAGAAGGATGCGGACGTGCGTTCGACTCTTCCGTTCTCTTCTTCTCGCCTTGAGCGCAAGAGCTGATCCGCGAACGCGTCGAATGTACAGGTCCTCGGCGAAGAGCTGAAAGAAGACAAGTGGCTCGTGGTCTTTCGAACCGTCTCTGCCCAAGCGGAAGACATGATGCGGTCTCTCGAAAAGGTTGTCGCGCAAGGCCGGTCCTTCCTCGACTCTAGTCCTTCGCCTCCCTCTTCATCCTCCTCCTCAGCACGCCGCGGTCTCTCCCGCTCACCATCCGAACCAGCCTTCCCCTCCCCCTCACACAACTCTCTACCCACCTTCGCCCACCTCTCCCCCTCACTCGCCTCATCCCTCCTCTCAACACTCACGCCCCTCCTCACCACCCTGCACACAAAGTCCTCTTACTACGCTCCCGCAACGGACCGTGTCCTCAGGATCTTGGAGAAGGGCGTGAGGGAGAGACGGACGACGAATGGGGAGGTTGTGCGCAGGTTGAGCGGGATGGAGGGAAGGTGGAAAGGATTGAAGGGGGATGTGGAGCGTGTGGCCGGGGAGCTGGAGCGTGCGAAAGAGGGGTTGGGAGCGGTTGTTGAGAGGGCGAAAGGAGGGCGAGGGGAGGAACAGACGCCTACGAGGAGGCCAGCGGGCGGACTGGCGAGTTCGGCCTCGAGTCCGTCTATCGCGACGCTCGGAACTGTCACCTCGCCCGACCACTACCCCGACTCGCTCTCCCTCTCTCGCTCAACAAACCGTCCGACACCCCCTCGACCGCCCAAATCCCTCAAACGCCTCGTCAGCGACTCGTCCTCCACGCCTCCTCGCACTCCCTCTGCCTCTTTCAGCCTCAGTCACAGGAGAAGCATGTCGACCATGTCCGCCTCTCTCGCGCCATACACAGCGGACTCGAGGAGACAGTCTCTCCGCCCCGTCTCGCCTTCGCCTTTCGATTCACGACCCAGATGGAACGTCGCCACCCGTTCGCGCGACTCGGAAGTAATGGAGACGCTCGCCTCCCCCGCTCCGACTCCTCAACGACCAGCCCCTCGATCCGGCCGCATCTCAGCAGCAGGAGTGGTCCGACCCGCTTCGCGCGCTTCGATGTCCACCCGTGCACCGTCGCCGGCGTTCTCGGATGCGTCGGTCAGTGCGAGGCCTGAGACGCCGAGTCGGATCCCGAGGCCGAGGTCGAGTATCGCTGGGGCGATGTCGCCTGGTTCGAGGAGGCAGAGCGGCGCGTTCGGCTTCGGCGGAGCGGACGCAGGAGATGCAGGATTGAGAAGGGCGCTGTCGCCTACGCCTGGTTCGGCGAGTCGACCACCGCTCTCGTCGAAACGGTACTCGCTCAGTCGATCCGTCGGGATGCCTTCGCGTGTTTCCCGACCTACCAGTCCCGCTCTCTCGACGACGTCTTCATCATTCTCTTTCGGGCGAAGCCAGACGCCCGAACCGAGTCTGATGGCTCAAGCACAACGGATCGCCTCTATCCGCGCTCCCCCTCCCGTCCCGAAACTCCCCGCCTCCTACCGCCCCCGCTCTTCCCTCGCTCCTTCGCGCTCAACAACCCCTGCACCCTCCGACGGTTCCTACATCCCGAACCCCCTCGACCCACTCGACCTCCTCGTCGCACAAACTATCTCTTCCCTCCCTCTCGCACTCTCGATCACACGCATCGACCCGCCTCTCTCCCGCACTCAAGCAGCGACAGTCGAGCTCTTCCAGGCGCGGTACTCGTTCGCGCTGCCGGGCGGAGGAGGGTCAGGAGCGGTGATGCTGAAGATGGTTGATCGGGTTGGGCCGAGGGCGAAGAAGGGAGAGAAGAAGGTTTTGGTGAGGGTCGGAGGAGGGTGGCAGGATTTGGAGGCGTTCGCGTTGGCTTTGCTGGCGGGCGTGTGAGCGCGCGGTGTTGGGCGTGTAGATAGACTTGTTCCCCTCTCTCTTCTTACGTTCGTTGTTGTGTGCTCACTCCGTACTTCTCGTGCATTCAAGAGCTTTGCGCTCGCCTCTCAATGCCCGAGAGACCAAAAAGGCGAGAGGATTGCGCACAATAGCCCATTCCCTCGCGACCCTTCCAGCGACCCTCGCATCGCACCATGGTCGCGTCCGCTACAAATGATAATCCTCCTCCCTCTTCGCAAACCCAGGCAACCGCCTCTCCCAAACCCCTCGAATACCCATATCTTCCCTCCCGTCGTCCTTCCACAAAACCGTCGGTTCGCCTTCCCATTCGCCCGCGGGAGATTGAGGCGGGTTCCGGAAGATGACGGATTCGCGGAAGCCGAGGGTTAGGTGGATTGCGGCGGGGGTGGGGGTATTTGTCTGCGTGCGGCGTTAAAAGCGTGGTGAGAAGGTCAACTCGAGGAAAGAAAGGGAGGGAAGGTTAAGCGCACCTCGAGCGACTCCCTCCCCTGCCCCCGCAAAACCTTGACCACATTCCCCGCCACAATCCTCGCCTGTTCCAACGCCGGCCTCGCAGCTTTGGGCGCACCACTCTCCGCTACGTCTCCCAGCGCGAACACTTTACCTCCGAGTTCGGCGGCTTCTGATGCCGAGGAGGGGCAGACGAGAAGAGAGGGAGTGACGCGGATGTAGCCTGTTGGGAGGATCGAGGAGGGCGAGAGGGTGGAGAGGAGGGACGAGTTGGGCGTTTGGCCGAGGGCGTGGATCTGCCCCACGCGGGCGCGTCAATCTTGCAATCTTCAGGTCGATAGGAAAAGAGAGGACGGGAACGCACGACATAATCCGCCTCGACTTCCCTCCCATCCGTCAGCCTAACCTTCCCACCCTTCCCACTCTCATTCACCCCCTCCCATCCCCCCTCGGGCACCTCCGCCCTCGTTCCCAAAACCACTTCCACACCCAACTCCTCCAATCGTCGGAGGACGAGGTCGTGCAAGGCGGGATGGAAACGAGGCATGAGGAGGCGGGATTGGATGAGGGTTATGTGTTTAAGCGGAGGGGGGTAGAGGGTGGCTAGGTCGGTGGCCATCTCTGTGCATTCCTCCACATCTACATCAGTCCTTTTCCCCACAAGTAAGAGGAGGAGGGAAGAAGAGAGGAAGAGGAGGAGACGCACGAACTCCCACTGCCCCTCCACCTACAATAACCACCCTCTCCGCCTCCCTCAATCTCCCCTGACTACTCCTCAGATACCCGACTCCCTCAGCTTTCGTGCCACCCGGCATCGTACCCGGCGGCGAGAGCTTCGTGCCCGTCACGAGGATCAGTGCTTCGTACGAGATCTCGTTGGAGGGAGGGGAAGAGGGAAGCGAGATGGGCCGGTCGAGAAGGATGCGGCTGGAGGGAAGGAGGGAGAGAGCGGTTGCGTGGAGGATGGTATGGGGAGGGGGGAGCATCGAGTGCGAAGTCGTCGAGAAGGGGATGAAGGCGGTGTGTTCGTGTGAGGGGGATATCGCGAAGCGTGGGTAGGCGAACCTCCACACGTCCGCACGATCGTCAACACTCCATCGACCGAGAGAAGAAGAGCAAGGAAACGCACAGGTGCCCGAAATGCGAGTTCTTCTCGACCACCACAACCCTATATTCCTCTCCCACCACTTTACTCAGTTCCGTCGCCACCGCAAGCCCGACGTACGACGCTCCGACAACTACGATGTTCTTTGTCGGTGCGCGGGGGAGGGGAGAGGACATGGATGCGACGCCGCGGGTGAAGGATGGGAGGCGAGGACGGAGAAGGAGGGCGGCCAGGGTGACTGTGACTGCTCCGATGAGGCGCAGGCGCATGCGATGGAGAGAGAGGTGGAGAGAGAGGTGGGAGAGGAAAGGCGTGCTGCGGCGGGACCGGCGTCTTGGTCGGAGTCGGCGCGGAGCAACGGAGGCCGGATCAGATAAAGTCGACCCGGTGAGCCGCGGCTGGCGGCGAAGGGGAAAACTGCGAGTATTTGCACAGAGGATGTGTGTCTACGAGTGCAACAACAGGAGTAGTATGGACAGAACTGATGCGAGAGAGGAAGAGCCGCCGTGCCCACGCGAGGTGGACGCCCATTTTGAAGCGAGAAAGCGAAGGTTGTCAACCGAGGTTCAGGTCGAGGTCGCCGCCTGTGTCTTCGGTGTGCCCGTGATTGTGCAGAGGCTGCAAGATAGAGCAAGTCAGCACAGGGAAGAAGGAAAGGGAAGAAGCGCGCAGCACACCTTGTCGAGCGTTGGGAGCTGCGGAAGGACGGGCTCGCCGACGATGTGGATGTTGTCGACCGGCGCGCCCGCCTGCAGCGCCCTGACGATCTCCTCGAGGTCCTTGACGCGCTTCCTGTACATCTCAAGCTCCTTCTGAAGGATCGAGTTCTCCTGCGTCTTGTCCTCGGCGAGTCGCTCAAGGCGCTCGAACTCGGCGGCCTTGCGATCGCGCGACCGTTGCGCCGCGAGCCTGTTGCGCTCTTTGCGAATGTTTGTGCGGTCGGCGGGATTGAGGCCTGCGAGTGCACCGGTCTGGTACGTCGACTTCGTCCGTCCGCCTCGAGGAGCTGCCTGCCTGGGTTGTCCGGTCGCGTCGAACGAGCCAAACTGTCCGCCCGTCGTCGAGCTCCCCGTGCTCACGTCTCCGTCGGTCGCAGCATTCGCATGCCCGTTCGACTCGGGCGCCGGACTTCCAACCGGTATCCCAGCCTGGTCCTCACTGCGCGCTTCTGCTCCCTCCTCACCGGCCTCCCCGTTGGCCCGCTGACCGAACGAGTTTCCCGACGCCCTTGCGAGTGCCTCAAACTGGTCTGCGTATGCGCCCAGGCCTGCTGCGAGGTCGGGTGCCGAGGCGGCCATTTGGGCGAGGGATGGGTCGAGTTCGATGCTGGGTGCGGACGAGCGCGAGGGGAGGTGGGCTTGCATGCGAGCTCTGGTGTGCGTGTGTGTTGAATGAGGCGGTGCTTGGGTGGGGTCGAGGTGGGGAGGAGACGCGAGTTGGCGAGTGAGTAAGTTAGTGTGAGGGTGGGTGGAGCGAGCGTGGGTCGAGCGGCGGACGAGGCGAGTCGGTGCTGGGCTGGCTGGTGGTGGACTGGCTGGTGCTGCTGCTTGTGCTTGTGCCCGTCTGTATGCTGACGTGTCCTGGCTTTCGTTCAGGAGAGGACGTGGCTGGTGCGGAAGTGAGGGACTTCGCCGCACGTGACCTCGATCTTCGCCCAACCTGACGTCCGAGCAAGCACTCCTTAACCCTCTCCCTCTCATGATCCGCACCTTCCAACAACGACCACACACAATGCCCAAACGAGCACTCGCAACAGCCACATCGTCCTCGCCCTCCAAAAGCACCCGCCGCTCTCCCTCACCCGCTCTCGACTCGACGACCGTCCCTCAGGATGCCGCAGGCAAAGGAAAGTGGAAGGACTGGCCTGCTCCGAGGACGCAGATGGACGAGGCGAAAGAGTGGATCAGGGAGTGGTGAGTGCGCTCGCTTGAAGAGAAGCAGCCCGCGGGTTGACCTTCTCGAGTTGCGACTTGTGCAGCATCCGCGACAAGCACAGAGGTGCGTGCGCTCCTGTCTCCTCCGACCACCTCCCACTGACGCTTCAAGGGACCCCCGAAGTCCTGCTCTGCCCCGACAAAGACGCCGACGGCCTCTCCTCCGCCCTCGTCCTCTCCCGTACCCTCCGCGCTCTCTCGCACCCACCCTCCCTCACAGCCATCTACCACCTCCCTCGCGGTCTCAACATCCACTCCCCCCAGGCCTCGGAAGGGATGCTCGCGACTTTCCCAAACGAAGGCGGCCCAACACGCTGCATAATCCTCGACCAAGGCTCGCGTCCCGGCCCTCCTCTTCTCCCCCCTTCGCAATGCAAGACCCTCATAATCGACCACCACCTCTCCTCGCTCTTCCCCTCCGAATCTCAAGTCCTCTCCGCATGTCACTCCCTCCCAGTCGCGACAACTTCCCTCCTCACCTACACGCTCTGCGCCGAACTCGTCCCCGAACAAAGGGGGAAAGGCGCGTTGGCGCTCGGCGCACTGGTAGGCGTGTATGGAGACTTGGGAAGTGGCAAAGTCAAGTTTGGTGCCGAGGACGAACCGTGGCCTGCGAGTCTTGCGCCGGTCGAAAAGGCGCTCACGAAATCTGCCCTGTCCAAGTCTGTGGCGCTCCTCAATGCTCCGCGACGAACGCCGGAATTCAACGTCTCGGATGCGTACGCCGCGCTCGAAGCCGCAGCAGACGCAGAAGAGGCGAAACCAGGAACGGGTTTGAAGCGGATCTTGGGCGACGAGAAGTTGTTGGAGGCGAAAGAGCGCACGAGCGCCGAGACGAGTAGGTGGCAGGCTGCTCCGCCGGTCTTTTCGAAGGATGGGAGGATCGCGGTCGTTACGGTCGATTCAGGGTACCAGAGTGCGTTTCCCGTCCTTCTCGCCCGCTTCATCTCGCTCAGCGTACTGACTGGGGGAGCGCAGTACACCCGGTCATTGCGACTCGCTGGACCGGCACGCTGAGGAAAGCCAAAACCCTCGTCTGCGTCATGGTTCGTCCCCTCTCCTCTGCTCTCCCTTCCCTCCTAACCTTTCTCCACACAGTGCGCCAACACCGGCTACACCCCCGACCACGTGCACTTCTCCTGCCGCGCTCCCCGTCACCCCGACTCCCCTCCACCGGACCTAATCGCCTTCCTCACCTCGCTCAAACCCCTTTGCGACGCCCTCTCTCCAGACTGGTCCGCCCGCGTAGGGGAAGATTTTGCGCGCGGACACCGTGAGGCGACGGGTGGGATTATTCGGAGGGAGGAGTGGGAGGTGCTTTGCAGGGCGGTGGAGGTGGGGGTTAAGAAGGAGAAAACTGAGGGAGCGGGAGGGGGAAAGGGAGGGAAGAAGGTGATTGATCCGGGGCAGAAGAATACGTTGGATGGGTTCTTTAAGGTTAAGGGGAAGGGGAAGAGCGCGAAGAAGGAGGAGGAGGACGAGGAGGGGGACGTGAAGAAGGAAGAGAAGAAGGAGGCAAAGACGATTATCGTCGAGTAGAGCGCACGCAAGATTGCGGTTGTTGTTCCAACAGGCGCGGCAAAGGCGAGCGAGACGAGACCAGGCTTCCCAGATTCCAGACGAGCTCTTCGGTCGTCTGCCTAGCACTTGCGCTCTCGGCTCCTTAAGCCGGTCGATACGAGCTACGACAAAAAAGAGTTTCATAGCAAACACACAGACTATCGCAACACACGGTCAAATACATCTCTCTCTCTCAAAGCTTGGCCTTGACCGTCTCCCATCCCTCACTAACCTTCTCACCCACACTCTTCTGCTTCCCGTTCCCGCCAAACTGCGCCCACACACCCTCGGAAGAGGAAGACTTGACTTCGGGACCGGCGAGGCGTTCGAGTTTCTCGCGTTCTTGCGAGAGGATGCGCAGGGCTTGGAAGGACCGGTCGAGGTCGCCACGGATGTGGAGGCGCTGTGCATTGTGCGTGTCAGTAGACGCAGTCTAAGCTCGAGTGGATCGCGCGAGAGGAGCGAGAGGATCGAGAAAGCGAGACTGACCTTGGCGGCGTAGAGCTTCTGCGGCGTGAGCTGCGGGTCTCTCGTAGGCAAGGATCAGTAACGACTCCGGGAGAGCAGAAACTGAAGCGCTGCGAGAGCGGACGCACCCTTCCTGTCACGAGTCCGACGAGGTCGCGGTCCTGGACTCGAACGATCACGTCTGGCTTGAGAGGCGCCTTCTCGCCGGGCTTGAGGACGCCGACTCGACCCTTCTTCTGCGTGAGTGGTAGATGTTGAGAGATGATCAGCGAGAAGCTCTACCCTTCAGCCCTTTACCGCAATCCAAACGAGTCTGTCCCGACGCACCTTCATGTCCAACCACCATTGCGCCTCCTGCCCGCTCGAGTTGGTAACCTGGAAGAGGTAGACAGTCTTGATAGCACGGAGGAGGCGCTTCTTGGGTGACGAAGGGGACTGGAGGACGACGGAGATGAGGGCGAAGACGCGCGAGGCGTCGAAGCCGGGGCAGAAGATGGCGGGGTCGGCGAGAGCGGCCTGGGTGTCTCGTCATACGGTAGTGTGGTCGAAGAAGCGCCAATGGGGCGGTTAGAGCGGGGAGAGCGTTTCGTCGTGAATGTGGGGTGAGGAGGAGTGGGAGAGTGAGCGGGCGTCTCTGGCTGGACGTGGACGGTTGGAGCGCACCCGTACGAGCCTGTCCGAGACTTCCTGGTCCGACTTGTCCTGCTGTGCCATGGTGAAGGAGTGAAGCCCCGCACTTGCCCGCACGACGGCGAACTCGACAAGGTCGGCCGCGACACGCTGGCACGTCCTTCTAGGGCCCAGCCGACCCCTGCAAGTATTTCATGAGCGTTTCAAAAGAATTGTCAGCTGGTCAATTCGGCCGGACGAGGAGGAGACCTCCGTTTTCTCCTCGCGCCTCTTTCTCATCAGTTCTCGCGCACTGCTCTCCACGAGCGCTCGCTATGGTTCCGATCTCTCGGCGGTACTCGCTGTCGCTATCTTTGCTATCGCCACGGACTTGCAGCAACGCCGCGCGAACTGTCGCCGTCGAGAGGCCGCCTCGACCAGCCTCCTCCCTTCATCGACTTCCCCTTCCGTCGACCCTCGACGAATAGGCTGTCCTGGATCGTCATTAGGCGCAGCAAGGTCACCTCTTCACCTATTAGAGATCTGCTTGCACGGGCAATCGCAGGGGGCCGGCGAGCGTCGCCTCCTCGTCCTCCTCCCTCGCCCTCAGGTTCCCTCAGCTACTCGCTAGGGTTCCGTACAGCTAGACGGGCGCATGCCTCGCTCGCGGGGCAGGGGCGCCTTGCCCGGTGTCTCCCCTCTATCGCTGATCTTCGCGCTTCACTTGCTCGTGCTCTTGCTGAGCGGCAAGGGCTGGGGCGTCCAGGCGGTGCTCGCTCCGCTGAACGATATAGACACTGTGTACGTTCTCTCTCTCTAGTTGAGCAGCGGACATAGCGACATTGGCTCACCTGTCGCTTCGTCGCATAGCTTCGTCTTTGGCGATTCCTACAGCGAGACGGGCTTCGACCCGTCTAAAGGATTCGACCCGCTTGCTCAACCCGCCAAGGTGCGTCTGACGAGCGTCTCCTTTTCGTACAATAGGCTGACCTCGCTCGTTCTTGTGCCCAGACTACTTCTGCCGGTCCTTGTTCGTCCCGCTCTGTCTTCGCGATTGATCCTCTCGCTCGCCACTGACGCGCGCCCTCTGCAACAGCCTGGCCGATGTACTTCGCCAACAACACCATCTCGCCCGCTCTCTTCAACCGCACCTTCTCCTTCGCCCGAGGCGGCGCAACCACATCTCCCGACCGCGTCTATCCCACCTACCCGAACATCTCGACGGGGTCGCAAGTTGATAGTTGGGAGGGCTGGTTCGTGAATGCTACGACGGAGGGGAAGAAGGCGAGGCCGGTTTGGGACGGGCGGAAGACTTTGTTTGGTGCGTCCTGCTGCTTCTGTCTTGAGCGAATCCTGGAGTCTCTCAAGCTTGATAGCGTGCTGACACGATGATGTGTCTGCGCACAGTCGTCTCGTTCGGCCTGAACGACCTCGTCATCGCCATGCGGTCGAAAACGCCGCTCCCGACTATCCTCGAGCCTACCTTCGCCGAGCTCATGAACCAGACGTCTCGTCTCTACAAGAGCGGCGGTATGTGCCCACGAGCTGTCCTCGCTCTCCCAAGCTTACACCGCTGACGCTCGCACGCCTTTCCAGCACGCCAATTCCTCTTCCAGCTCATTCCAGCCTTCCAACACTCTCCTGAAGCCCAACACAGCTTCCCGGACGTCAATAACGCAGCTGCGCTAGTCGGGACCAACGTCAAGTTGTGGAACGAGCGGGTCAAGGTGTTTGCGGGACAGGTTGCGTCGACGCTTAAGGGGAGCGAGGTCGGTGTTTGGGACGCTTACGGGTTTTGGGAAGAGGTGTGTGCGAGCTTTCCTCGCTGCTGGACAAGCTTGAGCTGCTTGACTGCCGGTGATTGACATGAGGCTTCGTGTTCCTGCAGCTGCTCGCGCACCCGCAGGCCTACGGCTTCCGCAACTCGACCGAGTCAGTCTTTGCGCTCTTCTTCGCATATCCGTCGCATATGCAAGCTCCTTCTGACGGTGTTGACTCAATGCAGCTACTGTCCGTCGTACGCCCCGCTCAAGTGGAAGCGCGGGCAGTCGCTCGACTACTACAAGAAGGATTGCGGCATTCCCGTACGTCTTCGCGCTCGCTCTCAGGATCATCGAGTTGCTGACATGTCATCGGGCCGCACAGCTGCGCGACTACATCTGGATGGACCGGGCGCATCCGACTTTCACGGTGCACAAGCTGATTGCCGACTCGCTCGTCAAGGTGCGTCCCATCTGCTTGTCTGCTGCCTCGATCGATGCGGACGCTATCACTGACGGATTCTTGCGCTTTGCGGAATCTACAGGTTCTCTCTCAGCCAGGCGCCTCCGCTACAACGTCCCTGCATTGCCGCAACTCCATCGCCGCTTCATCTCACTCCGACACAACTCACCTCGTCACGCACCACCGCGCTCCGGTCCCCATCCACCGTCAGCCATCCGGAATGATTCGCCAACTCGTGAGGCGGAAAGACGGCTTCTGGGCGGCGTTGAGGGACCAGGCGGTTGGAAGCGTCGTGGGACCCGCTACGGGCGTTGCGGTGAAGGTGGACTAGAATACGAGGAAGGCTGTGGACTGCGCAGGCGCACGGTGGAGCTTGCCCTGGAGCGTGTATTCATTCTTTTTGACCCTCGCCTCGAGTTCTTCCGCTCGTCCCGCTTCGGCTTCTCTTTACTCGGCTGCTATCATCAAGAGCGAAAAGATGCTGTACTGCCTCGCTTCTGGTATTTAAAGGAGCCGGCCGCCCTCCACCACCCTCCTGCAGCGTTCGGCCGCACCTCTCTCCCTCCCTCCTCCTCCTCACGCACCCGCCGACGATGACTGGCACGCCGCTGAGTACGCAGACAATACGCTCAGCGTCTGCGTGCTCAGTATGCGTCCTTCGCGCGCCCTTCGACCATCGCGCTCGGCTGCCTGTCGAGGCAGTTGACGAATGTCTTTCTCCTCGAGGAACGGCCGGACGTCCTTGACCGATCCGAGAACTAGTCTTACGAGCGAGGCACTCCTGTATCAACGCCCTGCAGTCCTGGCCAGTCGCTCACCGTCCTCTCCTTCTCCCGCACACCGCTCGCCATTTCATCGCCTTCCTGCTACGCGGCATGCTCGAGCGGCTTTGACGAATACGCATAGCTCTGAGACTTCGACGACCAGCTGGCATGGCCCACACACAGGCCAGCTCCGCCTCACCCACACTCGCTTTCCTCACGCTCGTTCTCTCCCTCCTCTCGCTCGCGCGCACCGTTCGAAGCGCTCTTCCACCTCTCGGCGACATCAACACTCTGTGCGCCCCTTCCTCAACGCGCGTGAAGCCTCGCGTGAGCCGAACTGACGGCTCCGCTCGCACAGCTTCGTCCTGGGCGACAGCTACTCTGCGACCGGCTTCAACCCGTCAAAGGGCTACGACCAATGGGCCCAGTCACCCGACACATTCGGCAGCGGCCGCTCATGGTCGATGTTCATCGCGAACTCGACCCGCGTTCCTTCTGCCCTCTACGACCGCACCTTCTCGCTCGCCGAGGGCGGCACGCCTCTCTCACCTGACCGAAGCTGGCCAAACTTTCCGAAGGACGGCGTCAAGGCAGAGGTCGATCGGTTTGCGGAGTACTTCGTGAACGCTTCGACTGAGGGGAAGGGCGCAAGGCCGGTTTGGACCGGCGACAGGACGTTGTTCGGTGCGTTGAGCTTCCCTCATGCACCAGAAGAGCCTTGGCTGACTGTGCCAGAGCGTCGCAGTAATCTGGTTCGGCGTCAACGACTTTGAGATCGCCGGCAAGATGGGCAATCTCGCACTGCCGGTCACCGACGGGACTTTCGACCGATTGCGAGAGCAGGTGACGCGTCTGTACGACCTCGGAGGTGCGGCGAAAGATTTCCAGCCTCTCCCAGCATGAATCAAGACTGACCTCTCCCCATACTCTCTTCTGCAGCCCGCAACTTCCTCTTCCCGACCCTCTCCCAATTCCACCGTACGCCGACCATTCGCGCGCAGTCGACGCCCGACTTCGACGCTCCCTCTGAATACGAGGCTGTTTACTTGCGCTGGAATGCGAAGCTGAAGGAGACGGTGGCCGATTTCCCGCTCACCTTGCCGGACGCCAACGTCCAGGTGTGGGACGCCTGGTCATGGTTCGGTCAGATGCTGGACAACGCCGAGGCTTTTGGCTTCAAGAACTCGTCAACGTGCGTCGTTCGCTCGATTCACTCATCGCGAGAGCGAAGGCTGATCCGTCTTTGCAGCTGGTGCTCGGCGTACTCGCACCTCAAGTGGAACTACGCCGACGTTCCCGACCAAGACAAGCCTGAGTGCGGCGTGCGTGTACGTCGTGAAACATTCGCACTTACGTCCTCGCTTTTATCCTGACTGACTCCGGTTGTTGCGCTTCTTCCAGCTGAGCGAATACTTCTGGACGGATGCCGCTCATCCGACCTACGCTGTGCACGAGTACCTCGCCGACTCGTTGATCGAGGTGGGCTGGTTGCGTGACTGAATTGCCTTGCAGTCGCAGCCGGCTGACTACTCCCTCTCGCCCTTCTTTCCGCGCTCGACCTCGCAGACCCTCAGCAACCCACAAGACACGCTCGTCATCGAGTTCAACCCGATGCGACTGCTCAACCCGGAGAAGCGACTCAGTCGACGCATGTCCGCCCTCAGCCTTCGCGACGGCACCTCTCCCTCGCACCACCAACACCTTCCTCGCCATTCTCGCCGTATGCGCCGTGTTCCGAAGCGCTGGGACGTCTCCTGGACGGCGGTCGACCCCGACACCGTTGGAGAGGCCTGAAGCGTTCGCCAGAGGCGCAGGTCGTCTCGTAACGCCTGTTTCGTCGGCGCTGGTCTTGTAGCAGTCGTTTCGGTCCTTATTTCTGCATGTATCGACTGTGTGTCAAACTGACCGGACGGATGCCACTCGTCGAGCTGGTCGAAGTCGGATCGCCCAAGTTCGCCAGGACGTCTCGCAGGATCACCTTCAAGCTACTTCTTTTGCTCGCGACTTCCCTTTGGACGGGACTCGACATCGACGACTGCTCGCTGCTGCACCCAGTCAGCGCGCGCTGACCTCGACTCGCACGCTCCTCTCCCCACTTCGTCCTCGTCCAACCGTCACTGTGACTGTCAAAGACACGCTCGAACGCTGTACACTGTCGGCTCCTGCTCGTCTTGCCAGCTCGCGGCTCTTGCGATGCTCCCGCGCTCGACATCGCCGACAGCTTCGACCGGACCAGCCGCGGTCACTGGCTTGCTCTCTTCGCAGCGATGGACGACGGGACACGAAGGAGAAGGCAGTCACAGTACTGGCGCAGGCGTAGCTGCTGCTATCGCGGACGCGGGAGAAGGTGCGCCTTTCGTTCCTTTTGCTAGGCGAGCACAAGCTGACCTGGTCGCCGTAACGCAGAAGTCGCCACCGCCAGGCCATCCCCAATGTGCCCGAATGCAGGCTCAGGATACGACGAAGCTCTCGAGCCGGCGGCGTGGACGCGCGAGGAGGACTCGGCTTTGAGCGTTGCAGTCGGGCGGTCAGCAGTCGGCGACTGGGAGGGCGTTCGACAAACCTTCTTCAATGTAACTGGCTCGCCGAAGAGTGCTTCCGCCCTGTCGGAGCGTTGGGAAGTCCTGCGGCTCGGGCAGTTGACTTCGAGGAAGTGTGCGTACTAGCTTTCTCTCCTTCGGCCGAATCCTGATCCTCTTCTCGACAGTCTTGCGCAAGCCACGCCCAAGGTCGCCTGCTCCGCCATGCTCGTAAGACACCTTCAATCGCAGCTCGCCTGATCCTCTCGACTTCTCGCGCGAGGAGACGACCCTTCGCTGGTTGCGCGTGCACCATTCGGCAACTCCGCCAGATCAGCACAGCTCGCCCTCTTCGAACGGCTTTTTGGCGCTACGCGAAGACTCGCAAGTTCAGAATTGCGCGAAGAGGCTGCGCAATGCGGGACTGGAGGAAACGGTCGGCAACCGCGGCGTCGCAACGCCTACTCCTAGGCAGGACGCGCCTGCGGCTGACGCGGCGATACCTTCTTCGCTAAATCCGCTATACGACGAGCCGATGATGAACGCCAGTCGGTCCGATGCCATCCGTGCCATTCCCTCATCCGACGCCGCCTCTTATACTTCGCTTTCAGCCGGGCTTGACCCGGTACGCGACCCGTCGAAGCCATCTTGCGATCCGCTCCGAGAAGCCGACTTCGCCTTTGTCGCCGACGATCTCGGCGAACGAGACGAGCAGGATGTACTCTCGGTCTTTTCGACCGACCCAGATCCGCCCCAGCAAACGTCCGCGCCCACACCTTACGCGCTCCCCCTACGACGCCAACCTTCGAACGCTCCTGCGACCACAGACCCGATTGAGCTGGTCGTACAGGGTTGCGCCTTGCCAACCCAGACCTCGCCTCCTCGACCTGCGCCTGCCGCCTCTTCTTTCTCGACCAGCGTACCTCTCGAGCCTCTCAAGCTTGCGGGAATACCCGATCCAGCCAGCATTCCACCTCGTCCTAGCACATCGCGCCGCTTCCCATCCGTCTACCGCCCCTCTCCCAATCGCTCGTCGACCTTGCGAATCGAGACGACGGATGCTCGAGACGACGATAACCCTCCTCCGCCCTTCAAGCCTCGTCTGCTCATCAAGGGCATCGCCAAGGCGGCGCGGCGTCAACAGTCGACAGCGCAACGTCCAAGCTTTCCGTCACGGCAGGTCACCTCCGAACCTGTCGAAGCCGCTGAGCCCTCACCTTCAAAGGGTGGATCGCCGCAGCAGCGTCAGTTGTCTGCCATCGCCGATTCGCCAACGACGCTTGCGAAGTACGCGCCGAATCCTCATGAAATTGCTCGACCCTCCTCGACGTCTATCCAGCAGCAGCCTTCCCCGCCACCTTCGCTCCCCGACACCACAATGAGCGACTCTGCGATCAATCTTGCAGGGCAGAACAGCGCAGGCGGAGGGAGTGGAGATGTTGGCCGTGAGAAGGAGACGGCTGAGGCCGCAGAAGATTGGCAGGCTATCCTCGATGGGGCGGATCGCCTGAGGAGGAGATTACTTGAGATTGCAGCGTCACTGAGGGTTTAAGGGAGGCGCTTGACTGTACAAGATCTTGAACGAGGTTCGTTTGCTTGGTCCGTAAGTCGCGGCGCAAGTTCTCCCTCTCCAACCTCCCGCGCTTCCCACAATGCAGTCGTAGAACGAGCTGTCACACGCTCGAAAGCTTTGCTGCTTCCTGCTTCGTCAAAGACGTGTACGCATCGACGCACTGACCTTCGCAAGCCCACCTCTGCTCGCTCCCCTTCCCCGCCTCATCGCGCTCTCCAGCTCCGTTCAGAGCATAAGCGCAGCGCTAACTTCCTGACCACGCTGCTCGACTGCTCGCCCACGGCTACAAGGCATGAGCGCGGGTTGCGGTTCTTCGAGCGAGGGGAGAGGGTCAGATCGCTTCGTTCCAGCCCAGCGATGGCGTGCAGGGCGGCAGCGCGACGCTACAACGGAGAGTAGAGCGGGTACTGGCACGGCGAACGGGGGAACAGGTGCGCGCACTCGCTTTTCGCTGTTCTGACGGGCTTGCACCAGGACGAGCTGACGTTGACCTGCTCCTGCAGCTTTGCACGGCCGCATTAGCTCGGCGGGCGACAGTGGAGGACAGTCGTACGATGCGCGAAGCGCCGGCGCGAGCGGCCGCCTCGACGACCGTTCTTCTCCTGCCATCGACCTCAGCTTCGACAGACCTCACAACACGATCCCGCCTCTTTACCCGGCTTCAACGGCTGCTGCCTCTCCAAGGTTATCTGACTTCTTCGCAACGCCCAGAACGACGCCCTTTGCCGGAAGAGGCCGCCCCGCAAAGCGCGCCCGCTTGAAGGCGAGCGGTCAATCCGTCCCAATTCCTCCCGGCGCAATGTTACCCCCGCGGCCGGCTCAAGGCGCATCTTCCTTCTCTCGCGAGACTGCGCCGCACGGCGCGTGGTCAGGCAACTCGCCGCCTCCGATCTCTGCGTCGACTTTCACAACGAGTTCTGCAGTCCCGCCCTCGCATACTGGCTGGCACCCTTCTTGCCCGACAGCCACAGCAGCTGAGTGGAGGAGCAAGGCTTCAGACGACGAACAACTCCTCTCCGAGCGTCCAGTTTCGCCGCCAGCTTCGACTGCCCAGCAGCCAACTTCTTCCATTCTCGCCTTGACTTTGCCTTCTCTTTCCCCTCCTGGCGACACAGCAGCAGCAGCGTCAACGCTTTCGTCCATGCCGCGCGGCAGCGGCACCTCGAGGTCTAGCTTCTGCCTTCAATCGACAGCGTCTTCGCCTGCGGACTTTCACGACACGAGCATCACCGACTCTCCATCGTCACGGCGCTCCTCTTACGACCCACGTGCTTCGTCTAACGAGTCGAGCGCGACTGACGACGGCGCCAGAGCGTTGATAGGCCTGGCGGAACTCGCTCGTCGACCTTCGCCTTTCCTCCACACCCCCGTCTCTACCGCAGCTTTGACGTCTGCGCAAGCTTGGGACGTCGATAAGGGAGTCGACGAAACGGAGAAGACGTCGAAGTGCGACGTAGGCGACCAGAGGCGAAACGAGCAGGCGAAGAAGGCGGAGGGCGAGGAGGATTTTGGGGAGCAGGCGGCTCTCGAGGGGGCGGATCGCCTGCGGAAGAGGCTGTTGGACATTGCGTGATCGTTGCGGTCGTAGGAGATCCAGCGAATGCTCCCCTCGTCGTGCGAATGTCCAGAAACTCGCTGCTTTCCTCGCTTCTCGACGTTCCCTCCATCGGTTTCGTCTTCTGGGTCGCACATCTCGTTCTTCCTCGTCGAAAAGAGCCACCCAGTAGCTTTCGCTTGCTCCCAGGCTTCATCGCTCGCGTTGTCGACGCGTCTCCCAACTTCGCAACTTGTCGTCTTCCGCTCCACCCAGCTCGTCCATCTGACTCTTTCCTGCTGCTCTGCTACCTCGTGCATCACTGGACATGGACGGCACCACTTCGCCGGCCCTACCACAACCCTCCCCGTCGCCCGCACCCCACCAAGCGTCTGTGCTTCAACCCGACGACAGCACCGCGACGCAGACGAACGAGCGGGCAGACAGCTCGCAGGGAGGACTAGAAGGGTCCGAGCCGTGGCTCACGCCGAAGCGCGAGCGCTCTCGTACGCTCTCTCGCCTGGTATCCTCCGCTTCAAGAGGTCAATCCGGCTGACGACCTTCGAAACTGTTCTTGGCTGCAGCTTCAACGTCTTCGACTCGAGCCACTCCCCAAGCCGACGGCGGACCTCTTCGCAAGAGGGCCAAGATGGCGAAGTGGACGCGAGAGGAAGAACTCGCTTTCCTCGAGGTCCGGAAGAGCGACGTCGATCTGGACTGGGATCCCCTGGCCGAAAAGCTGGCGGCGAGGGGATTTCCAAAGCGTAGCGGTGCTGCCCTCAAGGCTCGCTGGGTGGCCAAGGATGGGTCCAACGATAGTGAGTCTTTCAGTCTGCCTTGGTACCGCTATGCGCTCACTAACATTCGCCGATTGCAGGTCCTGGTCTTGGTTCGGAACGGGTTAGGCCCACTTGGTCGGCGCAGGAGAAAGTCGATCTCCTTGCCATTGCGACGCGCGGGGGCGCATGCTGGATGCCCGACTTCCGCAAGTCGTCCATCAAGTGGGATACTTGGACGCCCTTCTTCCCCGGAAGAACAAAGACGGAAGTGAGCTGGAAGGCGCACGACTTGCGCCAGACGGAGGAGAAGAAGTTGGCGAGGATTGGCCTGAAGCCGACCGCAAGCCAGGAGGTGCAGCTAAGATGGCAGCAACTGAAGGCTGCGGCCGCGATATCTTTTCGTCATTGGACGCCGTCCACGCCAGTCCCTGCGTATGCCATTCCCCCTCCAGCACCAACACCGGGTCCGTCACAGCCTACACCTATCGCCGCCTCCACCAGCGCGACCTCTCAGACAGTCGCCCAGGACACCACGGCTGCCGCTCTCACCTCTAGCTCTTTCACAACGTACACGGCGATGCCTCAGCCCTCTCCTCTTGACGCCAAACCTCTCGAGAGGGCAAACCCGGCTACGCCTCCGAGCGACTCCGTATCATCCCGTTTCATCTCGCCAGTCTTTCCCGCATCTTCCTCGTCCTTGTCATCTCTCTCCACTCAACCTGTCGACGTCCTCGACACCAAACATCCCGACATCGGTCCCCTCGCCACCTTGACGTCCGGCGACATGCAGCCACTTTTCGACAAGCTCGTCTCTGGCTTATGCACACACCTCGCCAAGAAGCTCGACTCTGTACAAGCTGTCAACGCTGGGGACGCTTCGATAGGCGCATCGGCGATACTGGCAGCAGGAGAAGCGGGAGGTTCAGGGACGGGAACGAGGAGGACGAGCGACGGAGCGCGCGGGCAGGCTGCGGCGGGCTGGGGCGACGAGGAGGACCTGTCGTGGCTTCCGCGGACGGAGAGAGGCGTCGCGCTGGTGAAGCGGCTACGCGGAATAGCGGCACGGTTAGCGGCGTGAGGAGGGAGTTCGCGAGAAGACCGACGCGCGAACCCCAAAGTGTGGACCTGTACACTGCAGTTCGGATTGACGGTACGCACGGTACATTATCTCGAGCGCGTCCGGCTTCCGAGAGCGAGCGAGAGACGGACTGCGACTAATAGCGAGCGGGACCTCGAAGGCTTCGCGCAAGTCGCTACCGGTCTTCCTTTATCCGCCGTTGCTCTGCTGCGGGTACCTACCGGCTGTCAGACGCTTGCAAAGGGTGTGTTTGCCCGTCTTGCGGTCGGACCTTCGCAACTCGACCTCCTGTCGACGCTTCGCCTCTTCCGACCTCGCCCTCACGTTGGCTCGCCTTGCGCGCGCACAGACAGCATGGATAGCCCCCCGGTTTCTCCTGCTGGCTCGCGCGCGCCCTCGTCGACTCCCGCCACGCCGCTCCTGGACGAGTCCGAACTACAGGCGCAAGCGCACCCGGGCAGCGTCTCGGGCGACTCGGTGGACTTGGCAGGGATTGCGAACGAGGTTCAAGGGGCGGGAGACCGCGCTCCCGAGACGCACGAAGGCGACCCTCGTACGTTCCGCCTTTCCACTTCGCAAGACGAGCGGATGTTGACAATGGGCTCACAACGAGCGCTCCTCCCTGCAGAAACTACTCAGAAAGATGCGAGCGGTCACGACGCGTCGCAGCAGCAAGAGGGACCGGCCCCAAAGCGCATCAAGAAGGAGTTTGGCGGCGAGAAGTGGACAAGGGAAGAAGAGCTCGCTTTGCTCGAGATTCGCAAGGGGCAGGGAGGAGCGACCTGGGAGGGCACACCGGAGAAGCTGGTCGCAAAGGGATTTGCGAAACGATCGGTCACAGCGTTGAAGCAGCGGTGGCAGGCGATGGACGGGGCGAGCGGAAGTGCGTTCGCATCCGACTCGTCTCGCTTGACTTGACTTATCCACCACCTTGATCAGGTCCTCGACCAGCTACCGAGCAGGACAAGAGTTGGACGAATGACCAGCTTCTCGCGCTCACCGCCATCGTCACTCACCAAGACTCCGTCCCTGGATTTCGCAAGAACCCGATCGACTGGTCCTCCTGGCAGTCCGAATTTCCTGGCAAGACCAAGTACCAGCTGAAACACAAGGTCGCCGACTTGCGCAAAGTGGAGGAGAATGCGAAGTTGAAGGACCAACGACATCAGGCGGACAAGGCGGCGCGTGAAGCGGCCATCGAAGCGAAATGGCGTTCGCTGCAGGCGGAGAAGGGTGGCGGTGGACAGGCGGACGCTGGAGCGGGACCATCAACAACGACGAGCGCCGCCGACGACACTCCCCAAACGTTGGACGAGATCATCGCCGCCTGCTCCGCCACAGGACCTGCTGCGACCTTCGCGCCGTTGACTGTCGAAGATGTCCAGATGCCGTCGGGCTCATGCGCCATGCACAGCTTCAGTCAGACCCTTTGCGCGCAGCCGCCCTTCCACGAAGCCTCCTTCGGCCAGCTCGACTCCTTCCGCACGCATCAACGGACGACCGCGTCGCCTCGTCCGATTCCGCACCACCCCTCAACGTCGACGATGTCGTCGCAACTCGACGCATACCTCGATTTCGCAATTGACGCCGCCCTGTCCACTACTTCGCCAGTCCCGCCGCCGCAGAACACCCGTCCACACCATCCGCCCAATCACACGATGATCGGCCAGTCGAACTCGGCGCAGCGACTTCCGCAGTCCGCCTTCGTGCCGCGCGAGCAGCAGCACCAGCCCATCTCCGCCGCCGCGAACGTCTCGCCCGCTTTGCCAGCGAAGCAGCCGGTCGTCGCTGCCGAAATCGCCAAACTCATCGTCGACGTGACCGGTCAGACGGCGAGTCAGCGCCATGCGGCGCCGGCGCACGAGCCTGCGGAGGAGAAGCGAGAGGAGCCGAGGTGGAGGACGGACTTGGGCGACGAGGAGGACACGTCGTGGGTGCCGAAGTCGAAGGCGGGTATGAAGCTGGAGGCGAAGCTGCGGGGTATCGAGAGGCGTTTGAGGGAGTGAGAGGGAAGGTGAGGAGTAGGTGCTTGGCTTAGCTCCGCTTGTTGTTGCGCTTGATACGTCGGACGGAACCTGTAGACGCTTAGTTGGATCTCAGAAGCAAGGAGAGTGCCAAAGGAGAGAAACGGCGGAAGCGGATAGCGGAGAAGCGGGATCCAGGCGCAGCGCTGCAGGAAGTTCGACGCCTCGACTTTCCGGCGTCGATTGCCGCAGTGCTGTGCTCAAACCAGATCGAACTGGCGACTGACGAGCCCGCGAGAGTAGGCGGATATCGAACGTCAACAATGCAAAGCGAGAGCGTCTCGACGAACTACTTATCTGCGAGTCGGCGGACTGGTCAGCGGGCGGGAGCGGGGCGACATACGAGAAGCTTCACGCACGAGCATCCTTGCCAATCTTGAGCCACGACGGCTTGACCGACCCTTTCGACCCGCCCATCCCTAGTCCTTTCCCGAGCAAGCGCTTCATCTTCTCCTCCTTCTCCCGCTTCTTCCGTGCCTCCTCGCTCTCGCCTGATGGAGCTCCTGAAGGGGACTCGTCGCCGGGCAGGAACGACGGAGGGAGGGGGAGTTCGCCTCCTGCGGCGAGGAGGTCGGGCGTGAGAGGCGGAGGAAGTGACGTTGTCGCGTTGAGGTCGTCGATGGAGATGCCGGAAGGAATTGCGGAGGTGGCGGAAGGGGGAGAAGGCGCTTCAAACTTGATGTAGAGAGCGGTCGAGGGAGTGAACTGCAGGTCCATCAGGTTCTTGCCCTTGTAGGCGGGGTCGCCGCGCCGGTACTCGGTTCGAGGGGGCGTTTGATCTGCAAGACGGTGCATCGCGTCAGCTCCTGTTCATCGAGTACGTCCTAGAGACCAGACAGCCGAACCAGGATCCTCAACTCGTCTGCCTGGCTCGCAAGAGCTGCCGACTTACAGAGAACGAACTGAATGTCCCGCACATCTTCTCGCAGCGCAAGGCGGACGAACTCGTACAGGTGGACGAGCTTGTCGGTCGAGGGAAAGACGCCTTCGAGTTGCGAACGGTCGGGGAAACGGATGCGAATGCGGGTCTGCAGGCCGGGCGCTCTTCGTCAGCACCGCATTCCGCGTCTCTGTCAAAATTGCACTCACATGAGGCCACCTCGCCGCCTTGGCTCTGTTCTTTGCCGCTTCCTCCCTCTCGCGCAATGCCTTGGTCATCAATGGCTTGTCCGTCATGTCTTCCCGCTTCTTGACCTGCCCGGCAAACGCCTGTTGCAACTCGACTTGCGTCGGCTGGAAGTACGACTCGGGGAGATCGAGGAAGCGGGTCGTCGCGGTCGCATGGGTCGAGGAGGAAGGGAGGTAGAAGCGGGCCTCAAAGTCTCGTCGCTTCGAAGGGTCGACGGGCGAGACAGAGGTGAGAATGACGGTTCTGGCTGGACCCGCAGCAGGCTGCACGGTGTGCGTGGCGGTCGATGGGCCTGCGACAGGTTCAGGGGAGGGCGAAGGCGATGGGGAGGAGTGGGCGTCGCCGGGCAAGCGGCTGGTCATCGTGATGGGTTCTTGCAAAGCGTCCTGAGCCATCGTGAGCCTCGTCAAGCAGTCCGGCCGATGTCAGCGCGGTGGTCGACGCAAGCGAGTTGTTCGTTGTTCGCTCATCGTCTTCGACTTCGCCACCTCGCACGCTCCTCGGGATCCGCTCGCCCAGTTGCTCACAAGCAACTCACAACGATGCCTACACTCGTCTGCACGGGCTGCTCGTCTTCGCTCGGCTTGCTCGCGCTCTCGTCCTTTGTCTCCCGCATCATCGCTTCCCCACCTTCAGCGCAATGGCGCATCCTCGCAGCGTACAGGTCGACAAGCCTCACAGCAGGGCAGGAAGAGCTGGCGAAGCGATGCCGAGAACACCCGGACAAGCTTTCGCTGGATTGGATGACCCTGGACCTCCTCAAGCTCTCGAGTGTTGAAGCGTTCGCCAGGCGGGTCAAGGAGGCGCTGAAAGAGGAGGAAGGTGTCGACGTGTTGTTCATCAACGCCGCCATGTACAACATGGGCGCTCGGACGGTCGACCTTGGCGGGGCGGCTTGGACGCAGGAGGCTCTCGTCAACCACCTTTGTACGCTTGCCTGCTCCGTCAAGCTCATTCGCTACAGAGCCTGACACTTCGTGTTACGGCGGCAGCCCAGCATTACCTCGTCCAGATGCTCGCTCCCTTGCTCACCCGCGCATCGGCAAACGGACTTCCTCGCTCTCGCCTCGTCTTCACCTCATCTCAGCTTCACACCTCGATCAAGTCTCTCGGTGCGCCACACGGGCATTGCCAGTTGAGGTCAAGCTGACATGAAATCTACACGCAGACGAACTTGCGCCTCGCCTCAAGCCTTCCACCACCGACCATTCGAGCGGAAAGTCGCGCTATGCCGCGTCGAAAGTCGCACAGCTCATCTCGGCACGCTACTGGCAGCGTCACTTCGCAGCGGCGAAAGCAGATGCCCGACCAGTCGACGTTGTGACTGTCTCTCCTGGTGCGTCCCCTTGTCGCCCCCTTTCGCAAGCCTACTGACGCTCTTACGGACAGGCTTCGTCCCCACCACCGGCCTGACACGCGACGTACCCCTCCTCGGCCGCCTCCTCATGCGGTACATCCTCTCCCTCATGCCCTTCGCCGTGTCCGAATCCGAAGGCGCCGCCCGCCTCGCTCGCACAATCCCTGCCTCACCCTCCGACTCCGATGACGCCCTCTCCTCTCTCCTCGCCGAGCTCTCGAAGACCGACAATCCGCCACTCGTGTTCCTCGCCGGCCCTTCGACCGCACCTGTTCCGACTGTTGATGAAGTGCGGAGCGGCGCGAGAGGCGCAGTCAGAGGTGGTGTGGCGGAGGACTTGCTGGCACGGACGGAGGACGACGAGATGTGGAAGCAGGTCGAGTGGCTGCTGCCCAGCGAGGACACGCTGCGGAGCTGGGCGGGCGCAACCGAGTGAAGGAAGGACGAAGTGCGCTGTGGCAACACGCTCTTGCGTTACGACATGTGCGACGGTCTAACGGAGAACAGGAGACAGCGAACGAGAGCAGGCGGAACTACGCAAACCGAGGGAAAGAGGCGAGTACAACAGCCGAGCCAAACTGTCTGTGGAGAGAGAGACACAACAACCGAAGGAAGGGAATCCGTGACGAGGAGAGGAACGTCTTCAACAACACCCTTTCCTCCCGGCGCATCGAGAGGCCGCCGCGCTCTTGATAGGCGCGATCGTCACGCTCTGCACGCCCGCCGCCTCCGCCATCTCCGTCCGCCTCATCGCCTCCTGCATGCTGCATTCGCCCGTCTCGACAAGGCGCTTGAGCTCTGCACCCTTGGCCGTGAGCTCGACGCATGTCTGCCACACGCGCAGTTCCTCCGAACCGCCGATGGCGAAGTGTGGAGGGTCGGGTTCGGCGTGCGTCAAGTCGGACGAAGAGGGAGGGTAGCCGTCGAAGAGCATCGAGGCGAGTGCGCCGGGCGATTGGAGGCCGCGCGAGTCTGACGGAGGCGCGAGAGGGGAAGTCATGTAGTGCTCGAGCGAGTCGAACGCTTCGCGGACAGGAAGGTAGGTCGCGATGCGGAGGATGGGGAAGGGTGCTGGTGCAGAGGCGGGCAGCTCCTTCGAGTCGGTGTTAGGAGAGGATGAGGGATTGGCTCCGTTCGGCGCGGTCTCGTCCGGGTACGAAGGCGTGTCGTCGAAGAAGGGGGCCGAGCAATCGATCAACCCGCCGCAACATTCCTCTGCCTCTTCCGCTGCCTCCTTCACCTCCTCCCCAACCTTCTTTCCCTCTGCGTCCACATCAGACGCCGCATGACATCCCTCCGTGCCGGCCTGGCAGCTCATAACCCCATCGCAACAGGGCAACTTGGTCGCCCTCGCCTTGGCCTTTTCCGCGCTTCCCGCTCCCAGCCCGGCGACCCGTCCATTCCTCGCAGCCTCGATGACGCCCTCGATCAGCCGCACGCAGAACGCGCGATACTTCGCCTCGCGCGGGCTGGACGCTTCCTCAGCCGACGGTTCGGGCGACAGGTTGCAGCATCGAAGAAGGAAGACGCGTTGTTTCGCGATCGTGTCGTGCTCGTCTGTGATGAGCGAGTCGGCCGACTCGGCGCCGTCTTCTTGCTTGATGTGACCGAAGGCGAGCGACGAGGCGGAGGAAGACGGGACGGATGTGCGTGGCTCGGAGGGGGAGGGGACGAGCGGAGCGGGAGGTTGGCCGAAGGACGAGACGGGGGGGAGGACGACGGGGTACTGCGAAGTCGATGGGCGGCGGTCCTGAGGGACGGGAGAGAACGGACCAGGCTGTTGCTGGTAGTAGTGAGGGAAAGGTGGAGCGGCCTGCTGTGGAGGCGGCTGAGGGAAAGCATGAGGTTGTGGGAAGACCGGGTGAGGGAACTGCTGAGACTGAGGGGAAGGGAACGATTGGTGAGGGTGAGAGGGCGAAGGTAGAGGAGGCTGGGATTGCGGCGCATGCGGAAGTTGCTGATAGCCAAACGGCGACTGCGGGAACCCTTGCTGGAGCGGCTGAGCACCTGGCGGGTACTGCCACTGCTGCTGAGGCTGCTGAGGCGGGTAGCGCTGGAACTGCTGAGGCATCGAGCCGTTCTGGTAGTGAGACATATGATACTGGTGCTGTCCCGATGCCGGGGAGTAGACGCCGGGCGGAGGGAGCGGCTCGGCTGGGTAGGCGTGACCATTCGCGAAAGGAGGAGGAGGCGGGAGAGGCGTGTAGCCGTTCGGCGGAGGATATCCGTTCCGCTGCTGCGCGATGGCCTGCGTCTGGTCCTCTGTCGGACTAGGCGCGGCAGACGACGGCGCCGAACGACCCATCATGAGGACCTCGGCAGCCGCTCCGACTTGCGGATCCGCCAGAGCTGCGGCCGCTTCCCACTCGAGGCCGCGAGTCGACGTCGACGGGGATGTATGATCCACATCGTCCTCGCCGTCGTCCTCGGTGATCGCCTCCGACACCCGGCGCTTGCGCGCGTTGCCCTTCGTCGCACCATTCGCCGACGGCGTCCAGCCTTTCCCGCCTGGAACCGACACCGTCCCGCTCGTCGGAGACTCGACGCCGACCAGCTCTGGCTCCTCGCCAGCTACGGGCGGCCCATCCGCTGGCAGTCCAAGCCTCCTCCGCAACTCCTTGTTCTCCGCCTCGAGAAAGACGACCCGTGCCTCGAGGTTGGCGAGCAAGGCCGCACGGCGAGCACGAAAGGCGCGCTGGATATCGCGAGAGCGCTGCACGCACGCGAGAAGGAGAGGTAGAGAGCGTCAGCCGGGGATGGCGGAGGAAAGGGACGAAAGTGGCTGAGCTCACTGAGGGAGGCAGCGAGTCGTCCTGCTTGCGCCCGCGCTTTTTCGGTCCGCCCTTTGTGTCCTCCTGCTGCGGCGTCCTGGCCTTTCCCCCGGCTGCCATCGTCGAGCGAGTTGTATGCGACCCGGCTCAGAGGCGCAACTGATCGTGAGCGAAGGGCGGTCCGGCAAGGTTGGCGGCGTCGTGCAGTCAGCCCTAATGCCCTTCAAATCTGTCCGTCCAACTCCTCGATGCCCCGGCAGGCCTGTGTGGTGTGCGAGATGCGGCAGCCAGGTGCGCAGCTCGGGAAGGCGGAGTCGCGCTTGCTCGTCGACCGGCAGGGGATCAGGCGGGTCCGGCTGTCTAGTAGGACAGTGTATCCCGCGTAGCAGCACCGAGCGAGCCCAGCTGAGCGAGTGTGGGCGAGAGCGATGGTGAGGCCAAAGTTGTCCTCGTCGACTCGCTGGCTCAGTTCACCTCGTGTGTGGCTGGAAAATGTGCATTCGTGCACTTACACACTATCACATTTTCCTAGCTACTCAGCGAAGCATCCGAGGTGTTGTGGCCAGCCGTCGGCCTTCTCAGCGATAGCTCCGTCATCGTTGTCGCCTCTCTGACTCCTGCCTTCTCGCTGTACATACGCTAGACTCGCCTGTGGACTACTATCAGACCCTACGACCTCACTCTGACCCGCCGCTGAACCCGCACAAACGCCCTCGTCTCCTCCGCCCTCTCTTCGCTCGCTTCTCGCCGCACAACCATGACCGACAAGACTATCTACTTTACCCGCCACGCCCAGGCAGAGCACAACGTCGCAGAGGACTACACCAGTGCGTCAGACCGTCGCCGACCTCTGTTGCAACGCTGCTGACCCTCTCTCCCAGTCCGCGATGCTCCTTTGACGAAGCTCGGGCGGCAACAGTCCGCCGAGTTGCGGGAGGACACTGAAGAGCACTTTCAGAAGGACGCTGAATTATTGGTGTCGTCGCCGGTGAGTAGCGTTCGCTCGGCGTCTCACCAGGAAGACTCGCTGACCTTTCCCGTTCTTTGATAGTTGCGCCGGCCGATGCAGACGATGATTGTCGGGTGGGTTCAGTAGGAGACATCGAGGGACCGAGGGTGATACTGACGAGTCGGTCCGCAGATACGCTCCATTGCGGAAGCGGCTCGAGGCGGAAGGAAAGCCCGTGATCCTCCTTCCCGAGCTGCAAGAGGTCAACGACCTTCCATGCGACACCGGCTCTGTGCGTTCAGACCTTGAACACTGTCATGCTGTCGCCGCTGACCTTCTATCATTCCGCGCAGGACCGCTCCCTCCTCGAATCCGACCCCGAATTCTCCGGCCTCGATTTCACCCCTCTCTCCGACTCTCCCTCCCACCACGGCGGTGCAAGCTGGACTTCCAAACAAGGGTTCTTCGCGCCCGAAAACGTCGAGGAGCGCGCGAGGTGGGTTAGGAGGTGGTTGAGGGAGAGGAAGGAGAAGAAGATTGTGGTTGTTGCGCATGGGGATATTTTGCGGTGCATCACGGATGGGTACAGGAGTGCGACGGTGCGTACTATCTCTCGCTTCCTGGTTTGCGAACTCAAGACTGACTTTGGACCGCTCGCAGCCTTGGGCCAACGCCGAGGTCCGCGCCTACACCTTTGCCTCGGCCGACGACGACGACGCCAAGGTCATTCCCGTTAAGGAGGTTGCCAAGGAGGGCGGCAACGCACCTACTAGTTCGGACCTGCAAAACGGGCGGAACAGGACGTACTAGACGGTCGTTTCTCACCAGAGCAGGGACGAGATAGATCAAGTTATACAGCCCAGTATCGCAATGCACATCTAGAGTCTACCCGTATAGTATGCGTCGTGAGGAGGAATACAACCACGAGAAGACCGGAATCTACTTCGCATCCTTCTGCGCTCCTTTCGTGTTCTTCGCCGCCTCAACCTCCGCCTGAGTCCTCAACCTCCCATGCTCCCTCTTCTCCTCCCTCTCCGAGTACCGGTCGCCCAGCAGATCGAAATGTGGCCGGAGGAGAAGCGTCACTTTGATTAGCTCTTCGCAGATGTCGACTAGTCGGTCGCGATTTGAGGAGGGCAAGAGGCGGTCGGAGGAGGTGTACTGCTTCCATGCCATCGGTATGCTCGACTGGTTCGGGATCTGCAAGGACGGATAGGTCAGCGAGAGAAGCGAGAGAGAATCGAGGAAGGGACGAACGGCAAACATGCGCATCCATCTTCCGAGGACTCGCAACAGATTGACAACGTTGAACGACTGGCTTCCGCCGTTGACTTGGCAGACAGCCACGGTACGGCCTTGCGTTGGGCGGACAGAGCCTACGCTTAGCGGGATCCAGTCGACTGCGCATCGAAGACCGTCAGCTCGAGCGCTTTCTGCCAATGGATGGCCTCGAGGGCACGCACTCTGATTCTTGAACACAGCAGTAACAGTCCCATGCTGTTCAGGCGAACACCAGAAGTGCGCGTCGCTCCAGTCAGACAACGCTCGCAGCTCGACCACCTTCTCGTGCTTGTCCGAGACGTCGTCCTTGATGGGCAAGCCTGTCGGGTCGAAGACTCGGACGTCGGCGCCTAACCGAGCGAGGACTCGGGCGGCTTCGTAGGCTGTCAGGCGGGAGAAGGAACTGGTTTCGACCGACGAAGGGAGGTCAGCGATCTGCTGCTCGCTCCACTACGACGTTCCGCACGCACCGTTGACGCAGCGAGCCATACAACACCAACACCTTGACCCGCTTCTCCTTCGCCTGCATCTCCCGCGCCGTATCCAGCTCGAGCGCCTCAACCCAGTCCGGCTCGTCCTCTCCATTCTTCGTCGCCAAGAACGGCCTATATCGCCGATCGACCTCTTCCTCGCGCATGTGGGCGATACTCTCGCCGACAGAGGCGAGAGTTGACGGCGGGTGTCCGTTCGAAAGCGTAGCAGTCATGCCGAGCGTGCGAAGGAGAGGCGAAAGGCGCGGACGGGCGGAGACGGCGAGTGCTGGTCGAGAAGCGAAGACTGCACGCAGAGCAACCCTCGCGAGCATCAAGCTGGACGAGGCGAGCTGAGGAGCAAGTGCCGAACGGCAAGCGCGCGGACGACAAATTCGTACGCGGAGCTGCGGGAGCGTGGGAGCCTCCGCCCATCTGACCGATGGCGTGCCACATTTCATATTGCCGTAGTCGTCTCCGTGTGCGCTTCTACGAGCTCGTCGTCGCTGCGTCTATTGCAAGGCTGGCTCGCAGGCGATTGAAGCGGGCTTGACTGGCAGGAAGTCGGCGGAGGTCGGGATGCGCTGGTCGTCCGTCTCGCTGCGAGGAGCGTCGCAGAACGACGAAGGTAGGCTGAGGGCTGGCGCCTGCACAGCGTAGAGAGGCTGCGGACGAAGATTGACGACCGGCGACATCGCGGGTGACGGCGCGGAAAGGACGGGCTGAGCGAAGAGATTGTGCGGTCGAGGCTGTCCAAACGCGCGCCTGAGCGCTCGAGCGACATCGAGCTTGTACGAAGGGACGTGACTGACCTCAGGAGACGCAGGAGAGGGCGAACGAGAGGATCGCAGCAGCGAGCGAGGCGCTTGCAAAGGTCGTCCGGCTTGAGGATGATCACAGTCGCGCGCACCGTTGCGAGGATTTATCGGAACGCCACGCAAAGCTGCTATCGCTCCGTGAAACGAGCGCAAGCTCGCGTCGGAGGGCGGAGAAGTCGTTGATGGTCGCGAAAGCGGCTGTTTGTGAAGGTCGGGCCGAGTCGACGAGTCTGGCTTGACAAACGACGGCGGGAGCTGTCCTGCAGCGGGACTCGGAAAGTTCTGAATGAGCTGCTGAATCCTCCGAAGGAGTTCGTCGTGGGTCTGCAAGGGGAAGACAGCCCAGACGTCCATCCAGCTGATCCGGCCGTCGACAATTGCCTCCCAGTGCGCGAGCAGGACCTCGTCATCTCGGTCCGACCAGGGAATGGGCGGAAGGGCAGAGAAGTCGAGGATCTGCCTGGGTGCGCTCGTTGCTGGCGAAAGAGATTCGAGAGGAGGAACGAGGTTGGCAAGTCGAGCTCGCTTCGCTGGCGGAGGAGCTGTCGAGGGGATGCTTATTTGTGGAGCTATGAGTTCCGTCGCTGTCAGTGCCGCCACGAGCGGCGCAAGCGAATCAGCGAGACGTACCCCTTTTCAGCTTGCGCCCGCGCGTGAGGATTCCTTCGATAGGCCGCACGCTGCTCAGTCTGTCCCGGAGCAGCTTCTGCGCCTCCTCCGCAGCCGTCTTGCTCAAGTACCCCTTACCATCTCGGCGGATCAGCTCCAGCAGAAACTCGTCCTCCTAGGACGTCCAGGCCGCGCGACTAGGCCTCCGCTCGTCTGACGAGGCGTTGCTGGAGCTCGCACCGCGCATGAGAGGAGGTCGAGCTGCTGCAGGACGCTATGCGGGCTGGCGATGCGCCGGATCCGTCGAAGGAGGTGCTCGAGGAGGAGGAAGACCCGCAGGCGGCGCCGGCGCCGCTTGATAAGACTGCATGCGTCAAAGAAGTTCACAGCGTCGTATGAGACAGAGTACTGGCAAGTGCGAGCAAGCGAGTGAGGTGAAGGAGGAAGAGCGAGATGAGCGGTTGACGCGAAGGTCAAAGCGATGACCTGGACATCGCGAAGAGCCGGAACGTGCTGTCAGCGAGCGCGGGACCATAGTACACAACTTCGCGAGAAGCACACGCACGAGTAGAACAGTGTTGAACGAGCGAGCGAACGAGGACGCTGCGAACGAATGCTTCTTTGCAAGAACTTGACTGCTTTTCCGAGGACCATACGTCCCCAGTATACCTCTCCCCGTGTACTGCGCTCCGTTCTCTGCCGTTTCCGCCAACCTCGCTGCACTCGCACTCACTTCCTGCCGCCCTTCCTGCGCGGCGTGCTCCTTCCCTCGCTCTCGTCGCCGCTCGTCGCGCTCGTATTGCCGCCCTTGCCCTTCCTCGCCCTGAGGTGGTGGTCAGGGACCCAGGACTCGTCGACAGTCTGCTTCTCGCCCGTCTGCTCGTCGACAATCTTGTTCGACTTGGCAACGACGGCCTTCTTCGCCTTGGGCGGGGGAGCAAAGTACGACGTGTAGACGAGGTAGCCGATGCCGCCGAGGAGACCGCTCAAGAGGAGGAAGGCGAAGAGGAGAGCCGGGTCGAACCACGATCCCGGCTGCTCGATGATGGTCACGGTCGAGTCGTAACCGGTCACGGTGTGAACCTTGCGCTTCGCGTCGGTGTAATCGACAAAGACGCGGAGGCCGACATCGCCAATCTTGTTCTCCGAGTGGAAGCGGTACGGGATCAAGGGCGACTTGCCGTTCGGGCCGACAGCGAGGCCGAGGCGGAGGTTGGTGGTCTGCGAGGATTAGTCAGCGTCGTGTACCCGTCCAGGTCTGCGAGAGAACGGAGACTCACGTCGCGGATCTTGCGCTCCTTGCCAGACGCCTCGCGGTACTCGGCGCGGACGTTAGTGACGGTGATCGGCTCAGAAGCGTGGTTGTTGACGCGGACATGCAAGAGATTGTCAGACCGGCCGTTGCTGACGCCTGCAGACGAGAAGGCCGGTCAGCGAACCCTATTCTCCCGCTCGAGGCGAAGCAGGGGATGAGGTCGGAGTGAGAGAACGAGCAGTCGCGGCCATCCGACATGCTGGACGCAGGACAGCGCTCGCGAGACTCCACGCATCCACCAGGCTCGCCCATCCAGCTGCTCGTGCACGACAGCCGCCTCATCTCCGCATCCACCTCACTCCCCGATCCGCCTCCCGGGCAGCAAGCTCGCCCAGCGCAAGAGACCAGTAGGAAGCTGAGCGACCAACTCACGCCCGAAAGGGTTGTCGTCCGGGAACTTGACGGTCGCCTCGACGTCGGGCGAGGACGATGCGGCGAGAGCGGTCGACGCGAGGAGGGCGAGGGGAGCTGTTGAAAGCGCGCAGGTTAGTCGGGGCGATTCTTCAGCTCGCACAGACTGCATAGCACACCAAGCAGATTCCGGAGCAGCATGGCGACGAGCGGTGAGCGGGAGAAGGGAGCAGCGTGTGGTGCGGGAGGAGGAGCTGGCTTCCTCTCAGCGAACGGGACAAGCTGGTACAGTATCGATGCGACAACAGTAGATGCAATACAGGGAGGAACAAGCGAAATGAATGGAGATTGTAGTGGAACAAGGAGGAGTGATAGGTGTGAAGAAGCCCTCCTGCCCTTCCAGCGGCATCTCGGTGCGTCGAGCACCCGTGAGCGTCTAGTTGAAGATACCATGCACGGCCTCGGACTGCATGGACGAGCGAAGGTGAGTGAGGAGAGAGGAAGAGCAGGAAACGGACGCACCATCAAGCCGGCGCCCAATCCGAATCCAGCACCTGAAGCGACCGCCTGTGATGGGCAAAGAATCAGGCTCAGTACTGAGTGGAATCATAGCTGAGCGAGCGCAAGCTCACCGTGCCCATCCGGCCACCAAACTTGCCCAGCTTGTTCTTCTTCGGGTCGACAGGCCCAGGCGCGGCTTGCGGCGTAACAACGACTTGCTGCGGAGGCGGTGGAGGAGCGTTGTAGGGCTTCTCCGAGCCGTAGTACTGTGGTTGCTGGTAGGCGTAGGTCGGGCCCGCAGAAGGAGGAGGAGGTGGTGTCCAGGTCTGCTGTGTTTGATGTTCGCGAGTAAGCGTGCGATCTGCGATCTGGCGTGCGAGAAGAGCTGACGCACAGGTTGGCTGTACGGGACGTTGTAGCCGTTGCCGTTGGCGGGAGGAGGAGGAGGCGGAGCGGGCGAAGGAGCAGAGTTGATTCGCTCGACGTGCTGGCAACGCAAGTGGGTTCAGCTCGCCGCCTTCGTCGAAGACCATACGAGCATTTGAGACGCACATTCGCCGGGAACAAGCCAGTCTGTCCGTCTGCAAGCGTAGAGTTGGCGGTGAGCGGGTAGTCGAACGGAGTGTCCGGAACATGACTCACTCAAAGAGCCCTTCCACCAGTCCGCGTTCACTTCCTCCTCAATCGTAATGATGTCTCCCGACTTGAAAGCTAGGTCGTCGGGCTGTAGAAGCGCGAATCAAGGGTCAGCACCGCTGCCGGAGGGAGCGCAGCAACTCGTGTCATCGCCGCAAGACGCCCGGAAAGCGAGCCTGTAGCGCACCTGACTCTTCGAGTAGTCCCACAACGCCTTGCACTGCTTCTTGCCGCCGTCCGCGCGCGCAGGAGGAGGCGGAACCGTCCTCGGCGCGGGTGTGCTGACAGCGAGTCCTCCCACTCCGGCCTGCAGCTCCGCCTGCCGCTGAGCATCTGCTAGCTTCGACCTGATCAATCCGAGATCTGCTTCCGACAGGAGTTGCTGGCTGTGGAGGAAGACGAGATCCGACTCGAGGCGGGAGATGAGGTGGGAGGTAAACGCGGCGGCTGAGGGGGTTGCGGTCATCATACGAGGCCCTCGAGAAGGCTTCTGAGCGAGTCTGACGAGTCCGGAGCGGAGGGAGAGCGAGCGAGTAAGGCGTCGAAGGAAGGAGAGCGGTTCGTCGTCGGCAGCGGTGGCAACGCCTTCAACCAGGCAGCTACGCTGGCGCAACAGCGCAGAAAGGCTCATCGGACTCTCCAATAGACGAACGAGTCGAAAGCGAGCGAGACGAAACGGTCTCGTTGCATTTTGGGTAAAAGTCCGACAATCCGTCCTCGAAGTCTGCCTGAGCTGGATGTGCATGCTAAGCTGCAGGTGGCTTTGCGCAAGAGATGAGTGAAGGGGATGTCGGCTGGAGGAACGATGCGATGCGAGTGTGCGTGGTGCAGTGGAGGGAAAGGGAGGGGAAGAGCGTGTCGGCGGGTGAGAGTATTGGAGGTCGTGTAAGATGCGTAAGATGCGAAGGAGCGAAGGAAAAGGCGTGGCGTGGCGAACGCGATCATCGGGCGGGACCACGGCTTGTGCGGAACCACTCGCCAAGGAACTTCTTGAATTGTTTGCCGCTGTGAGAAGAAGCGTGCGTCAGGACCGCGTAAGTCGCCTTACGCGTAGTGACGGTACGTACTCGGGAGCTTCTTGCAAGGCAGTCATGAATTGCGCGGCGGTTTCGGGCGGGCACGAGATGCTCGGGAAGAACTGAGTCGTCATGAACTCGACGAACTCGTTTCCGCGCTTCTGCAGCAGACCCTTGAGCAGGTTGGCGATCTCGCCGATAACCTGTGAGACGCGGGCGTCAGCAATGGCCGGCGAAGCTCGTTAGGAACGCAGCGACGCACCTGGAAGCTTTGGGCGTCCGAGTAGTCGAACTCCGGTTTCAACGGAAGCTGGAAGCAGAGCGGGACTGCTCGCTCGTACAGGAACTGCTCGAAGCCGGGGACAGGCGAAGGCGGCGCGCCGTTCGCAACAGGCGGGGCGGTCGGTGGGCGGTACGTCTCAAGCCACATCTGGAGGAGCTTGTTGAGCACGCCGAAACCGTAGCGCTGATCGGGCGCGAGCGAGTCGGTCGCGATGTAGTGCGTGATGGACTGCAGGATCGACTGGAGGTGCGCCTTGTTCTCTGCCACAGATGAGGCTTCAGTATGTGGCGCTCAGGCGGAGAAGTGATCGCGCGGGACGCACTCTCGGAGTAGAACACCTCCTGCAGATTGACGCTGACGATCGACAGGATGAAGTTGAAGTAGGCCCGACGAAGCTCCGAGTGCTGGATCATGTCGTCGGTGCCCGAGATGGGCTGCGAGAGGAAGTGGAAGACGCGGTTGAAGACGGGGAGGAGGAGGGTGTCGAGCATGTCGAGGAAGTTGGTCTGCAAGAGAAGGGCGGTCAGGCTTGATGCGAGTGGACCAGCCGCAGCGAGAACGTACCCTGTACTTGGCGACGAGGAGGCCGAGGAAGCTGAGAAGTTCTGCCAGCTCCGGGAAGGTGATCTCGCCGACAAGGCAGTCGATGAAGGTAGGGATGAGGGGAAGGACGGCCTGGCCAGTAGTCGCGACGATCCGGTTGAAGGCGAACCTGGCGGCGTCGCGTATGACGCCGAAGCTCGTCATGACCTTCGCCGCGCCGAGAATGGTTTCTGTCGCCGAGCGGAAGGCGTCGACCCAAGCGCCCTGCGCGACGGGCACGCGGGCTGAAAGATCGGGGAAGCCCTTCGCGACTGAAGCGGCAGCCATGATGAGGTGATGCGCCTTGAAGACGGCGTTTAGATCTTCGGGACTCGTTGCTGACGGGCGAACGTTGGCCTGAAGGTCGGCGAGAAGCGGGTCGAGGATCGCTTTGAGAAGGACGACCTGTTGGTCCGGGATCTGGTTGAGGATGGAGATGAGGGTGCCGACAGTCTCGAAGAGGTAGAGTTGCGAGTCGAAGAAGGAGGAGGTGCTGGCGGCTTTGGTGAGAATGGCTTCGGTAGGAGGCTCAGAGTCGGGAAGGGCGGCGTTGACAACGAGCAGGTCCTGCATGCCGGTTAGGATCGAGCGAACGAGGTCACCCGAGACCTGTGACTGCACGATGCTCTTGGCCTGGTAGATGAAGCGGCTGAAGAGGTAGAAGACGCGTGCCTGGACGGCTTCTTCTGACTGGTGCAGGCCGCTGCAACCGACAAAGGCGGGTCAGCACACGCTGCCTTGGCATCGGGAGTCGCCGAAGACGCACTGCTCGTCGAGGAAGCTGGGGAGAATCTCGGTGATGAACTCGGGACAGAGGCGGAAGAAGTCGTGGTACCGGACGACAACCTCAAAGAACTGAAGCGAGACAGCCGCGTGGGGGAAGTTGACAACCTTGCTTCGGCACGCGCGGAGCATCATCTCGCCAAGCTGAGAGAGGGGGAACTGGGTGTAGTCGATGCGGTAGTCGGCCTCGCGTTTTGCGCGCTGGATCTCGGCGAGCGGGACCTGGACGAATGCGCCGGGGCCAGTCGAGGAGATGGCTTGGCCTGTGCACGGCAAGGTTAGCCCTCAACGTCTAGGCGAGCGAGAAAGCAACGTACCGAAACCGTAAAGCATCGCGAGAGCCAGCTCGATCCGTTGCCAAGTAAGCCTGCCGTCGTTCGCTCCGCCTGCGTCAAACAAGTCGAGCGTCTCGAGGATGATACTCCGAACGCCCTCGGCGTAAAGCTGCGGGTCGATCCAGGCGATCGCATCGCCAATGACCCGCAAGTTCCTCCTCATCTCGGCGAAGAGCAAGTCCTGCTCGTCTTCCTCGCCTTCGAGCGGGAGCTCCCAGTCATGGTCCTCCTTGTACGACATCTTCTCGACCGTGCCCTTCAATAGCTCGGTCAAGAATGCGCGTTTCGAGTCGGTCATGGTCGGGTCGGGGAGACCTGCGCCGGCGCCGGCGCGCTTCTTCTCCTTCTTGTAGACGGAAAGGATGGCGGTTGCGAAAGCGTTGACCGCGATCGAGGTGTCGTCTCGAGGGTCGACGAGGAAGCGGAGAAGGAGGGGGAGGAGGGAAGTCGCCATATTGGAAGCGGTGACCTTGGCGTCGGCGGTGCTGGAGGACTGCGCACGGGACGAGAGATCAGCTTGGAGACGTTTGCAAAGGGCGAAACCGTCCGCACGTCGTCGATGATCTTGCATAGCTCCGTTCCGACACCGTTCAGCAACTTCGCCAGCTTCTCCCTGAACAGCTCGATCTGCTCCGTCTCCGCCTCTTTCCGGCCACCTTCTCGTCCGACATCAACCAGCGCAGACAAGACTGTCCCGAGGTCGAGCACCTCGAAGAGCTTGAGCTTGTCGGAGGCAGGCATGCCCTTCGAGACGGTCTCGATGAGCGCGTCGGTCGTGGCGGAACGGACGGAGATGACGAGAGGAGAAGGGAGGTTGACGCAGCGGAGGAGGAGGCCGATAGTCGTAGGCGTGACCATGAGGTTGATGTCGATCCACGAGACGTAGTCGCCTGCCGCACGAACCGCCAGCTCCGCAACATCCCGCGCAGACTTGCCTTTCAGCCCGACTTTGGGAGTGGATGCGGACTGATCGGGCTGGTCCATCCCTTCCAACGCTTCGCTGATGATGGCCCAAATCGCTTCCGCGATTGCCGGCGCATCCCGTTCTCGCACCGCATCCCTGAGCTCCGTGTCCTTGTTTAGCCGCTGAGACGTCTTGTTGAGTCGCAGGTGGGCGTCCGAGATCTCGAGCGAGACTTCATGCAGGATGCGCAGGAAGAGGTCGGCGGTTTGAGGGTTGAGAGGCGGAGTACCGGACGACGTCGACGGAACGGGGACGGAAGAAGGGTAAGAGCGGGTGTAAGCGAGAAGAGTGGTGAAGAAGGTGGGCGAGACGGCGGGGTAGGCGTGGACGAAAATGGCGGCGGCGAGATGGACGATCGCGTTCTTCAAGACTGCGGGTCAAGCGAGTCAGCACGATGTCCGCGACGAGCATCAAAAACTCAGATACTCACAGACAACCCCGTTTTCTGCAGGTCCGTTGACGAACTCGATCGAGAAGTAGTCAAACAGGCTGGACTGCAGCATGGCGAGCGCCTCAGGCGTGAGCGAGGGTAGTCTGCCCGCCGTCAGAGATTGTCAGTACGCTTTTCGGGGAGTGAATCTGCTGCTTGATCCGTGAACGAGACTCGCGAGACTGCCCCGCTCGTTCACGCGACCGGCTTGAATGTCGTGCACGCTGGACGGCGAGGTCATCCAGCAGCGCAGAAACTGATTTTGAGCCAGCTCTGCGTATGCCGTCCCTTCTTGATCCCACAGGACAAGGTCATTGCCTCCTCCTCCTCTTTCGCCTCGAAATGGAGAGAACAGGATGATCCTCCGTCGGAGGCCCTGCGTGAGTGCTGGTCCCCTCTGGAAGACCTCAAAATCACCCTGGACCCGGTGACTAAGACTCTCCAGGCCGTTGGCATGCTTCATCGCCCGGTGCCGACAGAAGGGATGAGGTCGACGCACGCTTCTCCGACGACCTGGACCGCAAACATGCGCGCTTCTGGACTGAGCCCCGTCCCACCAGTCTTGCCTTCGTTTCGCCCGTCGAGAAAGAGCTTCCAGCACGCCTGCCAGGTCTCGGACGCGGCATCCTTGACCTGCTGGAGAAAGGTGTACGCCTGGTGTCGCTGCTCCTGCGGGATGGCCGGGTTGCCGTCGAGGGCGACCGAGCATGCCGCAGAGATGGTCGCAGGCAGGTTGTCCATCCTGGCAGCCGAGCGAGAGCGAGCAGTGCGAGGGCACAAGTTGAGCGAGGCGAGCGGGCGCACGAAGACGACCAAGTCCCGCCAAAAGTCGCTCGACTCGCAGGAAACGGTTGGAGAGTACGCTCAGGTGTCGTACAATGCAGTCATTCGAATTGTGCAGCCACAAGAATCGCGGTCGAGGCGGACGTCGAGGTCGAAGCACAGCGGTCGAGGGGGAGACCGACTAAGATGCCCTGAAGAGACGCAAAACAGTGTCGTATGAAAGCATTGCAAGCTAGAATGACAGACAGAGTCGACCCAAGCGCGACCGGAACCACCTCGCCCCGTCACAAGCGTCTCCCCTCCTTTCGCCTCACCAGAAGTCACCGTCATCCGCCGCGCCCTTGCCCTTCTTTCCACCGCCAGCGGTGTGGATGCCCTGCCTCCTGTACGCTTCGGCAATCTGCTCGGGCTCAGTCGAAGACTCGGGGTCCTTGTCGTCGCGGACGCGGATGAAGCGAGGGAAGCGGAGAGAGATGCCACGGTCACCGCAGAGTCCTGGCGATAGCGAGCACGACGATAAGTATGGAGAGACGCGTAACGACGAGGACGAGACAGCTGGACGCACCCTTGGCAGCGGAGTAGATGGGCGAAAGCGACAAGTCGGCAGCGAGGACCTCCCAGACCTGCGGCGCGGTCCGCGTCAGCGTGCGCCGGAACGAGCGATGGAACATGCGGACGCACCACTTTCGGCTCGAAGTAGACGTCGGGACCCTTGGCTGTTCCGATGTCGTAGTACGCCTTCTTCTGCGCAAGCTCGAGCCTGTGCGTTCCCGGGACGAAAGGAGACAGGATCGATCAGCCCGTGATTGGTTTCAAGATCCTCACGAGCGCTTGAACGCACGGCTTGAGGGTCTCGTGGTGCTGCTTGAGCGCCTCGTCTGAGAAGCCCGTCCCGATCTTGCAGATCATCTGGTACGTGCCGCTCTCGGCGTCGAAACAGGCGAGGTGGAAGGCGCCGTAGACGTTCGTGCGCTTGCCCTTGCCGTAGTCGCCGCCGATGACGACGAGGTCGAAGGAGTCGCCGACGCCTTGGAGGTAGTCCTTCTTGAGCTGTGCGGCACGATCCCAATCAGCCGTACAATCGCGACGATGATTAATGATTCCAGGCATGCGGGAAGCGCGCGCACCTTGAGCCAGTGGATACTCCGCCTGCTCGGCTCGTAACTCGCACCCTCGCCCTCGAGCATCTTCACCATCAAGCCCTCGCACCCGTCCTTGATCGACTGATCGAGGAACGTCTGGATCTCTTCGACTGTCGAGGCGTCGTCCGACTGGGCGAAGGCGAACTCGCCCTCGACTGGCTGGAGGTGGTCGCGCAGAAGTTGGCGGCGCTCGCGAAGGTTCTTCTCGAGCAGAGACTATGAGGCCGAGCGCATGTCAGATACGGGGTCTTTGAGAAGAAGGCAGAAAGCGGACTGACCTCGCCGTTGAGGTAGAGGAGGTCGAACGCGAAGAGGTGGACCTTCACCTTGATATCCTCCGCCTTGACGTCCTTGCGCTTCCTTGTGCTGAGCTTCTGGAACTCGAGCAGGCGCTTCTCCTCCGTGTCCCACGCGACAGCCTCGGCATCGATGACGAACGACTTGGTGTTCGGCTTGATGCACTGTTCGTCCGGCACCAACAACTCCATCAGTGAACTGGCGCAAGCGTTACCGAGCCGCTGAGGGTATACTGAGCCGAACGCACCTTCGGCAGCTGCGTGACAAACTCAGGGAACTTGACCGTCATGTCCTCCGAGTTGCGCGAGAAGACCTTGACGCTGCCGTCCTCGAGGTAATGGATCTGCGCCCGCTCGCCATCGTACTTGTACTCGCACGTGAACTGCTTGCCTTCGAAGCGGTCGAGGACTTCGGTGATAGCCTTCGTTGGCTTGGCGAGCATAGGCTTGAGGGGGATGCCTGTACGTAGGAGGGTCAGCCGAGTTGCCACACTGCGTGAAAAGCGGTCAACGCACCAGGAGTAAGCGAGCAAGCTTCCTGAAGGTGGCTCATACCCTTGTCGAGAAGCGCCGGGACCACAAGGTCGTAGCTGGGGATCTCGCTGTGCGCATTCGAGAATGTTAGCCGCGTTACTCGAGCCCGTAGCAAGCAAGATGACGCACGAAAAGACGCTCTTAAGGATCTCGGCACCCTCCTCGAGCTGCGCAGAGAGGCGCTCGCGACTCCACTTCTTGCCCGACTTGTTGTGCTCGGCAGTAACGGCGGCGTGCGCGAGCGAGACGAGGACCTGTGCGACAACAACGGCGGCGACGAAAACAAGCAAAAGAATCAGATGTAAGCTTCAGAGCGGGCGTAGAAGTCGTCACGCACCGTCTTCTCGGCGAGACCGATGCGAAGCTTGCCCTCGAGCGAGCGGATGAGGAACTTGGTCTCCTCGCCTTCGCACTTGGCGAGCAGCGACTTGATGAGGCCGACCTTCCTGCCTTGCGACTGCGCTCAAACCCGCCGAATGGCATCAGCTTGACCACCTTCAAAAGCGAGCATGCCAATCTCAGCTCGACGAGACGCACGTCTTTCCCACTTGTCTTGGCCACCTTCTTCAGCTCGTCAAACACGCCCTTGACCGTCAACGGCTTGCTCTTGAACAGCGTTTTCTGCCTCGTCCTCGAGTTGAACGCGACCTCGCCCAAGTCTCCGATCTTCTTGTACTCGGCCTTGACCTGCGCGAGCGTGCGACCGCAGGACTCGCCAATTGCCTTCATGAGCAGCGACTCGCCGATACCGAGCTCGATGGACTCATATTCGGGTGCGAGCTACGGACGAGGCGATGTCAGCCGCTGGGTCGCGTTGATCGGCGAAGCTTACGCACCCTGTTGATGCACAGGTAGACCGTCTTGAGCAGGTCTTCGGGCGTCTTCTCGATGACATCGATGAGGAAGCGTGTCAGGTAGGCGGAGATCTCGAGACGCTTCGTCGTTGCCTCGATTTTGGAGAAGGTGGCGGTGAGGGCGGCGTATGGGACGCTGTGGGAACATAGATAGGACATGAGTGACCGCCCCGAGCAGGCGGGGGGTCCAGCCGCGTCGCGCGCAGCGAACTGAAGCAGGCAGCCTCTAGGGAGACTCACGGTTCGCCGCTCTTCCAGCTTGTCTGCGCCTTGTCCGGCTTGCTCGACTTGGTGAAGATGTCGGCACTGTCGACGAGGATAAGGAGCTTCAGTAAGTGGGAAAATGGCGGTTAGCGCGGTAACATGAACGCACAACTTGACAGCCGCCTTCTCGTCTTCCTCGTCCTCTTCTTCCTCCTCGCTCACTTCGCCTTCGCCACTCGGCGCCTCGCTCGCGTCCCTCGCCTCCCTCTCCTCATCGTCGTCCTGCACCTTGGCCTTGGCCTTGCCCTTGTCGTCCGCAGAGGTCTTCTTCGGTGCAGTAGTCGAGCGGGGAGCGAAGAAGGAGGAGACGGGCGGCTTGTCAGAGTCGGCAGCCTTGGCTTTCGACGTGGAAGGAGAAGCAGAAGTCGAAGCTTTGGCAGCAGAGGAAGACGAGGCGACGGGAGAAGCTGCGTCCTTGTCCTTGGACGGCGAAACGCCTTTCTCAGCGGCGGCTGACCAACGAGTCGAGGGTCAGCGATGTTGACAGCACTAGTAGAGAGGCGTCGCAGCGCACCATCGCCGTTGCTCGTCTTTGCCTTCTTGCTCGGACTCGCCTTGTCGTCCTTGTCCGCTTCTCCCTCCGCCTCGTCCGTCTCCGAAGCCGCGCGCTTTTTCTCTCTCTTCTCTCCCGCAGCGTCTGCAACTATCCCTGGAAGAACGAGTTGGCCAAAGTCAATGACATCGCGAGCGACGCGTCGAGATCGCGGGTCGCGGCAGTGGCAGAGTGAACGCACCTGGGGCCATCTCGACGTCCTTCTGCTCGGCCTTGGGCTCGACAGCGGGAGACGGCGCAGTTTGCCTGTCGCGCTGCTCCTTGCTGAAGAAGTTGAGCGTCTTCTGATGAGGACGCGAATCGGGTTTCCCAAGGAACGCGTTCAAGCCGCCCTGGTCCGGCGCGCGCTCGCCAGACGGTTGTTTGCCCTTGACCATCGAGTCTGAGCGAAGGCAGCGGGCCAACGAGCTGAGTGAGTGTCAAAGTCGAGGAGGAGGCGCGAGGTGGGGTTGATGAGAAGCCAATCACCGCTACAGCTCCTTATTGACCGCTTGCTCGCTATTACGCTCTCCCAAGCTGGCTCAGTACGACTGGGATGCCCTGCGAGAAGCGGCGCACGCTTCTCCCGTTCCTTTCCCCCTCGTTCCCCTCGACCGCGCGTCCGTCCTCGCACAGCACGCCGCACTCGCTGAACGGGAGAAAGACCTCGACAAGAAGAACGAATACAGGGTGAGCAAGGTATTGATAGGAGCGGGCAAGCGATCGAGCGGTGCAGAAGCGAACGCTTTGCGGGTTTTGAGGCGAGGCGTAGTCGAGGAGGGTTTGCGGGTGAATGAACAGGCCAAAGGTGTGTCGGTCCCCTTCTGAGTTGAAGAGTATTCCTCGCTGATGCAGTCCCGCACCCGCAGGCTTCCTACTGCCCGTCAAGGTCATCGCCGCACCCGTTCGGACAGCCTCTCCTCACTTTGTCGTCGAGGATCCGGCAGGACACGCCATTCCAGTCCAGGTGTTCCATGTTCCCGCACGTTTGCACTCCGATGAGCTGTCGGAATGGTGGCCAGTGGGCGCTGTATTCGGTGAGCTGCGGCTGCAGATGCGGTTCAAGGACGGCGTGTCCAATCATACTGCCTTCCGCTTACGTCCTCACGCCGTGGCACGCAGGCGTAAAGGAACCCACGATCCGCTCCCTACGAGACGGGTCGTACTACATACGCATCGAATCTCCCGCTGATCTCGTCCGCCTGTACCCTTCGTCTCCCCTCTTACGCGACATTGACTTCCGACTATCCGTGCGACATCCGCTCGACGGTAAGAACGTCGACGAACTGAAGGTGGCGGGCAACAAGGCGTTCAAAGAAGGCCGATGGGCCGCCGCGAAAGAGGCGTACGAGTGGGCGCTCGACTCGCTCCCTTCCTCCGCCGATCCGAGCCCATCTTCGCTCGCTCCAACTCTTCACTCGAACCTCGCTCTGACTCTCATACGCCTCGACTTTCCCGCCTCTGCACTGCGAGCTGCCGATGCCGGCCTCGCCCTCCTCGCCGACTCTTCTTCCGACAACCCTCTCGGCCTGAAACTCATCTATCGCTCCTCGCTCGCCCTCTACGCCCTCTACCGCTTCACCGAAGCTCTCACACGGCTCGACACCCTCCTCGAAGCGGACCCAGCATCTTCTGACGCGCTCGCCCTGCGAACGCGCTGTCGCACAAGACTGGTCGAACAACAATCCGGTCCCTCCGCCTCAACCCTTCGCTCGCTCTTTCTCTCCACCCGCCGAACGCTCGCCTCACGAAAACCCCTCTCGACTCCCGACATCGCCAACTACCTCTCCCCGTCCCTCTCGATCCGCCCCCTCCCAGGGCGCGGAAACGGCCTAATCGCCCTCCGTCCAATCAAGCGTGGCGATTTACTGATGTGTCTCAAGCCGCTCGCATGGGCTGGGCGGATCGGAGCACCAATGGAGGAGGAAGAAGGGCGGTTGAGGTATACTGCGGGTTTGAACTTGTGGACGGAGCAGCAGGATCCGTGGGCTGTTGTCGAGTGCTCGAGCGAGGTAGTGTGGAAACTGGGGATGGAGGGGAAGGAGGGAAGGGAGTGGAGCGAGGTAGGGGAGTTGTGGGCTGGAGATGAGTTGGGTCGAGCAGGTGCAGAAGCGGAAGACTTACCCAGCAGGGTGGAGGGGATCGTCACCTTCAACGGCTTCCACCTCGAAGAAATCTCCTCCCCCTCTCCCGAGGGGGACGCTGAGACCGACCTCTTCCACGCCCCGACCGCTCTCTACCCGCGCCACGCCTCGGCACTCAACCACTCCTGCGTCCCAAACGTCTCGTACACATTTCTCTCGACCCTCTTCATCCTGCGCGCGAGGACGGATATTGGGGAGGGGGAGGAACTGGTCGATTCGTATGTTGATGCGGCGGAGGAGTTGGAGGGGAGGGAGGGGAAGTTGCGTGGGCATGGGTTCGTGTGCGAGTGCGAGCTGTGCGAGGAGGAGCGGAGCATCGGCGTCGAAGGGCGAAGGCGGAGACAGGAATTGGTTGAGCGGGCGAAGAAGATCGGCGAGGAGGACCTCGCGATTCCAGGCGTGCAGGAACGCCTCTCCGCCCTCGTCGCCCAGCTCGAAGCCACCTACTCATTGTGTCCGCCGCCTCGCCTTCGACCAGCACTCTACGTCCCGCTCCGCCTGCTCTCGCAATCCTTGGCCCTCTCCTCCCCTTCGACCGGTTCGCTTGACTCGATTCGTACGGAGTTGCGGGCACTCGCATTTCTCGGCGCACGCTTTGATGGCGACGAGGGAGAGGAGAGGATGGTGGCGCCGCCCCTGCTGAGAGACATGGACGGCGTGTTGAGCGCCTTGTGGATCGCGAGGGAGTGGAAGAGGCTCGGTTCGGTGGACAAGAGCAGGTGTGCCGCCCACGCTTCCACATCTCTTGGCCTGTCTGCTGACGATTCTGCTCGCACGCAGGCACTGGGTTGCTCTCGCGCGCGACATCGAGGCGGGACAGGCGGGTGCCGAGGTGTTTGACCTGCGGTACGGCGAGTGGGCTGCTCGACAGGGACTCGATCTGACTGCACAGGAGACGTAGGCGTCTCGTTAAGGGTTCAGGAGGCAGGCAGGAGGTTGCCGTCGACCGCCTCCTCTCGCTCGCAACATTTTCATCCCGACGGGGGTGTCCTCCTCTCGCTTGCTCGCTCGCTCGCCCTCGTTCGGCAAGGTTTGTTCCGTGTTCCGCGTGAGAGTCTTCTTCTCTCCGTGCGCGCTCCGTCACGTCGCTGCGGGCGTCCGTTGCGAGAAGAAGAAGAAGTCGACGGCTGATCGAGAAGAAGCTCTCGCTTCGACGCCTTCTTCTCCTCGTCCACCTCGCATTTCTCCCTCTTTCTCGCACCGCACACTCGCACAGCGACGCAGGCGACTGCACCAGCACCCGTGCGTACCCGCTCGCCTTGCCCGCTCGCCGCGAGACCCCCTTGCCGTCGAGACTGACCCTCGTTCGCTTCTCCCGCCCTTCCTCCCCGCTGCACAACCTCGCCGGCCGGTTCGACGCCGTCAGACCCGCTACACTAGTCGCTCGGTCACAGCAGCCAACTCCACATCCCGCACCGCAGGAGTCTAGCGAAAGCGCGGTCAGACCTCGCCTCCTCTTCGTCCTCGGGCAGCACCCCGTCCGCTTCTCTCGCCGAAGCCTCGCTTCCAGTCGCTCTTTCATCCTCTCCACCGCTTGTCTGCACGATGGCGTCCCCTGTGGCTGCCGCACCATCCTTCCCGCCCCTCGACGGCGTGATTGGCGCCTTGTCCGTTCGCTCTCCCTCTCTCGCTCGCCGGAGCACCCGCTGACCGACTCCGCCTACAGCCTCGTCGGGACCATCCTGTCCATCTTTCTCGCCGGCATCACCACCGTCCAGGCTTTCGGCTACTTCACTCACTTTGCTCGCAAGGACCGTCCTTTGCTCGTCGGCCTTGTCTCGGTCCTCATGGTCATTGACCTCTTCCACACGGCAATCTCCTGGTGCGTCATTCCTCGTACCCTTACGCGACGGCCACGGGCTCACTCAGTCGTCCGCCTCGCAGCTACACGATTTACGTGCGTCGTGCTGCTCCTCCCTCGCACCAGTCTCGCTGGAGCCACATTCACTCCGAAGAAGGCGATCGGGCAAACGCCGCTAATCTAGCTCACTTCCTCGCGCAGCTTTGGACCGTCACGCACTACGGCGATCTCGCCTTCCTCGTGCGCTCGCCGTGGTCGTTCGCCTGGGAGTGCGTCCGCTTTCTGTTACTACATCTCGCTTACTCCGCTGGAGTCTGACGTCTCCGACCCCAGCCCCTTCCTCACCGGCATCGTCGCCCTGATCGTCCAAGTCTTCTGTACGCCCCCCAGTCCTCCGCTTCTCTTCGCCTCATTCCGCTAACGGCTTCGGCGCAGACGCCTGGAGGGTCTACATCGTCTCTCGTCGCCAGTGGTGGATCCCTGCCGGAATCGTCCTCCTCTCGCTCTTGCAGTGCTCGTTCGCCATCGCCTCGACGGTGAAGATCTATCAGTTCAACAGCCTGTTCTCTCGTGCGTGGCTGGCCTTCTGTGCTCGTGGCTAGTCCTGAAAATGATGCTGACGAGCTGCGAAACCCCTTCCGCGCACGCAGGCTTCGGCGAGTTCTCGTACGGCGTCGCCATCTGGACTCTCTCGGCTGCGTACGTTTCGGTCTTCCAGGCCGCCTCTGCCACACGCGCGCTGACCCTCTGCCTCTACAGCGCCTCCGACATCCTCATCACCTCATCGCTGTACGCTCCTCCCTCCTCCTCTCCAACCCGTCCTTACTCACTTTACCTCCTCCGGTCTCGCCCGCGCAGCATCTACTACCTCCGCCAAGCCACTCAGAACGACTACCAACACTCTCTCCCGATCGTGCAGCGCATCATCCGCACCACGGTCGAGACGAACGGCTTGACTTGCATCTTTGCGATTGTCGATGCGGTGTTGTTTGTTGCGATGCCGGCGGATAGCTGGGTGAGTACTTCTGCCTCTTTGATGATTCGTGCAGGGTGTTTAGGGTGTGACAGGGCGTGCGGGTCAAAAGCTCGGAGGGGAGAAGGACGAGGACGGGCTGACCTTCGCAAGCGGCTTTTGCTGATCTCGTCGTGCTCTCCTCGTCTCGCGCAGCACGTCATCCCCAACTTGAGTGTACGTTCTTTCCCATATTGGGTCACCGAGACGGAAAGCTGACGCCCGAGGATGCCTCGCAGCTCGTCAAGCTCTACTTCAACGGTTGCCTTGTCTCGCGTACGTGCTCCCCCTCCTCTGGCCTCCTCAACCTCGCTGATGGGCCGTTGTACGCAGTCAACTCCCGTCGCTCCGTCGGCGGCCGCGACGTCACCGTCTCCGGTGGCCTGGGCGGCACCTCGTACTCGCCCGGTATCGGCAGCTCTCCCGCGCCCAAGTACACCGCGACCCTCGACAATGGCGAGCAGATCCGTCTTGACGAGTTGGCCAAGAACGTTGGGCAGCATGGGTCGCAGGCGATGAGGAGGAGTAACTGGGAGGGAATCCACATCACGACGGTCAGGTGCGTTTGAGCGGTCCGAGAACGAGAACTCCTCTACAAGCCTACCGCAACATAACGAGTATTGATGAGCCTCTCCATTCCTGTTCTACAGGGAGGTCGAGACTCGCGTTGACGACCACGACTCGGTCCTTGAAGGCGATCTTGAGAAGGGCGCCGCCGTGCGTCCGGTCCCTCCTTCGCCCATTGACCATCTCCTGACTCAGTAGCTTCTGGACACACAGACGAGCCCGCACCCGTTCGCCCTCTCGTACACGACCCACCCTGAGCCGGCCGACACCAACCCTCCTCGCCAGGCCTCTCCTCACCACGGCACCTCGACGGGCTTGTCGAACGCCGCCATCCCGAGCGAGTGGTCCGCTCACTAAGCTCGCACCTCCCCTTTTTCTGCTCGTGTCTCGTCCTGCTGTGCCATACCCTCCCCATCCGCGCTAGTCGCCGCACCGTCTCTATCGCATCTCTTTGCCTCTCCCTCTATCGCATGCCCTTCCCTCCCTTCTGTCTAGGTCTCCCTCGCTCTCTCGCCTGCGCATCTCTCGTTGTGATATTCTGTTCACTGGGTCTCGGTCTCGGTCGTCAAGACCGCTCACACACTCGTTTGATCTGATCGAAAAGGCCTGCTCGCAATGCATTTGCTTGAGCCGCCTCTTCCAGCCGAGCAGGATTAGCGAGAAACGCGTTGCAGGTTGAAGGGAAGGGCTGTTTACAGAAGCTCGACGGTCGCAGCGCGGAACGTCTCGCTGTCGCGGTTGCGGCAGAGGACTAAGCGCTGAAGGCCAGGGCTACGAGCGCAAGCGGGAAGTCAGCGTGCAAGCTCGAGGCGAGCGCAAGGGACGGAGGAGACGCACCTCCGCTTCGCCATGGCCAGCAAGCGATAGAGCGAGACGACGGCGATGCTGTCGCCGTGACCCTGTGAAAGGCAGAACTGGCCTGTCGTTATGCGGCCGATGACCTGGTCGGGCGAGGGCGGATCGCAGAGCTGGCAGATCACCACTCGTCAGGTTAGTCGGAGGGAAGGAAGCGCAGCACGCACATCCTCGGCACCTTCGCCTTCTCCCGTCGCGAGCACCTTCTTCCCCTTGAGCGCCTTGTCCACCTTCTCGCGCACAAGCGAAGCCTGCTCCTCGTCCAGCTCGTAGACCAAGCCGAGGTCCTCCGGGACGCCGCGCGTGCAGGGTGTGAGGCGGACGCGGACCATAGCGCGAGAGAGGTAGGAACAGGACGGGTCCGCCGAGGTCGAGGCTGCCGCCCACTCGGCGAGCAGGTCCACCTCGAGCTGCTGCAGTCGCTGCCGAGGTGTTGGCTGGCCGGCGGGCGGGTCCTGCTGCATCATGCCGCTCAGAGCGTCGCTGGCGTCGACGTGACGCAGGACAAACCGAGCGATCGACGCCGGAACGAGGAAAGGTCTGCCCTCAGCCGAATTGCCCTCCTCTTGCTCGACTGAGAAGCCGCTCCTCGACCACGCCGTCGTCAGCACCTCGCCCATCTCGACCTTCCAAGGCGACCGCGTGCCAAACTTGTCGTAGTTCGGCCTCTTCGCAGGCGGTCTTCGCTCCCAGTACCCTTGCTCGTCCGCCTCGCGCCTCGTCTCGTGCTCATCGAAACCGGGCGAGCCGACGTAGTCTTCGGGAAAGCGGGGTGCGCCGGCTTCGTAGTACTGGTGAGACCGCTCGCGGATCCCGGCGACGCGCGGTGTCGAGTAGACGAGCGAGGACCAGAAGGGCATGCCCCAGCCCGCCGGAACAGTGAGGGTCCAGCCGTGGATTGGAGGTGGGCGAGAGCGGGACGGGGAGGTCGATTGCGAACCAATGATGCGCTGAGAGAGGAGGACAGGGATGCGGTCGTCCTGCGCGAGCGGAGCGAGGCGAGTGCCGGGAATCAGCTCTTCCGCTCGCCGTGCATCGAGGTCGCGCTTCTTGAAACGCGGCGTGTGGATCGAAGCGCGGTGCTTGATGTCCCAGAAAGTTGGCGCGGAAGCGATCGGAGGTGCAGGGACGAGCCGCTCGAGGTTGACGGTGTCGGGCGAAGCCTTCTCGAGCTGAGGCGGGAAGCTGCGGGAACAGAGAGAAGGTCAGCGAGAGAATAATGCGGTGCAAGTTGCGAGTCAAATGTACGAGAGTCGCGGGTCATACACCTCCAAGCCGAACACCATCCCCTCAGGCACTCCGCCAGGACCTGCCTTCGCGTCGAGCTTGCGCCAAGCCTGCACCGCATCAGCGTCAGCAGGTGCTTCGCTGGCGTAGAAGCAGCTGCTGTACTCACTGCTTTCGTCGCCCCGTCCGTTCCCTTGACCGGCTTCAACACCGCCTTGACAACTTCCGTCGCCCTCCGTCCCGTCACCTCGAAGGTCAGGAACCCCTTCTCGTACCGCCTTAATCCGACACTCAACCCAAGCTTGAGGTGCTCGATCGCATGCTGAACGGATGATGCGGCGTGGCGTGCGACAGCCGGGTGGACGCGGACGAGAAGAGTGCGGGAGGGAGAGGCGGTGGAGGTGCTCGGCGCGGAGTCTGCGATTTCGGGTCGCCAAATGAAGGTGGCCGGGCCAAGCAGACCGTTCGGGTACGCCCGCGTAGTGTCGTACACGTCGACCGTACATTCGCGAGATCCGGACGAGAAGCTGCGGGAACTCAAGTCAGTCAGGACCTGCGAATGACGATGCAGACCGACGCTGACCGCTTTGACGCCGGAGAGACTGCAGCAGGGTCGCAAACAGCTTGCAGAATCCGCTCAAGGTCGGCGAAAGGGCCGTCGAGCTGAAAGTACTGATAGTAGCTTGCGTCGTGCACGAGTGCACCGTGATGGGATGCGCGATAGGAGGACCGGAACGCTTTCGCCGTCGGTGTCTCAGCCTGTCGGATAGTGTATGAGCAAACGAGCGCAGAGGAGGAAGATGAGGGGACACACGAGGCGATGTCCCCAGATCTCGGTCATGTGCATTCTCTTGGCGTGCCAAACATGCGTCTCCAGCCACAACTTATTCTCTATGGGCCAGGCGAGTCAGCGTGGCTCAAGTGTGAGGAATCGAGCGAACGCACGCTGCCGCTGCCGGAAGAGCTCCGCCTTGATGCCTGGCTTCTGTCTGTGCCGTCCGAGCATGCTGCGCGAGACACGCTTCGGCTTTGCAGCGTCTTTCGGTACCTGTACACGAGCCAGGTGAGCGCGCGTGACCAGGCGAAGGAGGGAAGAAAACGCACCTCTGCCTTTGCCCTTTCGCGCAATCTTGACGGCAGCCGGCGGATGTTGTGGCTCGCAGCTCGCCGCCGCAGATGTCGAGGAAGCGACTGGAAAGCGCGTTGAGTGCCCGCTTCTCTGCAAGTACGGAGGGAAATAAGCAAAAGAACCGGCGGCTGTCGAAGAGTGTACGCACTTGGCGGACTTCATAGCCCGCTGCATGGCAGTGATCTCAAAGACTCGGGCCTAAGGAAGTCGGGTTAAGCATCAGCCGTACATCCTCGACGGTGAGAACGAGCGACCTCACCTGAGCGAACTTCTCGACTTCTAGGACGGCGGGCAAGCCAGCGTTGCCTGCGAGCCAAAGCCGTCAGACGTAGCACCTTATAGTGAGGACGCTCACGCTCACCGCTGCCCGCAGAACCCCCAGCCCGCCCCTTCTGCCCCTCGACCGCAATTGTTCGCTGAGCCCGCATCCGCTGCCGCTTGAGGTCCGCGCCGGTAGGAGCGCCGTCTGTGGGGCGCTTGGGTGGCATAACGAGCGTTCGGGAGCCTTAGCAAGTCAATCCAGCGAGGTGAGCAGCGGTGACAAGGCCAAGTCGCTTCTTCTCCTCCTCCCGCTCACTGCCGTCGCACGCTTACCCGCTGAGAGGTTCGCTGCCCCTGGCTACCGCCTCAGAACGCGCTACAGACTGCACTCCTTCAGCCTGCCATCCTCCCCAGGGCGCGGCGCCGTCCTTCTCGCCCTCCCAAACCTCATCAATCCCGACCTCGACTCGCACAATCCCCATGCTTGCAATGCCTCGGGACTACCTGACGAGCCTGCCCGTCGAGCTCTTCGACTACATCTGCCAGCTCGTCTACGTCTGGGACCGGACGGGCCCCTGGGGCGACGGCCGCCAATTCCTTGGCGCCATCTCGAAGGCGTTCCTTCCTTTCGCTCGGAAGCGCCTCTTTCCAACGGTGAAAGCCTACGATGAGAAGAAAGCCCTGAGGCTTCTGAACCTTTTGGCGACCAGCCCCGGTGCAGCCGCGTATGTCACGAGCCTGACGATAGTGTTAGACGAGTATGCTCTATCGGCTCGGAAGATCAAGACCAGCCTACTCAGCGCGGCGCTCGCGAACCTCGTCTGCGTGCAGACACTCACGGTTGACGGCGCCGGACGCTTCGCAAAGATGGTCCTCTCACCTCGCAAGGCTGGTCTCTTGCCGTCCCTCGCAGTGCTCCGTGTTGCCGGAGAATTCGTCGGATGGACGGACCCGCTTGCCCCTCCGTTTTACCGCCATCTCAGCCGGTATCGCCACCTTCGAGACTTGATCTTGGACATCCGTTCGCAGCCGAGAGGCGCTGCGTACTAGGCGAAGGTGGTCGAGCGCATCCTCATGCCCCCGTCGTTCCGCTTACTCCGCCTTACTGGACAGGCGGTCGACAGCCCTACGGCGAGTGTTCTGGCTGCGAGCCTTGGGGCGGAGACGCTGTCTCTGTGGAGCCACCACAAATCCCCCAGGACGATGTCAAGCCGCCTGAGGAGGCTACCGAGGACCGTCGCGCACCTGGACCTTTCGCAGCATCGCTCGATGAAGGAAGACATCACTGCGGCTCTCAAGACGTATCCTTGGCTTGTCAAAGTGTCGCTCTGGAGCGGTCTCGAGTGGTCAACAGTACTACGATCTCTTGGCCGCATCCTGCCTTCGCTTGAGCACCTCGAGCTTGCAGTCTGCGAAACCTTGAGCCTTTCCGACATCCTACACATCCTCGAGGGCCCCAACAAGATTAGACAACTCAGACGGCTCACCCTCCGGGTTTGCCACCTCTACGATTACGGCCCCTTGCAGCCTCCGGAGCACTTCATTCCGATCGCGGAGCTGGCGGAGCGCGAGAAGGTTGAACTCGAAGGACTCTGGGCTATTCTCGCCGGCATAGCGAAACAGGAGCGCAACGACCGTCTCGAGGCAGAGCGCGAGAAGGAGCAGGAGAAGCGCCGCGAGATCTCGAGGGCGGCGGCCGCATCGCCGCCAGAGTGGTGAAGGAAGGCTGGACTGTGAAGGATGCTTGTCTGGTGCGTTTGTAACGTCGCCGCCGTCCTTTCCTTTCGTCCGTCGCGAGACCGCGAGTCGAGAGCTCCCAACTTCGCTTCGCTGCCGTTCGCTAGGCTTTCTGGATCTTTCTCAGGCAATGCGCAAGCATTCCCAGCTGAATTGCACCGGAAAGAGGCAGTCAAGGCGGCCGACTTGCGCGTTCCCTCCCTTGTCCTCCTCCCGCTCGCTGCTGTCGCACGCTCACCCGCTGAGAGCCTCGCTGCCGCTTGCTACTGCTTCAGAACACGTCTCAGACCGCGCTTCTTCTGCTCGCCGGACCCACCAAGCTGGTGCGCACGCGTTGTCGCCCTCCCAATCCTCATCAGTCCTGACTGCGTCTCGCTCGTTTCCCGCAGCCCACGATGCCCAAGGACTACCTGACGAGTCTTCCCGCCGAACTCTTCGACTACATCTGTGACCTCGTCGTCATCGCAAAGCCGAAGCAGTACCTCGGCGGCATCTCGAAGGCCTTCCTCCCCTCAGCGCGCGAACGGACTTTCTGGAGTGTCCACATCTACAAAGAGCCTGCTGCTATCAGGTTTGTCGAGGCTCTCGCGGCCAGTCCTGGCGCAGCATCGCACGTCAGGTACCTCACGCTCCATCTCCCCGAAACCGCCTTCTCTTCCGAAGCCGCTGCACCCGTACTGCGCAGGGCGATTTCGCATCTCCGCAACGTTCGTCAGATCTGCCTTACAGGTGCATGCGAGCTCTCCAAGATGTTGCTATCCCCGACTTCCCCCAAGACCCTTCCTGAGCTCACTCAGCTGTCAATCAGCAGTCGCCTTACAGGCTGGTTCTCTCCTTTCTCGCCGCGGCACTACCACACCCTCCGATACTACTTTCGACTGTACGCCTTGGACTTACACATCCTTCGAAGCGCGCCTGCGCGTCGCAGCAGTCGGATGCCGCAAATTGAGTGCATCGCAATGCCTGCATCCTTTGGCTGGCTCACACTAGGAGGCACAGCTAAGGACACACCGGATGCAGACCTTCTTGTACACGCATTCTGCCCTGAAGTGTTGTCCTTTGAGGCTAGGGAAGGGGACGACACGCCGATGTCTGCTCGCCTTCAGCAGCTGCCTCGCAGCGTCAGGCGCCTGAAGCTCCGTCAAAATCTGCCTCAGCTAGAAGACCTCACTGCAGTCCTGCCAAACCTTCGGCAGATCACAGGCCTGTCACTGAGCAGCAGCTTCGACTGCGCGGCCATCCTCCCTCTCCTCGCAAACGAGCTACCGCAGCTTGACAAACTCGAGCTCGAAGCCAACGAATCCCTCACGTCTCAACTCCTCATCCAAATCCTCAGCGGGCCCAAGAAGATCGTCAAGCTTCGCACTCTCAGCTTGTCAACTTCGTACGGCAGCCGTTCTTCTGTGCACGCCTCGCTCGCGCCAAAAGCACTTATCGAAGTCGTCGAGCTGGCGGAGCAGGAGAAGGTTGAAGTGAGCGGCGGCCGTTTCTGGGATGCAATCGACGCGAGGAAAGCGCGAGACGCTCGCTTGGAGGCTGAGGAAGAGGAGCGGCGAGAGATTGCGAGGGCAATTGCCCGGCGGGCAGCGCGGACGTGAGAATCAGTAGTGAGTCGACGACGAGAGGAGAGGTGTGCTTCTTGGCATCGGAGCGCAAACGGTGTGACTTATCCTTTTGCATTCAAGTGCGCAATCTCTCGAGCGGGAACGGTCGGAGAGGAATGGTTGGCGAATCATCGCAATGCAAATACCGCCAATGAGAGCGAGACAAGTACAGCTGATACACGGCGAGAGAGAGAGAAGAAGGCAAAACAGGGCGACAAGGTGCTGATGGAAGGAATGGACTGATAGAAACGAGTGTATGGCGAGTGGGGAGGTAGCGATGTCATCGCTGCTGCCTAGTCTGGAAGACCTGGTAGACGAGCGAGTAGCCCTCGAGGACGTAAAGGATCCTGTCGACGCGCTCGTATTTCTCCGCCAACTCGGGGCTGAGAAGCTGCTTCATCCCCTCATGCGTACGAGCCCGCTTGTCCGACCCTCCCTCGTTGATCGAGTCCGCGTCGTCGTCCTCGTCCGAAACGAACAAGGTGATGGTCATCTTGGCCGGTTCGAAGATCTCGAGCACGCGCTCGACAAGTTCCTGCAACGACTCTGTCGTGCGCCTCACGCCTTCGATCGTGTCGAGCCCGGCGACGCCCTCATCTTGGTCCTTCGCATCGACAGACGCCGCGAGTCCGCCGAAATCAAAGTTGCACTCGAACGAAGCGTACGAGTACGCTTCTTCCGGCGTGACATGCACCGTCGCATACCTGTCCCCTCGCACCGCGTTCTGAGAGAACCCGCACGGCGCAAAGAGGAACGAGTCGATCGTCGCGCCGGGGAGGAGGGCCGTGAGGCCCAAGTCGTCCGAGAGTTTCGAGCCGAGGTGGTGCGCGTCGCCGTCGATTACGAGTGGGTCGGTTGGGTAGAGAGGGGAGGTGTAGGGGATCGGGGCGGAGGGAGTCGACGAGGGGTGGTAGAATTTCTGGCAGGCGCGAGGGGACAAGCCGGTCATGAGAATCTCGAGGGTTTGGTCGGGGCGAGAGGGGACGCGCGGGTCCGAGGAGGAGGATGGAACGATAGCAGTCGACGAGTGCTGCCGCCGGGGAGTCGGGAACGCAGAAGGGGTTGTCGAGAGCGAGGCGGAGAGGGTCGAGAGGTCGGTGTGAGGGTTTGCGGGTGCGAGAGCGGCGGACGACTCCATCGCGTGGGGGAGGAGGACATCGTCACGCGGCGGCGTGACGTACAACAACCAGTGGTCGCCGTTCATGCGACCGACGGTGTAGGCCGAGCTATTCTCGAACAACTTGTCGAGGAAACTCATCTCGGCCGACCAGTCCTTGTGTGGGCCCTTCTGACGCTCCGGGAACATGAACGTCTTGCGCGAGTAGAAGCAGCGCCAGACACCTTGGAAGCCGCACGTCTCGGATGCGATGCGCAGAAGGGTGGGAATTCCGAGGAGGAGCGTTGTCGTCCCGCACGTCTTGAGGATGATCTTGTGCGGCCAGACGAACATGGATGATTCGCTACGTGTACAATCCATCAGCTCAGCCCTCTCAAAACCCCGGCAAACGCGGACGCACCTGAGCAAATAAGCATCCACCTCCTCGCCCTCGATCACACTCAACACCTTGCAGCAAACCTCATCGAGCATCCCGTCCCACACGCTCTTCTCGACCTGCCTCAGGCCAACCCATCGGTCCCTGTGCGCTGCGGCTGCCGAAGAGGAGGAAGAAGCGGCTGCTGCGCGACCGCCTTTGAGGGGGAGGTTGCGCCGGAGGACGTCCTCTTCCGAGGGTGCGAACCAAATCTCCAACAACTTCTCCGGTCCTGTGAGAGTCGCTAGGTCAGCTCAGGAGCGTGGGAGGAGGAACGCCACGGACGACGAACCTTCGAAAGGACCGGGCGAAGAGTCGTCGACAACGGTCACCGTCGCGTTCTGGTGCACTGCAGCCATCTCCTTTTCCGTTTGAGCGCCGTACGAGCTGCTTCAGGCGCGCCAGGTGGGTGAGATCAGCTCGGAAGATGCGACGAGTCGAATGAGATTCAAGCTCACCTCTTCTGGGTGATCGGGGCGCGTTCGAAGGCGCTTGTTGCGTGTAGACGGTGCCGTAGTTAGCCTAGCACAGTCTCGGATGAAGCAGAACGGTCCAGCCGGTGCGAGCGAGGCAGGCGAGCGCGCGGACCGAGTTCAAACTTGCGAGTTGGTGAGGAGGCGAGGCGGTTGGCGGCGGCAGCTCACTTGGCTGGCGCGGTGCGTGAAGGGGACGGTGCTCGAGTGTTCCAACACTACACAGCGACTCGGTCCGCGCCCGTCCGACTCGCTCGAGTGGACGCCGCCGTTGTCCCTCCTCGACCATCTCAGCATCATCGTCTCGAACGGCGACTCGACTTCGCAGGGCGTGCAGGCAGACGGATCGGGACATAAAGTGGGCTGGGAGTGCCGGATGACATGCGGGATCTGTCCGAGGATCCTGCGCGGTTGTCGACACTCGACGCCTGCTCGCACGACCTCAAGCTACGACGGAGACGACTGGCTCGCTCGCTGAGGCTGGCGTGGACGGTGGGGAGGCTTTGGAGACGCGGTGAAGGGAGTGCCCGCATCACTAGCACGCAAAAAGACGCTGAAATGCCACCGGTCGCCTCCTCTCTCCTCCTCGTTCGCAGGTCGCCGCTCTCCGGACACCTCGTGCAAAGTCGGCGCACATCCTCGCTGACCGAGATTGCTCGCGTCCGACAGACACCAGTGCGAGCCCTCGGACACCGGGAGAAGCCCGCCTCTAGCCACAACCTCCTTTTTCTCTCCGCTGTCCGCGCTCTCTGCTCGCTCGCTCGCTTCTGTCCGACGAAGCAGCCCGCGCCCGTTCACGTGCGCTGGAACGTCTCGACGCCCGCAGTCAGACTGTTCTGCGGGAAGAAGAGTGTCTCGAGAAGCGAGAAGCTCACTCTGGCAACGGGCAGTCGGGAGACCAACCCTCCCTCGTCGCCGCATCCTCGCTCGCTCGCTTCGCTGCAAACTGCGGACAGGAGTCTCGCGTAGAAGCTAGTGGTCGGCCAAGTTGCCCGCGCACTGACGGACAGGAGTCGCCGTGTCAAGCGCGGGACCCGTGGTCGCGGTCGCTCCGACCTTCTCACGCTGCGGGTCTCCCCTTCTTCTCCTTCTCACCCGCTCACCGGCCAACTCTATCCACCCTGCACACGTGCTCAAACACACCCTCGCTTGCCCACCCCAACCCATCCCACACGCTCGTTCATCCCGCGTCGCTCGTTCCCCTCCTCGCTCTCCTTTCCATCCCCGACTTCCTCTCCATCGCCCACAGCTCGCCATGGCTCCCCGACAGCGCCAGTCGCGCACCACCACCTCCTCAACCGCACTCGCACTCGCCGCATTCGTCGCGCTCGTCGCCGCACCCGCAGCCAGCGGCCTCACCCTCGACCTTGTCGCCAACTCGACAGCCGTCGCGAGCACGCTCAACTCGACTCAGTTCGACTACATTGTGGTCGGTGGAGGAAACGGTGCGTACACTCCCACTCACAGCTTATGGCGCGAGCTGGGACGCGAGCTGACCTTGGCATTTGGACGGGGTGTGCAACAGCCGGTTTGGCGGTCGCCTCGCGCCTCTCGAGCTCGCACAACGTCCTTGTCCTCGAGGCGGGTACCGACCAGTCGGGGAACCCGGGCGTGACGGTCCCCGGCCTTGCGGGTGCGTTGTCGCCTGCCGTTTTCCCGTCCACTTCTCCTCGCCCATGTCGCTTCCCGCCCCGCCCCGATTCTCGCTCAAGCTTGTGTGAATGGCGCTGACACCCTCGCCGTACACGCACGCAGGCAGCCCACTCGGCTCGGGCATCGACTGGGGCTTCTCCACCGTCCCTCAGTCCAACGCCGACGGTCGCTCCGTCTACTGGCCTCGCGGCAAGATGCTCGGCGGTTCCTCCGGTCTGAACTTTCTCGTCTCAGCGCGCCCGAACAAGGCCGAACTCGACCAGTGGGCCTCCCTCTCCGGCAGCTGGAGCTGGTCCTGGTCCTCCCTCTTCCCGTACTTCAAGAAGACCGAGCGTTTCTACTCCCCCTGCGCGACCAAGCCCGAGGGAGTCACGCCCACTTCCAACGGCTGGGTGCACGGCTACTCGGGACCCATGGCCATCTCCTACCCCCCCTACCTCGGCAAGCAGAACAACGGGTTCTACCAGGCTGTTCAGCAGATGGGCGTCCCGGTTGCGCAGGACTTGCACACGGGATCGAACCACGGCGTCAACTTGTCGCCTTCGACGGAGCACAGCACCGGGACGGACAGGACTCGCGCCTACTCGGTCGACTACCGTGCGTCTCGCTCCTCTCCCTCCATTTCTCGGAACGAGCTGATCTCTCTCGCGCGAACGTCCGGTAGTCAAGCTCGCGACGAACAGGTTGACGGTCATCACCAGCGCTCAGGCGACCAAGATCAACTGGACCGGCAGCAAGGACGCGAGCGGCAACGTCGTCGCGCAGGGTGTCTCATTCGTCCCCGTCGGCGGTGGTTCTCCTAGCTCCGTCGTGCGTTCCTTTCCCCTCACCATATGCGGATGTTGAACTGAGGATAGGGACTGAGCAGAATGTCAACAAGGAGGTCATCCTCTCGGCTGGAACGGTCCAGACGCCTCAGCTCCTCGAGTTGTCGGGCGTTGGTGACTCGTCGGTCCTTGGTGGCGCTGGCGTCTCGTCCGTCGTCAACCTCCCTGCCGTCGGAACGAACCTCCAGTGCGTCGCGACGTTCCTCCTGACGTTGGCTTCAAGTGCTTCACTGATGGCGATCTTCGGCGCACCGCAGGGACCACGCGTGCATCGTCGACGTCTTCAAGCTCAAGCCGGGCGTCGACAGCCTTGACGAGCTTTCGTCGAACCAGACCGCCCTTAACGCCGCCCTCGCCGACTTCTCCCACGGCCAGGGGATCCTGACCCAAGCTTTGTACCCGCTCGCCTACCTTCAAAAGCAAGACTTCCTCTCTTCGGACGACATCAACAACCAGCTTCCCAACCTCGGCAGTCGCGCCAACAACCCTCAGCTGAGCGACGCGCAGTACCAGGCTGCGACGGCGCTTTACAACGCCAACGTCCCGATCATGGAGTTGCTCGCGATCAACACGTACTTTGGCAACTCGAGTGCGCAGCCGAACACGAACTACATCTCGCTCGCGGCGTGTCTGCAGAACCCGCTTTCGCGCGGTGACATCGTGTGTCGTCCCTTCGCTTCCTACTCCCCTCCAAGACTGATTCTCGACGTCGGCACACAGCACATCTCGACCTCGGACCCTCTCGCCAAGCCAACCATCAACCCGCGCTACCTCCAATCCCCGCTCGACGGCTTCCTCCTCGCCCGCGCAGGCCAGTTCCTCCGCAACACGGCTGCCAAGGGCCCGTTGGCGCAGTACATTGACTCGGAGGCTGAGCCCGGAACGGCGGTCCAGAGCGATGCGGAGTGGATGGAGTGGGTTAAGAGTGTCGTCAGGACTGAGTAAGTCGCGTTTCGCTTCCCGTCTTGCTACGGCTGTTTCGCTGCAGGTGACTCATCAAGAATGTCGACGTCGCACAGGTACCACCCTGTCGGTACGGCTTCTCTCCAGCCCCAGTCCTCCGGCGGCGTCGTCGCGCCCAACCTCAAAATCTACGGCACCTCGAACGTCCGCGTCGTCGACCTCTCCCTCGCACCGATCCACGTCTCGAGTCACACGCAAACTGTCGCCTACGCGATTGCGGAGATGGCGTCGAGCATGATCCTTGCGGGCAAGTAAGCCGGCTCGCGGTCGCCCCTTCTCCTTCTGCCTCTTCCCCTTCGAATCATCCCTTCCCTGTACCCTCTCTTCGCCTTTACCGACTCTCACACGACTAGCTCGCAAGCAAAACACACGGTTATACCCACCTCCGTCCTTTCCTTCGCTCGCTCTCCTCCCCTCCTTCGCGCTTTTGCTGCACATACCCCCCCCCCTTTTCCCTTCTCTTTCGCGACGTCCTGGTAGACGGATTTACTTGTTTTTGTACTGCATGCGCGATATGATACAAATGGGCTGCGCGACGAGACGTGAGAGTGAGGCAGGGGGTCGAAGAGGAGCGCACGAAGTTGAGGAGGAGAGCTGGAGCTTCCTCGACAGGCCCGTTGCCTTTCAAATGCTCTCAAAGTCCTGTCGGCAACGCCACACGCTGAACGAGCGATGTTGGATGAAGTTGACCTCTCCCTCTACGCCCAGACGATCCTCGCCAACCGAAGCACACCTCGCTTCCTCAGCTCGCCTCGTTTTGACCTGCTGACTGGGCGCGGGGCACAGTTAGACGGTTATCAGGTGCGTCGGTGCTCTTTTCTCTGGCGCTCGAGGCATAGGTGAGGTGGGAGGCGCTCATCAAAGCGACGAGGCGAGGGGTGGAAGTCGGTGGGAGAGGTTCAGGGGCGTGTCTGGACACGCCGGGACGCATGAGCTGATCACAACTAGCACCTTGGCGCGCAGACAGACTCGCTCGACTGCTCCTTGGTTGCCTGTCGACAGCTCGCGAGGCGATTGTTCGGCGAGTGAGGGGCTTGCGGGTTCAGTCTGACTGGCTGGCGCTGAGGTGCGTACGGTACAACGAGATGCTCGCTAGTGGGCAGCTAGAGGCGGCACTTGAGCTCACTGTACTGGCACCTTGCAAACAGCCGCCCCTCCACCTTCGCCTCCTCCTCACCGCACTATGCCCGTTCTCGCCCAATCAGCAAGCTCTTCGACTCCCGATTCTCGTCCCAAGCCCTCCACTTCGACCGCTCGTCGTCTTCCCTCCGCCTCTCCAGCCAGTCCAGCCGACCCTCCCCCTCCCGCCGCCGACGCCGCGAACCCGACTCCGTCCTATCTCGCATCGTTCGGCAACTACATTGCCCCCTTCTTGCGGAGACGAACCTCGTCGTCGAGTTACATGCCGTCTCCCCCGCCTGCTGCGGACCAACCTGCGGCAGGACCTTCGAACGCTTCGACTACCGCCAATGCGGCAGCCTCGACTTCCCGCGCCGAAGCTTCAACTTCGACCGCTGCGAACGGTGCAGCTGCCTCTGCACGAGCCGCGTCAGGGCTTCGCGCGGTCGGCACGCCAGCGAGCGACCACGACGTGATCGACTTGACTACCTCTTCTCCGCCTCGCCGACACCGCCATCTCGTCCCAGCTGTTCGAGCATCCGGTCTCGCTTTCCCAGGCGTGCCAGGTCCGAGCAACGCCGGTGCGAGCACGAGCGCGGCTGGAGCGGCTGCTGGGCCGTCGAATGCTCCTCGTCCGCCTCGACGTGCGCGGCGGTCGGTCGTCTTTGTGAGCGACGGCGACGACACAGACGACGCCGACTATCGACCTCGTAACCAACCGCAACGGACTGCCGCAGACACCGACGATGATTCGGACATTGAGATTGTCAGCGAACGAGCTGCCGAGCCTTTCCCCCGCATCCACTCGCCTCCGCCTTACATCGTCCCTCCCAATGCGACTGCCACGACTTCCGTCGCAGGGCGCGGGCGAGGCCCGCAGCTACGACGCTCGACTCGGGTCGCTCAGCCTGCCAACCATGCGGACGCAGACGATGCAGACGCGAGTGCGGCACGACGACTAGCGGCAGAATATGCGGCAGAGGGAGGCGTGCCGGGCGATTACCTCGCTGCGCAAGCGCGAGCGATGGACCAGGCTCGAGCGGGACCTGCGCCCGGTCTTGCTGGACGAGGGTTTGGCGGAATCTTCTCGCCTGCGCTTGGCGGCGGCGTTGGCGCAGGAGGTGCGAGACACGACCCCTTCGCCGGCATCATGGACAGGCAGGGGCTGCTAGCGCTTCTCGGAGGTGGATTGGGCGGGTTTTGGGGAGGCGGGCATTTCGGTCACTTCGGCGCTGCCGCTCTGTATGGTCAGCCGGCTGCTCAGATCAACGGCGGATGGGGAGGCGCGGCCAAGGTTCGCGCGGCGAGCAAAAAGTACGGCGTACGGATGAGCCATCCTCGACCCGTCGAAAAGGGCTTCTCGCGCGACATTATCGAGCCTCGCGACCCGGACACGGCCGAGCCGCCTGCGAAGCGCGTCAAGGGTAAAGGCAAGGCGAAGGCGCCGCCGGAGGAGATGCAACCCGTGTGCGCGTCCTGCCTCGACCCGTTGTTGCTCGGCGGCGAGGGCGACAAGAAGGTCTTTGCGCTCCGGTGTGGGCACGTCGTCTGCGCCAAGTGTCTCGGCGAGGCCAAGGCGCGGTGCCAGGAGATCAGGGAGCGGGAGAAGGGCGGATGGGTGATGGACGTCGACGAGAGTGACGGCGGGGCCGGGAAGGGCAAGGGCAGGGCGAGGGAACCGCTCCTCCTCTCCGACGACGACGATGACGACTTGTACGGCGACGCCGATGACGACGACTTCTACCTTTCCGACGAGATGCCGCCCGCCCGCTCCAGCAAGTCTTCCTCGAAGCGATCGTCGAAGAAGGACAAGGGCAAGGGGAAAGCCACAGCCGCATCTTCAAGCAAGCTCAAAGGCAAGGGCAAGTCGCGCGCCGACGAGACGGGCGTCGAGGAGCTGTGGACGACTTGTCCCGTCTCGACGTGTGACGGGAACGGGACGGACCTGCTCGCCACGGAGGGCTGGTCGAGGCCGTACGAACTGTTTGCGTGAGGTGGTCGTGCAGGTTGCGGTGCTATGCCAGCCTATTTTGCTTGCGCTTGACGAGCTCCGAAACGGGAGCAAAGCGTCGCTACAGCCTCTCACTCGTTTGGGCGGCTCATATTTGCCTCGGTCGCTTAGTCGGACACGGTCGTCGTGATCAGTCGCAATACAAAAGCGCTGCTGAAGCCCGCTCACAGCGCCCGCTTCTTCTCCCGCCCGTTCCCGCTCGCGCCCATCGCATAACTCCCCTTCGCGCCCTTGCGTTGCCTCTTCCGTCCACTCATCGTCTTCGACATGACCTCCTTCGTCTTGCGCTTGGCGTACGCGCGCGACTCTTCGTCCGCCATGAGGTCCTCGACGAACGAGCGCTTTTGCGGGATTGCTGGAGTGGAGAGGGTGGTTGCGCGAGTCGAGGGGGCGATGACATGACCGATCTGCGAGACGGGCACCACGTCTTCGATGTCAGCGATGCCTCCGCGAGACAACAGCAACGACAAGAAGCGCGCGAACGCCGCACGCACCTGGAAGAACTCTCCGACCTTGTCCTTCTTCGCTTCCTGCCTCAAGAACTTCTTCGGATCGAGGCTGTTGCTCAATCGCAAGGCGTCGAGCTCCCGCTTAAGTTCTGGCGTCATGGGCGTCGCGGGGAGGTCAAACCATTGCTTTCCGGCTGTTCGGGGCTGGTTCTGCTCAACGAAAGACGCAGATCAGTCTCGTCAATGTCGCCGGAGAGCGAAAGAACAACGACGCACGGCCTTGAACTGCTTCTTGCTCAACTTGGGCTGAGGAGCCATTCCCCACCGGTCTCCCACGATCACAGCCTTTCCCTTTCCCTTCTCGCCCTTCCCGCCTGCCTCGCCGCCTCCAGTCGCAGCCGCTCCTCCTTCAACCATCACTCCTCCGCCGAGATCCTGTGCGAGAGAGATGCCGGATGGAAGACGCTTGGCGGAAGAAGAGGTGGAGAGGAGAGGATGAGAGGCGGAGAGCGGGCGGGCGAGAGAGGGAGGAAGTGGGGCTGGTCGGCGGACGGTAGACTTCGACCCGAGGCGAGATGTAGAGGCTTTGGGTGTCGCACTGCAACAAGCGAGACGTCAAAACATTGAAGGAGCGGGAAATGGAGGGAAGTCGACGCACCTGTCCTCCTCGTCCGTCTCTTCCTCTTCGTCCTCTTCTTCGTCTACGTCGCCGAACAGCACCATCTCCTCGTTTCCTGCCAAGCCGTCATCGTCGCCGCCACGCTTCCCCTTCGAGTCCTTAGCCTTCCGAGCCCTTTCCCGCGCTGCCTCTTTCGCCTTCTGGAGGAGCGACTGCAATTGTACTGACGACCCAACGTCCCCGTCATCGTCGCTGTCCGTCTCAGAGTCGCTGTCGTCGTCTGAAGAGGTGTCGTCGTCGGACGCTGATGAAGTCGCAGGCGCGTCGCCATCATCCTCCTTCCGCGCCTTGTCCGTTGCGCCATGATCTCCCGTGTCCGACTCGAGCGTAGCACTGTTCGGCGGGCTTCCCGAGACGAGTGTCGAGGTGAGCGACTCTGTCCCGCTCCTGTCGACCTGGGCGGGGTCTGTGAGCGCGAGCTTGGCCATGGCGGAGCGCGTGACTGGCATGGTCGGGTAGTTATGCAGTCTAGCGAGTCCTAGCCAGTCCAAAGAGAGCACCAGCGAGGTCAAGATGGCCAAGTTGAGGGACGACCCGCGACTTCGAGCTCGCTTCATCTCTCGAAGTCCGCCACTCTCGCTCTCTCGCTTGCTGCGCTTGTCTGAGGCCACGAGCGCTGCTGTTCAGCTACAATGGCCCGCCCGAAGCAGTCGGGCACCCGCAAGGCGACCCAGTACCGCGCGAAACCCATCGAGCGCGAGCGAGACTTCGACCGGGCACAGAGCAGGATGGACAGGCGCATCGAGACGTACGACGACGCCATGATGGGCGGAGACGAGGACGAGTGTGTGTCCGCCGTTCCACACGCTTTCATGCGGTCGCTAGACCCGTCAAGCTGACCCTCTCATACACCGCCCCCGCTCCTCCCCCTCAGTCCACCTGAACCGCGACAAGATGCTGCTCGAGGATGATGGCCGAGGTAACGGCTACGATGGTATGTCTTGCGTCGCTCTTACGGATATCAATCAACGGATTGCTGACGTCGTACTTATCCTTCCCTTCCCTCTTTCACCTAATCTCCCGCTGCTTCGCCCCCGCCCTTTCATCCCATATCACCACGGTACATCAGACGACGACGTCGACGCTCCCGACACGATCTACGACCTCGACCTCCCCTCCTCCGCATCCGGCTCGCCCTCTCCCTCCGGAGACGAGGACGAGGAGGAAGACGACACTCCTCGCCTTCCTCGCCAGTTCAAGCGCGGCAGGGACGAGGACTTGACGAAGAAGGGACGATTCGGGCACGAGTATGACCCGAAGCAGGATGTCGTCTTCCCCAGTTCGGACGAAGACGAGTCGGACGAAGATGAGGGTGCGGGAGAGGTTGACGAGCGCCAGCTTGCGGGTGCAGATGACGAGGACGAGGATGAGGGATCGAAGCTGCGAAAAGGTGGTGCAGATGAGGACGACGAGGACGAGGATCCGCACTGGCGCGCAGACCAGTACCACGTCACTCGTCGCGACCCGGGCGAAGCCGACTCGGAGGACGAGGAAGCGCTCGCGCTTGAGGAGGAAGAAGTGCGGAGGTTGCAGAAGAAGATGAGGGAGAAGATGGAGGGCAACGACTTTGGCCTCGACTTGGGTGTCGACGGCGTTGACGATGTCGCCGAGGGCGAGAAGGAGGGCAAGCGGCGGCGTATAGAGGAGGAGGACGAGACGGTCGTTGCTGCCGGTGCGGACAAGGCAGCCAAGGACGCGCTTTCGACAGCCGACATGTCCGAGCCCGAAGCGATCGCTCACCTCCTCAAAACCTCTCCCGAGACTCTCGCTCTCGTTGACGACTTCGTCCTTACGGCGAGCAAAATCAAGCAGGTCGAGGCGGACTTGGCGGAGGTTCGGAAGGGCGACGGACAGGGCGGCGAGCACCCGGCTTTGGCGATCATGGAGCTCGAGCACCGTGAGCCAGTCCCTTTGGCTCCCCTCCATACCTCGCTGACACCCGCACGCTCCCAGAGGCCCTCACGACCTACCTTCCCACCCTTGCGTTCTACTTCTCTCTCCTCCTCTCGCCGACTCCCGCTCCGCAAGCGCTCATCGAGAGGGTCATCGCCCGCCTGTCGAGCTTGCGCGGCAGCCTCGCTACGATGGAGGAGCTCGACCTGACGAGCGCGACGTACGGTGCTGGCGACGATGACGAGGACGACGAGGAGCTTGACGAAGACGAGGAAGAGGAGGATGTTCCGCTCGGTAGGCGCAAAGCGAGGTCGCGCTCGATGCTTGCATCTGAGGCGCTCGACTTTGCCGATGCACTGGCGGCGGACGAGGAGGAAGACGAGGACTCTGAGGAGGAGGTGACGGACAGCATGCTCGCTGGCTTGACGGATGCCGAACTCGAGGAACTGATGGGCCAGATGGAGCCAGGACAGGGCGCAGAGGAGCTGATGGAGCGGGTCAGGGCGAAGCAGCGCGAGAAGTTCGGCGATGGGTTCGGCCAGGAGGACGGAATGGACGTCGACGAGGATGACGAGGAGGAGCTCGAGCGGGAGCGGGTACAGAAGGCCAAGACGAAGGCGAAGGGCAAGGCGAGCTCAAAGAAGGCCGTTCCCGCCATTCCCGAACTCGCGCCTCTCTCCGCTTCTTCCGCCTCGTCTTCCCTGTCTCGCCCGACCATTCGCGCAACCGCCGACTCCGACTTCCTCGACCCCCTCTCGCTCTCGCACGCCGATCGCGCAGACAAGGCCTCAAAGCGGCACACGCTCCGCTTCCACGCCTCGCAGGTTGAGCAGAAGGCGCAGCGTCGCGAGGCTCGGCGACGCGGTCTCGAGGGCGACGACGACGTCCCGCGCAGGAGCAAGGAGCAGGCAAGGAGGGAGGTGCTCAAGAAGCAGCAGCATGGTGCGGCGAAGGACGCGGAGAAGGGCGTTGGTCTTGATGAGGGCGACTTCGACGAGGATGACCGGCGGGCGGCAAAGGCCGTCAGGGAGGAGCGCGATGACAACGGAGGAGAGGACGGCGGGGATGACGACTACTACGATCTTGTCGCGGCGGAGAAGGCGGAGGGCAGGAAGGCGAAGAAGGCGAGGTACGACGATGCGCGTGCGGCCGAGAAGTGCGTTGGTTCCGCTTCTCCTCTACACGTGGCTCATTCACTGACGCTTTCGGCTCCATAGGGAGGAGCTGCAAGCACTTGCCGATGCTTCCGTCGATGGACCGCGCGCCGCCAGCCGCAAGATCCTCTCGAACCGCGGCTTGACGCCGAAGCGCAACAAGCTGAACCGCAACGCGCGTGTCAAGAAGCGTCACCAGTACGATCAGAAGCAGAAGAAGCTGCGGAGTATGCAGGCGACGTACAAGGGCGGCGAGGCGCGGACGGGATACGAGGGCGAGCGGACGGGTATCTCGCGGACGAATGTGCGCAGTCGCAAGCTGGGTTAACAAAGCAGGTGTTGAGCGTTGCTCTCCTGCAATTCGCGTCACTCAGAGCAGCGTTGGCGATCTCGGCGGATGAACAGCGGAAAGTGAGAGCAAGCTAGAGTCGCTGCGCTCCGCTCGCCCCCGCCTCTCTTCGCTCTGGTTCTCGCGCGTGCAGTCTGCTGCTCGCTTAGCACGACGGTAAGCGATAGATTGCGCGTCAATCAGGGTTGCGATGCGAGATAGGCGGAGAGGGTATCTGCGAAAGAACGAAGGTCAGTCGCGCATGCCTCTCCTCACTCGTGAAGTCTCCGCCAGGACGCACCTGCCCACACTTCCCATGTCTGGATCTTCCACTCTCCGCCCTCCTTGACCAGGTCAAACTTCCAGACAACCGCTTCGTGCCATTCCTTCCCTGTCTCCGCAACACTCCACACCGCGTCGCCCGTCCATATCGCTCTTGCCTTCCCCTGCCCGTCCTCTTCCCGCACGAGTAGATCTCGCTCGTTAAAGTCCGACCCTTTGCCCTTCAAGACGGACCCGATCAGCCGCCAGTACTCGAGCACCCGCTCCTCGCCTTCGAACTTGTCGCCGAGGAAAGGCAGCTTTTCCTGACCCTTCGGACCGTGCTCCCAGCAGCATGGCGCGGTCGACGAGGTGAAGTAGGCGCGGAAAGTCGAGGCGTCGCGGGGAGTGTTGATGTCGTCACGAAAGCGGATGAGGAGGTCGGGGACGCTGCTGGCCATTAGTCTAGGGGATTGACTGCCGCAAGTGAGATATTCGGGAGCCCAGAAAGCGCGGGGAGTGGTCAAGCGGGTGAGAAGTCGAGCGAAAGAGTCGGCGGGAGGGGGCGGAGGATGTCAGCAGTCAGGCAGCGATTTGTGAGGTAGAGCAGTTGCTAAGGATCTCTCTCAAGTACTTACAAGCTCAAAAGCCGCGAAGAAGCGTTGCAAGACGCGCGAGAACGGGTTGAGAAGGCTGCAACGAATAATGGAGGGGGAGAACAGCACAACAAGAGGGTCGGATCTGCAGAGCGTCAAGACTATTACGGGGCGAGTATTCGCACTGAGTAGGCGGTCGCGGAAGGAGTGGCGAGGAGTAACGAGGAATGTGCAAAGGGCGAAAGGAGAGCGGACGACACAGCGGAGATGGCGGAACGTTCGAGGGAGAGAGGCAATGTCGCCTGCTCAGAGGCCCGTGTCGTAGACGAAGACGGGCGAGCGAGGAGAGAGGTGGCCAGAAGCCGGGTAGGCGACGCCCTTCTTCTCGACGACTTGCGCAGCCTTGTCCGCGTCCTGAAGGTTGATGTGCACCGACGAGTCGCTCTCGACGTGGACGCTCCTGTCGATCGTGACGTGAACGCCGTCGTTGGGCGGAGAGTGGCGAGCCGAGTTGCGTTTGGCGAGACGAGGGCGGAGCGAGCGGCTGTCCCAGAGGAGGTACAGAAGGGCGATGAGGATGAGGTTCATCGGGACGCTGTAGACCCAGGGAATGAAGAGCAAGACGGTCTCGGTCTGCGAAGGACGAGCGGTGAACGGGGAGAATAGTGAATGTCGCGGAAGGGAGACTTACGGCCGCCCAATTCGAAGGCACAAGCTGGCGGTTCACGAGAAGGTAGAGAGCGTAGATGATGAAGGCGAGAGTACTGCTGAGCATGACGATCAGGATCCAGGAAGTCTGCACGGAACAGGGAAGGTCAGTGTTTGGGTGGTGAGGAACAGCCGAGGGTCAAACATACGATGACGAGCTCCTTCTGCGCCTTGCTGAGCATCAAGATGTTGCGAAGACGTTCCCATTCGCCCGTACCGCGTGCTTGTTCGCCCATCTCGACGAGGTCGCTACGCTTGACGGGCGCGAAGCGGAGGTCGCGGATGAAGCCCGAGATGCGATTCGTCTGCGGATTGCGGTTCGAAAAGGCCGTGCTGGGTCGGATGAGCTGCGAAAGCAGGATACGGTCAGCGTAGCACCAATCGAGACGGAGTCTTCGGGCGGACCTGCAAGTTGTACTTGACCTGGGCGCCGATAACCTTCGCGAGGCGGAGCGCAGCGATGTTGACGGTGATGATGACGACGGGGACCGTGATGAAGACGGCGTAGATGCCGAGTTCGATGCTGAATGGCCGGAAGACCAGTCAGTCGCCACCTTTGGTACCAGGAAAAGCACCGCGCACCGGTGTGCCCGCTCAGCGTCTTGAGCGAGTTCATCGAAGGCCGGCTTGAGGGCGAGCAAAGGACCGATGACGTCGCTTCCGGGCGTCCAAGCCGTCTCGAAGGTCGTCAATTTGGCGACAACGTTTCCGACCTCGCGCAGGACTTCACGCTCGATAATTTCCGCCAGTATGACGCAAGCGAGTACTGCTGCGCCGCCAAAGCTGCCGAGACCGACGAAGAGAACGTTGGCGGTGCGAGCGGAGAAGACGGGTTTGGTCGTCGCGGCGTCACCGGCCAAGAGGGAGGCTTGGAGGGCGGACCAGGTGATGAGCCAGCCTTCACGGAGAGCCTCGCTTCGTCAGCGACGTCTCCCAATCGCGAGCGTGAGCGGGAGAAGACGCACTCTGCGTGAAGAACGGCAGACTCGCCCAAAGCGTTGAGATGCGGCGTTCCGGACCGTGCAGGACGTATAGCTTGTAAATTCCGACGAGATAGGCGAGCAGGATTGCGCTTCTGCATCGAGGTGCAACAGGCACCGCGATCAGCTTGGAAAGGAGCGGGAGACACAAGGAACGCACGAGACGATGGAAAGGGAGACCAAGACGAGCTTGCCGCTGCAGGGTAGGCTGGTCAGCTAGGAGTCAACCTTAGATAGACCGACAACCCACTTCGTGATGATATAGCTACCGCGGCGGCGGCGGATCCTGCGGAAGAGCCAGATCGGGCTGGCCTGACCGTTGGCCCACGACTCGTAGTTCAGCGCGAGCCAGTACGCCGCTGAGAGAACGATGAGTCTACCGGAGAGGAGGGTCAGCTGTGGCAGCGGCGCGCGCGGCATGGAGAGGGAGACTCACAGAGTGCACCACCCGAACAAAACCGCAAGACGCGCGACGAACCCGTCCGAGGGCGTCGCATGCATGCGGGCTTGGAGCGCGGACTTGTAGACGGTGAACGGGTTCGTTCCCGCTGGTACGCTCGGCAAAAGCATGTCGGGATGAAGAGGGAGTTCGGGAACGGAACGAGCGTGGGTCTGAGGCGCACAGGGAGGGCGCCGGGGCGCGCCGGCGGCTTGGCGTAGGCGTACGAGTCCAAATGAGCGTGTCAAGCGTCCGATATCAGGCTGGAGAGCGGGGGACGAGTGAGGAGATGAGGGAAGAGGAGTCGAGCGGCCCGAGCGAGGTCCTCCGACAGCCACAACGAAGCCGGAAGTGGTCAGTACGGTCGAGTTAGCGCTCGAGCAGGCTAGTTCTGACCGTGATGAGCGTGAGGAGCGCAGGGCCAGAGAGCGAGGACCGCTTGAGAAGGTCGACGAGGAGGAGAAGGACAAACCGTCTACAACAACATGTATGGCACGCTACAGCGCTGCGAGATAACTTACGAGCGTGCAGAAGACGTTGAAGACGAGGCGAGCCGGAGATGCGACGACTCGACCTCCTTCTCCTCGTCCACCGCGCCGTCCGTGTTCTTGTCTGCTGCCGCCGTCCGCTCCTCACGTCCGCCTCCATCCAGCTCGATGACGGTTGTGCGGTGTCGTCCCTCCATGCTCATCTCTGCCGCAGACAGCACAGGTCCTCCGCTCAGCGCCCGCCTGTCGACGGGTGAGTGGTCGAGCCAGCTCGCGTCGCGCTCCTCGACGTGGAGTGACCGACCCTCCCAGCGTACGTAGAGGAGGGAGATGAGGACCGCATTGACTGTGATGGAGTAGATCCACGGCAAGTAGAGAAGCTCTGCCTCATTCTGGAAAGCAAGGGTCAGCTGGCAGATCGCAGCGAAACGGGGACGAGCCTTACTGTCGCCCACCGGAGCTTCTGTGCATGCCCAGTTGCAAGCGCATGGAGCGAGTAGATGCAGAACGCGATGCTGCTGAGAATCATGACGAGCGCGAGGCAGGATGTCTGCGCGAGCGCATGTCAGGAGGAGGGCAGAAGCCGAGCGAGCGGGCTGTACGCACTATCAGCAGTTCCTTCTGCACCTTCTGAAGCCGCTGAATATGCCGAACTCGTTGCTTGTCCGCCGAATTCTGGGCATTGTGTGATAGCTCGGCCAGCTGGCGCCGAGAAAGATGCCTCGGAACCAATAGGCTTGCGCAACCCGACGTCTGATTCGAGTCGAAGGTCAAGCTAGCGTCCGCGCAGATACCTGCGCCGGCCCTCTGTTTAAGCTGTGGACGAACAAGTCGGTCTCGGTATGAACCTGAAGAGTGAGCGAGACGCACGTGATCGACGTTGAACTTCAGATGCGTCGAGATGATGCCCGCCAGGCGGAGCGAAGCGATGTTGACGCCGAGAAAAATGAGCGGTACGATTAGGAGGATGCAGAGAATGGCGAGCTGAACCCTGGGAGCGAAGAGCGGTCAGCTTAGCGCCTTAGCCAGTGCGCACGACATTGTAGGACGCACCGTCGGAAGTAGTTCGACTTGGCCGCGAGTCTTCGAAACTCTGGTCCAAGTTCGAGTAGCGGACCGAAGGTGTCGCTCGAGGGAGTCCAGCTTAGCTCGAGGCGCCCCAAAGCCGTCGTCACCTTGACGATCTGGTCCCACAGGGCGGCGTCGACCACGTTCGTATAGACTGCAGCGCAGGAAATGGCGCATGAGATGAAGATGCCGAGACCGACGAAGAGCGAGTTGGCGAGGCGAGCTGTGAGCACAGTTTTCTGGGTGTACTCGGTCGCGAGGATCGAGGCTTGCAGTGTCGACCAGATCAGCAACCAGCCTGTTCGTACGCATGGTCAGCATAGCCTCGTTGCTTACTCCGGGGAACTACGCACCTTGGACAAATAACGGCACGCCGGACCAGGTCTTGAAAGTAACGACGTGGGATCGTAAGCCTCCGCGTACGTAGAACTGGTACGTCTCGGCGATGAATGCGAGCAACAGGGCGCTCCTGCAGGCGCAAGATCAGCACGGGCTCCGCTTGACGAAACGCATCACGCACGCAGCGACGGTAAAGAGAGTGAGGGCGAGCTTGAGGCTGTTGGACCACTCGTCAGCCATCTGAGGCCAATTGAAGTATGTTCGTGACACACTTCGTGACAATGTATCGCCCTGAAGGCCGCTCGACGATGCGGAAGAGCCAGGTCGGATTCCCTCGTCCCGTCCTCTTCCAATCTCGATAAAGAAGGAGCCAGTAGATGGTCGAGAGAACCGCAAGTCTGAGCATGCAGAGAGTCAGCTTTGAGCTCCGCGAGACAAGGAGACGAACGTACAGTCCGCATAGCACGAACAGGACGACCAGTCGCACGGCGAAGCCATCGGTCGGCGTCGACCTCGTGGAAGCCTCTATCGCGGCTCGGTAGACGGCGAACGGGTTCTGCCCGGCTGGTACGACGGGCAGACTCATGATAGGATGCGGTACGATGCACGGCGAGGTCGGGCGTGGAAAGCGACAGCGCAGCCAGCTGAGCCGGCGTATTGAGTCGGTGGCCGATTCTTTGCGCCCGCGGGAGAGCACAGCGCACGTCAGCTACGTCGTCTGAAGCAAAGCAGGCTGAGATCCGCTGAGAGAGAGAGGTGAAGCGGCGACGGAAACCTTCCGGAACAGGCTCGGAGCGTTAGGGTTCTTCGAGGACGCAGAGCCGGCCTCGATTGTTCGAACTGATCGCGCTGGATAATGCAGGGCCAGGATCGTGCGAGCCTGTGGAACGAAAGCCGGACGTGGGAGTTGGAGAGGCTGTCGTCTGTGGCGCAGCCTTGGCGAGAGGCGAGCTGCAGATGCGCAGAGTCGCGATCGGAGGACGCCTCTGCGCCGAACCGCTCAGCGGTGGAACTCCCGCACGCGCTGTCTCCAGGCCGCGCTTGAAACGCTCTTCGAAAATCCGTCGCGCGAGAGGCGAAGAGATGCGAGGCTGTAAAGGGCTTTACATCTCTGGCGCGGTGTCGTAGAGCGAAGGGAAGGGCATCTTGGGTGTAGGTTGCAGCCTGCTAGACGAGAGCGTCAGCGAGACGAGTGAGACGCGAGAACCGGAATACTTGCCAGTTGTCCTCCAACCACCGTGCGGAACCCTCGATGCAGTGAAAGGTGTAGATGGAGCGGCTTTTCTGCGACGTGTTGCGCTCGCTTCGGTGAATCACGGCGCCGTGAATGAGGACGAGATCTGCGGGCGAGATGTACAAGCGTCAGGTAACGCTGAGAAGCGAGACGCACGACAAGCGTCGACTCCGACTCACCCCCTGCGTCGCAAGGTGCGGCCACCCACTCAACTCCGTCCGCCGTCCAGTCGACCGACGGCTCATCCTCCATCCCTGGTACCGGCACCATCTCCGTCCCTCCGCCAGGCGCCCGCACAAGCCGCTTCGTCAATCTGTTGATCTTGTGACTTCCCGGGACGAACGAAAGGCATCCGTTCTCAGGTGTAGCCGGTTCGAGGGCGAACCAAAGACCCATAGCGGTCGAAGGATCGGACGTGAGGAACGTCTGATCGTCGTGTACGCCGACTTGGCCGCCAACCTCCTTGTTCTTGCAGATGACCATGCTCTGGATCAGTCGAGGGTCGCGGTAAGAGCCAAGGTCGCGCACGAGGGCTTTGATATCGTCGGAGAAGGAGAAGCGGCGGAAGTCTGGGTCGAGTATCGCGAGGGCGTGACCGATCTGCGCGTACACAACGAAGCTCGTCAGCTGCAACGTCGTCGCGAACACATAGCAACGCACCTTGTTGACAGCCAGCTCCTTCGGTCGGTTCAGCTTCCCATCCTCGTCAAACGCCGCCGGCTCGAAGAAGAAGCGGATCTTGTCTCCGGACGAGAGGAAGTAGTCGTCGCCGATGTGCTTCTTCTCACCGGCGTGAGCAGTCCCGACGAACTGGGTCATCGGATGCGAGTCGAGGTCGAAGTCCCGCAAGAGCTGCCTCGACTTGTCCAGCAGCTTGTCGGCATCGGTCTGGCTGAAGAAACCCTTGATGACTAGGTGGCCGTCCGCCTCAAACTGCACAGTGGCAAGGAGAGCGAGTATCAGCCTTGTGGGGTGGTCGAGGCGATGAGGAACAGGCAGCGCGAGGAAAGGATAGGGCCGTTCGCGCACCTGCTGCTTCTGTTGATCCGATAGCTGAAAGACCATGCCGAGCAGTTCAAGCGTGATACGAGCGAGACGAGAGACGAGAGATAGCGAAAGAGGTGTCTGGATAGGTGCCGGTGAAAGCGAGGCTGCTCAAGCTTCTTTCGGCAGACGAGACGATGTGCGAGGTCCTTTACCGCTACAGAATGGGCACGAGGAAGCTGGAGCGCGAAGACCGACAAGACTGGCCAGAGGGAGAAGGAGGAGAACATGAACAAGACTCGCTTGGACGGCTCATCCAGCGTTACAACATGTCTATGGACAGCAGATCTGTCGGAGCGTCCTCCGTCAGCGGGATGAAACGCGTGCACTCGAGAACGCCGCAGGGGGGACGCACCTTCGGCCTCGCCTACTTCGCCTCCTCTCGCTCGACATGCTCGCTCAGCCATGCGTTATACTCCTTCTTGATCTGACTCGGCAGAGCGTGTCCCCCGCCTTCCACGATCTTGAGATGCGAGCCCTGTGAGACGAGAAGTCCGTCAGCCTCGTCCTCTCATGAGATGGGAAGCAAAGCATGACGCACAGGCAGGTCTTTGTGCAGCTCGTGCGCACGCTGTACTCGGATCAAGTTGTCTTCGGTGCCGTGTATGATGGCGACTCGAGGGATCTGCTCGGCGATTAGGGCGAGGCGTTCAGGCGAGACGTGGTGCTTACTACGGGAGTCAAGCGTAGCAGCGGTCAGCGCTTGCCTACCGAAAGCTGTTGAACGTGTCATACAAGACCGCAGCGAGTTGGCCTAGTCGTCCGCCGAGCGTTTGGCGTCGGCCGATGTGGTACCGGTGGAGGAAGTCCTGCGCAAGTTGCTGAGTGAGCTTCGAGTGGAGCGACAGCGCGTGGATGTCAGCGCACCGCCTCAATCATTTCTCTCCGTGTCTTGCCCTTCCACTCGCCATCCTCCTCGACAATGCCCTTCAACCACTCCTCCGGAAACAACGTGTTGGCGACGAGTCGAACCTGCTCTTCGGGCGTCTTGGCGAGGCCAGTCGTGAGTCTGCCGAACATGTTGATGGCCTTCAGGGAGGGCGGATCGAAGCGAGAGCCGGAGCGGGTAGAGGTGAGGAGGAGGGCACGGATGCGCTTGGGGATGAGGAGGGCCTGCCGAGGCAAAGCGTCAGCAGCGAGCAGTGTAGAGTGAGAAGCTCGTCGGGCGCACCAGCTCCTGCGCAATCATGCCGCCCATGCTCACACCGACCAGGTTGATGCTCCGCTCCTCCTTCCACCCGATAAAGTCGAGCAGCTCCTCCACATCCTTCGCCATCTCGCTAGTCGAGTATGCACCAGGCGGCGTATCGCTCCAGCCCACGCCGCGGTTGTCGAAGACCAGGCATGAGTAGCCGGACAGTCGGGCAAAGTGCGAGACTTGGTTGTGCCAGGCCTGCGAGCGGGTGAGACGTCAGCGCCGCGCAGACTGGGAGCGAGGGTGCACTCACGAACGACGAGTTGTTCAAACCCATCGTAAACACCATGCGATAGCTCGTCGGCTCGTCCTGGCCATGGAGTTCTGCGCGAAGACCGGCGGGTGAGCAAGGCTGAGACTCGAAGGAGACGAGAGACGCACCGTAGTACAGCTTATGAGGCGCTGGAGCCCTCGCCTTGTCGTTCGCGACCGTGCACCACCCTCGACGAACGAGGTTGTCGCCGGGGAAGATGGTTTCGGGGAGGTCCTGAGCCGGCGAGTTGGCCAGAGGGTCTGGAGCAGCAGTAGCGGGCATGTTGGGCGAGTTCGCTGGTCGTCGCGAGGATTAGAGGCGGGTCAGACGGAGCAGAGGGCTTGATTGCGCGGCTATCGCTTGTCGGAGATGAGGAGGGAGGGTGGGTACGGAGGCAGAGTGGCGCCTCGAGGGGGTGATCGAGCGGGCGAAGCTGACTCTGTAGCTTAACTGAGGCACCTGTACGGTACAGCAAGCAGCCGCAGCGGGTGTTGGCGGAGCAAAGCGAGGCGTTGTTGGCGAAGGAGCGAACTCGCCTCTCGCAAGCTGACCACGCCCGCTGTCACCCGCTAGACAGCCAGCATGGGCTTCGACCTGCTACCGAGGGAGATCGACAAGCTCCAGCTGATCTCGCTCGCCGGACAACTCGCTCAGAAGCGCCTCGCGCGAGGGTGTCGACTGAATGTCACGGAGGCGACGGCCCTCATCGCCCACGTCCTCCAGGAGCTTATCAGAGATGGAGGTCACAGTGTGGCGGAGCTCATGAGCATCGGTGCGTGCCTCCCTTCCAAGATGTGCGATGTGAACGGCAGGAGATTCTCATCACGGATGAAGCGGAGTGGGGAGTGTACTTGGCGAGGACGCTCGCTGAGGCTGTTCGGGCGCGTGGAATGGAACGGATGAAGGCTCGTGAAGAGTCTCCTGCTTTCGCCAAGCCCGCTGATAGTGGTCGCCGTCGGGATAAGCCTCCTCGACCTGCTCAATCTGTTGCCCTTGACTGTCGCAGCTAGACGGCAAGCTAACTCGCTTCTCTCGCCGCCACAGGCAAGAAGATCCTCGGGAGGGTGCACGTCCAGCCTGTGAGTGCGAACCCCGTGACCCTCACTCGCTCCAGCCGACCTTCCCTTACCCGCAGGCCGTTCCGTCTCTCCTGCACGAGATTCAAGTCGAGGGCGCTTTCCCCGACGGAGTCTTCCTTGTCACCGTCCACGACCCCATCTCTTCCGCTTCGGTTAACGACGACCTCTCCCTCGCTCTCTACGGCTCGTTCCTCCCGCTGCCAAAGGAAGGCGTCTTCCCGAAGGGCTCGGATGAGCCTGCTGGACCTGCAGATGAGGAGATCCCGGGAGTGTTGGTGTTGAGGAAGGAGCCCATCAGGATTAACGAGGGACGAGAGCGAGTGCGGCTGAAGGTGACGAACACTGGCGACCGTCCGATCCAGGTGCGTCCTCACTTTTCCTACTGGGTCCGCGCACTTGACCTGACATCCGTCGCACAGGTCGGCTCGCACTACCACTTTACCGAAGTCAACCGCGCTCTCTCGTTCGACCGCCGAAAAGCCTTCTTCAAGCGCCTCGACATCGCTGCCGGAACGGCCGTCCGCTTCGAGCCGGGTGACACGAAGACGGTCACGCTCGTTCAGATTGGCGGCGAGCAGGTGGTCACCGGTGCGTACGGCACGGTGCGCAAAGGCTTGTTCTCCTGTCCTGACCTGTCCTCCTCGACAGGCGGCAATCTTCTCCTCAACTCGTCTATCGCGCGGCATCTCGCCGACCCGTCCCTCGCCGAATCGACCATGCAGCGCATCGTCTCAAGCGGTTTCTCGCACGTCGAGGACCCTTCGGCCGTCCTCACCTCGGACACCTCCGTCATCGCGCCTTTCGAGGTCAGCCGCGAGACGTACGCGAGCATGTTTGGACCGACGACGGGAGACAGAGTCAGGCTGGGAGACACGTCGCTTTGGATCGAGGTCGAGCGGGACGAGACGCACTATGGCGACGAGTGCAAGTTCGGCGGAGGTGCGTCGGCATGTTCCCTCTAACATCTTCGGGTGCAGAGTGCTGTAGCGCACTGTTCTTGATCGAGGCTTCTCTGGGCAGCACGCTGACTATACGCGTTTGCAGGCAAGGTCATTCGCGAAGGCATGGGCCAGGCGACTGGTCTTCCCGATGCCGAAACGCTCGACCTCATTATCACGAATGCGCTGATCATCAACTGGGACGGCATCTACAAGGTCAGTCTAGGTGAGAGTTGTCCTTGAGGGTCAACTCATATCGAGAAAGTCGCTCTTGTACAAGCCCGTGTCTATGGCTCACTCGCTTCCCTCCGCGCAGGCCGACATCGGCGTCAAGAACGGCCACATCGTCGGGATTGGCAAGGGCGGCAACCCCGACGTCATGAATAACATCACGCCCGGGATGGTTGTCGGCGTCAACACGGATGTCATCGCGGGCGAGAAACTGATCGTCACAGCTGGTGCGATTGATGCGCATGGTGAGTATGACCTTCGACTTCGCCGACAGTGTAGACGTTCCGAAAGCAGGCTGACTCGAATGACGCCTCGCAGTTCACTACATCTGCCCTCAGCTTTGCAACGAGGCGCTAGCGAGCGGTATCGTGCGTCGTCCGTCTCTACAATCCTCTTTTGACGAAGAAGCTTCAACGAAGGAGCTGCTGATGCGGCTGCGCTGCGCAGACCACCCTTCTCGGCGGCGGCACCGGACCCTCAGCTGGCTCGAACGCGACGACCTGCACGCCGTCGCGGACCTACATGCACGCGATGATGGCGGCGACCGATGGCATCCCGCTCAACTTTGCCTTCACGGGCAAGGCGAATGACTCGGGAGAGGCGGGACTGGAGGACCAGGTTCGGAACGGTGCGGTCGGCTTGAAGTTGCACGAGGTGCGCTTCCGTCTCGCTCCTCTTCCCTTTCTCTTACACCTAGTAGGCATCCGGAGACTGCTGTGGAGATGCTAACGTTGCTTTACCGACTCTTGCCTCCGCCCGCCTTTGCCTTCGTCGCCGACAGGACTGGGGCTCGACTCCCGCGGCTATCGACTCGGCTCTCTCGCTCGCGGAGAAGTACGACGTGCAAGTCAATATCCACAGCGACACGCTAAATGAGTCGGGCTTTGTGCAAGACACGATTGATGCCTTCAAGGGGCGGACAATTCACGCTTACCACATGTGCGTAACTCGCTTTCTTTCACTTCTACGCGGTGTACTATCGCTGATAGTCTCCTCCGCTGCAGCGAAGGAGCCGGGTGCGTTCTTCGGCTCGAAATGATCACATCCTCGCGAGACGCTCGCCCTTTCGCTCTCTCTCCTTCTCTCGAAGCCCCCTACTGACGAGTCGCTTGCTACGTCAATAGAGGCGGCCACGCACCAGACTGCTGTCGGATGATCAGCCTCTCGAACGTCATCCCGTCGTCGACGAACCCGACTCGGCCGTTCGCCCCGAATACCCTGGATGAGCATCTCGACGTGCGTCTCCTCTCTATCTCATCTCAACGCCCCATCATCGTGCTAAGCGTATCCACCTGTCGCAGATGCTCATGGTGTGTCACCACCTCGACCGCTCGATCCGTTCGTTTCCCCTCCGCCCTTCCTCCCAGACACTCTGGCCTAACTGCCTCCCGTACCCTCCTCTGTTCGCAGCGGAAGACATCGCCTTTGCCGAATCTCGCATCCGTGCCGAGACGATCGCAGCCGAAGACGTCCTCCACGACTCGGGCGCCATCTCGATCATCTCGTCCGACTCGCAGGCGATGGGACGCATTGGAGAGGTTGTCAGCCGGACTTGGAGGACCGCGAGTAAGATGAAGGATGTGGTGGGTACGCTGAAGGAGGAGACGAGGGATGGGGCGGATAACGAGAGGGTCAAGGTGCGTTCCCTGCCTCTCTTCTCACTCTCTGCCCCGCGATTGACGACTTTCTCCGCAGCGCTACATCGCGAAGTACACGGTCAACCCCGCCATCGTACACGGCATGTCGCACGTCATCGGCGACGTGAGCGTCGGCAAACTCGCGGACTTGGTCCTCTGGCAGCCGGCGTACTTTGGCGTCAGGCCGAATATGGTCGTCAAGGGTGGTGCGATTGCGTGGGCGAACGTGCGTGACTCTGTCGCGCCACTCATGAAGAATGTACTGATGAGGCGAGATTCGTGATGCAGATGGGCGATGCCAATGCCGTACGTCCGAAGTCTCCTCCCACCCTCTTCCGTCGGCCCAATTGACCCGTTCTCGACGTCCTCGCAGAGCATTCCGACGGTCCAGCCCGTCATTGGCCGTCCTATGTGGGGTAGCCAACCCTCCGCCGCAGCGTTGACCTCGCTCCTCTTCGTCTCGTCCCTCTCGCTCTCATCCGGTTTGTCCCTCCCCTCATATCCTTCTCCCTCTTGCTCAACTGAATAATGCGCGACGCGTCCGCAGGAACAATCGCAAGTTACGGACTGAAGAAACGGCCTGTCGCCGTCCAGGGGTGCAGGAAAGTCCGCAAGGAGGACATGAAGAACAACTCTGCCTTGCCCAAGATTGAGGTCGATCCCGAGTCGTACAAGGTGCGCTACCGCTTCCCCTCGATGCTATTTGCTGGGTGTGATTGACGAGGTAGATGAGCAGGTCACGGCGGACGGAGTGCACTGCACCGTCCCGCCTGCGACGAAGGTCCCGCTCACGCAGAGCTACATGCTCTTCTGAGCAGCTGGTTATTCCCGTTTGTGTCGGTTCTGTAGGTTTCTGTACGAGTTGATCGTCGGTTTGTGCAAGGTCTCGGTTGTTCCAAGGACGTCGAGGAGCGGCAGCGTGACAAAGGGGGCGAGCGAGCGAGCGATTCGAGCGGCACACTGATGAGTATGAGCGGAACCCGCAAAGCAGTTAAGCTGACGCTGCACAAGAATGTGCTGGGCTGGGCAAGCTGAAGTCGGTAAGCGAGCAAGTCGAGGGCGAGGACCACCCTTCATCAGCCTCCAGATGCGTCGCTCGTCGTTACTCCACGTCGACCCTTCCCGTAGACTCTGTCCAGGCCGTGTGAGAAGAGCGAGCCGGGGTGGTCGTGATGGGGCGAGGGCGGTTCGCCGGCGAGTGTCAACTGGACATGCGGGCGCGGGACAAAGACGCAGTGGGTGCTGGTGAGCTATAGAGTGCAACGATCGTGTAGTTGGCGCCCTTAGAGCGGTGTGAAGCGAGAGTGGTAAAGGTCGGTCGTGGTCGAGCTTCGCGCTCGCCTCTCTTCCCTTGCGCCCCCGCCCGTCGTCTATCTCACAGTGAGCTTTGGTCTGCTGCTGCTGTCTCCACGCCAGAACACACCGTACGAACACCCGCACCGTCCACCGCCGACTTGCCGCGCCGCGAGACGACCACCCCAGCCCTCGTCGGATTTTGACCCCGCCAGCTCGCTCAACGAGGTGACCGCGTGCGGTGGGACGAACGAGGGCGGAATGGACAGATTGAATGGAGCTGAAAAGAAGGAGCGGGCGCGCGAGCTGGACTGGGCAGGGGCTGGCGTGGGCTGGGGAACTCAGGTGCGCTTTCGCTCTCGAGGACGACAGTGCTGACTCTCGCTCGTCTCGCGCATCTTGCCCGTCACTCCCATTCGACTCTACGTGCTCCCTTGACACCCCTGCGAAACCTCCCATCCCTGCCCGTTCAGATGGCCCGCAACTCGGACGTCGCCCCCTACATCGGCAAGCTCTCCCGTAGCAAGCTCTTTTCTAAGAAGGGCCTCTACAAGCGTGAGCGCAAGTCCGCCCCTGCTGCTCAGGCCACCGAGGAGCAGAAGGAGCAGGGCTACTACCCCGCCGACGACGTCCGCAAGGCCAAGGCCTCGCGCAAGTCGGTCAAGCCCACCAAGATCCGCGAGTCGATCACCAAGGGCACCGTCCTCATCCTCCTCGCTGGTCGCTTCCGTGGTGAGTGCTGACAGCCGAGGCGGCCGCGCGGACCATTCAATACTGACCCCCCTTACTCCCTCGCAGGCAAGCGTGTCGTCTGCCTTGGAAGCCTCCCCTCCGGTCTCCTCCTTGTCACCGGCCCTTTCAAGGTGAATGGTGTACCTCTCCGCCGCGTCAACCAGGCCTACTGCATCGCCACTTCGACCAAGGTTGACCTCTCCAACTTCGAGGCGAGTCTTTTCGCCCTTTTCGCTCCTTTCTGGATCGGTACTGACGTTCTGCCCTGCATGTTAACTGCATATCATCACACTCGAACCGCCCATCACGCCCGAACCGCC